CAAAAATGACGTTAAACTGAAGAAATTAATACTAGATAACAAAATAATTTTAAAAATTCAACAAAGTTGTTATTAAAATTTCAGAGACATTTTTTCTAATAAATCCCTCAGCCAAGGCACTTGAAACATTAATTACTATAACTGACGTCGTTTATAGTGCGCCGTTGGCTCAAATCCTCTTAAAACATGTCACAAATTTGAGAAATACATAAAATTTGTTTTTTGCATCATTTTATCATGTAGAGATTGAACTTTTAATCTCTACATCTCTTAAACAACATTTACAGTAACACATTTGTACTTACTATACCCATGTCATTGTATTTACTACACCTATATCATACCAAAATGTGGCTATAACTACCACAAAACTGGCCCACACCTATCACGAGTATGCATGTTGTGTACAGATTTACCTTCACATAAACATGTGTCTTTATGTTATAACAACAAAAATGTAAACACGATAATTATCGTCTTCGCCGTGCTATACCTACGTCAGCTACATGCAGAACAGCATATCATGCTATTATTAAAGTGGCACGTAAAAGCGGAAGACTTCTCTATAATACACAACCCTGCCTTACCCTACCCTACCCTACCCTACTCTACCCTACCCTACCCTACCCTACCCTACCCTACCCCTACCCTACCCTACCCTACCCTACCCTACCCTACTCTACCCTACCCTACCCTACCCTACCCTACCCTCCCTACCCTACCCTATCCTACCCTACCCTAGTTTACCCTACCCTACCCTGCCCAACCCTACCCTACCCTATCCTACCCTACCCTACCCTAGTTTACCCTACTCTACTCTGTTTTCTACCTCACTTTACCTACTGTACTGTATCGTACCCAACTCTGCCCTCCCCTACACTGTCCTAACCTAACTTACCCTTATCTACCCTACCATACCTCACCTACTTTGCCCTACCCTACTGAAGCCTAACCTTACTTTACCCTACCTTTCCCTTACGAAATGTTTCGCTCTTTTTTTCTACTCCTCCCCATAATATGTAAAACTTGCAGTAATATGATATTATGACATATTAAGTTTGTTTACATTGGCCCGCATTTAAAGGTAAGGTTCTTTAGTACCACCTACACCGAGTTCCTGCTTTTAATGAGATTACCGACCGATTCGGTGTACAAGTTCGTACTTCCAATTCATAAATAGTATGGGCTAAATATAAACATATGTGTGGCTAGGCTTATTTTTGGCATGTTTTAAGTGTCAAACACGGTTTTAGGCTTAGCAGGCGTTTTTAGGCTTAGCAAAAAAATTTAGGCTTAGCAGGCGTTTTTAGGCTTAGCACACAAATTAAGGTAGGTCAAGGTAGGGTATTGCAATATTGGGTAGAGTAGAGTTTTGAAAACCAGCAAAAACTTTCTTTCCAGACAAAAAACCAACTACCGTAAGCCATTTTTCAAGGAGTAGGGTAAGGTAAGGTAGGGTTGGATAGAGTAGGGTAGGGTAGGGTAGGGTAGGGTAGTGTAGGGTAGGGTAGGGTAAGGTAGGATGGTAGGGCAGATCAAATCGAGCAAAAACTTTGTTTCCAGCCAAAACCTATCTACCGTAAGCCATTTTTCAAAAACTATGTATATCATATTATACGTGTATATCTCAAAATCCATATATAATATAAACCCTAATTACCGTACCCTTCCCGCTTTTCAGATTTCATAATGAAGTCGAAATTCGAATCCCACAACTTTCACGGCCACAAAATTAATCAAATTTCGTTGGGGCCAAGTTGGAAATGGCCCAAAAGTTTTTAATTAAATTCCATTACAGTGATGTCGTTCAGGATTCCGCGTATGGTCGATTAAATTCGAGAGGTCACAAATTAACTTACTGACACTTTTTTAGCACGAAAAACAAGAAAACGTGCTCAAGCTGAATTTTAACTTTGAAATGGAAGAAACTAGGGCGTTTACTCAGAATTGTTACCTAAATTAAAAGCTTATAAAGCTTTAACTACGACTAGGAAAAAAAGTCAAATATCTGGTGATGTACGTGGTAAAAATACTTTTTTAGGTAACAATATCCTTTACCTTTACCTTATCTTACTATACCCTACTAGACTTGAAAAAGGTCCGGTCCAGTCCTAATTTTAAGGACCGAGACCCGGTCCTTTGTTTGTCTGACCGGCCCGGGTCGATTTCAATTTGAGTTTGACCGGACCTTTTTCAAGTCTATACCCTACTATACTCTACTTGACCCTGCCCTACATTACCCTACCCTACCCTACATTACCTTACCCTACCTTATCCTGCCGTACCTTACCCTACCGTACCTTATCCTACTCTACTTTACCCTGCCCTACTCTACCCTACCCTACACTAATATTCCTTTAACTACCTTGCCCTGTTTTACTGTATCCTACCATACCCACCCAAATAATCAACCCTACCCTACTCTCCTCTACTCTAGTCAACCTTATCCTACATTGCCTTATCCGTACCTATACCACCCTGCCCTACTTTACATTGCCTTATCCGTACGTACACAAACCTAACTTACTCTACCCTACGTTTGACTGGTAGGGTAGGGTCCATTCTACCCTAGCTTAGATTACCCCGCCCTAAAATAAAAACAAATGTTTCTTTCGCTTCTAAGTTATGATATTTCAAACCCTGTTTCGTGTTATGCAAATTCAGTTGTTATAGAGACAAAATGGAAGTTAAAAATAAAAAAAAATCATCAGAAATGCATTTTTATATTATTCATAACAAAGTAATCTACAATTGTTGCCTAAAAATTCGAAAAATATTCAAGCCTTAGAAGTCTTGTCGTTTTTTAGCCTTCGAAATCGGTAGTAAAAACGACAAGACTTTTATTCAACATCATAGTACACCTAAATTAGAAGAAAAATGCCCTTAAATTTGAATTTAAAAATTAAAAAAGTTTTTTCAAACATCAAAGACAACATTTAAAATCCAAAAAGCCTCTTAAAATTAAAAAAATATACCTAAACTCCATAACTTGTTTTTCAAAAAAAGCTTCCCAAGCATAGTAAATTCATCATTCTTGAGGACCCATGAATACCGCACTTTTGGCGTTCCATTGTCCGAATTCTCCCAATTCGAATAATATAGGTCATACATTATGGCCAGACTCATTGTTTTGGAGATTTAACGAGTAGAAAGTACAGTAATACCACAATGATATCAAATTTTTCAGTAGAATCGGCAACATGTACTTATGGTTGGCTTCTTTTATAACTGAGAAGTTGGTTTAGTAGGCTTAGGCTTAGTAGCTTAGGGTTATTTTTCTTACATTTAGGCTTAGCAGGCTTAGTATGCTTACCCTAGTAATTTAAGCTCATTAGGCTTAGGCTTAGTAAGTTAGGCTCAGGAGGCTTAGGCTTAGTAAGCTTAGGATTAGTAGGCTTAGGCTTAGTATGCTTAACCCTAGTAAGTTAAGCTCATTAGGCTTAGGCTTAGTAAGTTAAGCTCATTAGGCTTAAGCTTAGAAAGCTAAAGATTAATATGCTTAGGCTTACTATGTTTAAGCTTAGTAGGCTTACGCTGTTTATATGGCTAATGCTTAGTATACATAAACTTAATAGGCTTACACTTGGTATTTTTAAGCTTAGTACGTGTAGTTAAAGTACCTAAAGTAATGTTCTACAAACTTTTATACTACACATTAAAAATTAGCGTATTTTACATTTAACGCGTTTTTTTATTTTATTTTTTCCTTTCTTTTCATTTCAACTTTATATAAGTAAAATTATGTCAATCACAATATACAAAAATTAAAATAAATAAGAAATAAAGTTTAAAAACCAAAAAAAAAATTACGATTAAAAGAATACTATCAACACCACAAATTAACTACATGAGATCCAGAAAAACCCCGAAAAAAATTAAAAAATTCAAATTCAATAGAATTCAAGAAAAGTTAAAATAAGCTACAATAATATAATATCACAAACAACTCGACATATCATTGCCCTACCAGCGACAAACTCTAGTATTACAGAAGTTTCAGACAACAAAAACTACTATAAATAAGGTCTAAACCATGAAAAAGCTTTGAAAACATGCTTTACAGTCTAAAGACTGTTTCAAAAGTTGGTCAAACCCTTGACAAAATGTAAACATAGCTGAAAATAGCGACATACTCGCAGATTAAACTATAATTTAGCCGGTAATCCATCTAAAGCATCTTTAAAACTGTAAAAAACCTTGTGAAACATTCTTAAAATGTTGTCGAGCTCAATGAAACAGCTTTAAAGTGCAGCAAAGCTTGGTGAAACAGCTTTAAAATGCTGTAGAACCTTATGAAACAGCTTTACAACACTGTGAAATCCTTTCAAACATCTTTTAATCCGCGTCAAACGTAGTCAAAGCTCTCTAAAACATGGCCAAAACTATCTACAACATTGAAAAGTATCTTATCATTAAGTTTTGTACTTTTAAACTCAGTATCACTTCTTATAAACTAAAAAAACAGATAAAATGCCCTTCAAGTACCTGATAAATTAAAAGACTGATCTTATTTACCTTTAAAATAAGTTTTAAATTCCTTTAAATCCTTTAAAATAGGTTTTAAACTATCTAAAACATCAAAAAAACTCAGAAAAACCGCTTGAAGTTGAGTAAAACAAGCTTTAGACTAAAGAAAAGACCTTATTAATACCTAAAACACCTCCCGAATTGTCTAAAACATGATGAAAACACAAAAAAGGCCCTTGATATCGTGCTGAATATCTGATAAATCTTGAAAATCGGCTTCTAAACATGCCGAAACTCAAAGACTTCAATGTAAATTATAAAAAAGGTAAGATATTGTACACAATGGCCCGTATTCAGCTGTAAATCAGAAAATAGTCCCATTCTTATGCTTCTATCACAATAAGGTCCCATTCCCAGCCAGCAAACGACAGAAAAGACCAGTCTTATCCATCACATCACAAAAAAGTCCAGTTCTAACCAGCAAACCACAGAAAACTTCAATCCTAACCAGCAAACCACAAAAAAATTCGATTCTAACCAGCACGTCGCCTCAACAACCTCAATTCCAAGCCCATCGTCACACACCGCAGCTGACCGTGCTCCCAGCCCGGCTCCAATCGCAGATACTTGTGAAATCGCTGGCCTCGCACCGTTCGAGCTCGCAAAAACAAGTCCGACCCGATCATTGTCATCTGAAAAGAGAACGTTTAGCCTACGTGCTGAATGAAAAGTGCCCCGCCCAGTTTCTGAAGACATATCGTTGGGTTTAATGAGGTATTTGTAGAGCATAGGCTAATATATTGAGGATGAAGATAGTATCAAAGTGCGATTTTAAAAAAAATTGAGAAAAAACGGTGAATTGTTACCTAAAAAACTAGGATTTTGAAGAACTAATTAAAATTTCAGGAAAAAAATTCAAATTTAAAAAAAAAATTAAAATTTCTAAAAAAAAATATTTAAAAAGCCAATCATTGTTCCCTTCACCGCAAATTTTAAATGCCAAAACATTTTTATGCCAAATTGAAAGCCAAATATTAATTATGGTAATGACTGCTGTCTGAAACATTCCATAATTAGTTTTTAAATTAGATTTACAGAATAACCTAATCAAAAGAAGCATAAAGAAGTCAGTTTACAGTAAAAGTGTTTAAGTTAAGTAATATTACTGTTAAATATAGTCTTCAGCCCTCCGGGCGCTCAAAAAAAATTTTTTTTACCCCCCCCCCGTGATTTTCGCAAAAATTTTTATTTTTCCGCCAACTTCAAATCAAAATTGCCCGTCTGGCCTTGCCTACCACAACATATTATTTCTTTTCTATAACCAAGACGGGGCGGGGGTAACTTTAGAAGAAGGTGTATCCCAACTGTCCTCCTTCTAAACGCCCAAGGGTACGGCGAAAAGTGAACAGAGCAGTACAAAAATGCCTTCCCATACATTGACTTCAACCCCCCCCCCTCCCAAAATTATAAAATTATCGTCCTGATATGATTCATACATATACTATTTAAAAATTCAAATCCTGACATTCTCAATCTACTACAACTACTAATTTATCAGCAAAACCTTCTTCATTACCCTCCCCACCCAAGAATATACCCAAAAATCTTCTTCATTACCCTCCCCCCCCAACAATATACCCAAAAAACCTTCTTCTTTAACCTCCCCACCCAAGAATACACTCAAAAACCTTCCTCATTACCCTCTCCACTCAACAACATACCCAAAACCGGAAGAACGAGTTCTTTTGAACCGATATTAATATAAAAGAAATCCCCGACACTCGATAATTACTTGCCCCCGGGCTTGCTGAATGGGTTTGGAATATCGAAATAATATGGCAATTTGTTGTTCACGCGTTTCTTGTGTCAATACCCAGCGATGGAAAACAGTAATTTCGTTCGGCTAGACGAAATTAAATTAGTTTTGGATGGTGGCCAACAATAGGAGCTGGTAATTTACTGTAAATTACAATGTATGGGAGTGGCGTGCAGATTTAGTGGCGTAGCGTGGATTATTTTGTAATTTAGGCTTGGAAATAATCAAAAAGTTATAACTTTCTGTAAAGTTAGGCTTGAAAATGACCAAAAATTCAAAAATTTTTTGAAATGTAAGCTTAAAAACTAAAAAAAAATAAAAAATACAAGCTTAAAAATTTTTAGAAAGCACCAAGAGCTGCATTAAATGTCTGATTTTAGTACGGTATTGGCGTTCAAAATGTAATTTTAAAGCCTTAAACTTTTAAAATGGGCTTAAAACATTAAAAACAAGCCTAAAACTCTCGAGTATGTCCATTAAAAAATGTAATTTTTAATTACTCGTTCTATATAAACCCGTTGCGTGATATGACATAGTGATGTTTTAGACTAATTACTCGAGTTCACAGTAAAAGTAATTAAACTTAATTTAAAATGTTTTATTTTAGTGACATCAGTTACCTTCAATTTTTTAAATTTCTATTATAATTTTAAAACGAAACTTCAAATTTTTGGTTTAACACCTTTATCAATTTTCCTGCCTAAAATACCTACAATATTCTTTTTCGACCGATAAAGCTCAAAAATTATAATTTTTTGGCCAATTAATTTAAAAAAAAAACAACTTTAGGCCCATAACACATCGAAAATACCGTTTTTCGACCAAAATCTTGCAAAAACTTTCAAATCGCCCGCGGACAAATTAGTTTAAAACAAGTTATTTACTTGCCAAACAAATTGCCTTACTCTAATTGCCTCTGTAAACTACTTATCTCCAAAAACATTGCTTTCCAACCACTCTTCCATAGCTAAAACAACATTGTGGCAAAGCTCAAAAATCCAAAAGATTAAGGTCCTCGTTACCTTGAAACTTGTCATAGAACTGCTCAAACCAAACCCGCATGACGGATCTGCTAGGCTTTTAAAAGCCAGTTTAGTAGAAAATTAGTTCCGGCTTACTAAAACAACAAAGACATGGTTGTATATTATCATAGAAGGCTAGGCATTCATCATTGATCACTCCCAAAAGCTACAATAATGTTTGGTCGGGAAATGTTGAAATTTGTCGTTACACAACCGGCTTGCCATAAAAACTAATGACAAACCATTCATGTTTACTAACTCACTTAAATACCCAAGAGAACGCAAAAATTATATTAACCATAACATTAGGGACTTCCGATTACAAGAAAACCTCTGTAACTTAATCAATACCCAATTTAATGCAACAAAACCCTGCCAAAATAATCTCTAATCGTTTTACAACAAAACACTTACGATTATACTGTCGCTTTCTATCGGATCTTCGAATGACCAGCTGTGCACCTTGTCATAGTCGGTCGAGTTCACGTCTCCGCAGTCGATTCGCCGGATTTTGCCGCAGAACAGGTCCTTATTGTAGGGGAATCGTCGCTTCAATGAATTCTTAAGTACATCAACACATTTACTACATTCGGCCGTCTCCATTTTGATTGAAAAAACTGTAGAAAAGTGCAAAAAACGCGAGAGAAAAGGTTTCGTATCTCCGACAAATTCCTTTCGCCGCGTAAAGGAATCGCGCGAAGAATCTCGAACAATCGAAAAGTCGGAGGAAAGCGATTCAATTCGAATGAATTTGAAGTCTATTACTCCACATAAAGCAGTATAAATAAATCGGGCTGCCTTCCAGATCAATTCGATTTGGTTTTTGTAATTTATAGTAACCTTTTGACTTTAAAATTTAAGATTTTTTGAATTTTGAGGAGGTTTTTCGCAGATTATACTTCATTTAGATCATTTACAAATGAGAAAGATTATAGCAGTAACAACAAATACAAAAACAGCTAACAAAAAGCCGAGTAGAAATGCATACAGACTAATATGTCTTAAGGTCATTTGTCATTACTTCAATATCCATAAATATTGGCAATTTAAACTGATTTTGTGCTTGGCATGCCATGATTGATAATATAATTTAAAATTGTAGGAACATAAAGATAAATACGTTTTGAAGATCAGTTTGTTATGGTTGAAAACACCAATTGCCATCTTACCTTACCGTTTCTTATTCCATCGTCTTCTCCTTTTGCTAACTTAATCTTCCGCCTCTTTATTCGTACATTACCCAACCTGTCCCTATCTTATCCAGCCCTAATATACCTCACACCATTTTAACTTGCCTACCTTATGCTACCATATCTTAACCAACCATATCTTACTACTAAAAGGCTCAGTCTTGCATGAACCCTCTCCCCTTAAATCCAAAATTTCACCCCTGCCTATTCATTCTACTTCTCCATTCACTAAAAATTTCACACTTATAAAACGGCACCATCTGATACTGTATTCAGCTCGTTCTGTTCTCTCCACACTCAATCCACTGCTTCCACCTCTCTTCCGCTTCTTCACCTTTCTCGACGACTTTGTGAAGCCTGAAATGAATCGGTTAGTATTTAACATACATAATAACTGAAAATTGTATAAAAATTAAGTAAAAATAAGTTTTTAGGCTAAAATTTATAGAGAGCCCTCAAAGTATTATTTCTGAATCTGTTACTGAGAAGCTAGAAACCTTTTCTGACGACAAAATTATGTTGTTAACAGAAAATATTGGTGAGACTGAAGGTTTATCAGACAAAATTCAGAATTCGTCTTCAGAAATCATTGAATTTACTCTAATGTTTGAAAATTTAGAATTGTTGGACGAAAGTGAGTGCAGATGGGCGAGTTAGACCGCACTCTCGGCCGATCTTTATTGAGAAACAATCATCGAATTTTCATCAGTCTTTGGTGTCGCATCAGTGGAGAGCGGTTGTTTGGAGCTCGAAATTGTCGAAATGGCCGCGAATATTAAACCGGTAGGTTTTTTTAGCTTTTGTTGTTTACCAGCCGTTGTGGGAAGAGGGGTTTTGAATGGGGTCGTAAATTTTAAGTTAGATCAGGGTTTTCACCAATTTTTCGCAAAATCTTAGGTTAAGCCAGCTTTGACGTCCATTTTTAGAGACGGTATTCAATGAATTTCCATTATTACAGTAACTAAGCTTAAAACTGACTTAATTAGGTATCCCACTATCGTAAAAGCGTAGCTCAAAACTACCAACCTTAAAAACGATAATTTAAAATTTGCAAAAAAAAACTCTTTAGGTTGTAAGTTGTGTTCCCGAAAGAATAATGGTAAACTTGCCATACAGCGAGGACGTCGAGATCCCGTTCAAGTTGAACACCCAACCTGACCGGAAGGTCGATATCTTTGTGAGCACGAGCCAGAAGAAAATGTGCTTAATGAAAAGAAACAAAAGAAAGATCAATGTGACATACTACACATTGAAGATCAAATCGTATGGACAAGAGGTCAGCCAACTTTTAATGGATTTGGAAATTTTCTTGATTGTGAAATACCAATGCGTTTCAAACGGAAACCACGAAAAAATTCTCATACCCATCGTCTTCAGCATGAATGGTAGGTGTACATAATCATAAACATAATAAGTTATATGGTATTTGACCTAAAAAAGTTAAAATAGTTTGTTCTGAAGACATTTTTTCCAAAAATTTACGGTTTTTCGAAAAATTCATAAAAATTTTAATTATCTTTGTAAATTCTATTACTTTTTAGAACCGGTACGTCAAGTTCACGATGATCCACAAGTCCAGTTCAATGCTACGCAAATGCATGTCGGTACCGAGAACATAAACCAGCCGAACATCAATAATCAGGTAAGACAGCCTTTTTTAAATATAAAGTTTAATTTACTTTCAAGGCCGGGCGTTCCAAAAGTGACGAATACGTAATCCCCATCCCTTCCCCCACATCACCCCAAAAATTTTTTGAAAAAAAAGTTTTGAGTTATGGCCATCGATTTTCAAAGCTTCCGCCGATCGTCAGCCGAATATTTGATTCCGATCTTAGCAAAACTTTTAGGACCGTGATCCTAATCCTAAATCCTAATTTTAGGACCAGACCAATAGCCACCTCTAGTTATTACTGTACTTTACAGTAAAACTACGAGAACTCGCTTCCTTAAGCTTTCTTTAACCCCTCCCCTTTCCATTCCCACCCCCGCTCTTCTCACTGCCCGGCCTTGATCACAAGATACCTTTTAATAAATCAATTACATTCAAGAGAATGCTATATTTAAACTAGATCGTACAGACATTGTTTCTTTTTTAGAATCTGAACATTAAGAATTTCATTGTATGCAATATAACATCCAATGCAACAGTCCCAATCAAGAGTCCAAGTATGCTACAATTAACATCACCACGTCGTCCAAGACAACAACATACAACACAAGTTATATCCTTAATTTTTGGCCGATGCAAGTCAAAGATTCATTCATCTCGTACAATTTACTGAATAAACAAACCAAAGCTACATTTGATACTTTTAATTTACCATATAAAATAACTAGCAATATAAATTTCATCGTAATCAATCGTATGTTAACACGACCTATAATATTCAACTCTTGCAAATCATTAGAATTCGTAGTAATTTTTACTTCTTCTAACACGTTTAAGCGAATAATGACGCGCAAGATCGCGGCAACGCTAAAAGTAAGTGTTTGATAATATCATAGTATGTTGGTTTGAAATTTAGGTAATATTTGGGAAAGTTGAAGGCAAATGCTTGGAAAGATTGACGCGTATGGATTTTTTTAGCTTAAAGTTTACTTTTATGTGTTTTTAATAGATTTTAGATAGTCTTTAAAGTTGTTTTTTGTAATTTTAAGTAATATTTTAGAGCATTTTGAATAATGTAGCGAAACTTTTGATCCAACTTTTTTATGAGCTTTTCTGTTAATTGTTTTTCGGTTTTAGTTTAAAGAAAATGTTGTTTCAGTTTGTTCTATCGTTGATTTTTCAAAATGTCCGTTTGGTGGAGATCGTTTGGACGTGTTGAATGGTCGAGTCTTGGAAGCTGTACACAATTACTGTATTTACTTAATCAGGAAGCGGATTTAGCGATGTTTTAGTTGGAGATAAAGGAGTTTTGAAGAGTGTTTTGAAAAAACTTGTTTTGATTTTGTACGGGTAAGGTGTAAGACTAATTTGGCTGTTAAAATTGGGTTCAAAAGCTTTGGCACTTACAAAAATATATTTTGTTGGTGTTTTTTGCTTTTATAATATTTTTTTTAATTAAAAAGTTTCTAGCTTTAAATACTGGAACAAAATACTAACAGCAAGCTAATTTAAGAATTTTTAAAACAAAATTTTTTTTCGGAAACCAGTTATCGACCGATTCGTCCGCTTCTCCATAGTTTCAAACCATGGCGGAGAGTTCACATGTCAATATCGATTACGAATCCGCGGCGAACGACTTACATCACAATGAGTATTAAATTAAATTTTATTTCATTAGCGACTATAACAATATTACTATAAATAGAGCAAAAAAAGATTATATAGACTAGATGGACATTGTAGGTCATAGTTGACGAATGAGTAAAGAGAACGATTTCCAAGTTAAAATTGCGACTGTTACGGGTCAACTTCATGGCGGCTGAGAACTTCCATTAAGGATTAAGCTGAAATAACAAAATTAGCAATTTTTGGGTAAATGATTATTAACTTATTTCAAGTTTCGTTTTTAATACAAATTTAATGTAAGACAATGTTTGTTACCTCGGAAGTTGATTGGTATCTTTCTTTTGCCCTGTATTGTTACTGAACCATCGTGAAGTCTTCGCTCGTATTTCACGATAATGAATACATTTATGGCCTTAAGCAACGGCTTCACTTCTTCGCCAAAATTCTTGAACTTTCCCTCCAACTTCACTGTTTGTCCCTGCCAAAGTTTCGACTTCTTTGGTCCACTGATCCCAATCAAATTTGGCTGCGAGCTTAGAATTGAAATGAACAATCGTGTTGTATGTGTGTTCTTTACTATGTATTCAAAGTTTTTGTCTTGATCGAAAGGTCCACATATAATACTTGGTGAAGGATCCACCTCGATAGCCTGTAAATATTATTTTGCTTTTTGTTTTTAAAATTTTTTGAAAGGTCGTATGGTTTTCCTTTAATAAACATATCCGTTGGTCTGGTATTAAAATTAAACACTGAGCTGCGAAAATGCAAGAGTTAAAAAGAAAATGAAAAATTAACTTACTTGAGGGTGTTCCATTTTTCCACAACAACAAGAAAAATACTAAAAACTGATTTCTCCGGTTCGAGAAAAATGAAATTCCACGTAATTTGCATGAAACGAGGATATTTTAATCGATATTTTGCATTTCGTCTTGAAATTTCGAGAAAAACAACTTTTTTCGCAATTTTTTACTAATTTTATTGAATTTTGATCAAATTTGGTCTGGTATTATTTATTGTACCAGGCCAAGTTGGTCTGTTATTATTATTTACTTTAAAGGGATTTTTGAGTACTTTGGACTGGCTTTAACAAAAAAAGTTTAATTAAATTTGTGTTTTTCAGTGAAACGTGTTCGCCTCACATCGACTATGTTTGACTCGGGATTTCAGCTTGTTGAGAGTGGCTATTGCGTGAGAGGAGCTCGTTTCTAATACGGAAGAGTACCAGCGCGGGTCAACGATGGTGGTTTTCAGTTGATCTCAGTTTTCAGATGATCTGACCATCGGATGACGCACAAATGGAGCTGGTTTGTCACATCTGTGACAGTTTGGCCAAAATGAATTGGAAGGAGAAGTTGACCCGTAAAAGTCGGAAAATCGATAAACAATTCACAGTAAAGCTCATAAAAAAGTTGAAACAAAACTTCCGCTACATTCTACAAAATGCACCAAAATGTTACCTAAAATTTCCAAAAAACCTTAAAAACGACCTAAAATCTATTAAAAATCTACGGAACTAACTTTTACGCAAAAAATCAAACATGCGTCATGAATTCCAAAGGATTTATCTTCAACCCTGCCAAAAATTACCTAAATTTCAAACAAAAACAACAAACACTTACTTTTAATAGTCCGATCCAACTGAACCAACTTGACCAGATAATCCCTTTCATCATCGGCCAATGGCAACGTCAAGTCAAGATTTTTAGTCAGCTCTTCAACCTCAATGTCCATCTCCTTCCAATTCATATTGGCCAAACTGTCGCAAATGTGACAAACCAGCTCCATTTGTGCGACATCCGATGGCCAATGTGAGATCATCTGATAACCACCATCGTTGACACGTGCTGGTACTCTTCCGTAGTAGAATCGAGCTCCTTTCACGCAATTGCCACTCTCAACAAGAAGAAATCCCGGTTCAACATAGTCGATGTGAGGCGAACACGTTTCACTGAAAAACACAAATTTAATTAAACTTTTTTTGTTACAGCCAGTCCAAAATGTACTCAAAATCCCTTTACAATATATAAGAACAGACCAACTTGGTCTTTGTTCAAAATCCAATAAAATTAGTAAAAAATTTCGAAAAAAGTTGTTTTTCTCGAATTTTCAAAAGACGAAATGCAAAATATCGATTAAAATATCCTCGTTTCATGCAAATTACGTAGAATTTCATTTTTCTCGAACCGGAGAAATCTGTTTTTAGTATTTTTCTTGTTGTTTTGGAACAATGGAACATCAAGTAAGTTAATTTTACATTTTCTTTTTAACTCTTGGATTTTCGCAGCTCAGTGTTTAATTTTAATACCAGACGAACGGATATTAAGATATGTTTATTAAAGGAAAACCATACCACCTTTCAAAAATTTTTAAAAACGAAAATCAAAATAATATTTACAGGCTATAGAAGTGGATCCATCACCAATAATTATATTTGGCCCTTTCGATCAAGACAAAAACTTTGAATTCAAAGTAAAGAACGTTTTACAACACGTTTGACAATTTTGATTTCAAGCTCACAACCAAACTTAATGCGGATCAGCGGGCCAAAAAAAATGAAACTTTGGCAAGGACAAAGCGTGAATATGGAGGGAAACTTCAAGAATTTTGGCGAAGAAGTATAGCCTTTACTCAAGGCCATAAATGTATTCATTACCGTACAATACGAGCGAAGACTTCATGATGGTTCAGTGACAATACAGGGCAAAAGGAAGATACCAATCATCTTCAGAGGTAACAAACATTGTCTTACATTAAATTTGTATTAAGAACGAAACTTGAAATAATTTACATAATCATTTACCAAAAATTCTTTTGTAAATTATCTACAACTTTTCAGACGTCTCCAACCAAGTGCCCTAAGTTCCAACCCTCCAACACAACAACGATCATTATGGAGTGGGCAACATTGTTCAGCCTATTAATTACAGTGTGAGTCGGCCTTTCATCGAACATATTAATCTAAAGGCATTCTAAAGGCGGCCCCACTCTTCCCTAATCTTTTACTATTATGCTAATTTTGTTATTTCAGCTTAATCCTTAATGGAAATTCTCTAGCCGCCATAAAGTGTTGACCAGTACCAACTTCGAGTACATGTACCTGATGTTGTTTTAGGTTATCTATAATCTTTGGTGATATTGAAATGCCGTCATCCTTCTTAGAATCATATTGCCTTCCTTGTTTCAAGTCTGGCTTAAAAGAATTTATGAAAATTTCAATTTTTTAAATGTTTAACAAGAGATCAAATTCAAAAGCATACTTTAAATCTATTTGTCTGTTGTTGTCTTGGACGACGTGGTGATGTTAATTTTAGCATACTTGGACTCTTGATTGAGACTGTCGCATTGGATATTATATTGCTTAAAATGAAATTCTTAATGTTAAGATGCTAAAAATGAAATAGTTTAAATATATCATTCTCTGGAATGAATTGGTTTATTAAAAGGTATCTTGTGATCAAGACCGGGCGGTGAGATGAGCGGGGGTGGGAATGGAAAGGGGAGGGGGAAAAAAGCTTAAGGAAGCGGGTTCTCATTGTTTCACTGTAAGGTACTGTAATAACTAGAGGTGGCTACTGGTCTGGTTCTAAAATTAGGATTAGGATCACGGTGCTGAAAGTTTTGACCGGATCGGAATCAAATATACGGCGAACGGTCGGCGAAAGCTTCGAAAATCGATGGCCACAACTCACTCAAACTGTAATATCTTCTTTTCAAACAAGAAACAATTATATGATATGCGATTTACAAAATTTACTTAAAAGAACCACATATACAAATCAAATACGACGATAATCCTCGAATAAAGCAGAAATAGGTCTTGAACCAGCAAATGAAGTAGAAATAGATCCCGAGCCAAGTTAGAATAAATCCATCGAACCAATTTAGAGAGATCCAGCGTTTGTAGTTAGAAAGGGGGATTTAGAGAGTTCGATTCTATTGACGCATCTGAAAAAGATTAACGTTAGCATAGTGTTAGGCAATTTTAGGTTAAAGGAAGAAGGAAACGGGGGAGGGGGTAGTAATTAAAAAAATTTGCTTACGAACAGGATTTTATTAACTTTTATTTCAAAAAATTTTTGGGGTGATGTAGGGGAAGGGATGGGGATTACGTATTCGTCACTTTTGGAACGCCCGGCCTTAAAAGTAAAACTTTATAGTTAAAAAAGACTCTCTTACCTGATTGTTGATCTTCGGTCTATTGATGTTCCCAACACCGCCACACATTTGTATAGTATTCTTGTCGACTTTTGGATCATCATGGGGAACTTGACCTACCAGCTCTAAAAAGAAATAGAATTTACAAAGATAATAAAAATTTTAATGAATTATTCGAAAAACCGTAATTTTTTGAAAAAAATGTATTCAGAACAAACTATTTTAACTTTTTTAGGTCAAATACCATATAACTTATTATGTTTATGATTATGTACACCTACCATCCTTGCTGAAGACGATCGGGATTAAACGTCTCCCGTGGTTTCCATTTGTCAGGCAGCGGTACTTTACAATCAAATACATTTCCAAATCGACCAAAAGTTTACTAGCTTCTTGTCCATACGATCTAATCTTCAATGTGTAGAATGTCACATTGCCCTTTCTTTTGTTTCTTCGCACTAAGCACATTTTCCTCTGGCTCGTGCTCACAAAAATATTGACCTTCCGTTTCGGTTGGGTCTTCAACTCGAACGGGATCTCGACGTCCTCGCTGTATGGTAAGTTTACCATTATTCTTTCGGGAACACAACTTACAAGCTTAAATGAGTTTTTTTGCAAATTTTAAATTATCGTTTTTAAGGTTGGTAGTTTTGAGCTACGCTTTTACGATAGTGGGATACTTAATTAAGCCAGTTTTAAGCTTAGCTACTGTAATAATGGAAATTCATTAAATACCGTCTCTAAAAATGGACGTCAAAGCTAGCTCAAACTAAGAATTTTGCGAAAAATTAGTGAAAACCCTGATCTAACTTAACATTTACGACCCCATCCAAAACCCCTCTTCCCACAACGCTGGTAAACAACAAAAGCTAAAAAAACCTACTTGTTCAATCGCGGCCATTACAATTTCGAGCTCCAAACAACCGCTCTTCGCTGTTGCGACACCAAAGACTGATGAAAATTCGATGATTGTTTCTCAATAAAGATCGGCCGAGAGTGCGGTTTAACTCGCCCATCTGCACTCACTTTCGTCCAACAATTCTAAATTTTCAAACATTAAAGTAAATTCAATGATTTCTGAAGACGAATTCTGAATTTTGTCTGATAAACCTTTAGTCTCACCAATATTTTCTGTTAACAACATAATTTTGTCGTCAGAAAAGTTTTCTAGCTTCTCAGTAACAGATTCAGAAATAAGACTTTGAGGGCTCTCTATAAATTTTAGCCTAAAAACTTATTTTTACTTAATAATTTTTATACAATTTTCAGTTATTATGTATTTTAAATACTAACCGATTCATTTCAGGCTTCACAAAGTCGTCGAGAAAGGTGAAGAAGCGGAAGGGAAGTGGAAGCAGTGGATTGAGTGTGGAGAGAAAGAACCAGCTGAACACAGTATCAGATGGTGCCGTTTCAGAAGTGTTGAGTTTTTAGTGAATAAAGAAGAAGAATGAATAGGCAAGGGTGAAATTTTGGATTTAAGGGGGAGATGAGAAGACGGTTCATGCAAGACTGAGCCGTTTAGTATTAAGATATGGTTGGTTAATATATGGTAGCATAAGGTGGGCAAGTTGAGATGTCAGGTATATTAAAGGTGGATAAGATAAGGTAGGGGTGGGTAAGATAGGGAGAAGTAGGGTAATGTACGAATAAAGAGATGGAAGATATAGAACGAGTGATTAAAATTACATTTTTTACACTTTCTAAAGATTTGTAAGCCTTTTTGTGACTACTTTAAGCCTAAATTTCGAAAAATGTTTGAATTTTTTTTTTAACATTATAAACCCTACCCTACATTATCCTACTTTACCATAATATACTATACCATACTTTATTTTGCCATACCATACCATTTAGAACACCAGCAACTATAATTATTACATATATAAAACGGACCGGACGGGTCCGGACCGGACAATCGCGAAAAAATTTAGGGCGGACCGGACCGGTCCGGCAAAACACTGACCTAAAGTAATGTTCTACAAACTTTTATACTACACATTAAAAATTAGCGTATTTTACATTTAACGCGTTTTTTTATTTTATTTTTTCCTTTCTTTTCATTTCAACTTTATATAAGTAAAATTATGTCAATCACAATATACAAAAATTAAAATAAATAAGAAATAAAGTTTAAAAACCAAAAAAAAATTACGATTAAAAGAATACTATCAACACCACAAATTAACTACATGAGATCCAGAAAAACCCCGAAAAAAATTAAAAAATTCAAATTCAATAGAATTCAAGAAAAGTTAAAATAAGCTACAATAATATAATATCACAAACAACTCGACATATCATTGCCCTACCAGCGACAAACTCTAGTATTACAGAAGTTTCAGACAACAAAAACTACTATAAATAAGGTCTAAACCATGAAAAAGCTTTGAAAACATGCTTTACAGTCTAAAGACTGTTTCAAAAGTTGGTCAAACCCTTGACAAAATGTAAACATAGCTGAAAATAGCGACATACTCGCAGATTAAACTATAATTTAGCCGGTAATCCATCTAAAGCATCTTTAAAACTGTAAAAAACCTTGTGAAACATTCTTAAAATGTTGTCGAGCTCAATGAAACAGCTTTAAAGTGCAGCAAAGCTTGGTGAAACAGCTTTAAAATGCTGTAGAACCTTATGAAACAGCTTTACAACACTGTGAAATCCTTTCAAACATCTTTTAATCCGCGTCAAACGTAGTCAAAGCTCTCTAAAACATGGCCAAAACTATCTACAACATTTAAAAGTATCTTATCATTAAGTTTTGTACTTTTAAACTCAGTATTACTTCTTATAAACTAAAAAAACAGATAAAATGCCCTTCAAGTACCTGATAAATTAAAAGACTGATCTTATTTACCTTTAAAATAAGTTTTAAATTCCTTTAAATCCTTTAAAATAGGTTTTAAACTATCTAAAACATCAAAAAAACTCAGAAAAACCGCTTGAAGTTGAGTAAAACAAGCTTTAGACTAAAGAAAAGACCTTATTAATACCTAAAACACCTTCCGAATTGTCTAAAACATGATGAAAACACAAAAAAGGCCCTTGTTATCGTGTTAAATATCTGATAAATCTTGAAAATCGGCTTCTAAGCATGCTGAAACCCAAAAACATCAAAGAAAAGGTAAGATATTGCAGATAATGCCCCGTATTCAGCTGTAAATCAGAAAATAGTCCCATTCTTATCAATATTTCACAACAAAGTCCAATTCTTATCAATATCTCACAACAAGGTCCCATTCCCAGCCAGCAAACGACAGAAAAGACCAGCCTTATACATCACATCACAAAAAAGTCTAGTTCTAACCAGCAAACCACAAAAAAGTCCAGTCCTAGCCATGTCGCCTCAACAACCTCAATTCCAAGCCCATCGTCACACACCGCAGCTGACCGTGCTCCCAGCCCGGCTCCAATCGCAGATACTTGTGAAATCGCTGGCCTCGCACCGTTCGAGCTCGCAAAAACAAGTCCGACCCGATCATTGTCATCTGAAAAGAGAACGTTTAGCCTACGTGCTGAATGAAAAGTGCCCCGCCCAGTTGCTGAGGACATATCGTTGGGTTGAATGAGGTATTTGGAGAGCATAGGCTAATATGTTGAAGATGAAGATAGTATCAAAGTGTGATTTTAAAAAAATTGAGAGAAAGAGTGATTTGTTACCTAAAAAAATAAGATTTTGAGCAAAAAAAAATAAAAAATAAAAATTTTTTCTTCACAATTCCAAAAAATTTAAATTTCAAAAAAAATTTTTTTAATTTCAAATTTAAAAAAAAAATTTAAAAGTTCTAAAAAAATATTTAAAAAGCCAATCATTGTTCCCTTCACCGCAAATTTTAAATGCCAAAACATTTTTATGCCAAATTGAAAGCCAAATATTAATTATGGTAATGATGCTGTCTGAAACATTCCATAATTAGTTTTTAAATTAGATTTACAGAGTAAACCAATCAAAAGAAGCATAAAGAAGTCAGTTTACAGTAAAAGTTTTTAATTTAAGTATATAATATTACTGTTAAATATAGTCTTCAGCCCCCCGGGCGTTCAAAAAAAAAATTTTTTTATCCCCCCCCCGGTGATTTTCGCAAAAATTTTTATTTTTCCGCCAACTTCAAATCAAAATTGCCCGTCTGGCCCTGCCTACCACAACATATTATTTCTTTTCTATAACCAAGACGGGGCGGGGGTAACTTTAGAAGAAGGTGTATCCCAACTGTCCTCCTCCTAAACACCCAAGGTTAGGGTGAAAAGTGAAAGGGGAGAACAAAAATGCCTTCCCAGACTTTGACTTCAACCCCCCCCCCCCTTTCCCAAAAAATTATCGTCCCTTTTATGCCCTACCCAGTATGATTCCTACCTTTACTATTTAAAAATTCAAATCCTGCCATTCTCAATCTACTACAACTACTAATTTATCCGCAAAACCTTCTTCATTACCCTCTCCACAGAAGAATGTACCCAAAAATCTTCTTCTTTACCCTCTCCACCCAAGAATATACCCAAAACCCTTCTTCTTTACCCTCCCCACCAAAGAATACACTCAAAAACCTTCCTCATTACCCTCTCCACTCAACAACATACCCAAAACCGGAAGAACGAGTTCTTTTGAACCGATATTAATATAAAAGAAATCCCCGACACTCGATAATTACTTGCCCCCGGGCTTGCTGAATGGGTTTGGAATATCGAAATAATATGGCAATTTGTTGTTCACGCGTTTCTTGTGTCAATACCCAGCGATGGAAAACAGTAATTTCGTTCGGCTAGACGAAATTAAATTAGTTTTGGATGGTGGCCAACAATAGGAGCTGGTAATTTACTGTAAATTACAATGTATGGGAGTGGCGTGCAGATTTAGTGGCGTAGCGTGGATTATTTTGTAATTTAGGCTTGGAAATAATCAAAAAGTTATAACTTTCTGTAAAGTTAGGCTTGAAAATGACCAAAAATTCAAAAATTTTTTGAAATGTAAGCTTAAAAACTAAAAAAAAATAAAAAATACAAGCTTAAAAATTTTTAGAAAGCACCAAGAGCTGCATTAAATGTCTGATTTTAGTACGGTATTGGCGTTCAAAATGTAATTTTAAAGCCTTAAACTTTTAAAATGGGCTTAAAACATTAAAAACAAGCCTAAAACTCTCGAGTACGTCATGACATTTAAAAAATGTAATTTTTAATTACTCGTTCTATATAAACCCGTTGCGTGATATGACATAGTGATGTTTTAAACTAATTACTCGAGTTCACAGTAAAAGTAATTGCACTTAATTTAAAATGTTTTTATTGTAGTGACATCAGTTACCTTCAATTTTTTAAATTTCTATTATAATTTTAAAACGAAACTTCAAATTTTTGGTTTAACACCTTTATCAATTTTCCTGCCTAAAATACCTACAATATTCTTTTTCGACCGATAAAGCTCAAAAATTATAATTTTTTGGCCAATTAATTTAAAAAAAAACAACTTTAGGCCCATAACACATCGAAAATACCGTTTTTCGACCAAAATCTTGCGAAAACTTTCAAATCGCCCGCGGACAAATTAGTTTAAAACAAGTTATTTACTTGCCAAACAAATTGCCTTACTCTAATTGCCTCTGTAAACTACTTATTTCCAAAAACATTGCTTTTCAACCACTCTTCCATAGCTAAAACAACATTGTGACAAAGCTCGAAAATCCAAAAGATTAAGGTCCTCGTTACCTTGAAACTTGTCATAGAATTGCTCAAACCAAACCCGCATGATGCATCTGCTTGGCTTTTAAAAGCCAGCTTAGTAGAAAATTAGTTCCGACTTACCAAAACTACTAAAATACTCAAAAAAAATAAAAAGTACAGGCTTTAAAATCTTTAAAAAGCACCAAAAGTTGCATTAAATGTTTGATTTTAGTACAGTATTGGCGTTCGAAATGTATTTTTAAAGCCTTAAACTATTTAAAAAAGTCGTAAAACATTACAAACAGGCCTAAAACTCTCGAGTATGTCATGACATGTAAAAATGTGATTTTTAATTACTCTTTCTATATAAACCCGTTGCGGTGATGTTTTAGACTAATTACTCGAGTTCACAGTAAAAGTAAACAAAGCCCACTTTTAAACTAATATGTAACATTAAAAGATAACAAAACTGATCAAAATTGATGTCATTACTAAAGTTCAATCGAAAAACAATTACAGAACCAAACATACCCATTTGCATAAAAAATTCACCCATGAAAGTAATATAACAACAATAAAATAAAACAGCGTGTCGTCTTCAGGTCAAGCTAAAAACAACAAATCCGGGTTTAAAATGTATTTACCCAAGTTTATTCATCGGCAATCAACTTATTACTCGAAATGAAATAGTCGTGTTCTTTCTCCACATCCGGCTATTTTTCATCATTTTCAAATCTGTGCTTTCGGAAGAATGCCTTTGATGAGTTTGTGTAGTAAGTGAAGACAGTCGCAAACCCCTTCTTCATGCCAGCCCTAAAATAATATCGTTGAAAACTTGCAATAATAAAAAAACTATTTAAAAACGTATAGAATAGATTTGTAGTTGAGATCAGATAATATTCAGTACAAAATAAAACAAAATTATTACAGCAAACCTCAAATTTCATCAAAAATCGTGTTGACAACAACAGATGTAAAAGCTTTTTGACTAACATAACGTTAAGCTTACTTCAAAGCGACTTGCTGAGCAATATTCAACAACAATTGTTCTAATAGCTTTGATCAACTTGAAGTTCGTACACGTATAACGCTGGCTCTTCAACCTCAATAACAAAACGATAATGCATGAAAGCAATGTGTTTTCCTGCGGCAGACTTTACAATAATATATCTTGACGTTGTGGCAAACAGCCCGGCCCTTTTCGAGTTTTCTTCATAGCCCCATTCAGATTTTCTGTACATCTCCTCCATCTTCTTGTTGAACAACTCAAAGATCCACGTGCATTGTGCTTCGTTCAAATGAGTGGCCCAGTAAAACTCGAGGTTTAGGTTTTCACTAAAATTTTATAAGTACGCATGATAAACCAACATCTCTATCAAAACGACCTTTCCTTGTCCAAAATATCAATAAATGCTGTCTAAACAAAAGAATCATAAACATTAACTTACCCACCGGCAGTTTTTAAACTGGAGGGAATGCATTTGTAATGTTCAACAGGTGAGGTCACTTTTGAAGCCTTTTTCACCACCTTCTTAGCCAAATCTCCTTGTTTCACCATGGTTCTAAAAAATTATTAGTAAAATTATAGGAAGCGTTACCTTACTTTATTTAAAAACCCACATCAAAAATAATCCAAAAAGTGTCAATTGAATAAAAAAAGATAAGATCAATTTTAAAGGATCAGCTAAAGCCTTAAATTAACAAATAAAGAAGGGTAGTATCAGTAAAAAAAGAAAATATTTTAGGATTTTTAAACGCAAATTCGGAAGAAAGTCTGTTGTCAATGTAACCCATTTCTGAACCTAATAAACTGAGTTTTCTATGGACTGTTATTTATGTAAGAGATGCCGAAACTAGTTTCGCCCAAAAAACACGCGATTACTGCGACTTGCAAGTCCAAATAACACAAAACCCTTAAAATCCTTGCTGACCGTGCGGCTAGAACAGTAAAATTCCTTCTGATCACAAACGATTACATAATAAAGATATATCTTGTAAACAAGAGATACTGCAGCTACCACAAATAGCTACCAAACCCAACTGAATCAATCCAAACTCTCACTCCTTCTTGTTCAACTCCTTCGTCAAACCTTGCCCTCTTTGTGGCATAACCTAGTGTGTAAGTTAAACCATTGCAATCTCGTTGCTAGACTCCAATCTAACTTAATAACTTAAGATATATCCAATGAATAAAACCTCTTATTAACGACTACATAGATGCTCCCAGCTTTGTCTCTAAACGTTAAAAAATAGCGCCAAAATTACTAAAAAAATAAAACTCACTTTAAGCGCCTTGACATCAGGTCGATCTTTCATCAATTCCTTGACTCTGTTAACAGCATCCGGAGTTATCGTCAAAGCTGCTTTTCGGCCCACCAACCCAGGTCGCTGGACTCCTTTGACCACACGAGCAAAAACACTCAAGATTCTACCCAATCTCATCAACAATATAAAGTTACCAACCTAAAAAAATCGGTTAAAATTGAAGGATATTAACTTTAGAAATTTACAATTCATGACTGTGTCAAGTTTCTTCTCAGTTGTGCCAAGTCTTCCTTTTTTGCGTCAAGGCTTTCTTTTAAACTTGAGTCGCCAGTTTCGTTCCAAAGCATTTTTTTTTACGAAATGACTTGTACGTTGGGTTTTGTCCAAATATTAGATTTTCATGTCAATTTTAGATTTTCATGTCAATTACTTTACAATTTTGCTTTGACTAACATATTATTAATTTAAGGTACACGAATTTTAAACTATTATTCATCCAACTGCGAATATGACGTAAGACAGATTACAAAAGCAATTCGGTTAAATTCATATCAATCGAGTTGCTTTGGAGGAAGGACTTAATTATTACTACGATGTTAAAAGATTGGTCAGACTTATGGTGAGCCTCTTTATAATTGATATTGGTTGGCATTCAGATGTGTGACACTGTTTTTTTAGATTTTGTAGTTTTGAAAAATTGGGCAATACCTTAACTTGTGTTTGTCTGCTTATCACAAATTTTCAAGTATAATGTTATCATTGGTGTTGACTACGTTTACAATATTTCTTTCAGCGTGCCGTTCCTTGCGCTCGAACACTGTTTACTAGTCGATTTATGGAACGATCTACCTAGCAGTTTCCGTCATTACGGATTGAAAAGAAACATGGTATGTTTTTGATTTGTTAGGGTTTAACCTTGAGTGTTTATTCGTAGAGTCAGTATTGCTATTTTTTATGCTTTCACATTCTTTTAATAATTTTAGGATTTAAGAAAATTAGAAAAACGTTAAGTTGATCTATTTTAGCTAAATAAGTCACGTTGTTCTATTCTGGGGGCTAGTCGTAATATTTTGGCTTAGGATTACACGGTACACGTTTTAGAGTTGTCGTCGACGGAAGGAAGAATGTTATTCTGCATTGCCGTCCTTTTTCTTGCAAACTGTTTGGTTTCCGTTAGTTGTAAGTACGAAGTGTAGAACGTCAACTACAAATGTATTAACGGGTCGTCTGTTACTAATTTATTTTTGGAGGTGAATGATATAAAGAGTTATACTGGCTATAGCAACTTTTTGTAAGTTTTTCATTGATTTGAAAAAGAAATTATTCATAAACGTTTAAATTTAAAAATTTAGTGTTATTTTTTAAAAATTTATAGCACGAAATTGCTGTTATCGGAATGTGCCGTCTAATTGAACGGGCTATGTAATGTGCTAATTTTACACCTAATTCCAAATTTTTAGGGTGAATACCAACATTACAGAGCTGGGATGTAACGTATACGTCGAAGATGTTCTTGAAAAAATGGTTTTTCGACCGGCTAATTGGAATGGTTCCAGCTGTCAATACTGTAACTACGAAGCTGGAGATTTCAGACCTTTTTATCGACAACGCTACTCAGAAATGGTTTGACATATTTGTAGCGTTGTCAAAATTCAATGGAATTCAATTTTTTGTTAAAGTCAAAATGGGTACTGTTTTGCCATTGATGAGACTTTTTCGACATCTGGATTATGGTAAGTTTATTTAAGACATTGTTATAGTGTTTTTTAGCAATATGCGTATAAGGTTAATAAAATAGTCGAAAAAATTGTCAAGTGTTATATGCATGTTTTAAATAAATCCCCGACACGCTTATAATAATTACTTGCCCCCGGGCTTGGTGAATGGGTTTGGAATATCGATATAATATGGCAATTTGTTGTGTATTATTTTGTAAATTAGGCTTAGAAATATCCAAGAAGTTATCTTTCTGTAAAGTTAGGCTTGAAAATAACCAAAAATTCAAACATTTTTCGAAATTTAGGCTTAAAGTAGTCACAAAAAGGCTTACTAATCTTTAGAAAGCGCCAAGAGCTGCATTAAATGTTTGATTTTAGTACGATATTGGCGTTCAAAATGTAATTTTAAAGCCTTAAACTATTTAAACTGGCCATTACATTAAAAACAGGCCTAAAACTCTCGAGTATGTCATGACATGTAAAAAATGTAATTTTAATCACTCGTTCTATATCTTCCATCTCTTTATTCGTACATTACCCTACTTCTCCCTATCTTACCCACCCCTACCTTATCTTATCCACCTTTAATATACCTGACATCTCAACTTGCCCACCTTATGCTACCATATATTAACCAACCATATCTTAATACTAAACGGCTCAGTCTTGCATGAACCGTCTTCTCATCTCCCCCTTAAATCCAAAATTTCACCCTAGCCTATTCATTCTTCTTCTTTATTCACTAAAAACTCAACACTTCTGAAACGGCACCATCTGATACTGTGTTCAGCTGGTTCTTTCTCTCCACACTCAATCCACTGCTTCCACTTCCCTTCCGCTTCTTCACCTTTCTCGACGACTTTGTGAAGCCTGAAATGAATCGGTTAGTATTTAAAATACATAATAACTGAAAATTGTATAAAAATTATTAAGTAAAAATAAGTTTTTAGGCTAAAATTTATAGAGAGCCCTCAAAGTCTTATTTCTGAATCTGTTACTGAGAAGCTAGAAAACTTTTCTGACGACAAAATTATGTTGTTAACAGAAAATATTGGTGAGACTAAAGGTTTATCAGACAAAATTCAGAATTCGTCTTCAGAAATCATTGAATTTACTTTAATGTTTGAAAATTTAGAATTGTTGGACGAAAGTGAGTGCAGATGGGCGAGTTAAACCGCACTCTCCTCCGATCTTTATTGAGAAACAATTATCGAATTTTCATCAGTCTTTGGTGTCGCAACAGCGAAGAGCGGTTGTTTGGAGCTCGAAATTGTAATGGCCGCGATTGAACAAGTAGGTTTTTTTAGCTTTTGTTGTTTACCAGCGTTGTGGGAAGAGGGGTTTTGGATGGGGTCGTAAATGTTAAGTTAGATCAGGGTTTTCACTAATTTTTCGCAAAATTCTTAGTTTGAGCTAGCTTTGACGTCCATTTTTAGAGACGGTATTTAATGAATTTCCATTATTACAGTAGCTAAGCTTAAAACTGGCTTAATTAGGTATCCCACTATCGTAAAAGCGTAGCTCAAAACTTTCAAATTCCAACCTTAAAAACTATAATTTAAAATTTACAAAAAAAAACTCATTTTAGTTGGCAAGTTGCGAACCCGAAAAGCTCATTTTCTACTTGCCGTACAAGGATGACGTCCGTATTCCATTCACAGTAAAGACACAAGTCGGCCGTAACGTGGAAGTTACAGTAACCACTAGCCAACGGAAGCTGTTCAAAATCCGAAAGGAGTCAACCAAGAAGAACGTCAGGGAGTATGCGTTAAGAGTAAAGTGTTATGAGCAGGATGTCAGCCAACTCTTGGTAGATTTGGAATTTTTTCTTATAATTAAATACCGTTGTTTGTCTAACGGAAATCACGGAAAGATTTTAATCCCGATCATCTTCAGGAATGATGGTAGGTGTACATAATCATAAACATAATAAGTTATATGGTATTTGACCTAAAAAAGTTAAAATAGTTTGTTCTGAATACATTTTTTTCAAAAATTTACGGTTTTTCGAATAATTCATTAAAATTTTAATTATCTTTTTAAATTCTATTTCTTTTTAGAGCTGGTGGCTCAAGTTCATGACGATCCAAAAGACGACAAGAATATACAGATCTGTGGCGGTGTTGGAAACATAAATAGACCGAAGATCAACAATCAGGTAAGACAGTCTTTTTTAAATATAAAGTTTAACTTACTTTCAAGGCCGGGCGTTCCAAAAGTGACAAATACGTAATCCCCATCCCTTCCCCTACATCACCCCAAAAATTTTTTGAAAAAAAGTTTTGAATGAGTTATGGCCATCGATTTTCAAAGCTTCCGCCGATTGTCAGCCAAATATTTGATTCCGATCTCGTCAAAACTTTCAGGACCGTGAGCCTAATCCTAATTTTAGGACCAGACCAATAGCCACCTCTAGTTATTACTGTACTTTACAGTAAAACTACGAGAACTCGCTTCCTTAAGCTTTCTTTAACCCCTCCCCCTTTCCATTCCCACCCCCGCTCTTCTCACTGCCCGGCCTTGATCACAAGATACCTTTTAATAAACCAATTACATTTTAAACTAGATCGTACAGACATTTTTATTTTTAGAACCTGAACATTAAGAATTTCATTGTATGCAATATAATATCCAATTCGACAGAGAGTAGATGCTACAATTAACATCACCACATCGTCCAAGACAACAACAGACGAATAGATTTAAAGTATGCTTTTGAATTTGATCTCTTGTTAAACTTATGAAAAATTAAAATTTTCATAAATTCTTTTAAGCCAGACTTGAAACAAGGAAGACAATATGATTCTAAGAAGGATGACGGCATTTCAATATCACCACAAATTGTAGACAACCTAAAACAACATCAGATACATGTATTCGAAGAAGCGGTAAGTCTTAGTAGTAACTATCGTCGCGGCGTCACCAGCTATAGAGACCAGTCAAGAACCGTGACACCAGTTGCCACGCGCCTCGACAACTATGATTATCCGGAATTTCCTATTAACATATAATTTGCTTAAATTAACTACCGATAAAAAAGTGTCCCTTACCGTAACTATCATATTTTCAGGTAAAACCGATGCCAGTAGGTAAGTTCTACAGAAAGAAATCTAGTGTTAAATACAAAGAAAAGTGCCAAGAAGTGTACAATACGCTAAAGAATGAAAGAAAGACCAAAAAGCGTGACAAGAAATTGAGACATTTAAAACAAATTTTGGACAATCCAAACAATCTGAACCCATACGAAACTTACCTTGCCTATGGTTTCCTACTTTATGGCCTTAATTTTTGGCCGATGCCATGTCAAAGATTCATCCGACTCGTACAATTTACTGAATAAACAAACTAAAGCTACATTTGATACTTTTAATTTACCATATAACATAAATTGCAATATAAATTTCATCGTAATCAATCGTATGTTAACATGACCTATAATATTAAACTCTTGCAAATCATTAGAATTCGTATTAATTTTTACTTCTTCTAACATGTTTTAGCGAACCATGACGCGCACGATCGCCGCAACGCAGAACTCATCAATATCCCTCGCAATAGTACTGATGCATACACGATGAAAGATGTAACTCGCACGTCCACCTGTCAATCAGTTACAATAAAATCTAATAGGTTCTAAAACTTCACACGTCCTCACAAAACTTTTGAAAATCAAACTCTAACTTCCCATTCAATAAACCAAGCCTGCCAGTTCCATTGAATCCATGTCGAAGACTGTTTAGAATTTTATTTTTTTATTTAATTTATTTTTCCACCCCCCTAGTCCTAATATCCTGCCTCCCATAAACACGTAGCCGTCGTGACTTGTTCCTGTTGCCTATGTTTCGAAATTCAGAACGATTTGGCCATTCAGCGCTCAATTTGCCAAATTTTCTGAAGGCCACCAACACAGCATCTTCATCAATGTCCGATGGAACTCCTCCGACAAAGAATTTGCGGGAGAAGATCTCCAGGCCTGGGCAAATTACGCGATGATGCGTCAGTCACGTAAAGAAACCTATCAGTAAAACTTCCTCCCCTTCCATAAAACTTAGTCCCACCCTTTAACTGACCAGTACCGGCTGAACTCGCAGTAAATGTCGTTCCTCTACTTATTAGGTTGTTCACTTAATTCTGCGACCCCTCTCAAAGCAAATTTGTGGGGTAAGGGAGCACAAAATTATGTGAACAACCTAATAGAAACACAAAATACAATGCTACTTTATCATCTATTTACAATCACAAAATAAGGTTTCATGTAGATCAGGCTTCCTTGATCAATGGACGATGATCTGCGCGGTGATCGCTTCGATGGAGGATTCCCCAGCAGCTTTCACAATAGTATTGAAGGCATTCGGGATGAGGGCAGAAGAACGGCGCTGCTCTTTCGTCCGTCAATTGGCCACGGCACTCGTCACATGGCTGATCGTCCAGTACGTAGGGCTTGATCTCAACCTAAAGTAAGGTGCATTAGATAAAGTTTTTGTTAAAAATTACAAGATACTTTCAAAAACAAAAAACTTTTAAAAACTTACAACTTTGTCAATATCACCATGTTGAAGGCGGACATACTTGTCCGTAATGGCTCTCATGTAAGAGTTAAAGTCCGAAAAGACAACTCTTCCAGCTCCTTTTGGGTATTTCAAAGGCAAATCCGTATCGATTCCAGCCATTACCACATTACCATAGAGCTCATCAATCATGTGAGCTAACTCGACCGCTCGAATTGGTCTCGGTACACCTCCAATAAAGATCGCAGACCTCAAATTGACATGCATAAACGGCTGAACAACATAGTTGGCTTCGGCCAGCATCCACGGTCGTACTTGCACCAGTTTAGGTTGTTGCTGGGTGTTCATGACTTGCATAAAGTACTGATCGTCTTCAACAATGCATGCATTCCGTAGAGCATGAACACTTTGCTCCTTTTCGTAGACAATGAACACGTAACCGGGCCTCGACTTGTTCCTATTGCCAATGTTTCGAAATTCAGAACGGTTTGGCCAATCAGCGCTCAATTTGCCAAAGTTTCTGAAAGCCACCAACACAGCATCTTCATCAATGTCCGACGGGACTCCTCCGACAAAAACTTTGCGGGAAAAGATCTCCAGGCCTGGGCTGTACATGTAGAAGTTGGTTTTGTCAAGGGCTTGGCTGAAATGTCAAAATATTAACCAAAATCGACGAAATCAACTTTTAAATCACAAAAACAACCATAACACATAAACCAAAGTCTCAATTTGTCTTAAAAGCTTCAACTTTACCATTTCCCAGCCGAGTGACCACCATCAGCAGGTGACGGACTTCCTTGACATCCATCTTTATTAGGATTTTGTGGAGAAAACTCCAGAGACTGTAGACCAGCGTTTAACAAGTTCATGTGCTCAGTATACGCCGAGTGGAGCCACGGATATCCGGGTTGTGGTTGCTAAAATATGAAGTTTAGAAAAGTTTACCATTTTCACGTTCTGTCGAAAAATATTGCCTTTAAGTATAATATATTATAAAAACCACAATTTTGAGTATAAAAGCTGAAAAACAATGTTCAAAATACCTATAAAACAACAAAACATACTATTCTTCCCATGTTTAAACCCATAGCAATGTAGTAATTGTGTAGAGCTTCCAAAAATCGACGATTCAACACGTCCAAACGATCTCCACCAAACGGACATTTTGAAAAATCAACGATAGAACAAACTGAAAAAATTTTAGACTTAAAATTGATAAAAAAATTCACAGTAAAGCTCATAAATAAGTTGAAACAAAACTTCCGCTACATTATTCAAAATGCACCAAAATGTTACCTAAATTTCCAAAAAACCTTAAAAACGACCTAAAATCTATTAAAAATCTATGGAAATAACTTTTACGCAAAAAATCAAACATGCGTCATGAATTCCACAGCATTTACCTTCAACCTTGCCAAAAATTACCTAAATTTCAAACAAAAACAACAAACACTTACTTTTAATAGTCCGATCCAACTGAACCAACTTGACCAGATAATCCCTTTCATCATCAGCCAATGGCAACGCCAAATCAAGATTTTTAGTCAGCTCTCCAACCTCAATGTCCATCTCCTTCCAATTCATTTTGGCCAAACTGTCGCAAATGTGACAAACCAGCTCCATCTGTGCGTCATCCGATGGCCAATGTGAGATCATCTGATAACCACCATCGTTGACACGTGCTGGTACTCTTCCGTAGTAGAATCGAGCTCCTCTCACGCAATAGCCACGACAATGAATATCATAATTGTCTTCGAATAGGTCAATCTCGTCGCGACTATCAACATGGTGAAATCCCGGGTCAAACACGGTCGATGTAAGGCGGGGGCGTTTCACTGAAAATTAAGAACTTAAATCAACCAAAGGAGAATATCTTAAGGACGGTTTTCATTAACAATTCAATGGTTTCAACTTCAAAGACAGTTAAAAACAATCATAATATCAAACTGAAATAAAAAAACGTAGGGAAGGATTCATTAATAAAAACTTCCGTTTCTTGAACAATTTTCAGCAATTAATAGCCTTAAAGATTTATCTTTATAACAAACAGTAAAAACTTCGGCCGAACAAAAAATTTATAAATTTTTCGTCAAAATAAGAACATTGAAAAAAAATGAGCTGCGTCCACAACAAATGCGCCTTTGCAGGCTGCGGAACAAATTTTTATTCCAATTCGACTAGAAAACTTAAAATCGTTTTTCCTTCAAACCTGTTAAACATTGCTAAAAAAAATGGCAAAGAACATACTAATTTTGCTTCTCAACAACCCGGTAGCGTTGTTGTTCAGAGACTCCATGTAGGCAGCTGGGGAAATGGTAATATCCTTCTTACGTGTCTTCTTTTTCTTCTCTTTATCACCTGAAATGTGTATCAATGTTTTTGGAATTAAAAATTTTTCAAAAGTATATCAAAAAGCTATGTTTTATTAAAATTCCTCAAATTAAAGCTGGTTTCAAGCCTTTTTCGCCTAAAAAGAGATGCTGTGTTATTTAAACTTATCTTTTTAATGAATAACATCAATATACATTAGTTTATCTACTAGTTCAAGCATTAGTAATATCTAAATTATCCTAATATTCAAAATAATTAAAGATTTCTTACCTGGAAGTTCTCCAAACGGGTCAAAATCCATGTTGCTATTGAGGGTGGTGAAGGTTTTCGAGCAGGTTAATGGCTTGAGATCGGGTTTCGGGGCACAGTAAGTGATAGTGGTGCTCTTTGGTAAATCACTAGTATCCCCCTTCTTGTCAATCATCGTACTCTCTTCAGCGTAGTCATCCACCGACTTCAGATCCTTGATGACCTTGTTGAAGGCCAGCCACCTTCTGGACTTGGCCTCGGGCGGGGTAATCGGGCCCGGACGAAGCCAGGAATCATGGTAGACACCAGTCCGGTTCTTGCCTCCAAACTCACGGTACGGCTTCAGTTGAGCAATGGACTTTTTGCCACTTTGCTTGCGACGCTGAATCTCCCAATCTTCTGTTTGGGTTTTGTCATCCACGACTTGGGGTGGATCACGCCACGAACTCAGAATGTTGGTACACGGCGCGTATGATTTGATCGGCGGCACGTACTTGGGTACTCTGTCAATCGGGAAACGCCTGTCTTGAAAACTACGCGTGTTCTGAAAAATTTTAATATGAAATTTTAAAATTTCGCAAAATCTTCCTTAAACCTAGAGATTTTCTTCTCGGGCAGGGTAAGATCTTGTGGATTTTTACTAATGGAGTTATACAAATAAGGCCAGACATAGACTTACCATACTAAACGCATTGTTCGAATTCAACGTCGCACGCGGCTTCGAATGGTCGGAACTCATGACGATCCGACTGATCACAACGGTGGCTTGTGGAAAAAATGACCAATTTTCAAAATTTCAAATTCTTTTCATAAAAATAGAAAGAATATTGAAATTATGTAAATTAAAAAAATTATAAAATTGGTGTGAAAAATGTTTAAATGTGCACAATAATATCTACAAAACACATTTATACCATTAAAAAACAGCTTAACAGAACAAAAAAATCCAGAAATTGTATTACGTGCACCACCGTTTCCAAAACGTACCATCGTGCTCTGAGTCCAATGCCAACTTTATTCTTCCCGTTCTAGAAGTTCTGGAAGCAAATGACAATCGACTTGAAGGGTGACTTTCTTCTTCAGGGCCAATACATTCTCCTGATAGTATTGACGCTGCGTACAATGTGGGTCCAGCCAACGTATGTATGCTTCAGAAACAAGAATTTCGGCTAATGAAATCACAAAAATTCTGATGCCCGTACACTTTAAAGATAGGAGACACCACTAACGATAATTGATTGGTTTCTACATTTGGTTAATAATCGTTTACTGTACTAAATTTCATTTATAACTGCCTTCTTTTGTTTTCGATACTATACAGTTAAATTTATTGAATCAGTGTTGCTATAAAGATTATTTAGTATCATATACCGAGCAAAAAAGTTGAGCCCGGCCCCTTTATAGGTATACTTACCTTCGAGTCAAATCCTTCTTCTCGCCTGGCTTTCTTTCGTTTTCGTGACGGGACCAAACGGATCGCGGGACGTTATTTTTTCAGATATAATTTTTTTGAAGTTTTACTTATAATTATATTGCATAAGTTATAACTACAAAAAACTGATATTTTAAAGTCAAATGTATTCGTAAGTTATCAAGATATGGATAGAACGTCTATATTACTTATTTTTTATAAATTTTTGTTTTCAGATCGGCGAAGAAGCCTGTCTTTTTTTGGAATCGGTTTATTCAATTCCAAGCTGTATTAATAGCTACTGGTGTCGCCTTCATAGTTTATGTTTTGTTGGTAGTTGCGCGACAAGGTCCTGGAAATAGTCTTCTTTCGGTAAGTTATTTATTTTAAGTTTTCAACGTTTAGATTTCGTCTTAAATTATGTAAGGTATAACTGACGTTTAATGTTGTTTTAGAGTGAAAACAGTCTTGCTTTGCAAAGAAATGAAGAACAATATTTGGCCGACATAGCGCGAATGATGTATGAACAAAATCACTTGGAGTTTAGGCTTTTGACTGAAGAATTGAACAAGGTAACATACTTTATATTAGGATTGATTGAAAGTTTAGATAAAACAGGAGCTGAAGACAAGTATGGACTCGGTGGAGGACAAGATTGACAAACTAGTGGCTGAGAAAGGTGCTTTACATTTTATCAAAGTGTTTTGGGGTGGTATTTATTTTGAAGGATAACTAATCTTGCTTTAGAGGCCGCGACGACACCAGAACCGAAAACACATCTGAAGCCGAATTTTGCTCAAATCTATCTAGGTAAACTTTGGTTTTACTGTTTTAAAATTTTATAGGTGCCAAAATACACTCTCATTCGGCTTCAAATGATCCCGATGTTTATCAGTTTTTCAACATTCCATTGATGAATTACAAACGCGACCCAGATATTGTCTTACAAGTGAGTTTTTTTGATATTTTGAAGCCAAAACTTGTTAGATTAGAAAGAAATTTCTTGCATAGGTAACTGAGATTATTATAATTTCTGTGCTTAATATTTATATTGACTTTGTGTTTTAAGACTTTGTTTTCTTCACATTAGGTAATACTGTCGGAATTTTAATATTTCTTGTCTTTAGCGACATTTTTTGGTATACTTTGTTTTTATTGACTGAATGATTATTATTTTAACATGCTTTTTTAGTTTCCAAATCTAGAATTAAAGGATTTAAAGTTTTGTGGGTATTATCTCAATTTCATCAAGTAATCTGACCGTTTTTTGAGTTTTTCCTGTATAAAAGCAGCTTTATCCGAATATTTCAAGAAGATTCGGGACGATTCATGTTAATACCGGACTTGTAGAATATTTTTGAACTGGAAAATAATCTGCTTGAGTATAATTAACATTGAAATTGCGAGTAATCCGGTAAAGAAAGCTGCTATTTTTCGAAATTTTTAACAAAAAGCCGACGGATTAGGGTCGGTTAAGCTGTAAATAAGGGTAAATATTGAAATTTAGATTTATTCTTTGAGTTTTTTGTCTTTATTATTTAGAGAGGTGTTTAATATGTCCAAAAAAGGTTTTAAGCATTAAGAATGAGTTTTTTGTCATGTACAATATCAAGAGTCTTGTAACTTTATCATTGTGAAACACTGTTAGTTAAGGATTGTAAAAATATGGAAAAAATAAGATACAATAGAATAACAATATCATTATAGGGTAATGAAGAACTAACTCCGGGACTATGTTGGCGATTCGAAGGAGCACATGGAGAGATTACAGTAAAACTGTTGGAACCTGTGAATATTACTCAACTCACATATCGGCACCTCGCTCCGTATATTTTGTCAGACGATGCACCTAAAATGATCGAAGTTTCGGCTGGTTATCAACATGATTCACTATTTTTTGTTGGACAGATGATGTTTGTCGACCAGGAAGCAGATGTAGCGATGTTGCAGTTGGAGGTAGAGGAGTTTTGAAGGGTGTTTTGAATAAATTTGTTTTAATTTGGTATAGATAGGGTATTAGGCTAATTTGGCTGTTAAAATGGGGTTCAAAAGCTTTGGCACTTACAAAAATATATTGTTGTTGTTTTTTTGCTTTTTTCAATATTTTTTAAATTGGCAAGTTTTTAGCTTTAAATACTGAAACAAATCTCTAAAAGCAAGCTGATGTACCTATCTTTTAAAAAAAAAATTTCAGAAGCCAGTTATCGGCCGATTCGTCCGCTTCTCCGTCGTTTCCAACCATGGCGGACAGTTCACATGTCTATATCGATTAGGAATTCACGGCGAACGACTCACATCAGAATGAATATTCAATAAAGTTTACTGATATTTATCACATATTGGACAATGAACGGGTAAATCAGTGGTACGACTCACAATTTTAGATATTTGATGACAATATTATTATAAATAGTTTGAAACAGGATTAAATAGTATTATACATAGTTGGTCAACTTGCTATAAATGTTATTATGAAATGAAAAACCAAATTTTATCTAGGGTTTATTATGAAAAAATGGCCAAAACGTTTTGAATGAGTCGATTTTTAAAACAAAAACCAAAATTTGAGACCCATGTTAATATAGACATAATTTATATTACCTTTCCAGAGACTACAATGAACAACATTCTTACATTTACAATCGTTAAACTATTTCTTAATATACATGTAACTTGAAGCTGAGATAAGGGTTGTTTTTGATAACATGATTACTGTTGTTACTTCAACTGGTATCGCGTTCGTCGCTGCGAATCCTCATCGAACGAGCCAAACGAGTCCGAGTTGCCCAACGAGCGTTTCGAGCCCAGATCCGAGTCGACGCTGGGCAGCTTCATAATGTTCAACTGCTGGAACGTCTTCACCACCGTCTTCTTCTGCTTCATAAGGTCGCCGGCGGACCGGGCCTTGCCCACTTCACCCAACAGTTTGTGAGGTATTACTGACTTTTTGGGGTAGTCATCGAGGTCGCTGAAGTCGTTAACTGAAAGAGGATCGAGGTTAGGGATGGCATGATGAATATGCTGATGAGTAGTGTAAAACGCGAGATGTTGATATTAAAATGGATAGGGATAATGAGTTTAGGTCAAAAAGAGAATGGAATAATCAATGGGAAACTTGGTTTTTTGTTTCATGTAGTGCAAAAAGAATGGCGTGGATTATAACAAGCCAAAAATTGAGAAAACGTTATATTAACCAAGGTCAACAAAGCTCTAAACGATTAAAATTTATTAAAACTATAAAGCGACTTTCAAAAATGGAAACATTGACCAAGTAAACAACATTCTGAACACCTAATGTTAATATTCTTTTTTTTTGTTTTAATCCCCCAAAGAAAACAGCGCTTTCGAACACATTATTCATCATAGTGCACTGGATAATTTTTGGTGTTTCATGAAAAATTCGGTTTCAAAATGGAAGCGAATTCGAGAATCTTTTCAGAAAAAGCTAAAGCATAACATGAGGATTGAAAAATCTTGGTTGTTCTTTAATTTAGGTTAAAAATTAGACAGTATGGCAGCAAATAACACGGGAAGTCTTGGTATTAACTATAAAATGTGATAACAAAGGCGAAAATTTGATAATAACACTAGCAAATTGAACCAATTTTATGAACTTTAACTTTCTAAAGGTCTATCTTTAAATTTCAACCTAGTTTTAAAAAAATTTCAGTCAAAAATTATGTTTTCACAACGCCGAGATTATAGTAGACAAACACCTACTTTGACCGCTGCATGACTGTGTGGAGGAGTTGCTTTTCTGGCTTTCATTTGTGGCTTCACTGTCGGTTCGATTCAATCTCATTCCGGCCAGTTTTCGACGAAACTCCTCATCACTTCCTGTTCGTTCTAGGCCTAAAATAACGGACTTTACGTTGCTTAAAATAGCTGGACTGTTTAGCAAACAAGATTTTTTGTTTTTCCTTTATTTGGGATGAAGTCAAAGGTTTTTGTGACGAAGGAGAGGGGGATGGAGTCAAAATTTTTTTTTGAAAAGGGATTTTAAAAATTTTTGGGGAAGTCGAGGCAAGAACTTACCAAAACGAGTACTAGGTGAAGGTCCATCTAATAGCACTTCTCTTGCTTTATTGTTGAAGCCGCGGTGAGGGGCTGGGTTTCGTAGCGGGGATTCTGCTGACATTCTAAAAGCTCTACTATAATATCGGGAAAATACAGATCTTTTAACTTTTTTTTTAAATTTCTTGGGTTAATACGAGGTAATTTAAAATATTTTTTTAAGTTTTGAAATAGGCATGGTAATTTAAAAAATTTTAAGAATATACAATTAAGCCTAAGGCTATTTCTAGGCTTAGCATGAAACAAATTGGTCTAAAAAAAGACTATGGGCTTAATTATTGGAAAGTTAAGCCTATAAATTATTTTAGGCTTACGTTAAAATTGAAAATATAAGCCTAAAAGTTAGTTTAGGCTTAATACAAGAAGAAAACTGTAAAAAATGCGGATTAAAATGTGCAAATTATATTGTTATTGTAATATCAGAGAGACTACAGCATTATGCTTATGTAGGCGTCATTTCAACGAGGGCTTCAGTATTATTTGTCACAAATCCCGGGCGGATTAAAGTCTTGGAAATGTTAACATACAAAGGAGACAAATTGTTGGGATACTTGAAAATTTGATAACATTTTGAATTTTTGATTTAAAGTTTTTTTTAATTTTAAAATTATAAAAAAAATATTTTTTTCAAATTTTTGAGGAAGCAAGATGAATAAAAAGTTATTATATTATAGTAGCTTTCATGTATGATGAAGTAATTAAGAAGAAAACGTTTTTACGGTCATTGGACTAGCCTAACATAACAATTTTTATAAGAAAAAGAGAAAAACACCCCTAAAAATCAAATTGTTACACAAAAAATCAATAAAAAATCATCAAAAATATTAAAATTTAAGCAAAATCTATCAAAACTCAAGAAAACTCTCAAAGCCACACAACAACCTCAAAACATCAAAGAATGCGGAGCACGGTAAACACGGTGAATAGACGAACTGATTGCGACCAAAACAACCACATCCCCACCTATATATGCGAAAGCCCCGCCCTTAATCCGTGTCCACTTTTCGAAAGCCCCACTTCCTGAGTATTGGTAATTACCGGCCCACAAATTTCGAAAAATGGCTAGATAATCCCGAGTAGTGTCTGAAAACATAAAAAAATGCACTAAGTACTCGTACTCACCGACTAGTTCCCTCTAAAAATTAATTGTACTCATCAGGAAACGTGCTCAATTCGGTTATACTCATTGAAAGGTTGTTAAATTGATTGTAACGGTAGAGTTATACTCATTGAAATTGATTGTAACGGTAAAGGTCTAATTCACAAAGTTGATTCAGTTAAAACACTTTAGTGTAACATTAGTCAAACTTCTTTTGTATGACATTAAAGGGACATTTCCAAACCCGTCTTTATAACCAGGTATCCTACTACCCAGTACTTTTTGATAGGAGTTTTAGATATTACATATTAGGTGCCGACATAAAGAACCCGCCATCTTTTACAGGAAATTACATGCAAATTATGGCGGGTTCTTTAAGTCAGCCTCTTATAGTTGATAAGAACGGTCAAGAAGCTGTCATGACAAAGAGAATGTCACATTATAAAAAGACATATTAAAAGGTTTTCACTATAGTACCAAGTGCCGGGCCTGGGGGCGGGTGTCGAAAAAATCGGCACAGGTAGCTAAAAAATCGGCACCTATACCGATTTTTTCCGAATGCAAGAATACTGAACCAAGTATAGTAGAAATTGCACCGCAAAGTAAAGTTACATTTTGCAGTGACTATAAATTATAAAGCATAAAGTGTAATATTTAAGTGTCTTATAGTACGTCAGTCGTTCATTTAGACATGAGAAACGGGCCGGCCCGGCCCAATTTTGTTTACGTGGAAACGGCCCGGGTTCCGGCTTAGTTTTAAGGCTGCGGGCCGGGAATGAATGTTAGGCCCGGCTCAATCAAAATTTTACTCAAGGCTAGGCCGGCCCGGCCCGTTTCTCATGTCTAGTTCATTTATTATTATTTACAATAAGAAGTGGCAAGGATCAACTTTCAAAATAATCCCCAAAAACTATTTATTTAGTATATCTTGGTTAATATACTTGACCAAAATACAAAATTGCAATAATTAGAAAATGTCAAAGTGAATGCACTTTAACTTTGAGTGAGGTACTTAGACATGAACAGACAGTCCCAATTTTAAGCCCTTGTTTCTGTAGACTTGTTCACTTACTATAAAGACTAGGATAACCTGTATGAGTGGCTTATAAGTAATACAACTTAATTTTTACAGCTAATTGATCCGAATATTAAAGCCATCACTACAATGCATTGCAATGTCAATTCATACGTCATTGTCATTTTTTAACTCAAGAATGCTTAACAATTGTCTAATATTGCACAAAAAATAAATTGGTTATTAAAGAGGCTTGCTTTGTACAAAGTTAATGACAATATTAGCACAATAATAAAGACAATGATTAAAAAAATTATTTTTTTTTTATTTTTTTTTGTGTAGTTGCTCTAATTGCTTTTAGGAACAGTGTTTTGCCAGACCGGACGGACCCAACAAAAATTTTGGACCAAGCCGGACGGAATGTTGTAAAACGCTCCGGGCCGCTCCGGGCAAAACACGGTTTAGGGACAAAAAAGTTACTTTAAAAAATTTTATTTATAAAAAAAATTTGCAAGAATAGCACGTTATGGGTCAATAAGTTATATTGTTTTAAGCAGTGTTTCCACGGGCTCTGGAGCCGGAGCTAAAATTTAAAAAAAGGCGCCAAAGCTGAAGCCGGAGCCAAAAATTGTCAATTTCAGTGCAAAACACCCCCGGGGCCGGCACGCCTTCTGCTGCGGAGCTGGAGCCGGAGCTTAAATTTAAAAAAAGGCGAAGCCGGAGCTGAAGCCGAAGCTGGAAATTTGAAATTTGGAAATTCTGGTTTTAAGACAGCAAAAAATTTTTTTTATAAGGTAGGAAAAAAGTAGCGTTCACTTACTTTACTACACGATTATAGCAGATTTGTTGCATTAGAAACTGCCAGATTCACGATGAAAAAAGATGAGACAAAGAAGTTTTTTGAAAATAAGATGGCACTAGTAATTGTTGTGTGAAGAACAGATAATGACTGTTTTGCCGACATACAAAATCAGGAGTACAATATAAGATTTGTAATGTAAACAACATCATGACTATAATAATTATATTGTTTTCTTAGTCTGTTGTTTGTCATTTACTATGTTCATCCTCATCCTAGGCCAAAACAAGTTTGAAATGGACTAGTCTAAAAAATCAGGCTCGGCTTTTTACAGGTCTAACTGTGTTGGCTTAGAAAACGTAAAACTTAAAATTTTACATTTTTTTAGATAATGAGTTCATAGGGACTACAATTTACTAATGAAAACCTTACTATAATTCTTACATTATAATAATAATGGCATTGCAATACATTGTGTTATTTAAGATAGGCAGGGCCGAGCGGTAATGAGAAAAAGTTATTCGAGATAGGCAGGGCCGATAATAAAGAAAAGAGCCATGATAAAGTAAAAAAAAGAAACAAAAATCACTTAAAATTAAAAAAAAATATCTTGATCCTCCCTATGGCTTTCCTGAAAAAAATCTTAAATCTAGCTGTAAAACCAAAAAAATGTTTTTTTATGTTTACCCCTCCCTCTAAAATTTTTTACTTTCTTCTCAATTAGACTAGAGCCGGAGTGGGCCTAATGGGCTCCCGTTCAGGTATGCTCCCAACCCACGAACAATCCTATACATTCATTTTCATGCCAAGCTAAAATTTCATAGAGTTCTTAAGATAACCCTTCTTACAAGGAAAGCACCCTATCTGCCCCGCTCAGAATCAGCTCAAAATTTTTATTTGAATTCTTTGTACCACCAATAGTACCTATAAAAAGTTTTAACTTGCGCTTTTGAGTTTTAAATATGAATTATTTTGGTTTCCGCCAATTTAACAAATTTGGCATTGTGTTTCAAGCACTTTTTTGACTTTTCAAACCAACTACGCTACCTAATTTAAAAATGTAGGTTCATTTTAAGGTATTCTACTAGTTTATCTAAGAAAAATGATTAAAAGTCAAAAAATGGCAAAGTTATAAGCTTGAAACACAATGCCAATTTGGCGGAAAATTCAAAACGCCATTTTTGAACCTCGATTTTCTCGAGATTTCCTGGAAAGCGCGATTTAGTAATTTGCTGAAGGTCTTATATTTACATGATCTCTCTATATAAAAAGTTTGAAGTCAATCAGAGCAAGGCAGGTCGGGTACTTTCCTTTTAAGGTAGCCCATCTTAGTACTTTTAAAAAGTAAAATAGACAGAAAAATAAAATGACAAACTTAAAATTAACTCTTCTCTCAATGTAACATACAAATATATATCTGAAATTGTATGAAAATGTAATTATAGTCGTATTGGCTTGCGTCACACGTGTAGGGCTTTAAAAGCATCATTATTTGTGTCTAAAAAAACTGGCAAAAAATGGAGTTGAACTGAATTTATGGCCAATTTTCAAATTTAAAAAAAAATTTTAATAACAAGTATATACGAATGACAAATTACAGTCATTAAAACCACAATAACTTTACTAAAACTTATGAAACATTGCAAAAAGTAAAGTAGTAATTAAGTGTACAAGCCAAAATTATGAGAAGTGGGTTCACGGGATTAATAAAGTGATGCGATGCGGTATTAAGATGATAATGACTTTATTTACAAGAAGCAATAAGAATACGGGGATTATTACAAATCTACAACAATTCAACGACCAAAATGGCTTTCATCGCAGCTCTAAGCCTAAGAATGCTAAGCTAAAACCTTAAAACAGCACAAAATTAGCCTACTAAGCCTGAGCCTACTAAGCCTAAGCCTACTAAGCTTAAGCCTACTAAGCCTACTAATCCTAAGCCTACTAAGCCTAAGCCTACTAAGCCTAAGCCTACTAAGCTTAAGCCTACTAAGCCTACTAATCCTAAGCCTAAGCTTACTAAGCCTAAGCCTACTAAGCCTGAGCCTGATAAGTCTAAGACCACAAAGTCTAAGCTTTCTAATCCTAGCCTTATATTATAAAACCTAAGCCTACTAGACTTACGTTTCACAGCAACACAAAAAAAAAGAAAAAAAACAAGCCAAGTCAAAGATCTTTCACTACAGTATGTATCAAGTCCTGTTTGTTCAACTATCATGTACATATGAAATGGAACACGTTTATCAGCGTACTGTAGGAAGTAGAAAAGTTGGATTAAAAAAGTGCAAAAACTAATTTCTCCAGCCAAAAATTATTAAAACAAAAATCACTATTTTAACGTTTTTGGTAGATTTTTATAATACTTTTTCTTAAGGACCTAACACTAAGCCTAAGCCTAAGCCTAAGCCTAAGCCTAAGCCTAAGCCTAAGCCTAAGCCTAAGCCTAAGCCTAAGCCTAAGCCTAAGCCTAAGCCTAAGCCTAAGCCTAAGCCTATGCCTATGCCTAAGCCTAACCCTAAGCCTACGCCTAAGCCTAAGCCTAAGCCTATGCCTAAGCCTAACCCTAAGCCTACGCCTACGCCTAAGCCTAAGCCTAAGCCTAAGCCTAAGCCTAAGCCTAAGCCTAAGCCTAAGCCTAAGCCTACGCCTAAGCCTAAGCCTAAGCCTATGCCTAAGCCTAACCCTAAGTTTAAACAGGCTAAACTGAAGTCAGCTATACTTATCACAAACCTGGTACCCTTGTAATGCACAAATTGTCTACAACACATAATACCAAATGTGCTAACTTTTACCTTCTTCTATTATATATAGACTAAGTGAAACCTTAAAGTTGTTAAAATGCTCATAAACAACATCAATACCTTGTATGTTACTACATTTTTTTGATAAGAAAAATATAAAATTTCGAAACATTTTAGGTAGGAATAGTTTTTTGAATGAATTGAAATCTCATGACTTCCCGGAAACCCTCATTAGCAACCTTGCCCATGTTGGCCGTAGAAAGAAGAATTGATTAGATGTTGGTTAAGAAATATTTGTTTTTCTATCAATATTACTCATAATTACTTGATTTTAAACAAATTTTGAAACCATTTTTTCATTTTTTATAAAATTTAAATTGCTTTTATTTTGAAGGCATTCACTAGACCATGGCTTACAAGGAAGGTACCCGACCTGCAATGCTCAGATTTCGTTAAAATTTTTTTATTTGAAAGATCATATAAATGTAAGGGTTTTTGCAAAATTCTAAGTTGCGGTTTGCGGTCAAACTCGAGAAAATCGAGATCCAAAAATTGCGTTTTTAATTTCCCGCCAAATTGGCATGGTGTTTCAAGCTTATAACTTTGTCAGTTTTTAACTTTTAACTATTTTTCTTTAATATAATGATAAAAAAGCTCTTAAAGAACTTGCAATTTTAAATTTGTAAGTCTATCTTAACTGGAACATCAAAAAAAGTGCTTGCAACACAATGCCAAATTTGCCAAATTCGCGGGAAATTTAAATATATTAATTTTAAAACCGGAAGCGAAGCTAAGATTTTTTATATGTGCTACTGGTACTACGAAGAATCAGTATAAAAAATTTGAGGTACTTTTGAGAGTTGCAGGTTACGTACTTTCCTTGTTAGTATGTTGCACATAGAGAAGTAAAAATGAAAGAAAAGTTGATAAACAAAAAGTAAAATAAAACAATAAAAAGCTTATAAAAATAGACAAAATGGTAAAATGGAAAATAGAAAGTATGTGTGTAAAGCTATGATATAATCTTAAAAAGCATGTAGCACATAATGGCCTTATTTATAACATGGTAATTATTATGAATTCTAGTGTTCTAGATTAGTAAATATTATAAATGTCAGTTTTATAGCCATATAATAACGTTTTTTTGCAGATAATGGGCTTCAAAGAGATTATTCTTTAGTTTTGCATAAAAACAACTTTTTAAGCAAGTTTAACACTACTAGGCCTGAACTTACTTATCCTAAGCCTAAGTTATAGCCTCAAGGTGCGTGGGTTGGGCGGTGCGCGGGATCGAACCAAAGTCATCAATACCGTCTATACCTGCCTATAAAGCCTTAGCCTACTATGTCTGAGCCTACTAAGCCTAAGCCTACTAAGCCTAAGCCTAAGCCTACTAAGTCTAAGCCTACTAAGCCTAAGCTTACTACGCTTAAGCCTACTAAGCCTAAGGCTACTAAGCCTAAATATACAAAGCCCACAAAGCATGGGCCAATTAAGCCTAATCCCACTAAGCTTAAGCTTTCTAAACTTAAGCCTATTTTGCTTTTTTTATTTTTTGTGAGGTCTGTTTCCCAAGCCCTTCTGCTTTTTTATTTTATAACTGTTTAAATAACTTAAGCCTACTACACTGTAAATATTTCACGACACATCTTCTAAACACAATATGCACATATGCTTTACATTTACAAGTTTGCCTCGGGGGAGTTAGAATCACATCATATTTGGGGTCGGATTACGGAGTAAAGGTTGAAGTTAGACAGGAAGTAAAAGCTTTCCTGCTTGTTCAATATTAAAATTTAATTTTTAAGCTTATTAATCAATATACAGTAAGATATTCTTGCAATAAGACAAACAACAACTAAAGAAAATAATAGTAAAGTAAAACGATTTTACTACGGTAACAATTGTTGTATAGTACAATAAATATTGATTCACTAGTAGGTACCGACATAAAGAATCCGCCATACTTTGCCTGTAATAACCTGTAAAAAATGGCGAGTTCTTTATGTCGGCACCTAACTTTAAAGTAAATATTGCTGTACTACTACAGTAGATATTACCGTACTATCTGTTATGGCGTTTTAAGTATTTTAATCATATTATGGTAGATAGTCAGATTATAATATTTAATACAGCCATATTATATTAGTCTAAGCTCTATGAAATGGCAATAAAAACAGTGGCATCAGATTAAAACGGTCAAAAAAGTCTTGTCGCCAATACATATTACGTTAAAAGCTTTGAAACGACAAGACTTTTTTTTAGCAAAACAATATACATTTTTAGGACCTATATTACTATGTAAATATAAAGTACTACAAACTGCTAATCTCAAGTAATATGCAAGTATACCTTTGCAATAATATCTCTTAAATCTTCCTGTCTAAAGCTATCATAACATGGACGTCACAGACATTAGATTCGTATTCATGTTTATCATAAAGATACGAGGACAAATGAAGTAAATTCAAATGGCTTAGTACGTAATTTTAAATAAAAAATAGAAAAACATAAATTAAAATTTTTTATAATTTTGAGCTTATAGTTAGGTTTATTAGACTTAAATTTAGTAGGATTAGGCCTGATAGCCTAAATCTGGATAAAAACTTTTGAGACTTTAGGTTTAGGTTTAGTAGTTTTATTCTTAGCAGGCTTAAACTTCGTAAGCTTGAACTTAGTAGACTTAGGCTTAGCAAACTTAAGCATACTACGCTTAGGCTTAGAAGGCTCAGGCTTAGTAAGCTTAGGCTCAGTAGGCTTAGGCTTAGTAGGCTTAGGCTTAGTAGGCTTAGGCTTAGTAGGCTTAGGCTTAGTAGGCTTAGGCTTAGTAGGCTTAGGCTTAGTAGGCTTAGGCTTAGTAGGCTTAGGCTTAGTAGGCTTAGGCTTAGTAGGCTTAGGCTTAGTAGGCTTATGCTTGGTAGGCTTAGGCTTAGTAGGCTTAAGCTTAGTAGGTTTAGTTTTACTAGTAAGCTAGACTTGGTAGGATTAAAAGTAATTCCAGCACTTCAGAGCTTATATTACAATAGATATCGCAACAGATAAAAAGTAGTCCTTCGCAGTAAAATAAACCTAAATCCCAGCACTCGCAGTCATTTTTTGGGTCGTTTTACATCGAGGCAAATATTATATAAAACTACAACATTACACAAGAAAACGTTGCGTAATATCATTTATTGCTATTTCTCTAAGGCTATCTAGTTATAGCATCAATATTAGGTAATGCAACACTATTTTTGACGAAACAATTTATTGAGAAAATGATGCGATATAGATGTAGGCCGCTGAGCAGAGTAGAAGCAGAATGATTTATGTGTGATACTTTTAGAGATTGTAATTAATAGGCTTAAGATTGGTATTTTTAGGTTTAGTAGGTAGGCTAAATAGGCTGAGGCTTAATAAGCGTAGTCTTAAGGATTTTAGGTTTACTACATTTAGGCTCAGGCTTAGTAGGCTTAGTAGACTGAAGTTTTAAAAAAATCAATAAAAACAGCAAAAATTTTCAGAAATTTCAATTTCCTCGCCCAAAAATCCTTCATTTTGCTACTTTTCCACAATCGTCGACCGGTTGATGTGCTTGATCGCGGTTTATGTGTTTTCCTAAAACGTATAAGCCTAAAACTGTAGTCAAGAAAAGCGACCATCCGCCAAGGTTTCGTACGAAGGAGGCCGCTCCACAACCCAGCAACAAAACACCGCCGGGGCTGTTCGCCACGGCCAAGCCCGACAAACAGCCGAAGCACAGCGCCGAGGGGCAGCGGATCCTGCGGAAGAAGGGCAAGAAGGCCAGCAACAACAAGGTTGATCGCAGCGACGCTGCCATGCAACGCAAGAAAAGTGAGTTAAGGCTGTTTTTAAGTGTTAGAGGTGGTATTACCTTGTTTTTTCGAAGCTTTGTCATAGCCAGGTTTAGTCTAAACTTAATACTAAAACTTGAGCCTAATAAGTGTAAGAAAAGTCAACAATTCTTAAACTTGAGCTTAGGATACGTAATTTTAAGCCTTCTAAGCCTAAATATACTAGGGTTATTGAGCCTACTATGTCTATGCCTATTAAGCTAAAGCCTAGCTATTTCAAGGCTTTTAAACTTAAGCCTTGCAAGCCTAAGCCTTTTAAGCCTAAGTTTTCTAAGCCTAAGCCTTCTAAACCTAAGCTTTCTAAGCCTACGCTTTCTATGCCTAAGCCTTCTAAGCCTAAGCCTTCGACGCCTAAGGCTTCTAAGCCAACGCTTACAAAACCTACGTTTACTACGCCCTAGCTCAGCTTACGTCTTCTAAGCGTAAGCCTTCTACAGCTAAGCCTTCTAAGCTTAAGACTACTAAGTCTGACACTACTAAGCCTAAAATTAAGGTAGAGCTAAGACTTATACAATTTTAAGTTTTTAGGTTTGTTTTTAAACATAAAATTTAATTTTTTAGGAAAGCACGTAAAGAAGCCGCCTCCCCAGTTCGATCCTCAAAAAATGCCAGATCCGGTGAGTTTGGTCGATTCCCGTGGCCATCGCCGACGACCGATGACAGCTACACACGCTTCAACCCTGACCACCAGTATCGAGCACGACGACACGCTAACGGACCCGGAATTCAGCCAAAGCCGCTTCACTGGACGAGAGAAGAAAGACGATCGTGTAGAGCCACTCAAAGACAACAAAGAAGACAAATCTTCCTACTTGTAATGATAAACTGCTTTTTCAATTTGGTTTTGAACTTTCTTTGTGAATTTGTAATGAAGTTTATTTTTTGGTATAGTTTTTTTGATATGATCTTATGCTTAGCTTAGGCTTTGTAGGCTTGAGCTTAGTAAGGTTATGTTTGAGTATATAAGGCTTCGGCTCAATAGGCTTAAGCTTAGTAGGCTTAGGTTTAGGTTTAGTAGGCTTAGGCTTAGTAGGCTTAGGCTTAGTAGGCTTAGGCTTAGTAGGCTTAGGCTTATTAGGCTTAACCTGTAGATTTGGTAAGCATATAATTAGCCTGTATTTCTAAAATATTTAATACAAAAAATTTAACTTTTTTCCAAATTTAAAAACTTTTTATTTAAATACTATGCAAATTTCGACAACATTCGAATTTTCAAAATCGAAGACTTCGAGGACAGCCCATTCCAATTCGCATTCATTCCGCTTTTTACTCATTTTGTTTTTATTTCGACCCGTATGAGCAGTTTGTGGTCGTACTGCTGATCGAATTAAACATTGATTCCTTGGTGTTCTACGCGCGATGTCCGGAGAATCTAGTCTGCGGAAGTTGAGCATCAACATTAGCGAATGGGCGGATTACAAAGCAGGCGACGAATTCCCGGATCCGAAGTGGGTTTTTGAATTTTTTGAGATTTTTTAAATTTTATTTTAAAAATTTAAATTTTAGGTAATAACATCAAAATTTTAGGTAGTAAAATCAAAATTTTAGGTATTAAAATCAAAATTTTAGGTATTAAAATCAAAATTTTAGGTATTAAAAATCAAAACTTTAGGTAATAAAATCAAAATTTTAGGTATTAAAATCAAAATGTAAGCCCCAAAACTCAAAAACTAACCCTCCAAGTTTAGGAAACTAGTTCCAGCATTAGATCGTCCGTTGCGCACGTCATTCGGTTCACAAGAGCAGTACGTCGCTTTATGGTATCGGCACGGGCACCCGGTGATGGGCAGGGTATGGTCATATAACGGCCGGATCGAGGCCTCCTTCTCGGACGGCGACAAAGAATTCACTGGGAAATCGGTCGGTTCGCTTCAAATCCTCGTCAAACCATTAAAAGACCAATGCGGTTTCGCCTACTGTTGGCGGCCGATCGGCGACGTCTCCCGCTTCGACAACAAAGATCATCTTCCTGTTCACATCAACTTTGTCACTCCTTGTATCCTGACCACGCCGGAAGGCTACGAAACATTAGGTATGTTTTTATGTTGTTTGGATTGCTTGGTAACATAAAATGATAGATTGGCTGGTTAGGCAGCCGTTTTTGGTCATTTGGCCGCCGTTTTTTATAATTGGCAGCCGTTTTTATATACTCATGTTTTAAATAGTTTGTAAGCTTTATTTCTGTTTAGATTTTATAAAAATTACAAGAAAGTTATTAATTTTCACAAGATACACCTATTTTAATATTATCCATGACATGTCATTGTCGTTGTTTGAGAAAAAGTTATGTATCTCTGCCAATTTGACAAAGTTAAAACCAAATAAAAACAAATGTAAACATTTTGTTTTATCATAAAATTTAAAAAATTTAAAACTTTTTTATTTCAGGCGGAGCTAACTTAAAAGAAGAATATGCGTTGTCAACAATTAATGGACATGTCATAAGATACTCGGGAAAACAATTGCAAAATTTTAACATCTTATGCAGGAAGCTATGCGACGATACGATGCAAATCTGATTCTTATTGTAGACCGTATTTGGATAAATATTTCTGCAGGGTTTGAGTGATATTGTAGCTTGTTTGTAAGGGGTTGGAACTTGGAAAAACATTTATTTTTGATGAAAAATATTGCTTTTTTTCACTTGTGTGCAACAATACATTTTGTACACGACCCAATTGTACTCGTTTTTCATTTAAAAATCGCCTCATTTTATTTCGAATAACTTTGGCACACTTCGCTAGAAAAATCCATTTGACACTTCGCTCTCGTGTGATATTTTCTTTTTCTCGCGAAAATGTTGAGAAATTGCGAATAATGGGTAATATTCTAGTTGATTCAAGTGAATTCCTGCTATCACTTACTTGAATTATGTCACGGATGTCAAAGAAGCGATTTATGACTAAGAAGCTGGATTCTGAGTTCATTTTCCCCGAAGAAGATCAACAGATTGGACGGATCATCTCGTCGAAAGGTCGTGATTTGTTCGAAATCGAGGATCAAAATGCTCAAGTGTATTTGGCCAGCATGCCGACCAAATTCCGGAACACGATTTGGGCGAAACGTGGTCAATATGTCTACTTGTTACCAATTGAAGAGGGAGATAAGGTGAAAGCCGAGATTCAGCACGTTTTGGACACGGAAACCGTGCTGCACCTGCGTGAGCACAAGAAATGGCCGGAATACTTTGAAGAAGAAGCCGTCAAGCTCTCGAGGGGATTCAAACGTGGTGGAGGTGAGAATGTGATAGACGACGACATGTTACCTCCAAGTGAGTCAGATGGAGAATACGAAGACGAGGACGGGGATTTTGAGGACGAAGAAGATATAGAAGGTGAGGAGGATGATGCTGAAAGTGAAGAAGAAGTTGGTTTTTCCACTTTTAATCCTAATAGAGCAGCAGCACCGTCGGATTAAAGTTCTCTTATCAATATGAATAATATAATCGTATGTTTGGTTGGTGGGTAAGGAAAACATTCATTTTTGTTTTATTTTTAGAGAAATTTTTTTTGGAAAACAAAACTTAAAACACAGTTTTTGTCAAGAATAGTTTTACGCTAGAAAACCTATACCCAGCGCCAATATACGTCGATCTGATCTACACCATCAGATGTTGTTTATGTTTTGTATTCTTTCGTTATCATATCACAACTTGTTATTGAATTGTTGATTTTTTCGGGATGATTAAACTTTGAAGAATTTCTTATTCGACCTGATTTGTTCTCTTGCAGTTCCTTCGCTCTGCTTTCGATATTTTAATGAATCAAGTTTTGGTTTGATCTCTCATTTTTTCGCTGTTTCCCTTGATTTAGTTGAACGTTTTAGGTGATAATGGGAAATAATAGTACGTCGTTAATGCTCCAGGATGAGGAGATAACAGAGATTGCTGATGAAACTGGATGTAAGTTGTTTTTTGTTGTATTTTTTTGATTTTTAGGAGCTGTTTTTATGAGTTGAAAGTTTAAGGTGAATGTTTTTGCGACGAAAAATTGTAAATTAGATAAGAAAATGGAGACAAGTTTATTTGGAACAGCTATTTATAAACACTACAATGTTTTATAGATAAACTGAAACTTTTTTTTGTTTTTTGGTAATTAAAATGGTTTTTTAAAAATAAATTTACTATTTCAGTCTCAAAGAACCAGATTGTGCGTCTATACAGCAGGTTTTTGTCGTTGGATCGTCAAGGCAGAGGGTATTTGGATAGAGAAGACTTTTTACGAATCCCAGAGCTTGCCATAAACCCACTTGGAGATCGAATTGTTGACGCTTTCTTCACAGAATCGTATGTTGTTATTGTATTCTTTTATGTTATTGCCATGGGTAGAAAATTTTAAAATTTTGTTTGTTTTCGAGCACTTGACCGGAAATATTATGTATTACAAGCCTTTTCATAGTGTAATTTATTCAAAATCTTAAGCCTGGCTGATTGAATTATGTCGTTTTTAGGATAAACCACCCAGAACTCACGAATCGAGCCTACCATGATACCGAAGCTGAAAGCAAGATCAATTTCCGTCAATTCGTCCGAGTTTTGGCTCATTTCAGGCCAGCAAACAAGTCACAGAACGATGGGATTAACAGTCGGCAAAACAAACTTCGATGTATGTTATTATAAGGCTGTTTTAGGTTAACATGATGTTATTGTAAACAAGTATGTACATGTTTTTGATATTTTCGAGGCTTTTTAGAAAGAAACCTTTGAGATTTATATTTTTTGGAAGAAATGTGTAAATAATGACTTTAGAATTGGTGAATTCTAAGGTTTTTTGACCGCATCTCTAACCTTTACCTGAGGAAAAGCATGGTAAATCAAAGAAAATATAAAAACTTATTTCAGTTGCCTTCTCCATGTACGACCTGAACAAGAACAACTACATAACGAAGGAGGAGTTCAAGTTCATCTTGAACATGATGGTGGGCAGCAACATAACTCCCGACCAACTCGACTCTATCGCCGACCGCACCATCACCGAAGCCGACACGGATAAGGATGGGCGGATTTCGTTCGAAGAGTTCTGCAAAGCCATGGAACGCACCGACATCGAACAGAAAATGTCCATTCGCTTCCTGAACTAATCTTATAAACTTTTATCAAAACTGTATATTACTGTAGCTGTAAAATGTGATATTTTGGATTTCGTTGTGATACAGAACATTAAATTAACGAGTTCTTCGCTCACACAGTATTGGATCCGTGTTGTGAGTATGTTGTGATATATAACTACGAGTTTTAAAGGTTCTACCAGGCCCATGATCTCATTGTAAATAGAAGTCGCGTAATATCGGGGTAAAATTAATAGAATGGCAAAGAAAATACCGTCAAGGTATGTTTATCAAGTTTATACTAAAGAAGTAACGCAAACATTGAGTGGTACCTTACATTAAGCTAAAATATGAAGCTATTAACTTTCAGTTGGATCCCCTTTAAGCCTTTGAGCGATCAAATCGAAGGTACTCGATTTATTGCCTTTAAAACACCTTTAAGCGAAGATCGATTTGAAGGCAGCAGTCTGGACGAAGATGAACAATTTACAGTAAATGAGTTGGTCAAACAAGTATGTTGTATAATATTAAATTTATTACTACAACTTGATGTTACACCTGGAATATTTGATCAGTATGACTGACACTTGATATTTATTTACTTTTTAATAATTTACCTTCAAAATTTTAATAAAGCTTTATATTTCATAATGTTTTAGGTCTCTGCCAAAGGAAACAAGTTAGGACTGGTTGTTTCATGTTGTTCAAGGCTGCTTTACGATCCAGAAGAATTAGAAACGCATGGAATAAAGCATGTACAAGTTGCACATGTCCTGAAAGAGTCGGACAAAGCGATTCGTACGATAAAGCACTTCTTGGACAAACATCCTGATCCTGGTATGATAATATTTGTTTTTAAACTTTTGATCTAGAACTCTAGAATAACCGTCGGCTTTTTATAATTAGGCCTATGTCAATGTATTTACAGGAATTCTGGTCGGCTTTCACTGCCTACACGGCCTGAATCGAACCGGCTTCCTCGTATGCTCCTACATGATCAAAGAAATGGGATTCGAGCCAGAAGAAGCCATTTCTCGGTTCGAAACAGCTCGAGGACACGAAATAGAGACTACCAAATCTCACATCAGACGTTTGAAGTGATTTGGAATGATTATTTCCCCGGAATGATCATGCCAGGCGAACTCAAATAGCTAGGTGTTCAGTGAATTCTAACGAGTATTGTCGTGCTATTATGATCGATTGTGTTTACCTTTTTGTTTTTAATTTGTATGATGACATTGACTAAAAACAGTTATATTACGTTATATTATAAGTATAGAGTCCAAATGTTTGATACAAAAAGTTTATTACATACGAAAGTTGTTTTTATTATATTTATTCTTGTTATATTATATTGTTGTTGTTTATTAATATTAATTATTATGTTTTCAAAAATCCGGGTTCAAAAGTGCAGATGGGATGAGTTCCCTCAATCGTCGTCTTCTCTCCACTTCAGCTGGCTCCAACTTCTCAAGCGACCGATAATAAGTTGTTGCAAATGGGTTTTTTATTGGTGGTGGTGTCCGTCTCCAGCGATTGTATGGAATATCGGCCGGTAACAGTGGTCCATCGTCGGTGTCCGTGTCTCCGAAGCCATGTCTTCGGAATAAGGCGCGAATCTTCGGGTCTGTTTCTCTATGATCTCCTTCACCTAAATCTAGTCGTTCTTCTATCTTGTCTTCTGCTTTTTCATGTTCTTTTTTATCTTCCTTCTGGTGTTTCATGGCTTCTTCGTTGTGATTGGGGAGATTCCGATCGTCTTCCATCATGGCTTCATCGTCGATATCTGGCTGTTCATGTTCCTCGTCATCCGTGTCTTCATCACTGTTTTCTTTGTGTTCCCATTGTGCCATTTGGTCATCCAATTCTTGTATGTCAGCCGTTACCCATTCTTTCACTTTTCTTTTGTATTCATCAGGATCAAGTTTTAGTGCTTCTAGGTCTTCGTATGTCAACATCTCATAGTCGTCTGATTCGTTTGCCATTATTTCAGCGACTTCTCCACCTTCTTCGCCCAATTCAGCCCCATCCACGTCAACGTACTCCGATTCTTCCAGGTTTTCCGACTCATCTTCTGTGGATTCTGTGTCCTCAACATCGATTTCTCCCTCGACCACTCTTTTTACATGCTCATAAATGGCATCCAAGCCTTGAACCATCAGCTCAGAATCCATTGGATAGCCTAGTTTCTGTAGCGTGTTCTCCAGCGTTTCGTCGATCTCCCTAAAAATCGTTTTAAGCACTTCACTGAACTCAAGGTCCAGTTCTTCATCGAAGGTCTTGTATATTAGTTTTTCGGCTACTATATTCCCAAAAACGTTTAATGGTTCATATAAGTAATGCACTTCCCTAATATAGTCCCCTTCTACTTCCCTATATACTAATGTTTTGTAGTCGAGATCAACGAGTGATCTCAAATAATATCTTTTAGATGCATTTTCATAATCAATAACTTTAAACTCTTTCTGAATCCCATTGTAGTATAGGCCGTTTGTTGGATCGGCGTACAATGCGCTCACTTCGTCCAGTATCGTTCGCTCTTTGTAGTAATGGAAGTGGTCTCCAAAAGTACTGTCTTCTTCTTCTTCGTCGTCTTCTGAGTCGTTGGTTGGGGAATGAACAATAAAGTTTTCATCGTCCGAGTCGTCTTCATTGAAATCATCTGCGTTCCTACGCCTCGGTTTGTCTTGATTTCCTGGTTCTGGAGTTTCTACGACTTGTTCGAAACCTACCTCATCATTTTGATTTTCTTCATTTTCATCAACTTCATCAGCCTCATCAAATACATATTCACCTTCACTACCCATATTTATTTTTACAAAACCTACCTCAATATTTTGATTACCTAAATTTTGGTTATTTTGACCCCTCAAACCTTGCTCTCTATTTAGCTGGCCCCAACTTACCTCATCTTTCTTTACCTCACCTTGGTCCAAGCTTACCTCATCTTTCTTTACCTCACCTTGACCCAAACTTACCTCATCTCTCCTTACCTCTCCTTGACCCAAACTTACCTGCCCATCCCTTACCATTGCACTTTCATCCAAGTTTGCCAGTCCATTCATTGCCATTTCACGTTGATTCAACTCCACCTGTCGTTCCAATGTCATGCCATCTTGTTTGAATCGTTTGGGAAGCGATTCCAAAGCTCCAGGTACGATAGGGTGGATTTCAGCTTCAGTAGCAGTTCGTTTCTTGATGTCGAAAGGGAAGGATTTGGCTAGATCTTCGTTGGAGTTCATTGTTTTAACCTGAAGTATTAGAAATTTTTTAAAATTTAATTTTAATTTTTTAAAAATTCGAAAAAAGACTGATAAAGCTAAAGATAAATATTCAAATTTTAAAATTTAAATAATTAATTATATGTGGCTACAAAACTTGAATTAATCTACTAGTAAAGACAACAAAGAAGGTAAAAAGCGGCGATAAAACAAAGGTTTTTGGCTTTATAATCATATATCACTGTATAAAGTTTTGGCGGCACTTTTGTCAATGTTAATATAAAAGAAAACCGGGTCTTTAAAATTGGTTGCAAATGTCGTTGTCTTATTATTTTTTAATGTTTCGTTAAAAAAAGTATAGGAAAAGACGAAGAATAATTAAGAATACAGTAATTTTGGCATCTACTACGACATTTTTAAGTTTGAAATATTTTAACAATAACTGACATTTTATAGCTTTTGTGGTATAAAAAAATGTATTTTACAGCTAAAGAACTCTACTGGAACCTCATAAGTCTAAAATCAAGAATCAAGGTTGTTTAACGTAAGGTAAGCATACCAAACCAAAATCTACTAGTTGCAAGCTTGCTAAATCAAATACATATATTCTTACGCTTAAACCACTGCTTCATAACATACGTTTTATTCTTAAGCTTAAAAGTACTATTTTATATTATACTCTAATAAAAATTACCGTATACAACATATAAACTTACTATAAAGATTCAACAAGGAACGGAGTAACAGTTGAGAGCGTAGTAATCACAAGCAGCTGAGAGCGAAGTCGACCGTCAAATCGACACACAAGCACAAGTGAAGAATCACTGGCACTGGTCAGCCTTTTATAAGCCAGCCCATCCGGATCAGTACAAATTTTTCGCTACCTCCGGTAATGAAACCAGTGGTTTGGTAGCAAGTGCCAGTGGATTGCGTAAGCCTAAGGGTCACAGGTCAACGAAAATTAATTGAGGTGTGTTGTCCAACACTGGTCATGACCAGTGGATCCGCACACATTTTGTTGGGTAACACTGGTTAGGATCGCACAAATTTAACTTTACTATGTTTTTTATATGAGATATGTTTAAAAAATGCCGATAGGGTAAATTTGAGCTGGACAGGTTATTTGCGAAAGGAAGGGTAGAGCAAAAGAATACAGTATGACATCGATTTTCAGAGTGCTTTTTAGAAATTATTTTATAAACTGATGACAAATCACACAGTAACGTAGAAGATATTGTTGGTTACATTGTAAAATCATTGTAAAAATTGTTACATTGTAAAGATTTATTCATATTATTTCAATCTTAACTTGACATCTTGTAGATACTGGCACATTCATAAAAGTAAAATGTTACCGTCCACCCGTCCGAATGTAATGACTCATACAAGTTTTGATAATTTCGTCGTAAACTTGAGTCTTGGCATTTAGACCCCAAATGAAGTCAAAGTGATTAAAGTTCTCCATAGGCTTGATTCGCTTCAAATATTCTGGCTTCATCTTGTCCAAAATTGCTACCTAAAAGCAATATCAAAAAGTCACAAAAATTAAAGCTATTATAATATGTAATCAACATTGGGCTATAAGTTATGAGTGCCGACATAAAGAACCCGCCATTTTTTACATGAAATTACAGGCAAAGTATGGCGGGTTCCTTATGTCAACACCTAATACTTTAGTCTAAGGAGAAGAGATCAGCCATAGTTTTTAAAAAGGCTGGTCTACTTTGACTGGAACGAGCCAGACAAGGTAAATAAAACCAGAAGAAACATTGTTATAAATAAGAAGAGAAAGAGAGAATGAGAGAAAGAGAGAGAGAGAGAGAGACAGAGAGAAAGAGAATGGAGATCAGAATAGGGTAAAAAACTATTGAAAAGTAACAATATTTACCTTGACATCAGTATCATCTGCAATCCAATCAGCTGGACTATAATATAGATAAGTTGGTGTTCTTATCTGGCTCAGGTCGTATTCTGGTGGTGTGTCCTGTAATGAGTACGACATTGTAAAAAGGTTCATTTCAAAAAAATTTCAATAACTATTTTTAGATTTTTGGCTAAAAATACGTATGCAAGTCTCTTCTGCCTTAAAATCAAAAAAAAAATTTAAAAAACTTTATTCCACCCTCCCTATTCAGACTAAACTCAATCCAATTCAGACTAAACTCACCTCGCCTAGCAAAAACATGGCTATAAAAAGAAGGTCAGACTAAAACACATACCTGCCCGTAATGTTGATAGTTCTTCCTGGCCGTTCCGTAATCGTACTTCAACGTTCTGTTGGTTTGTGTCAATTGAACCCAATGAACAAAGTTTTGGGTTGAAGTGCCAGCTGGAGTATGCTTCATATATACCATCAGACGGGACTGAAATTCCCTTTTTATTAACTAGTAATATAATATTAAATTGTAAATTGCTAAGCCTAAAAAGGTTAGCTTAAACTAACCAAGCATGAGCCAAAAAATAAAACAACCTAAGCCTACTAAGCATAAGCCTACTAAGCCTAAGCCTACTAAGCCTAAGCCAACTAAGCCTAAGCCTAAACCTACTAAGCCTAAGCCTACTAAGCCTAAGCCTACTGATCCTAAGCCTACTAAGCCTAAGCCTACTAAGCCTAAGCCTACTAAGCCTAATTCAACTAAGAATAAGCCTACTAAGCCTAATTCAACTAAGAATAAGACTAAAAGTACATACTGATAAAGCATACCGTGTTGAACTGATTACTCTCTGGTCCAGCAATTTGAAATAGTATGTTATCACACAATGGATTCGTATATTTACTGCCACATACCAACTCTGCGAAGATTTTTGATAAAAAATTACTTGGCAGAAACTCATGACTTCCAAATAAGGTAAACAAAACCTTAAAATTATAATAATAAACTTCATAAGACAGCTCACGTTCAACATTTTTCCAAAATGCCTTCCAAGAAAAGCTAAAACACCGTGCAGTTCTGATACCGTGGCTACTGGAGCTAGTGCAAAGAACTTTTTGATCTGAAAATAGCTTTTATATTATTGTATTTACATTTTTAGATAACTGGTGTAATTTATCCTTAATTTTTGTTGATTTGAAACTGTCTAAAATTTACGTTTCAGCGTATAAAAATACGAGATGTACTGGCGGCGAACTGCTAAAAGAGATAATTTCTTAAAACAAGGTTGTTCGTCAAAAAATTGTTTCTGTAACTCCATAAGGCAGTAGAAGACAAATTAATATGATGGTAAGTTATCTTTTTCTTTTTTTTTGTGGTTTTAGGTATCAACTACTTTTATCCAGTGGCAAAATTAAACTAAAACAAGGCTTTCTTTAAATAAACGCGCAAAAACTGTTTAGGTTCGAAAACATTGTCAATCAGCTCGTTTCCTTTATGTTTTTTCTTACCTTTTTGCCAAAATCAGGATCATCAGCCAGTTTAGCGAACATTATTTCCGTTCCTTGCGAATGTCCGACATAATATAGCGATTTTTGTTGAGTTATATTCAAAACCGTGTCGATCATTGCCGGTAAATCGTATTTGGCCATTTCATCCCACGAAAAAGCCCAGTAATTTGCGTTTCTATCAGTATGGCCTCGGGAATAGACATTGCCACGGATATTACCCAACCATACGTCGAATCCGGCGTCGGCGAAAACAAAAGCAGCGGATTGGTTGGGGAGGTTGGTTACGAAGTCGGCTGAAGACGCAATGAAGCCGTGTTGGAAGAATACAACGGGCTTCGAGCTCTGAAACAGATCATATGAGGTTTTATCTTGAAATTGAGTTTGAACTTTTGTATTTCAGGTAAAAATAAGGTTTTGGGCGGATTTTGCCTTGCTGTTTATATTGTTTTAGGTTTTTTTACTTTCTGCGTGTTGTAAATGGCATGAATTTTGAAAAGCAGGTAACTTTACATTATTGGCTCTTTTTGGGTTTTTGCCAAATGGAATTCGATACATTTGTAAGATGTATCCATCTTCAGTTGTAGCTTCGTATCCTTCTATTGGATATTCGTAGTACTCAACGATTTCGGGCTGAAAATGAAGGTTTACCATTTCAAAGGGAGGTTATATTTGATAAAATGTAAGTGAAAGACTTTTCAATGTATTACTTACCGTGTTCATGTTTTCTTCTGGCAGTGAAGCATAACATTGTGATAAAATTAAAGTTAAAAGTAGTAGTATCAAATCCTGGAGCAATTTCATTGATGAAAGCGATAGAAAATTGAAAGAAAAATTATTTTTGTTTTTAAAAAGCTATACCTTCGGTCTTTTTATTGTATAACTCAATATATTAGGTGTAACCTAGCCTCAACCTTTAAAATAAAATAACTGACCAAGAGTCAACAGAATCGAAAAATAAGGCGGAAGCCCTAATAAATCTCGATCGAGAATGATTCACAAACTGATAAACGTGATAAAATAAATAAAAAACAATGTCATTTGCTTAAGCAGCCTTTAATTTCCCATTGTTCAACGCCATTTGTTTTATGTTGCCAATTAGATTATGCAATTTGATGTGAACATCAGTTTAACCTTGATTTATGGTTTTGTAGGGCGGAAAATGGATATCAAATGTATTTTCTGGGCAAGTAAGATAGAAATCAGTTGAGGAAAACCAAAGACAATTCGTGGAAAGTCAATTTTATTTTGGATCATCATCAATTTTGGCTAGAACTCTTGCCAAATCGTATGATATGGCAGAAGGGAATTTTGGTAAAATTTGGCTTTCAATCATTTCAAAATTTACATGAATTCCGACCGTTCCACTTCAAAACCCTCAATCATTTGCACAAGTTTTTGGCCTTCCGACCGGTCGTCATCTTGCACCGTTCTCCAGCCGGCCGTTCCTGTCGTTCGCGATGAGAAAGTCTAAAAATTCGCGTCGCCGAAACTCGCGCAACGACAAGACGCTGATGACCGAAGACGATGGCACCCAAATGGAGACGGGCACGGAGAAGAGGAAAAAGAAGAAGGACAACAATGCAACCCGGTCAGTTGAAGAACCATCGGTTGCCCCAGCCTCCAAGGGTGGCAAAAAGTTGGGGGCAGGGAGAGAATCGCCCGAGTACAAGAATGTGATGCTCGAGTTTGTGAAGCATTGTCTCGAGGCTGGAGTTCAGGCCAAAGCTGCCGAGTTCATTCAGCTGAAGCAGGAAACCAATGTGCCCGGTCCCAAAACCGCTTTCGACGCCAATCCGACAAAGAATCGGTATAAAGGTAGGGATTTTAGTATTTTATGTTGGTAAAGTATAATTTTTGATCTTGTCATTGCCTGCCTTGATATTTTCGTTCGCTTTTCATTATTTTCATATTTTTTATTGTTTTTGTTGTGAAACTACTGAAAATTAATTACTTTCAGATGTCATTTGTATTGATGCAAGTAGAGTACGTTTGTCTGGCGTAAACGATTATATTCATGCTAACTACATGGATTATGAAGGTATGTTAATATAAAAATTTTTGGATATTTTAGTATTTGAGCTCTCGAATTTAAAATTTGAGTTTTTTTTAGTTTTTATTAAAAATGTCAAGTTTACTGCTTAAGAAACGAATAAAATGACGTTGTGCTGAATTTTTAAAATAATATTTTCAGGTTTTGATCGAAAGTACATCTGTACCCAAGCCCCGTTGGACAAGACAATAGAGGAGTTTTGGAAGATGATAATGGAGACAAAATCCGTGGCAATAGTCATGCTGTGCAATATCATGGAACAAGGAAAAAAGAAATGTGCTCAATATTGGCCAGATGCAGATGGGGCGTCGGTAAGTATTTAAAATTATTTTTTGATGTTTAGGTGAATTATGTGCATAATATGCATTATTTAGAGCACGCACGGTGACTTCACGGTGACAAACAAAGGCGTAAGACAGCCGGAACAACAGCTCACCGAAACCGCGTTGGAAGTGAAGAATGCGAGCGGTGACACTTTCAACACAACTCACTTCTTCTGGCACGGTTGGCCGGATCGTGGCGTGCCGGAGGACTCGATGGCGTGCTTCAGGTTAATCAACAAGCTGAACAGGTACTGTCCGGTCATGGTGCACTGTTCGGCCGGAATCGGGAGGACAGGCACAATCATTGGACTGGACTATGCCCATCAACTGTTGAGGAAAGGCGAGCAAGTCAGACTGAAAGATGTGGTCAAGGAAATGCGCAAACATCGACATAACTCTGTCCAAACTGCCGTGCAGTACGTTTTCATGCATCGTGCTTTGATAGGCGTGGCCATCAACAAAAAGGTAAAGGTTTAGGCTGGGATTTTGATATTAATATAAATTTGTATTGGCTATTCTTTGTTAATTTACATTTTTTACTGAAAATATTGATTTTTCTTAACTTTATCTATCATTATATTGTTTTAAAATTAATTTTCTAACTTTAATTTGCATTTTTTAGTTCATCACTCAATCTGAATGCGAGAAATACCTGGAAGAAGTACAGAAGTACATTGATCTTGTGGAACTGAAGAACAAAGGCTGAACCTCGGAACTGAATATCAACTGAAAATAAACTGCTTTGTTTATATTTATTGTGATTGTTATGTCTGTTTATTGTGACTGAATTTACGTTAAACTTTTTGTATTTTACTGGTTTTTCAAGTTTATATTATACTAGAGAAACGGTGAAGAAATCAAGAGTTTATTCATTTTTTAAATTAAAGTCGTATTTCACTGACACCAAGACAGGTCGATAAATCGTTTTCCGATGCGATGAGGTCGGTATTTTCATAGGCCGTATCCAGGAACCACACTTGATCATCTTCCTTGTATTCTAACGCTGTTTCCATTCCAGAATTCTCGCTATTCGATTCAACGAAACTTGGTTCGAGCTCATAAGAGTAGTCGTCGTCGAAGCCGGTCACGATCTCGGACAGCGATGGCTTTGGTCCGAATTCTGAAAAGTTATTAGGTATGTTTTATATGGTTGATTCTGTCAAGTTTTGTAGTAGTTTAGCCTATTTTTTAAGGAATTTTATAGTTTTGCCTTTATAATTGATATTATAGTACCTTAATACTTTCTGAAAAACATTGTAGTACCTTAATGACTTTTCAAAAACATAGTACCTACCTTCGTAAATTGACTCCATGGAGCTAATGTCACTGCTCAACTCCTTCAACTTTCCATTGACTTCTTCTTCAATATCACTGATCGAGCTGTGTTCGAAGGCGGATGTACTCAACTCCGATAACGATGATAATGATGATTCCGACTCGTCTTCTGAAGTGAACTTCTTACTCACGGATCGCAACTGACTACTGGACAATGAGGGAATGGTCGAATTGAGGGTGGAATTGAGGGTAGAATCTAATGAGTACGTCGAATCACAGAACGAACTAATGTCTGCGAAGGTCACTGCCACCTCGGACATGGGAAAGGTTCCTGATACGGCTGTTGAACAATCATCGGTATCCACTTCGACTGGAAATAAGGTTATTAGGTTGAACCAAAAGTGGCGGGACACTTTTCATTTACTTGTCAACTAAAAAAAGTGTCCCGCTACTTTTGGTTCAACCTAATAATACTAAATTTTTCATCTTTTTACCCTACTTGTTCTAAAAATCAATATTTTTCTACCTCAACATACTCATCTTTTCTTACCTCAACATATTCATCTCTTCCCCCTTCACCCAAAAAACCCCTAATTGTACCGTTTCCCGCGCCCAAACCTAATCGTAGTAATTACAAGTCTTTAAAACTCTTACCTTCTGACATTCTGCACCGGCGCCAAAATCGACCGCTCTTGATGTAATTATTGACGAGAAAGGAGGATCGTTTTCATTTTTTTCGGATTTTGACTATTTTTTCGGATTTCGAAGATTTTTTTCTTGGGATGGTTTTTTTTCACTTTTCTGGGGCAGCTCATCCTCTACAATTACCCGGTTTTAGACTGCCCGTACCATAATTGGAGGCGCCTCGAGAGTTCAGGTCGTTAAAGTTTTCCAACCGAGTTCGGACTTTCGCTTTTTCGTGTCGTATGTGAGATACATGACATGATAATTCGGTTTTTTGTTGCTTGTTTTGTTGTTAAATGTAAGTTGGGGGTTGATAATGTAAATTCGATAAGTCATGCTTTGGTTTAGGAGGGTCAGACTTGGTAGGCTTTGGCTTAGTAGGGTTAGGTTTAGTATGCTTAGGATCAGTGTTTTGCCGGATTAAAAGAAAATAGAGCCGGACCGGACCGAAAAATTTCCGGACCGGTCCGGAAAAAAAATTTTTTTTAATTTTAATAAAACTGTTTTAAAAATTGCAAATAACACATATTTTTAAGTTTTTAAACGTAAAGAAAGCAGTTTTAGCGCTCCTGGCTCTTTTTAAAAATAAAAAAAAATTTTCCGGACCGGATTGGACCGGACGTGACCTTTTTGGCCCGGACCGGACCGGACCTGAGGGAAAAAAATAGAGCCGGACCGGACCGAAAATTTTTCGGACCGGACCGAAAAAATTCTTATCCGTACCGGTCCGGCAAAACACTGCTTAGGATTAGTGGGGTCAGGCAAACTTGTGCGTCTTCTTTCGTAATGGAACTTTTTCAGTAGCCAAAAGTTGTCACGGCGGAGGACAGTACAGTACGTTGGCAGCACGAAACAAAGCATTGGCTTATGCGGCAAACAGTTTTGACGCTGATTTTCATAATGCCAAGTGTGCTAGTGAAGACTTTGGATTTTACAGAGCCAAAGGTAATTTTAATCGAGTTTTTTTTGATTTTTTAGATTTTTTAAAAAATTTCATTGTTTAAGCATAATATTATACTTGATACCTAATTCTTATATTATACTAGTTCATAAACAGGGCCGGGCAGGGACTTTTGGTCTGGGGGAGGGGTCGAAATAATCCACAGGGGGGGGACCAAGTTCAAGTTTTTTTTTAAAATTTTTTTTGTGGGGGAGGGGGGAGAGGGGTTCGGCCCAGTTCGTAAATATAAATTACCAACAAGCCCCCCCCTCGTATTAAAAAAATTTTGCAAAGCAGAAATTTTTTTTTACATTTCAGAGCTCAAACGGTTGGCAACAGAATACGAGTTTGTGTCAATACCAATTCCAATTGGTTCTGGCGGTACTGCAAATTGTGGATTTGATAGTGATAGTGAGAAGTGTGCGTGGTACAATCGACAAGTTGGTACACAAGGAAATGGATTCAAAAGAGCACGATTCGAGTCTTTCTTTGATGTGGACAAATTTGAATGCACCTCTAATCGAGTGTTCGCTTTTGGTAGGAAAAAATGATTTTTTATTGCTGCCTGACAAGGGAATGTTACAAACTGCCCATTCAAATTTTAAAAGTGAATGGTACCATGTGAAAGAGCGTAAAAAGTTGACTAGACATCTATTTTTAAAAACTGCTAATTTTGCCTTACAAGCCCGCTAGCGAGATTTTAAAATCATTAGTGAAAGGGTCTTATAAGTTGTTATTCTTTCCTTTGGGTTATTGTATTTTTAAAAACCTTAGTTTTTACTTTTTTTTATGTTTTATTAGATGTAGGAAGCCATTACCAACAAAAAAAAATTTTTTTTTGAATATTTAAATCAATTAACTTTTAAATAAAAAAATACCTATCATTTACCCAAAAAGAGAATCGAACCTAAAGTCCATTGATTGCGCAACCACGGCGCCTTTGACCACTCGGCCATTCGAACACATTAACTTCCCCTTTTTGAAAGAAGCCAAAGGAAAGCGGGTTTAAAAAATCCGTTTTGATAGTAAAAATTTTAAAAGCTCGCTAGCGGGCTTGTAAAGCAGAATTAGCAGTTTTTGAAAATAGATTTCTAGTCAACTTTTTACGCTCTCTCACATGGTACCATTCATTTTTAAAAAGCGAATGGGCAGTTTGTAACATTCCCTTGTGAGGCTTTTTTAAATTAAAATAAAAAAAATTTTTTTTTGAAAAAATAATTTGAAAATGGTAAGTTAAATTTAAAAAAAAATTAAAATTATAATGTTGAATGTTTAGAAGAATATTTTCTAATGGCTGGAGGAGAAGACTTTGATCATGATATATCAGCAGCGATTGAAACTCGAATACCTTGCCAATTTGAAAAAGCCTTATTGAAGTTTGATTAAGTTTTCAAAATTTTATATTTTTTTCTAGCCAGATCCCTAGCCCAAAGCCTTAGCCCAGAGTCCTAGCCCAGAGCCCTAGCCCAGAGCCCCTAGCCCAGAGCCCTAGCCCAGAGCCCTAGCCCAGAGCCCTAGCCCAGAGCCCTAGCCCAGAGCCCTAGCCCAGAGCCCTAGCCCAGAGCCCTAGCCCACAGCCTAGCTTTAGCTCTAACTCTAGCCCTTACTCAATCTCTAGCTTTAGCCCTAGCTCTAGCTCAATAAATATCTTTAGGTATAAATCTAGCCTTAACTCTAAGCATAACATACATTATCTCTAGCCCTGCTTTTACTTCAGCTTTATTTACATTACTCTAATCTTGCCGTGTAATTCACTTAGCCTATATCCAATCTAGACATACTATGATTGTTTAATCACTGTAAATAACACTGAAACGTATATATTTTAGTTACTGGAGTAACAACGAAACCCCGATCCTAAAAATCTGTGTAATACCAGAAGATTCACCTGATCCACAATGCGAAGAGTCTCATATGGACGCAAATCCTCTAACTTTTGAAATTCCCCAATCATTACGGCCGTTTCGGCTTCGAATTCAAGTTGATGCGATTGGCAAAGATGACATTGTCTTCTTAGATTCTATGAGATATGAAGGAAAATTATGCGAAGTTTCCGGACCTATTGGCAAAAATGACTCCGAACCAAAAATCGTGGCCAATGCTGCGCCAATTCGAAGTTTCAAACCGGCCAAGCCCATTACTGATAACGAAATTGATGATTTTGAAGAGATTGAAACAACAACGGAGATGGTTATCAAGAAAAAGTTGTTTGGCAGTACTAGTATTGTTCATTCTGAGGTAATTTTTTAAAGTTTTAGCATTTTTACTCTGAGGTAAATTAAAAAAAATTAAAAATTTTTAAAAAAAATTTAAAAAATAAAAAAAAAATTTAAATTTAAAAAAAAATTAAAAAAATTTTAAGACAAATATAAAAATTTTGAAAAAAAAATTTAAAAAATTAAAAAAAAATTTAAAAAATTTTGAAAAAAATTCAAAAATTTAAAAAAAAATTTTAAAATTAAAAAAAAAATTTAAATTTAAAAAAAATTTTTTTTTTGTATTTTAAGAAAAGAGTTGATAAAAGTAATATTGATAACAAAATTTCAGGATAAAGAACGAGATTTGGGTAATCAACGTGGCAAACTTGACGTTTGCGAAGCCTTAAGCTGTGACTTTAACCATGGTGATTCTTGTTATTATTCGTTGTCTGGGTTGGGTGGAACGTAAGTGAAAGACTTTTCAACTCTCAAAATGTTAAAATTAATTTAGTTCAAACTGACTTTAATTTTTAACTTCTAGTTTGATGCAAAAAGAATGGCGGATTTGGCAGGAGTTTAAAAATATTTAAAAAAATCTTGAAAGCTAAAGCTGATATAAAGTAATATTGAGACGATTGATTACAGGGCTGAATGGAGAATTGGAGAACATTATTTTGGCAATCCACACACTGGCATTCATAAAGCCAATCCCATCGATCAGAGAATGAGTAATATACTTTATAATAGTAACAAATTAAGCGTTTTTATAGAAAATTTTTATTTAAATTGTTATCAAGTTGCCAAAGTACAAAGCTTGCAACACCACTTTTTTCAGCTGGATTTGCTTTTGTTGGCCTAGATCGTAACGACTTTACTAACGAAGTCTTTGTCATGGAGTCGGTCCGCTTCTACACGAACCAGCCGGTCTATTTGGTGTTTGATTTGTATCAACGGTCTATTGGGCCACAATTAAGAGTAGGTTTAAAGATTCTAAAGATACAGACGCTATTATATTTAACCAATCAAAAGGAGTGGGGAGGTTTAAAAATAAAAAAGACGGGAGGTTTTATAAAAAAGTTCCTTTGCGGTGCCGACATAAAGAACCCGCCATAGTTTTTCTGTAATATCCTGTAAAAAATGGCGGCTTCTTTATGTCGGCACCTAATAATAGTGCAGAAATTTCAATTATGATTTAGGTCTGTATAAACTCATTTGACAACTGCCCGTACGTTAATCCGCCGTTAAATGCCAGAGAGTTTTGGCGGCACGACCAACGGATTCTGTTGGACGATGATGCCGAAAAGGTAAGCTAATACGTGTGGAAGTTTAATGTAACAGAACTTTTAACTAAAACACTTCAGAGCTTATCAGGAAAGAAAAAATAACTGAAAATTAAAAATTTTGTCAAGAAAGAAATTATATCAGGTTGAACCAAAAGTAGCGGGACACTTTTCATTTATTTGCCAACTAAATACTGTCCCGCTACTTTCGGTTCAACCACATAAACTAAAGAAAACAAAAAACTACTGGTTAGTACAACAACAACTGTTTTAGATATTTTTTATTGCTGGAAAGGTCGGCCGAAACCTTTACTTGGCCATAGACAATATACGAATACAGACCAGCGACTTTGACGATTACTGCTCTCAAATATTATAGATCTACACGTTGAAAGAGCAAAGTGCCATAAGACAATGTAATATGAAAAACGAAACTATTAGATTGTTCACTTAATTCTGCGCTCCCTCTCAAAGCAGAGTTGTGGGGTAAGGGGGCGCAGAATTATGTGAACAGACAAATAACTCTAATATTATTAAAGCTTTACTAATGAAATAGTTTGATTTTACCTATGTATATTAACGTTACGGATCTCAGTAAACGAACTATAAATTTTGTATTTCGGTTTTATTAGGTCTTTGGGCTGGGGTTAGAACTAAAGCTAGGACTAAGGCAATGGCTAGGGTTAGGGCTAGGATTGAAGCCATGACTATTGCTTTGGACTAGGGCTTAGGGTAGGGGTAGGACTGAAACCATGACTAGTGCTTTGGACTAGGGCTCTGGGCTGGGATTCCAGGCTAGGGCTCTAGGGCTTTGGGTAAGGCTAGAACTAAAGACATGACTATTGCTTTGGAAAACGGCTTTGGGCTCGGGCTCTAGGCTAGGGCTCTGGACTAGAGCTTTGAGCTGGGGCTTTGGGTTAAAGTTCTGGGCTAGGACTCTGAACTCGGATTCTAGGCTAGGGCTAGAGATCTAGGCTACTTTAAAACAAAGATAAAGCCACGAAAAATATTACCAATCCAATTTTGAAGCCACACAAGCCGAAGTTCAAAACGAACAGAAAACTTTCATGAAGAGGCGGGATATTCATGAATACTTGTCATGTATTATAATAGTTAGTTCACGTCAAAAGGCTATTTTCAAAAAATTTATTTAAAAGCAGAAGGATATTATTTGTCGTAAAAATGTAAAGAAACACCTTATGTGTTTTATGAAAGAAACTGGTAATAATATTGAAGATTAAGCTCTTTGTACAAGTCACAGTACTTCTTGATATGTTTTTCACTCTCCAAAACAGCTCTAAAGTTGTCAAAGTGATATAAGCCTACGTGTTTCAACCTTGAGGCAATATCGTTTTTTCCACCTCGTACCAAACAATCGATAACATCATTCCTGAATTCATAGTCTTCAATAGTGTTGCTACTATCTATAAAGATCGCAAAGCATGACATCATCGAAACTCCATAATTTTCTAGTTTAGGATCCCTCAAGTAAGGGATTTTTTTGAAGATGTATGCAAGAGCACCTAAAATTCATAAATTTATTAGCAAGGAAAGAAAATCTTGAGCTGAAGTTAATTTTGATTAAAATTAACTGTAGTGATGTGGTTTAGACACAAAAAGCCCACATCCTTCTAACTCCTAAACTCTATGGCAAACTACACTTACATTGTCGTAAAGCGTCGTTTCTCTCTTCTCGATCTGAATGTTTTGAAACATAACCATCTTCTGTTTCATTGCTAATTGCTTCGCTAGTATTGAATCTGGCTATTGTAGGTAATATTTTACAAAGAATAGGACGTTTTTGAAACGATATGACTCCTGAGCGCTGAGTTCAACCTAATAACTTATCTTCGCGTGCTTTTGTGATGCTTTGTGTCAACGCGTCAACGCGTTTGATCAGTTATTGCGCGCCAAGCTAACCTTACTACTTTTACAAAACAAGGCGGTTTAAATAAAGCTTGGTTTAAGCAGCCAAGCATACATAGAAAGCTGCATTTAAATATAATATAACAAAAGCCAAGATTCGAAGTTGTCGTACCATAGCATTCCGTAGTGGAAACCAGTGTAATATCACATCATAAGTAGTGCTACCAGAGCTTGTAATACGTTTACTTAATAACAAATTTTATATAATTGCAACATAGAGAAAACGACAGGTAAAGTTTTGTAACAGGACTTTTGGCGCACCTTGTATCACTGAAAGGGTGCCTACGAAGCTCAGCCCGGCCTTTTTACAGGTCTAGCTACACATTTCGACTGGTAGAAGAAAAAACGTGAACCTTTTCTTTGCCCCGACAAATAAAGTTTCGCACGGAGTGACGGAATGGCACAATGACAATAATTGACATTACAGCATTACATGCTGGTATCCAGTTCAAAAATAAAATGCCAATCCCAAAAAACAATCCAGATTTCCAATTCAAAAAGGAAGGTATAATTACTATTACACATGGCATTATTGCTGTTATGAAGAGTACTAGGGCCTGAAATTAAAACTATTTAGGTATAAACTTAGTAAACTTAAGCTTAGGTACGGGGGTTTTGAGTAGTCCTAGGCTTAGCAGACTTCTGCTTAGAACGCTTAGGCTTATTAGGCTTAAACTTAGTAGGCTTAAGCTTAGTAGGCTTAAGCTTAGTAGGCTTAAGCTTAGTAGGCTTAGGCTTTGTAGGCTTATGTTTAGTAGGCTTAAGGTTAACAAACTTAAGCATAGTAGGCTTAGACTAAACTCAAAAGTTTTAAATAATAAATAGGGATTACCTGTATAATCATGTAAATATTCATTTGGCGGTGCAGACGTCTTGAATTGATTGTAAATTTGCTCTGTTGCTCTTTCAACGCTCTTGAAGTATATAACCCAATAGTAATTAAAGCTGTATATGCTAACACATAATCAATGACACAAAAGCCTAAGTAAATTTTTTGGAACGATGACTTCTAAAATCACATTTTTATAACCAAACGCTATATTTTAGGCTTAATTTATAAAAATGAAAGGAAAGCTGTGGAGCTTAGTGCAAAATAGTTTTTACTCAATAGTATTGTACTATCAATAGTATTATAATTACCATGTTGCCAATTAGTAACCGTGGCAAGGGAAATTCCTCGTACCATAAGGTACCATAATTGAAATTAGGCTCAACCGTTGCTGACTTTGTCAAGCCCCAATATCCAGCTGTTCCAGGTATTAAAGCAAAAAATAAAGCTAGAAGGAACAGCAGTATTGTTTTAAAAGTGCTCAACGAAGTTACACTGAAAAAATCGATTTAGTTTTTAAAAATTGAGTGTTAGGTTTATAGTTACCTATAACCAAGAGTACGATAGGGTAGGGTACAGTAGGATGGGTTAGAGAGTAGTATACTTATAACCCTAAAGTCAAGTTTGAAAACCTAAAATAAAAAAAAGCCTTTACTGAGTCAAGGCATAGTAACGAAAGTAAGCTTGGGCTGGCAGAACAGTCATTGATAAGCATGCCATTGTGGTATAGCCAGCAATACCAGCCGCATTCACACGCCAGCCAAACAAGCGTATTGGACCTTGTAGGTGAAACAAAATTATTCCTCTGTCTTGTCGCCCTTTCTACAATGATAACATTACTAATTTTTACAAATGGTAAATCAAATTTAAAGTAAAATGAGGCTAGCGAAAGGCTAGGGAAGAGATATAGTGAGACTAAAATAAGTCAGCTGGAAGGGGTGTGGTAAGGCAGTGTTTTGCCGGACCGGTCTAAAAAAAATAGAGCCGGACCGGACCGGACCGAACATTTTTCGGACCGGACCGAAAAAATTCTCATGCGGACCGGTCCGGCAAAACACTGGGGTAAGGTCATGGTTGACTGTGACAAAACTGTGATAGAGTTAGAAAAAGGCTGGTATAAAGCTATCTTACGGCTAAAATAAGGTTGGTACAAGGCTACGGTAAAGCAATTGTGTTGATACGATAGACAAAAACTGTTGCCCTTTGGCTTAGTAGGCTTAGACTTACTAGACTTAGGCTTAATAGTCTTGGGCTTAGTAGGCTTAGGCATAGTAAGCTTAGACTTAGTATGCTTAGGCTTAGTAGACTTAGACTTAGTAGTCTTAGTTTTATGTTATTATGCTTATGCTTAGTAGGCTTAAACTTTGTAAGCTTAGAAAAGTTAGTCTTAGTAAACTTAGGCTTAAGAGCGTAGTAGGCTCAGGCTTAAATGTAATAGGTTAAACGCCTGATAGTAACGAGAATACAATATAGGGTCAACCAAACCTACAATATCAGTCAAAAGATCTACCAGCCAAAACAAGAAGTCACTGGCAGCACACATCAGCAACATCTTTCTATATGGCCTTAGGATGATAGGTGTACTATAAGTAATACATAACAATAATGTTGTAGTAGCTATTCCACCAATTAAACATGCTACATAGTAATTGATTTGGAATATATTTTCTATGACACCCAGTTCATTGAATGGTTCTGTGGGAAAAGTACCATTTCGGAGAAAGTCCCATGCATAGAGGTTGTCTTCGTATGGTTCCGGATGGACTATCATCTCTACTATGCTATAAACAATATAAATTTACTACTACCTCTAGAAATAAAACATTATAGTCAGTACAATACAGGTCATGCCGCCTTTAATTAACTATATATTGAGCATAGTTAAGTTTTAATCTGTAAATATTGACGATAGTAATGAGTGTTATTGACTAAAGAAATATATACCATTTGCTAAATATAAAGACACATGACAAGTTACGAATTGTAAGTTTTGAATGTTTTGTTGTACACGTTTACTACCTATAATTAACTTAAAATTGCTAGTTATAGCAAAGTAAGGTCTTTACATTTAATTCTTTTAGTGACTAATGTAATTACAGAGAAGAAATGCAACATCATACCTATATTTTACCTTATACGACAGTATGTAATTACGGAATTACTGTCATATAAGTTGCATGTCAAACAAAATTTTGTTGACGACATTTGAACGTAGCTTTGTAGTGTTTCCTGATAAACTTGTAAACTGGCCAAACCGGGGTTACGTTTTCGGCCAAGCTCAGCACGGTCTTGCAAATTTGCTTTGCTTTAGCCCTAAAGATATTAATATAGGTATTACCAAAAGCCTAGGAGTAGAGTAGACAACAAACCTAAAAAAGGGCCACTCGGGCCCTATTTATTGATTTGTCATTTGAAACCACATTTGTCAACTTGGTCACTTTTAAAATTGGCTTGGATCAACTCCTTATGTGGATAAATTCATTTAACATAATAGAACTTGTATTGTACTGCGTTCGTGTTTTAAATAACATAACTTAACAAATTTAACTTTATAATGTCAACCAAAAAATAATACGTTGTTTCACACTTTTTGCAAGTTAAAAATTTCGTTGCGGGACCTAATTTAGATTCCTAGGGCTTTGGGAGGATCTACCCGCGGATTTTTTTCGGATCGGCTCTGGGGGGGGAGTCACCTCGAACCACCCCCCCCCCTCAAAAGACGTCCCTGACTAGCCGGTCTAGCCCAGCTTGGATCATGTGCCTTCTTTTCTTCATTTCAGGTCTTCCATGTTGTTAGTGTTTTGCCGGACCGGTCCGGATGAGAATTTTTTTTGGTCCGGTCCGGCTCTATTTTTTTTTGCTCAGGTCCGGACCAAAAAGGACCGGTCCGGAAATTTTTTTTTTTATTTTTAAAAAGAGCCAGGAGCGCTCAAACTGCTTTCTTTACGTTTAAAAACTCTTAAAAATATGTTTTATTTGCAATTTTTAACAGTTTTATTAAAAATTTTTTCGGTCCGGTCCGGAAAATTTTCGGTCCGGTCTGGTCCGGCTCTAGGTCCGGTCCGGACCGGACGGGTCCGGCAAAACACTGCATGTTGTTGATTCACATCATAATTACAATTTTTCAAACTATTATTTTTTTTATTTTTTGTCCAGATTTGACAATTGTTTGTTCTGTCACTGTATACACCTATACCACAGTGTATTAAATCAAAATGATTTTTTTTCAGAAATTTATCTACTGTAATGTAACGTACACACAAGCATTTTTTTTTGTTTCAAAGATCATCTTCAGAATCCTTTAGCTCTGTTTCGAAATTCGTTTTATGTGTTTCCAAACGTTCTCAAATATTTTCTGATTGGCATGGAATGGGCTGTCCTAAAAACTCGGCGAACCGAAGCCGAAAGCCATTAAAAAAACTTTCGGTTTTTTGTCACAAATTTGCATTCCTTAAGCGGTGAAAACTGGAACATACGATCGGTCAAGGTGGCTTCCATTGTGTTTTGATGTCATCTTTGACTTTACCTTGCTATGGAAGAGAGTGAGAAGGGTCTCTTCTTTTGATACGCTATTTAGCTTTCGGGGTTTTCTTTACTGCGCTGTAGCTTCGTATCTTTCTTTACTGCGCAGTAGCTTTTTATCTCTTTTTACTGCGCTGTAGCTTTGTATCTTTCTTTACTGCGTAGTAAAGGCTTTGTATCTTTCTTTACTGCGTAGTAAAGGCTTTGTATCTCTCTTTTCTGCGCAGTAGCTTTGTATCTCTCTATACTGCTTAGTAAAGGGTTTGTATCTCTCTTTACTGCGTAGTAAAGGCTTTGTATCTCTCTTTACTGCGTAGTAAAGGCTTTGTATCTCTCTTTTCTGCGCAGTAGCTTTGTATCTCTCTATACTGCGTAGTAAAGGCTTTGTATCTCTCTTTTCTGCGCAGTAGCTTTGTATCTCTCTATACTGCTTAGTAAAGGCTTTGTATCTCTCTTTACTGCGTAGTAAAGGCTTTGTATCTCTCTTTTCTGCGCAGTAGCTTTGTATCTCTCTATACTGCTTAGTAAAGGGTTTGTATCTCTCTTTACTGCGTAGTAAAGGCTTTGTATCTCTCTTTACTGCGTAGTAAAGGCTTTGTATCTCTCTTTTCTGCGCAGTAGCTTTGTATCTCTCTATACTGCGTAGTAAAGGCTTTGTATCTCTCTTTTCTGCGCAGTAGCTTTGTATCTCTCTATACTGCTTAGTAAAGGCTTTGTATCTCTCTTTACTGCGTAGTAAAGGCTTTGTATCTCTCTTTTCTGCGCAGTAGCTTTGTATCTCTCTATACTGCTTAGTAAAGGCTTTGTATCTCTTTTTACTGCGTAGTAAAGGCTTTGTATCTCTCTTTACTGCGTAGTAAAGGCTTTGTATCTCTCTTTACTGCGTAGTAAAGGCTTTGTATCTCTCTTTACTGCGTAGTAAAGGCTTTGTATCTCTCTTTACTGCGCTGCAGCTTAGTATCTTTCTTCCTCTACTACACAGTAACGTCTCCGTATCTCTCTCAACCCCGCCGTAGCCGATCTACTTTCCTTATTTTACCGTGTCAAACCTTTTTGTCATGACTTTTCCGCCTCACTTTCCTCAAGTCGAATGTCTTGGATGCCTGAGGTGAAGGAAGCGTTATCCCATTTGGAGGTTCCGCCCAGTTGGAAACTGATCCGGCTTTGGCGCCGGAGGGCACATCCATCATCTGTTGGGGTTCAATTATCATGACATTATGGGTCATCCTGCTACTGGGCCAGGGTAAGTGTTACAGTATGAGTTTTGCTTCGTAGTTTTAATATTTTATGGATTATGGTAGTTTATATGGTTACTGTTCTGCTTTTTATCCTTACTTTTCTTCTTTTTATAGTTATTGTATCACGTTTTAAAGTAATCTTTTACCACAAAATTTCAAAAAATTGCCAAAAAATACAGTATACTCAAATTACAGTACCCCTCCTCCTCTCCTGCCAACCGCCTCTACAGTACAGTTCAAATGCCGTGTATGGTAGCAAAACATACGAAGTAGCTCAAGAACATCCTATAAGCTCACAACAAATCGACCAAAACCTTCAAAGTTCTTTTGTTCAGGAAGAAAATTACAGTAATCATCCGAAAAACAATGGTGATCTTTCATTCAATGCCAATGGTATACCAAACTTTTCGATCGAGCATTCAATGGAAGCTGATGAACATAAACATGGTAATGAGGTGGAACATGAAGTAGCTCAGAATGGCCAGGGAATGCCTCAGAATGGTCATAAAGTGCCTCAAAATGGTCAGGAAGTACCTCAAAATGGTCAAGAAATGCCTCAAAATGGTCAAGAAGTACCTCAAAATGCCCAAGAAGTACCTCAAAATGCCCTGCAATTACCCCATAGTGGTCATGTATTCACAGATGGCAGTAATAGTAACTTAGATCCAACTCAACAACTTCAAAATATAGAGTTAGAAAGACAGATTGAGAATGCTAACAGAGGTTTAGGTCAAGAAGTCTTCAGCGGGCATGGTGAAGATCCTAGACTTGCTCAGAACGCTGAACAAGGTCATGAACATCATGGTATCGTTGAAAGTTTCCCAATTTCACGTTCTGATCAACAGCTGCCAATCGGTAACAATGTAGGTGTTAAAAAAAATTGTAGGTGTTAAGCTTAGAAGGCGTAGGCTTAGTAGGCTTAGGTTTAGTAGGCTTAGGCTTAAGAAGCTTAGGCTTAGTAGTCTTAGGATTAGTAAGTTAGGCTTAGTAAAATTCTGCTTAGTAGACGTAAAATTAGCAATCTTAAGCTTAGTAGATTTAGGCTTAGAAGGCTCAGGTTTAGTAGGCTTAGGTTTCATAAGTTTAAACGTGTTAGACTTAGGCCTAGGAAGCTTAGGCTTAGTAGATTTAAGCTTAGAAAGCTTAGGCTTAATAGTCTTAGACTTAGTAAGCTTAAACTTAGTAAACTTCTGCTTAGTAGACGTAGAATTAGTAGTCTTAAGCTTAGTAGATTTAGGCTTAGAAGGCTCAGGTTTAGTAGGCTTAGGTTTCATAAGTTTAAACGTGTTAGACTTAGGCTTAGGAAGCTTAGGATTAGTAGAAATATGCTTAGTAAGTCTAATCTTTAGCATAGTAAGCTTAGGCTTTGTACTCTTCGATTTTGTAAGCTTAGGCTTCGTAAACTTAGTTTAACGCCTAAAATACTAAAAAATCCGTAAAATTATATTAAATTTTTCAGAATCCTCAACTAACTCAACAAGGTCTAGTAAACCACCAGCAAAACCTTCTCAACCCTCTACCTCTTTCTCCATTTCCAATCCAAAAACCACTATCACAAGACTTGGCTAGGCCCACCAATCCGTACCCAGAACATCATAGTCTGCAAGAATGGTCAAAGATCTGTGCCAAACGAGAACCTTTAAACTTTATGCAAATTCTCGACTGTATTGATGTCTGGAACTTCAATGAAGAATCCAACCTGGCCATATCAGGATCAACATCTTGTGATTTTGATGGTAATTCCGTATGCAAATTTTATGGTAAAAACGAAGAAGAGCTGGTTTTCAAAAAAGGTGCTCTGATTCATCATATGAATGGTACTGTCTATGGTGCATTTGAGGAGAGCTTCTCTACGATGACAAAGAGACCTTTGGGAGCGCTACCTCAAGATGGATTCCTGGTTATGGCTGAACCTTTTGGTAATACACCAGAAGCCATCGGTGTAGTGCAAATGGACATTGGATGTCAGAAGGGAGACGCTATGTTGAGCTTTGAGTAAGTTGATGTACTGTAAAGACTAAACGAGACATAAGTAATGTAAGATTACGATAGGTAGAGTAGAGTAGACTAGAGTAAGATAGACTAGAGTAAAGTAAGATAGGGTAGGATAGGGTAAAGTGGGTAGGGTAGACTAGAGTTAGATAGGCTAGAGTAAAGTAAGATAGGGTACGATAGGGTAAAGTGGGGTAGGGTAGGGTAGGGTAGGGTAGAGTAGGGTAGGGTAGGGTAGGGTAGGGTAGGGTAGGGTAGGGTAGGGTAGGGTAGGGTAGGGTAGGGTAGGGTAGGGTAGGGTAGGGTAGGGTAGGGTAGGGGTAGGGTAGGGTAGGGTAGGGTATGGTAGGGTAGGGTAGGGTAGGGTAGGGTAGGGTAGGGTAGGGTAGGGTAGGGTAGGGTAGGGTAGGGTAGGGTAGGGTAAAGTAGGGTAGGGTAGGGCACCACATAAAACTCCAAAACCCACATAAAACTCAATTCTGTGTACTTCTTGATCAATAAAGTAATATCTTTCAATCTTCCAGTTACTGGACCACCGTACCAGACGTAGAAGTCAAAGTATGTACTCGCGTAGACGATGACCGTCGCTGCACCACAAACATTGAGTACGCTCCAGAATCCAGTCGTGTAGAAATCCAAGTGATACACACAGAATCAGAATCCTTCATCGTAGAAATCATCGTCGGTGGATTCACAAAACCAGGACTGTTTATCATGGACAATTTGGTATACGAAGCTAATGACTGTAGTAGAACTGAGTTTTTGAAAAATTCGAAAAACTTTGACAGTCCAATGAAGAGCTTGGAGAAAGATATAACACCAAGCCTGAAGCCAATGCTGGAGATCCCGTCCAGACTGATTGATAAGAATTCTGGGTTGAGTAGTAACTTGAAGATACGACAAATCAACCCAAATACTTGTAAGGCTATTCAGTGTAACTTTGAACATGATTTGTGTGGTTACAGTCAACCTGAGATTGAGGATGATGTAAAGTAAGTTTATTCAAATTTTTTAAGTTTTTTGTAAATTTTTTTAAAAAACAACATTACGTTACAGTAAGACATATAATATCTTAAAATTTTTTAGTTACGGCAAATGGCAGTTCAGTAAAACCAAAATTGGCAATATTCAAACCGACAGTAATACTACGCACAAGTCGAGTCATAGTAAGTGCCTACTTTTCAATACCCTACCCTTAGCCCTAGCCTTAGTCTTAGTCTTAGTCTTACCCTTAGTTTTAGTCTTAGTCTTAACCCTAGCATTAGCCTTAACCTTAGCCTTAGCCTTAGCCCTAGCCTCTAGCCTGACTTTGAGTCCCAGCGATAGTCCTAGTCCTGGTGCTAGACCAAGCCCTAGTTTTAGATCTTACCCTAGTCGTAGTCCTAGTCCTATCTCTGGTTCTAGCCAGAGTTCTAGCCTTAGCTCTGCCCTAGCCATAGTCTTTGTCTTAGCTTCAGTTGTAGCCTTAGTTCTAGCTCTAGTTCTATTCCTAGATCTAGCCTTACCCTATCTTACTCTACCTTAATCAAATTTTTTACCAAAACCTTATCCTACCCTATATAACCTTACCGTACTCCTACTATAGCCTCTTCTACCCTACCTTATCAATTCATAGTCTATTGTTGTTATCCACACCCTAATTTCAACCTTATTTAGGTGGCTTCGCCTTTGTTGGAGTAGATGACAGAGGTGCGAATACAAAAGGCCGTACCATTTATATACTGGAGTCTGAAGAGTTTAACTTACCAGTCGATACAAATATGACATTTGATGTTTACAAACAAAGTAATGCCATTTCATTACAAGTGTGTGTCGATGAGCTGAGTAACTGTATCTATGAAGCACCGCCGAGCAAAGCTTATTGGAGTGAGAATGAAAGGGTGCTATTGCCTAGTGGTACTAGTAAGGTAATTTTTTTTTCATTTTTGTGGTTTTTAATGATTTTTTAGAGATTTTTTTGAAATTTTAAAATTTTTGAAAAATTTTTTAATTTTTTGAAATTTGAAATTTTAATAAATTTTCAAAATTTTAGGTATACTTCGTGGCCACCCAATGGAAACGCTTCAAATGGCTAGCCATTGACGAGATTAAGCTTGATTTCAACTGCTAAGTAGAAAAATATTAGGTGCCGACATAAAGAACCCGCCATATTTTTCCTGTGAAAAATGGCGGGTTCTTTATGTCGGCACCTAATATATATGATTCAAAATAGTAGTATCACATTTAGTTGGCCTTAACTACCATGATATTAACATAATATTTATATACACGTACATTCCATGTTTCTTTGTAATATTATCAGTATGATATGATTTAAACTTTAAAAATAAAAATTTTGTACAATTCGCTTTTAAATTAAAATTTTTTTTCGAATTTTAAAAATTTTGACCCAAGGTTTTGACATTAGGGGCCGACGTAAAGAACCCGCCATACTTTGCCTGTAATTTCCTGTAAAAAATGGCGGGTTCTCTATGTCGGCACCTAATATTTCAAGCAAAAATTTTAAAATTCAAAATCCAAGCCAAACTTCATAATTTTAAACCTTTTTACTCCTGACATTTTGACCTATACACTCCAAAATTTGATTCCTCAACTGCCTATATGGGTATGTCAATTCACCACCGCCGGTTTTCATGCCATTCGTCAGGTAGACAATAACAACCTCGTCTTCCGGATCTATCATCATCGTACTTCCGCCATAGCCTGGATGGCCGTAAAGGTATTTGCCCTGAAAGTGCAATGAGAAATGGCAGAGTTAATTGATTTTAGTTTACCAGCTAGATAGAAACTAAATCCATACCCTACTCTGCCCTACCCTATCCTACCCTACCCTACCCTACCCTACCCTACCCTACCCTACCCTACCCTACCCTACCCTACCCTACCCTACCCTACCCTACCCTACCATACCCTACCCTACCCTACCCTACCCTACCCTACCCTACCATACCCTGTCAAATGCCTTAGCTTCGTCTATCTTTTCCCTGCTCAACCTTAAAATACCAGTGCCTCACCCTACCTTACTTTACTCTGTTTTGCCCTGACCGTCCTTAAGCTACCCTATTCCCAAAACTCAACCATAGCTTATTCTACCTACCACTTACCCTACCTACTACAAAAAGATCATAAAGTGCCCTACCTCCTTATAAGGATGCCTTTCATACATAAAGCCATGCCCTTTGGCTGTAGGCACCTTTAGTACAACATCATGTTGAATCAGCTGTGGCTCATCAAATCTGTTTACAATATCTTTTGACAATAACTTTCCTTCCAGCATCAAAGCAAACACTCTGGCCAGATCTTTGGCTTTTGTTATACCCAAAGCAGCCGGCTGTTCCAGGCGATGAACATCTGGGTTGTTAAATGAGTTCACGCCCTTAAAGGTTAGTATTGTACTATAATATAATATTTGATGAAAAAGGTATATGAGGAAAGAAAAACTGCTGTATTTTGACTTTTTAAAAGCAGATAACAATAAAAATGGCAGTAAAGTCATAAAAACTATAAAAGCAATACTGAAGGCATCAAGTTTTTACATTACCTTCACCTTGCTGATGAACTCAATGTTGTTCGCCTGATTCTTCACGCTTATCATCCCACCCAGATTCATACAAGTTAAAGCGATTAGTATCCTGGGATCATAAAACAGCTCTTTCAACATAAATGAAGTAGATGGAAACGACAATCTAGCTACTGTATGTTGTTCTTCTGGCGGTAGACCCATGAAGAAGTCAATTTCTGAAAAAAAATAAATTTAATGCAAAAATCACCCCTCCCTTAAATTTATTTTGGTTTTAAATTTAAAATGGCTTCCTTATTAGTATTCTCGGATAAAAAAACTTATAAATTTATCCACCTCCAAAAAAATTTTTTTTACCCCGCCCAAAATTTTTTTTAAAAATATTTTTATATAGATCCCTCCAGTAATAAAAATACACAAAAAAAATTTTTTGGCCACCCTACCCTCACCAAAAAAAAATTTTCTTTCAAAATTTTAAAAAAGTTCTCTCCCGCTTCCCCCACCCTCAAAAAACTTACTGTGCGGCTTAGCGACCTCATCTCTGAAATAATCTCCAACTCCCCTGCCCAAGTCATCCACATGTCTCACAATCTGATCCACCAGCCACCCAAAACTGATAGCATGATACCCGGTCTTAGTACCCGGCTCCCACATAGGCCTTTGTCTCTCAATAACCTTGGCCATTTCCTTTGGATCCATAGCAATATCAAGTGTAATCAACTCTTTAAACAAACATAACCCGGCCTGATGGTGCATTACCATGTCTACAGTGATCTGTTCTTTGCCTTCTTGGCCAAAGTCTGGCCAGAAATCGACAAGTTTTTGGTCGCATTTCAGTTTCTTTTGGTCCACCAACATGGCTATGACTAATGATGCCACAGCCTTTGTTACCGAGAAGATGACAATTCGAGTGGATTCGTCCCATACCTTTCGTGAAGCTGCATCTTGGTAGCCGCCGTACAAGTCGACTACGAGCTGGCCTTTATGGTAGACGGCTAAGGCTGCTCCTTCTGGCTCCCAGCCGTTGAGGAAATTGTCTCTGAAAGTTAAAATTTTAGACAAAGAGGTATAGGTAGAGTGGAGTAAGTAAGGAAAAGTAGGGTGGGGTAAGATAGAGTAGGATAAAGTAGGGTAGGGTAAAATAGGGTAAGGTAAAGTGAGGTAGAGGTAAAATAGGGTAAGGTAGGATAGGATAGAGCAGGGCAGGGTAAAATAAAGTATGGCAAGATAGGGTAAAGTAAGGTAAGGGTAAAATAGGGCAAGGTAGGGTCAAATAAAGTAGATTAGAGCAGAGTAGAAGAGGGTAGGACAAGGTAAAGTAAAGTATGGTAAGGTAGGATAGTAACGTGCAAAATTATAAAAAAAAATTTTTTTTCAAATATCCACCCCTACCTTGAAAAAAAAATTTTACCCCGATAAAAATATTAAAATGTAAAAAAATCCCTCCCGCCCTTTTCAAAAAATTTTTTCACAATATTAGCCCCCCCCCCTCCTCTTCTTGATCAAATTGCTCATCTCTGACTAGCAAAATAAATAAATTTTTTAAAATTTTTTTGAAAAACAAATTCTGATAACGACTATCATCTAAAACAACATTATTTTACCCATCCCAACATCAAAAACCGTCTAGCCCGCCGAAACACGTTACCATAAAACCCGTATCAGCTTAGTAGGTCAAGCGAACGGCGACTTACTTGAAAACTTGTTCTACCTTGGCGAACCTTGCCTCGGTCTTCCCAGCGATCGTCTTCAACACCATCTGAAGACAATAAAGGTGAATATGACACAGAGAGTGATCGTATTGTTGAGCTCACCTTTGATCGAGACTTTTTGCGACGTTTCGAGGATCCTTTATCACTTGTAACCGGTTCGCACTTGAAAGAAAGGGTAATTGTGAGTGAAAGGTAATGTCAGTGAAGAGAACGATAAGGAAGGGTAATGTGAGTTAAGATAACTAGTAATGTAAGTTAAGACAACGAGTAATGTAAACCAAGATAATAAGAATAGAGGTAATGAGAGTCTTGAACTGAACTGAAACTCCCAGCAGGAGAAAATGAAAGTTCACGTCAGTTAGTGATCATAACAAAAGATAACGTCAAAAGAGCCGGGCGGGTAATTCTATCTTGGAAAAATAAAGAGGGAGGGAGGAGGGATAGTGAAGATGAGAGGCTACCTACAGTATCTTTCTTAACCTACCTAATTGTGGGCTAAGCCTAAAAATAAGTGCTAAGCCTAAAAAGGCAAAAATTGTGAGGTAAGCCTAAAATAGTGTCCTAAGCCTAAAAACTTGTGATAAGCCTAAAACTTGTGGTAAGCCTAAAACTTGCGGTAAGCCTAAAACTTTTAAAAAACCAAAAACTTATTATAAGCCTAAAAAGTGTCAACTCAGCCTAAAAACTTGTGATAAGCCTAAAAACTTGTAATAAGCCTAAAAATTAAAGTATAAGCCTAAAAACTTGTAATAAGCCTAAAAAATGTTTATAAGCCTAAAAACTTGCGATAAGTCTAAAATTGCAAGCTAAGCCCAAAAACATGTGATAAGCCTAAAAAGCGTAGGTTTAGCCTAAAAACTTGTGATAAGCCTAAAAATTGAAGTCTAAGCCTAAAATCTGTTTATAAGCCTAAAAATTATAGATTAAGCCTAAAAACTTTTGATAAGCCTAAAAAATTGTGTTAAGCCTAAAAATTGAAGGCTAAGCCTAAATTGCAAAAGCAAAAGCAACAAAAACATAAAAAAAAAACAAATAACAATCAAAATACCAATAACAATACAAAGAGCTATATAAAGTAACACTATAGACAACAAAAGGTAACCCGCAGGTCGATGGATGAAGAGCTCTTTAGGCAAACGTTCGGAGCTTCTTTCCTTTAGCAAATATTACAGAAAAGGTTGTTATTAGAAGAAAGTTTAGATAAAAACACAATAAACTGTGACAGATAGGAGACAACTAAACGTATATTTATAACTATTAGGCAGTTGAAAGATTTAAAAAATGAAAAACATAAGATAATATCAGTTTAGAGCCCATTAACATTCTTGTTTTGTCAAAATCAGTCCGAACTAGCCTAAATTCTGACCAATAGCCTAAACCCTGACCGACAGCCAAACATTAATAACCTTGCCCTATCTGATTAAGCGGTCAAAAATAAAGTTTTCGGCTTATCAGCATGATAACATAACATAATTTGATTGAAACGTCCTGGAAAAACACTCTCAATCCATCATTTTACTTTAAAATGACACTTTACAATAGAAAAATTATTTAAACAAGTGTAATATAGCAAAGAAAGACAGCTTTATAAACCTGGAGATGTTATAGTAAAGAAGAAATAGTTTTAAAATTGAAAAAACGAAGTAAAAATCAGCCGATAACCTACTACAATATAAAAAATAATTTAAAAAACAAATGAAAAAAGCCCTAAAACAATGTATAAAATCTCTCACAAGATCAGCAAGTTTATACAAAGAATCCAGAGATCGTGCTCGTACCGCCGTTCCCAACTTATGCCATCGTGCTCACAGTCCAACGCCAATGCCACCTTCATTCTTGCCTTCCTGGAAGTTCCGGAGGCAAATGACAATCGACTTGAAGGGTGGACGTTCCTCTTCAGGGCCAATACATTCTCCAAAGACTTGACGAATGTATGGCGGAACATTGTCTGCCAAAGACAAGCGATATTCTCCTTCAATGACTTCTTCAAACACCTGAAAAAGAAAATGTTATAAACATTTTTTTTAATTTTAGGCATGGAAAAAAAGAAAAATTACATTACTTTTTTACAATTTTAAATGGTCTCACAACAAAAAATTCCATATTTGAAAAAAAAATTGGGCGGGGTAAATCCACCCCCATTTACCACACCCTCCCTTTTCTTTCAAAAATAGCAAAAACAATTCAATCCACCAATAAAAACATTTTCCTTAAAAAATTTTTTTAGGCGAGGTAAATCCACCCCCATTTACCACACCCTCAAAATTTAAATCCAAAAATAACAACAAGAATTCAATCAACCTGTCAAACTTTCTTCCAAAAAAAATTTTGGGAGAGGTAGATCTACCCCCCCCCCAAACCCATAAAACCCTCTATAGAACCCCTCCCGAGCAATACAAACCCCCCCCCCGCCCCTTGCAAACCCAAAAACCACCCAACCCCACCTTATTAGCATCCCACTTCTCGTACGGAATCTTGTACGGCACCGAGAACACCTCGTAGATGGTGACACCAAACGCGTACACGTCCGTCGCCTTGTTGACCGTCTGTGTTTTATACACTTCTGGAGCCAGCCATCTCAGATTCAGCGGTTTGTTGGTGTCGACCTTGTAGTTGGCGCATTTCCGCGACATTCCAAAGTCGGCCACCTTTACCACGTTGGAGTCGATCAACAAGTTTCTTGCGGCTACATCACGATGAAGAGTGCCTTTATCGTGAAGGTAGTCTAGACCTTTGGCCGCGTCCAAGAGGATTGTCACTCGTTCTTTCACCGAGAGCTTGGGACCCTTCTTGATGAGGTACTTGTCCAATGAGCCACCGTTGACCAGTTCCATTACGAGGTAGTAGGGCTGGAAAGTCAGGGATATAAGGGTGAATATAAGCTGTAGCCGTGACCTAACTAAAAAATTTTTAAAAGGGGACGGAGGGTAATATTTTTTCAAAATTTTCCGCTAAACATCAACAGAGGTGACCAAGTTAAATTTTTTTTTAAAAAATGAAGTAACATACCAAAGCATCGTTGGCAACACCGTACATCTTGACACAATTTGGATGGTCAAAGGACTGATGGTATCGAGCTTCCTTCCACAAGGCATTCGAAGCTTCGGCCGTCATTTCAGTCAACACCTTTACGGCTACCTGAAAATCAAAAAGTTCAATAGTAGGACAATACACATCATCTTCTACCGTACTCTAAAACAACATGCCCTGAAGTACTCTACTAAACCCTTCAGTCCTCTGCTGAATCCTACAATACTCTACTGAACCCTACAGTACTATACTCAATCCTGCCATAGGCAATGCTTTGTGTGCTCTAAGCCTGAAAGCAAAACTATTGTGGTCCAAAGTACCCCACCCTAAAATGACCTAAAGCCTACCCGGATGATTTTATTTCGACCGATGAGCAACTGGCCCATGTATACGGTACCATATGATCCTTGGCCAAGTTCTTTGCCCAACTTGACCATCTGACGACGCAATTCCCACGCCTTTCTTCGTACTGGTGTATCCAAGTAGCACATCACGTTACAGATGGTTATCGGGCATTTTGTTACCTAAATTCAAACTGAAATGTCAAAAATTTGAATTTGAGGACCATTTCACAAAATTTTAAAATTGGGGTTTATGTGTAAAATTTTGTCAAAAAATTATTACTTGAAGCATATCGACGACTTCCTTGATTGTGTCATATGGCCTATCTTGGAAAATCCACCCGCCTGAATTCCGCTCCGTGAGACCGGCATTCAGTACCTATAACAACAAAAAGGATAAGTCAAATTCCGTCTTCTTTTAAGCCTAAAAGACGTGTTTGTTTAAGCCTAAAACATGCCTTTATTTAAGCCTAAAAAACACGCCTTTAAATAAGCCTAAAACACCTAAAAATCCCTAAAACCAAGCCAAATCAACCAAAAAACCCACATTTTTGCCCCATCTGATGCTTAAGATCACACAGTATTGGCCATCCTTATGAATGCCACGAAGAAGATAATCACCATCAAGCTTCAGAATGTTCGCCGTATCCTCATCAGGCAGAAGACCATGCCAAAAGTCCAGCTTCGTGAAGTCGCCACTCAGTTGCCGGCTCAGTGATAACACCTCCTTCTTCTGTTCCCTCCTTGACTTCATTTTCAAGCAACCGTCTCCGACGTTCGATATGTAACACAATGATCAAAATGCAAGAATTCGCATGAGGATAAGTTTTAAAATTTGCATAAATTTGAAATTTTTTTGAATTCGAAAAAAATTATTTTTTTCAAAATTCGATATTATTTTAGGTTTCTTCCTATTGTTTTGCTTGTATTTCACCCAATTCAACAACAATATTAACCATTTTCCCGCATGTTTTCACTCACCATTCAAACACCGTCTTAAGTGAAAATGACCAGTCCATCTCCGCCTAATTTAGCGCCCCCTTTCACCTCTTAATACCCCGTTGCACCCGCCCCCTTTTCCCGCCGATTACAACGTATAATTATTGGTTGTCATAGCAATTCTTGGCCAGGTCAGCGCAATAAAAATCCGTTCTTTGTTGCAGCAAGGTCGATGAGCTCGACTACAGCTTGGTACAATAGTTTTTTGAACAATACTGTGCTACCGCCAACGAATCAACGGCTAAACTTGTCGAAGCCAACCGGCTATGCGTTTTCAGTTGCTACGATCGACTTCAAAGAGGTAGGACAAATATTTTTTTGGCTTTCTTGACCATCATAGTCTGTTTGTTCTTATTCTATTAACAGTTTTGGCAAAAAGCCATTTTAACTCACAAAAATGTTATGTTATAATACATACTAGCCTAACACAACATTGCGAAATCCTTCCACCTGTTTCCTTATTAGTAAATAGCTAAAAAAAGTAATACGTATTCTTTTTCACAAAAAAAATACTCATACTATTTCAAGTTACAATTACCAATTACCGGTAATTAGCTTTTCAAAAGTACATTAATGTAATTAGTGTACATACCTTTATGAATAACATATTAAAAAGGGTTATTTCAAAGCAAACATAATAACAATCTAACAGCTTCCGTTAAACTGTTTTTAAAGTAAAGCAGACTAAATTAGACCAATTGCGTGCAAAACATCACATTTTTTAACATTACACTTGGTTGATGTTACACATGCCAATAAATAACTGTAAATAATTTGATTTTTGTTGCAGACGGTCAAATCTTTTTGAACACTTAGTGAAAATACCTAGAAATATAACAAAAATAAGAAAAATCACTTACCAAAGCAGCAACTAAAGTTACATCCAAAATGATTTCAGCTGCCTCATGAAAGTGCCTTTGACATCAGTATTTTCTTCTTCGATCCCGTAACCAAAGCATTTTTCGGAAATCAATACATCAGCGAAGTCAAAAAAGGTACAGGAACCGACAATCTTCATTTCCATGAATCTACGTTCTTCTCCGGCTCACAACAACCTGATAAAGTTGTGTTGGTGATCGAGCTGGTGAAGAGAGAAAGAAAAGCTTTGGTTTACGGATTTACTGTTGTGCCATTGTTATCGAAATCATATGCTTTGACTGATTTTTCGGCTTCTAACTCCAGGAACTTCCCTTGGAGGCGGTAAGTTTACAAATCTTCGTTCGACGGATTTTTGTTCAGACATTTCGTCAAACTTTATTGGAAAAGTAGACGGAGTGCCACAAACTTTATTGGCCGGACAAGAATTTGTTTTTGGTGTTTTACATTACTGTTATTGTATTTTTGTCGTATTTTTAAAGAGTTTCATGTTGTTATTATTTGCAAAAGTACACATGAAAGTCTTGAATTTCATTCATATTGTTTTAGATACCAATTTTTCAAAGGATCATGCAAAATCTTGTTGAATTGCGACGGACCATTGGAAGAAAACCCAAACCTTGTCAAGCTGAACACCTTTCTAAACTGTGTAGTCCAAACTCATCAACAGCTGAACGATCATCTTCAGTTTCTCCCGGATTATTATATTGTTGGGCCGAAACAGAAGATTCCTGGCTTTGTTTCTGCTTCTGAAGGCCTTCAGCTGGCTAATCCGCAGATCCTGGAGATGTATACGGCTGTACTGGATAATGTTGAAGTGGGTTTTATCAGATATAAACGGATTACCTGGGATTAAAAATAAGATTGAAAATGGTATAATTCTATAAGGAATCTTAATTTATTGGCATGTGTAATATAAAAATTCAATTTTAAAAATGATACTGTAGTAAAGGTACGTACTTTGTGGCCTAAAATGAAAGATTATAGATTTTGTATACTGCTGCACATATTGAAGAACAGATTCTGGAGCTTCTGAACAAAGAACGATGCTTCAACATGAACAAGTCACCTTCAGATGCCACTGTGAAACCATTGAGTGTTACCGACAGACGGTGTAGAATTGGTGTTCACAATAGCATTACTTTTGTAGAAGAGCCTTTGAAATTTGATTTGTCAAGTGGGCATGGTGCTTTAACTGGAAGACAGCCAAAAGGGTGTAGAAATGCTTCGTAAGTTCATCTGATGGCTAGTGTAATATGGGAAATCGTTCATATCTCTTGGATATGGTATTATATTGGTTTTTATAGTATTGTATCTTCTAAAACAGACCATCCGCTTTAGATTAAGTTTAATTTCACTAGTCTCTTTTAGACATGTAAGCAGTTATTACTTAAACAACACGGTGAAGCTGTCAAAACTCTTTGAAGACGATAAATGCGCTTTGATTTTCATGTTTGAGTATCAAGTTGGAGTCCGACGAGCAAATAACATTAGCACGGATACTCAATGGCTTCTAATATGTTGGAATGCATGGTGTCCATACAGTAATGGCGCCTTTAAACAGGCAGATACGATCACATTGCCTTTGGTTGGAGGTGCGCGGCCAAATCCATTGGATGTTTTGTGTTTTAAACATTTGTCGAAGTTGAAGAAGGATAATGTTCTGGGGGCGGAGAACGCTCAGATCAGGATTAGGTTCAACTATGGCATGGTTGGGGTGAGTTATGAAGGGATAAGTTGATTTATCTTTGATTTTTTGGCAAAATTGGCTATATTTTATGGAAAAAAAATATTTTTAATAGGATTTAAAAGGAAAATGAATAAGACTCTTTTGTCAAACGCTCGTAAATATATTGTTATACATTTTTACTACAATATTTTTCAGGATTCATCTCACTTCTCACCGCTACCAAGCCGTTTATCAACTCCGAAGCCAGTTCCACGACGTTTAAAACAAGAAACTGTTGTTATACAGGATTCTGAAGATGAACTGCCATTGAAAAGTCTAGAAAGAAGGTCGACGTCAACTTCTGCGACTTCAAAAACATCTCCAATGATCAGTAGGAAGCAAGCAGAGAAAGTAGTTGAAGCTGAAGTTGAATATGAAGGTCGTGCTGAATCTCCAGAAGTCATTCTGAAGCCGGCTTCTGTTAGCAGACGAAAAGATGTTTTGTTGGAGGCTGAGGACTTTTCTGAATATACTATTGCATCTCCAGGGAGTCCTAGGTAAGGGTTTTTTATAAATTTGAGTTTTGAAAAAATTAAATTTTATTTTTTTGGGGATACTGTAACAATAATTTTTTGAGGTTACTGTAACAAAAACAAGGTTAATTTTCTAGAACATCATTGATGTCACGCGGAGCTAGAGCATATTTTACAAAAACGTCAATACCTCAGATTCTGGATCGGCACGGTAAGGCGCTACGGCATGTTGACATAGGTAATCTACCTGACCACAATTTGAACTTGGAATACAATACAAGATTGGATACTCATGAGATTGTGTTACAGTTTATTGGGGTTACATTGTAAGTTATTTTTTATCATGATGTGAGTTTTACCTAGCGTCAAAGAAATTCATGTACCTAGTGTATTAGTATGTTATAGTAGGTTTAGTTTACTACTATTATACGTTAAATTAATGTAAAATACGGTGATGCTAAAGATTTTTGGTTAAAATATTACAGGGTAACAAATGACGTTTACAAACATCCAACAGGAAATTTGAAATGCTTTTTCACATTTCAATTCTACAGATTCAATCAAATTGGCACTGAGATGTAAGTTATCATTTTTTGGTCGATTTTCAGTAAAAGAACTAAAAGTGAATAAAAAATTAAAGTCATGGCTTTAGGCAACAAATAATTGTATTTTCAATGAATTTTTTTTAAAAATTTTTTTAAAATATTTTTTAGGTTATCAGCAATACCAGGTATCGACTTCAAGAAAGGAGATCCGTTGATATTGAAGAGAATTGATGAAAATGGAGCTTCTATTGGTGACACTGATGGTCTAATGGTATGAATGGCTTTGTAAAGGACTGAAATGACTTTTTTTTTATTTTGACATTACACGTTTTGTCATTTTATAATTTTTAGCTAAAAACCAAAAAAAAAGTTTTTAATTTTCAAGCTTTAGGCTTATAAAAAGTTGATTTTTATAATTTTAGTTAATAAATTTCTTATCTTTAGATGAGATTTGTGATTGATAGATACTCTACCATAAATTCACATGATTTTGCAAACTTTTTGGCAAAAGGAAACTTGTTCATCGACGTCTGGGATGCGGAGTCCTTGATGCATATGGGTACATGTACGGTGCCATTGAAGGTAATTTTTATGGTTTGAGCAGTAACTTGAATATATGAGTTGTTAATGTAATTTCGGTTGGTTTCATTTTTGTACGGTTTAAAGAAGCTTAGTTCTAGGGGTTAGAAACGCTGTAACTTTGAAGTTTTTGGTCTTTTTAAGGCAAAAATGTCATTGTTATTGAATTTTTGATACTACGGTTATGTCAAAATAAGAAAACGTTTTTTCAAATTTAAAAACAAGTAAAAAAGGCTCTGACAGTACGAATACGTCTAGCGCACATGGTTAATATGCGGACAAAAGTCTCGATCACAGCCGAGCGGAACCGAACCCGCGTCTCGAAGGCGTGTTAGTCCGAGCGCACTCCCACTGAACTATAAAAACACGGGTGCTTTCTTGATTTATTTACGCTTTTAGGCTTTGTTGAGGAATGGAACGGATGGAGTTCAAGCGGACATTCAAGCCAGTGCGATTCAAAGTGGTTTTCCATTAAGTGAGCCTACTGTAACATCAGTTTTGTTCTTGAGAATGGCTAATGTTGGACATCCGACGTTGAATCAGTTTGGTAAGGGTTGTAAAGAAAGTTATTGCGGTTTTGCTAAAACTTTAAGAGAAATAAACTAATTTTTCAATTTTATTTGTGATTTATACGTATTTTACATCAAATATTGCAGATATATTGAACAGTCACAACAAATCGGTCGTATCTTCATTCAGATTGCCACGGCTGACTATGTCAACATCAGATAGCCGATTCAAAGCAAAACCATTGGAATCTATTCATGAATCTGCCTTACAAAGGCTTTTTGTTGCGCAGAAGTATGATTTTTTTTTAAATTTTGAAAATTGATCAAAAAGTCTATGGCAATTGGTTTCTTCATCAAATTTTATGTTATTTTAGGCGTTTTTTGTTAATATCGATCAAAAAAAGTTGATTTTTGTTTTGTTTTTTACTTTGTTTCACCGTATGACATTCGTTGTTAAGTTCTAAAGTAATGTACGCTTCCAGAATTGACATAAAACAACGAGAACAAGACATATTTGGAGACCAAAACCTATATCTTCTCGAAAACTGGGAGAAGCTAAAGCAAAAAACTGAACTCAAGTCCAATGTCAAGATGAAAAAGTTTATTTTCAAAGAAGAATTAGAAGCATACAAGCGATTAAGAAGTGAAAACAAGGCCATGAAGTTGTTAAAGACTATATTCGACGCTATTACACATCGAAAAACGGTATTTTTGAAGAAAGGGGAGGTTCATTTCTTCGAATTTCGACTAAAAAACACGTTCGCTCAACATATTGATGTTGTTATTGATTTAAACTCGAGTAAATTACAAGTGGTGACCAACCATGATGAGTTGAAGTATGTTGAACAAAGATTGGGGATGAAGTTTGAAAAAGATTTGGTCAAGGGTATTGATGGTGAATATCACCTTTATTTGAAGTCGATGGAAACTCTGGCGATTCCTTTTAAGGTGGATTGTTTCGAGCTGAATGAGATGGAGAATAATCAGGCTTTTGAGGTTAAGGTAAAGGATTTTGGGCGTTATGGAGTCTTATTTGATGTTTTTGGAATAAAATACTTTTATATAGTTATCTAAACTACTATAATATCTTTTTCTTTTAATTTTTTGAAAAATTCAGTTTTAGTTATATATATTGTTATAGGCAATCTTCAAGAGCTCCGAAAATGGTGAACCAATATCAATATTGGAGTTGAATTGTCACAAGTTTAACACAATTACCAGTCAATCATTCAGATGGTTTTTGGAGGAAAATCAAAAGTTTGCCAGGGTTGTTAGGCTTTCAAGTAAGATATTATGATAACAAGCTTAATTTAAATTTTTTAATTGAAAAGTTTAAACTTTATGAATTTTTGAGCTGTTTTAGCTGTTTTTCAAAGAATTTTTAGCATTTTTTAAAGATTTTTATTTATTTTACTGATCCTAAACTATTTTTAAAAATTTTATAAAACAATCTCATTTCAGCCCAAACCAGAATTCAATCCTTGCGATGTACAGACCCAAACGTGCTATGCCTACTTCGAAACAATCCGACTTCAGGCCAAGAGATTGTGTTATCAGGCTTCTCCAGTGATTCTCCATTTTGTTTGGAGTTTCAAATTTACCTTTTCAAAGACGTCTTTCACTCCGAATTGGCATTAACATTGTCAATCACGGCACATTCGTTAAAACGCCTGAATGTTCAGACGATTCAAGGGCAGGCTTCAAGGATTCCAATGTGTTTTGGGTAAGGTTTTGATTGGTTTTTGATGTTTTAGAGGAATGGGACTTCGGTATGGATGTTTTTAGTATAATATTGTTGAATTTGCTTTTTGATACTCTTGGTAAATGGGTACAAAAGAGTTTTTGATATTATTGGTACTGGAAGATTATTTTTTAATTTTTAAATTTTCATAATAATGTTTTAAGTTCTTTAGAAATGACATAGAGCTAACGAATACCATGGTAAAGCTCTTTTCATCTTCGAAATGCCTTACAATTCAACCGACCGACAACATATTCATCGATGAGATGATAGCCAAGAATATGAAGGCTGTGGTACGACCTAACTTTCAAGGTATGGGCTTGTAGTACTTAAAATTTTTATGTTATTATTGTATGATCTTGTAGTACTTAAACATTTTTGTTTTACTTTGTATGGCCTTATAATACTTAAAAAATTCGTTTTACTATGGTATTACCTTGTAATACTTACATATTTCATTTTATAATACTATGGTATGACGTTCTAGTGCTTAAATTTTCATTTTATCTATAATATGACAGAGTAACGTAAAATTTCAGAACGAAAAGCGATTATCGTGACGGCTGTGGATGCGAATCTTCGAAAACTCCTCACCGGCTGGCTGTTCTACGTGTTTGTCACCAAACCGAACATTGTAAAAACTTTTAGAGTTGAAATTCCGCTAAATGCAAGGGAGAGGATTAGCAAGGTAGGATATTATCATGAATAATATCGATAATTAAAAGATGATGTCATTTACAGATTTACGTTATGTTAAAGGTGGTTAATGTAAATTAAGATGATATCTCATAGACTAAACTTTAAAAAGGAGTATATACAACTATTAAAAGACTTTTTAAATTTAAAAAGGATCGTCTAAAATTAAAAAAATGAAGTTTTTAGTAGTTATGACCTGTTTTTCAGAGAATACCAGTCGACAATCGATACCCAAGCACGAAAACCTTTAGGGTATGTAGTTCAAATGACAAGATCTTGACAATAGAACAAGATACGATTGAAATTGAAGGCGATTCATCAAAGAACATCAACGTTTTCTTTAATCCAGCTGCTTCCAATCGACCTTTCACTGTTAATGTAAGTGTTTTGGCTGTTTTTTCAATTTTTCTATATGAAAACTGAGTTTTTATGTTAGTTTATATGTTTAGAACTTAAAGCTTTATTTGGTTTGATGTTTTATTTGGTAATTACATTGTAAATTTGTTTTAAAAAATTATTTTGAAGCTTATCTCCAGTAAGACTTGTGTTAATGTATAATATAAAGCAACTTTCAGGAACTGTTTTACGTTGAAAATGCTCAAAATGGAAGTCAAGAAGAAGCATACTCTCTAGAGATTATTTATCAGTAATCAGGACAAAATTGAGAAAAAATGAAGGTAATGGTGAAGCATCTGATACCAAGTGTAATATAATTTTGGTTGAATTTTAACTTTATTGTTGTGGATTGATCTCGAATCGAATAAATAACGGGTTGTTGGTATCTTTGGGCTATTTTTTATTTAACTTTGATGTTATAAATGCTGTAGTTTTACAGTTATACTTAAAAGTTGGAGGTATAGGCATATTGGTGTGGATGCTGTTTTTAAGACTGGTGTTTTTAGAGAAAACTGTTAAATTCTAACCAAAATCAAAATAGAAAGGTTATAATTTATGATGTTGTTCTAGTGTAACATGATGTCCGACCTTTCCCAGAATTTTTCGGACAAAACCACATGGTCCAAGTTACAAAAATGCACGGTGAATGGTAAGTTAACGCTTGAATAACATGATTAATCCCCCTTAAAGCTGGTCCTAATTTGTAAATACGCGGCTTTGAAAGTATCCAGACATGGTAAACAAGCCATGAAATTTTAAGACCGTCTTCATGAGCTCATTTTGAATTTTTTAATGGACACGGAACAAAATAAAGGGACGGGGAGGGGTGTAATTTACGTTAACAACGCATAGTTACTGCAGTTAAAATTAACAAATATGCGATTATACATGCCTATTAGAAGAAAAAAACGGAAGAAAATTTAGGCTTATTACGCAAGTTTAGCCTTGTTACGCAATTTTAGGCTTAGCACACCTTTTTCAGGCTTATTACGCAAGTTAGGCTTAACACACATTTTTTAGGCTTATTACGCAAGTTTAGACTTATCACACATTTTTTAGGCTTATTACGCAATCGTAGGCTTAGCAAACATTTTTTAGGCTCATTACGTATATTTAGGCTTAGCGCACATTTTTAGGCTTATTACGCAAGTTCAGGCTTGGCACACCTTTTTTAGGCTTATTACGCAAGTTTAGACTTATCACACATTTTTTAGGCTTATTACGCAATCGTAGGCTTAGCACACATTTTTTAGGCTCAATACGCAAGTTTAGGCTTGGCATACTCATTTTTTAGGCTTATTGCGCAAGTTTCGGCTTAGCACACGGCTTTAAACACATATAGTAAAGAGTAGAATAGGATGGGGGGGGTAGGGTAAGGTAAGGTAATGCACGGGAATTAAAATGAACTTCGGAATGAAAGCTAAAAATTTTAAAATTCTATTACTATAATATAGTCTTTTATCAAATAATACTACCAAACTACTATAATCACCATCCTCCCCATTAATTTGGCCGCTCGGTTTTCTTTGTTTTTTTGCATTTACCACCGTTTGCCCTTTGGGCGTTCCGCTTTTCGGGCGGAACCTTTTGCCGAAGCCACGGGAATCCGAGATGAAGGCCTCGCATTCAATGAAACACATTGACGTCATGTTCGACAACAACATTTTCACAAAAAGAGAAAGCGGCCCGTCAATGTGACTGAAGGCTTTGGAGGGTAAATAGGGTGGGGAGAGAGGGGGGGGAGTGAGGTGTAAATAGTATGGAGGGGGGGGACATATGGCTTTGGAGGGTAAATAGTATGGAGACGAGGGGGGGGTTGGTTGAGTACGAAGAACGAGGCAGTTAGAGCAAAGTTTACAGAAGGTAGTAGATGTTTACACGCCATTCTTTTTGCATCAAGTTGCAAAGTGAGGTTTGCTCTGTAATGACAGTACGGTTGATAATCATTGTTCTAGTGTGTATTGTAATTCCATTGCGGGTGATAATCTTAGTAAGATGGTACATTTTTTGCATGCCATTCTTTTTGCATCAAGTTAAAAGGTGAGGTATGCTCTGGAATAATAGTACAAAGTCCTAGTGTGTACTGTAATCACATTACGGGTGATAATCTTAGTCTAGTTTGTACTGTATCGATAATTTTAGTATTGGATCAACCAAAAGTAGCGGGACGCTGTTTAGTTGACAAATAAATGAAAAGTGTCCCGTTACTTTTGGTTCAACTGAATAGTAGTGGAGACGGGGAGGTGTAGGTTTATCATCAGGAGAGGGGTAGTGAAAAGCGATTTTAGATCGACCAGGTTTGAAGTGTGGAGGAGGGTGTATTAAAAACTATGGATAACATTTGCAAAGCTGATATTCACGCCATTATTATATCTTCATCTTTCCTACCGTAAGCCTTAGTCACGCTTACTAGGGATTAACAAGCCCGCAATGCTTACATGAACTTCCAACATGTTTGGCTTTATTTAATTTGACTTACGTGGGGCTTCGTTTCGAGTGTGTATATGTAGCGTACTCAACGTTGTGTTATTCTTCTCTGCACCGTACTCAAATTTGGCTAGTTATCTCGTGCTCACAGGTCTTTTCTCTGTTTCTGTATCGTACTCTGCTGGGTTCAATGTGTCTCGGCATTATACTCATGTTTTGCTGTGTATCACGTGCTGAAGGAGCTTTTCTGTATCTCTGTATGGTACTCTGCTTCTATTTATCTCGTGCTCAAGGGTCTTCTTCTGTGTGTCAGCATCGTACTCAACTTTTTTTAATGCGTGTTGGCATCGTACTCAATTTTTGCTATGTATCTTGTAATCTCGTGCTCAAGGGTCTTTTCTGCGTCTTTGCATCGTACTCTGCTGGTTTCAATGTGTCTCGGCATCGTGCTCTACTTTTTCTAATGTATCTTGTGCATCAACCTCGCACGTTTTTTTCTGCGTCTCTGTATCGTACTTAAATTTTTTTTATTTAGTATTCAAGGGTCTTTTCTGTTTCTCTGCATCGTACTAAAGCTTTTCTACGTATCTCTACATCATACTCAACGAGTATACTTTTTGACTCTAGTTTTCTGGCTCTGTCATTCTCATGGTTGTGTCTGTGGACTCTTCTTTTCTCGCGATATTTTTCTGCAACTGTATGGTACTATGTTAGTATGTGTTCGGAATGACTTACCATCATGTTTTTTGCCTTTTTCTATTTAATTTTATCCCCCTTCTCTACTGTTTTAGCCTACTTTGTTGTGCTCACGATTACCCTCACTTTTAGTCTCATACTATTTCAGTACGTGTCTTTACTATCTTTAATCTTAGACGTCTGTACACTCTCTTCTTTTACTGTTATTACTCTACAACTCTAATTGAAAAAGCTTTCATACAATGCTACTCTCTGTAATTAGCTAAACGTCAACTCTGAACGTTCAAAAGTCTCTTGTTTTCACGTTGTATCTAGTGCTCTCTTTGCTTTAGGATTTGGGCTTGTAACTTTTATGTTTTAAATTTATGTTATCTTAGCTTAATATTGAAATACGTAGGTTAAGGTAGCTGAATCGTTGGGTAATTGAGCTAATCCGTTATGGAAGGATAGGATAAAGCCCTTTTTTCGAACAATTTTTAAAAATTGGTTAAAATACGCGACCTTAATTTTTCTTTATCATATAATGTTAAGCAATGACATAATGTTTTATTTAAATTTAGCCGTGAGTAAGCTTAGGCTTCGGTCTTGTAGGCTTAGAGTCAGTAGGGTTAAACTTGGTAGGATTTGAGACTTTAGGCTCAATGGGCTTAGGCATAGTAGGCTTAGGCTTAGTAGGCTTAGGCTTAGTAGGCTTACGCTTAGTAGGCTTACGCTTAGTAGGCTTAGGCTTAGTAGGCTTAGGCTTAGTAGGCTTAGGCTTAGTAGGCTTAGGCTTAGTAGGCTTAGGCTTAGTAGGCTTAGGCTTAGTAGGCTTAGTAGGCTTAGGCTTAGTAGGCTTAGGCTTAGTAGGCTTATGCTTCTTAAGCTTTGTTTTAGTAGAGGTAAGGTTATTAATCTCAAGTTTTTTGTCTAGTACAACTCCTTGACTTCTCCAACCTTCAGAATCCACAACTCTCTTCTTCCTCTTTCGTCTAACTTCTCTCCCCTCACCCTCTCTTTCTCTAATTTCCTCTCTCAAACCCCGAAAAACCCCTCGTCCTTCGTTTTTTCATGCCACGGCTTAACAGCGCTGCTGCGCACACGCTTTTCATGGAAAGCCCTGAGGACATGTATTGATTGTCCCAGACCGCCCTCAAGCCGCACACGGACCTGTCCCAAAAAACGGGCCAAACTCCGACCGGCGAAAGGAACGGTGCCGTCGAACATGGGCTTAGATTAGGTGTTAAACCCACTAGATATTAATCTGGACATTACATTGGGATTGTAGGGGAATGAGCGGTGTTTGGGTTGGGCATGGGTAGGGATTGTTGTGGGTTTTGTGGGTATGACGTCATTTAAGTTTTGGATTTTTGAGTTTTAAAATTTTTGGTTTTGAGTTGTTGTTAAGTATGATACGTATGTGTTTGTTATTGTTAGGGTGGGGGGGCGGGGGGGGACAAGCTTTGGGAAGCAGAAGGGAGGGGGGGGAGGGAATCAAGCCTTGGGACGTAGAAGGGGAGGGGGAGGGAGTTTGACGAAACTTATTTTTTTATATTTATCACAATTTTCTTATCAATAATGTTGATTTCTCATTGTATTTCACCTAAAATAACATTGTTAAGCCAAAAATGTTACCTAAAATTCGAATTTTTACCCAAATTTCCCGTTTTTTCCAAATTTTTTAACTCAAAATTAAAAACAATGCCTTTTAAAAAATGAAACCAAGAATTAACAACCTTATTGTCGACGTAACAACCTCGTTACTGATAAGGTTTTTTTCCCTAATGCAAGTGAGAATTTATTATTCTTTTCGGTGTTTAACGTCATACCGCAGCCGCAGGGCATTAAAGCGAGATTCCCGCGGAATTTTCCAAGAAGTTATTAAGACGATAGCTGGCTATGGCATAGTAAATCTTTGCCTATGCACTTTATATTATCTTAAATTTATATTATTTTAACCGATTTTTGGTTTTAAAGGGGTTTTTGGAGTTTTTAAAGCGTTTTTTGAATTTTAGTTAGAAGATTATGTTATATTACTGGCGGTTTTCAAAAAAAAATTATGACCACCTTATTTAAAAAAAAATTTTTTTTACCCCGCCCTTAAAATTTTTAAAAGAATACTTAGCCTGGCTTATTTATAGCGTTAGAAAAATATTTTTACCCTACCTTCAATCACCCTATCTTTTATTCAACCTCCCCCCCCCCTCCCGCCAACATTTTTTTCGCGTTAAGCCTAAACCGAGCCCAAAACCACGATTTCAATCAAAAAATATAACTTTTTTTTAGAATTATGCGGCGATGTGATCGAGGAACGGGGCTTAGTCTCTTCCTCATCCTGAATGTCGTCTTCTTAGACCTGGTCTCCTTCATTCATTCCGCTGAAGTGTTCACCAACCACTTCCTCGTCCACACCCATAAGCCCGGCATCGAGCACGCACATCAAGTCGCCAAGCGACACGGCTTCGTGAACCGCGGACCGGTGGGTTTTGGCACTAGTTTTGTTTTAAATTTTTAAATTAAAAAATTTTCGGAAATTTAAAAAATTTTGAAAATTTAAATTTTAAGCCTAAAAATCGAAATAATGGGTTTAAAATGATTTTAAACGTTTAGGAAAATGATTTTATTGTAAAATACGAATATTGTTAATTTTTTTAAATTTGAAAAAATTTTAGAAAAATTTTTAATTTCGAAAAATTTTAAAATTTAAATTTTAAGCCTAAAACTTGAAATAATGGGCTTAAAATCGCTTTTAAACTTTTAGAACAAGGATTTTATTGTAAAATACGAATAGTTAAAATTTTTGAAATTAAAAAAAAAACTAAAAAAATCAAAACATTTTAAAAAAAATTTTTTAAAAAAAATTTAGTTTCAAGGCTAAAACTCGAATTAATAGGCTTAAAATGGCTTGCTAACTTTCAGATTTCTTTTGTAAAATACGCTTGAGATATCTATTTAAATTTTAATAATCTTTTACATAATACCTAAATACAACCAAAGATGAATCCGAAAAGGTCAACTGCCATTCTTAATGATATTGCGTGCTTAAAACACGGACAATCCGTTTTTTACACGGAGCACGAGATCCACGAGTATCAGAAAACGTTCGTGTTTCATTTTTTTCCGTGCTCTCTCCACTTTTACCTAATTAGCTACCGTAGTCCACGCTCGTTGAGTGCCTAAATCAATAAGAGGAGGTTAAAAAAGGAAATTATTAACCACCTACGGGAATTATCTAGTACTGTGAGTAAATTTTTGGTATTGTGGGTAGAGAGCTGTACCCTCAGTACTAGGGAGGATATAAAGGTTGGGCGCTCTACCTCTGCCCGGTGATGTAGGGTTGGTACCTTCCGCTTGTCCTAAATAAGTCAATACTGTACTCAATCTTGCCTAATCATTGATATAGTACCAAAGAATAATCATTAATACAGTACTAAAAAACACTCGTTCATAAAGTACTAAATAGTACTCATTGATACAAAAACTAAAGAAAGTAGAGCACGTTGAAGAAAGATATAACGATCCACCATTTCAGGTACTTGGCTCGGACACTCAATGGCACTTTGTACATAGCGGACTTTCTCATGCTCGCACTCGACGATCGGTTGGACATCATGTAAAACTTAACAAGGATAATGATGTGAGTTTTTAATATTGTTTTCTTGTTCTATTTTTGTTTATAGGTTTAGCTGAGTTATGCTTAGTAGGCTTAGGCTTCGTACACTTAGTCTCAGTAGGCTTAGGCTCAGTAGGCTTAGGCTTGGTAGGCTTAAGCTTAGTAGGCTTAGGCTTAGTAGGCTTAGGCTTACTAGGCTTGGGATCAGTAGGCTTAGTGGGCATACGCATTGTAGGGTTAGGCCTAGCAGATGTTACAGTAGATAACAGTAGAATTTGGGTTTATAAATGGTATATATACAGTAATATGGCAAATCACAAGTGATGCCTTGCAGAAATATAGAGTAAGATCCCAGCACTCGCAGTCATTTGTTGGGTCGTTTTACATCGAGGCAAATATTATATAAAACTACAATATTACATAAGAAAACGTTGCGCAATACGATTCCTGACAATTTCTCTAAGGCTATGTCATTATATAATAGCATTATATTAGGTAACACTGCACATAGTTTACAAAATTTGTAGCTGATACGATGTTTCAAGCTTAAACTTAATGCTTTTGAGGCTTTACTAAAACACGACAAGCCTAAACTCCTGAACATCTCAATAAACAACCCAAAACTATGATAAAACAAATGTTTAGGTAGCATACGCGGAGCAAATGACCGGCTACCGTCGGCTGAAGCGCGGCTACCGGCCGTTGGAAGAGCGTCTTCAAGAACAACTCGACTTCACGGCCGTTCAATCGCCCTCGGACCCGTTGTATCCGTACCAGTGGTACCTGAAGAACGTCGGCCAATCCAACGGCAAGCCCCGACTGGACTTGAACGTGGAGAAGGCCTGGGCCATGGGAATCACCGGCAAGAACATCACCACCGCCATCATGGACGATGGTGTGGATTACATGCATCCTGACCTCAAGAACAACTTTGTAAGGGGGTTTTGGAGTTTTAGATGAAGATGGGGTTTATTGTTGAATTATAGGGCTATATTGTAGTAGCTTAGGTATAGAGATTACGGCAATTTAGCCTTTTAAGTTTGTAGTACTAAGATATTGAGAAGAATTGAGTTTATATTGTTTTAGAACGCCGAAGCCAGCTACGATTTCAGTTCAAACGATCCTTTCCCATATCCACGATACACTGATGATTGGTTTAACTCTCACGGAACTCGGTGAGTCGTAACATCTTGTTTTACTGATTGATTTTCTACTGGTAGTCACAAAAAAGCTATGGTTAATCTTTTCGCCGCAATAACACTTAAAAATTTATATTATCATACCTTTTTGAAGTAGAATAATATCAACTATAAGATGTAAAGCCAAATTTTAAACTGATATTCCAACTCCAGATGCGCCGGCGAAATCTCGGCCGCCCGTGACAACGGAATCTGCGGCGTCGGCGTCGCCTACGACAGCAAAGTCGCCGGAATCCGCATGTTGGACCAGCCCTACATGACCGACCTGATCGAAGCCAATTCCATGGGCCACAAACCCGACCTCATCCACATCTACTCCGCTTCATGGGGCCCAACTGACGATGGAAAAACCGTCGACGGACCAAGAAACGCCACGATGCGTGCCATCGTCGAAGGTGTGAACAGCGGCCGCAACGGACTCGGCTCCATCTTCGTATGGGCTTCCGGAGACGGCGGAGAAGACGACGACTGTAACTGCGATGGTTATGCCGCTTCCATGTGGACCATCTCCATCAACTCGGCCATCAACAACGGCGAAAACGCTCACTACGACGAATCCTGCTCATCAACCTTGGCTTCCACCTTCTCGAACGGAGGCCGAAACCCGGAAACTGGCGTCGCTACCACCGACTTGTACGGCCGTTGCACCCGCAGCCACAGTGGAACCTCGGCCGCTGCTCCCGAAGCCGCCGGAGTGTTTGCTTTGGCATTGGAAGCCAATCCACAGATCACCTGGAGAGACCTTCAACATCTGACCGTCCTGACCTCAACCCGAAACTCACTGTTCGATGGAAGATGTCGTGAACTCCCAGAACTCGGCATCAAGGACAACCACAAGGTCAAGAAAGGCAACTGCACTCACTTTGATTGGCAAATGAATGGCGTTGGACTTGAGTATAACCATCTGTTCGGATTCGGTGTTTTGGACGCGGCCGAAATGGTCCAATTGGCCATGGTTTGGAAGACGGCTCCACCACGATTCCATTGTGAAGCTGGTACTATCGATACCCCACAGTGAGTTTGGTTTTTCATTGAAATAGAGGGAAGGGTGCAAAAAATAGGTAACAAATAGTGATGAACAATGAAAAATCAAGCTTTTAGCTTGGGAATTTGTTTTATGTTAATGTAGATCAATCTTAAAGTACTAAAAAGGTAATTTAGCTGATTTTGTCCCTAAAAATCAAAATTATTACCTAAAATTCTAAAACATGTTATCCTTCCTTGCCTTTAGGGAATTTTAGCTCTTTTTCCGTTCCCAAACTTAATTTATACCTACTTTCCTTCAGTGAGATCCCCGACGACGGAAACCTGGTCCTCGAACTGAACACCGACGCCTGCGCCGGCTCCGCTACCGAAATCAACTATCTCGAGCATGTACAAGCGGTTGTTACCCTGAACAGCAGCCGACGAGGAGACACCACCTTATACCTGATCTCACCATCCGGCACTCGCACCATGATCCTGTCAAGAAGACCCAAGGACGACGATTCGAAGGACGGCTTCACCAACTGGCCCTTCATGACCACCCACACCTGGGGCGAGAACCCGCGCGGTCGCTGGAGACTGGTCGCTAGATTCCAGGTAATTTTGGGCGAAATGGTTTTTAAAATGTCAAAATTTTCTAAATTTAAAAGTTAGGACAATTTTACGTTCTTTTAGTCCAAACTCATAAGAGAAACTTGAAAAGGTATCATTTTTGACAATAAAACTGACTTGCAACAGAATGCCAAGAGTGTTTGGCATTTAATTTTTTTTGTTGTGGGACCAAACCTTCTTTACAGTGTTAAATAGAAACAACCACACCTTTTGTTCACATATTCTAAAAACTCATTTTCCGCCAAGTTATGACCATGTAAACCCCGTATCAATTATGCAAATTACGTAAATCCATTCTTTGCAGGGTACGGAGAAACATCGCGGAACGTTGAAGAAATTCACGCTGATGCTTCACGGTACCAAGGACGCGCCGTACGTCGGAATCGAGCCACTCGAAGGCCACCGAAACGCCAAGTTGCAGCTCGTGCAAACGGCCCACAAACGCATGGTTCAGTAGACGCGACCGGTCTATTGTCAAACATCTTCTTCATCCCACCATCCTACTGACGAAACGAACGTTCTCTCTTCTCTTGTGTGAATTTCCTTGGTACTTTTCCTTCTTTTTTCGAGTATTTTGCGATTTTTGGCGTTGTTGGCTTCCACGAAACGTTGGAGCGGTTCCCGGGGACTGTTTGGGACGGCTGGAGACGGTTGGGGCCGCGTTTGGTTGTTCGGTTTTTGGGGAGGAGAATATAAATTTTGAGCTGAAATTTTAATTTTTGATTAGTTTTTGAAAAATTGAAGATTTTTTCAAGTTTTAAATACAAATTCAAGGTTTATTTTAACGTTTTACAGATCAAAAACTTAATTTTAAGGCCGTTTTGTTTCATTTCAACCTAACTTAACATCAGAAACTTCAATTTTTATTAACTTTTGAGACAATATCTCTCAACAAATTAAATTTCAGCTTAAAATTTTAACTTTCTAGTCCAAAAACACCCAAATTTTAGCCTCTAACACTAAAATTTCAGCTGTTCGCGGCCAATCCAAGCGGTTTTTTTTCGATCATCTCGGTTATCAGGCGGTTTTATCATTGTTTCAAGCGAGTAAATCCAGTTGAGCGGTTGTAATTTAATAAATTAATACGTTGACGCTGATTCTCATTCCATATGTAAATTTGGTTTTACAGTAAATTGGCATATATGTTTGACGGTCGATTATTTTGGCTACGTTTTTGGAAATAAATTTTAAATTTTTATACCTAAAATAAGGTTTTTAGTACTATTTTGGACTTAAATATCTTGTCTGGTACATCCTAGTAGTTTTTAAAGTCCTTTCTTCTGGTTATACTTGCAGTACCATCTATTAGGTGCCGACATAAAGAAGCCGCCATTTTTTACAGGAAATTGCAGGAAAAGGATGGCGGGTTCTTTATGTCGGCACCTAATAGTAAAATTAAGATCAAGCTCCATCGCCAATTCTAATATCTTCTAATCCTCTTCTATCTCCAACTGTACTCTCTTCATTTCCCGCACTCTCTCGTCGATCCCAGTGTATTTATTTATTGTGTATTATAGTTGTTTTTTATTAATATCCGAGAGACTTAGATAAAACTGGTCCATCTTTGTGTGTTTGGAAATTATTAACATTTTTTATTTTTTTTCGAAATTTTTTGAAATTTTGAAAATGAAAAAGGAGGTTTTAATTAATTTTTAAATTTTAGTAGAGCTAGTGAAGTGAGACTAAAATTGACTAAAATACGGTTTGGATAATGTAAAAGTTGAACTTTAATATTGAAAATAATAGTTGAAGTTTTGAACTGGCATACAAAGTAAAATTTATTAAAAATGGTCTTAGTTTTTACTTGTTTTTGAATTTTTTATATTGGGCGTATAGCTTAAAATCTATTTTTTTCTTTACTTTTATGTCCATTCTTTTCTTCTTTCTCGGTTTCTATTGCTTATGAAATCTCATGTCTTTTCTGGTACTTATCCTTCCTTTACCTCAATCCTCTAAAAAAAATACAGTGGAACTCCTGTATACATCCCCCGGGGACTTGAAATTTGTTCGTTATAGCGGAGTTTCGTTATAGAGGAGTTTTAAATACACTGTGTGGTGGTAGACGGGGAACAGTTGTTCGTTATACAAGAGTTTAGTTATAGAGGAGTTCGTTATACAGGAGTTACACTATATATATCTTAAGACATAGTACCGTTACAGAAGCAAAAAGCTAACAACTTTTTTAATAGTAACTTTTGAAATAATTTAGGTATGTTTTAACAAAAACCTGACCAATTTTACAAAATAAACCACTTTTTTTGCGTTAATTACCTACAAAACCATTTTCTACGTTTGTTCTTCAAAGGTTAATAGATACACCTCTTGACACCGTTTCAACAAAATTATAATACCTTTCCTACCTATTTACACAAAGGTTTCTAAGTTTATTTCAAAAAACGTTTGCAAAACAACCTGTTTTACACAGGTTTGTAACCCAACTCATGTATAACATAGCGATACATGAGTTCATATGCCGTTTCCTAAACATAATTGAAATTTAATTGAGCAAAGTAAAGTTTTCAAAGCCTAAACGAAAACCATGTTGAAAAATGTGATACGAAGGTTGTGACGCTAGGTTTTTCGTTAAAAATGAATTTATTAAACGTTTCATTTATTCTTATTCATCAGACGGAGGCGTTGTAAGAGTTTAATTGTCAGTTCATTTGGTGAACAGTCTTTAGACTTTATGTTCGGAAAAAATGTGGGAGATTTTTTAAGTTTTAAAGCCAACATAATTAGGCTTGTGAAACAAGTTTAGATTTAGCACTCATTTTTGAGTTTATCATCCAAATTTAGGCTTATGCACTTAGGCTTAGCACGGATTTGTGACGCTATCAAGGCTTCTTACGCAAGTTTAGGCTTAAAACAGATTTTTAGGTTTAGCAATCATTTTTTAGGCCTATTACTCAATTTTGGTTTCACCACTCTTTTTTATGCTTGTTACGCAAGTTTAGGCTTATTGCATAAACTTTTAGGCTTAGCACAGATTTTTAGACTTATTGCGGGAGTTTAGGCTTATTGCGTACAGTTTTAGGATTACTACGCAAGTTTAGGCTTGGCACACATTTTTTTAGGCTTAGCACACATATTTTAGGCTTATTACGCACTTTTAAGCTTAGGACACATTTTTAGGCTTAGCGCACATTTTTTAGACTTATTAAGCAAGTTAGGGTTAGAGTAGGTTAGGGTAAGGTAGGATAAAGTGGAATAAGATGGGCAGAGTAAAATAGGAGAAGGTATAAGCTCGTTTACCTCAATGTAAACACGACGACGCTAACCTAATATCAGCAGCAGTGATCATGTCAAGTTTAAGTGACATGTTCCGTAAGATTTTTTTTGTTCGTATGATCATCTTCTCATTGTCTCTGATTTAATGAGCATTATTATTTCATACCTCCGGTTTTTTGCGCGCGGTTTCCTTTCCCGTTCCAAACCGCATTTCAAGGTAAAATATTATAGGTTTTGAATACGTGAAAGGGAAACGTATACGACAAGTTTACGTTGTTCAGAGTGTTTTTGAGATGTTTTAGTTTTTTATATTATTTTAGGTTTGAGATTTGTCTTAAAAATTTTGGGTAGGGCAAGATAAATAAGGCAAATTTACGCTTAACACAATTTTTTAGGCTTATTACGCAAGTTTAGACTTAGCACATATTTTTTAGGCTTATTACGCATGTTTAGGCTTAGCACACATTTTTTAGGCTTAGCACATATTTTTAGGCATAGCACACGTTTTTTAGGCTTAGCACACGTATTTTAGGCTTAACACACCTTTTTTAGGCTTAGCACACATTGTTTAGGCTTAACGCGTATTTTTAGGCTTATTACGCATGTTTAGGCTTAGCACACATTTTTTAGACTTAGCACATATTTTTAGGCATAGCACACGTTTTTTAGGCTTAGCACACGTATTTTAGGCTTAACACACCTTTTTTAGGCTTAGCACACATTGTTTAGGCTTAACACGTATTTTTAGGCTTAGCACACTTTTTGTAGGCTTAACGCACATTTTTAGGCTTATTACGCATGTTTAGGTTTAACACACGTTTTTTAGGCTTAGAACACCTTGTTTAGGCTTAGCACACATTTTTAGGCTTAACACACATTTTTTAAACTTAGCACACATTTTTAGGCTTAACACTTTTTTTAGGCTTAACAGATATTTTTAGGCTTAATACACATTTTTTAGGCTTAACACACGTTTTTAGGCATAGCTCACTATTTAAGGTAGGATAAGGTAGGGATGGGCCGAATAGGTCAAGGTAGGGTAGGGTAATGTGAGGTAATGTAGAGTACATGAAGAAGGAGGTGGTTATCTCAACGCTGTTTAACAATTACTATTTACTTAAAATTCAAAATTTTAAAATTTTAATAGGGTTTTAAAATTTCATAGTCCATCACAAAATGGGGTCGTTCTATGGGATTTTAATTATGTATAGTATAACATTATTTAAAAAACCGTCACGGTTATTATGCGTTTTGTAAACAAAATGTGTTAAAACTTGTTTTGAGTTGAAAAATAAACATGTTTTCAAGTGTTATGCTGGTTCTTATGTTGAAAAACCACAAGTTAAGCTTGTTTTTAAATATTATAAGGTATAGTGGTTATATGAAAAAGCAAAAAATTTTCTAATTTAGTAAAAAATTTAATTTTTTAAACGAATTTAAGCCTAAAAATGTTTTTTTGCTGCAAAATATGATAAAATTTAAAAATTAAAAAAATTAAATTTTTAAAATTAAAAAGTTAAATTTTTTTCACCGAATGTGAGCCTAAAAATTTTTTTTTGCCTTTAAATGCGATAAAAATTTTTAAAATTAAAAAATGATTTTTTTCCCAAACGTAAGCCTAAAATTTTTTTTTACTTTATGCTGATATAAAAAGTTTACAAGTTTAATAATTTTTTTTAAGTTTTGTTTGCCCAATAATGACAAATAACTGTCATTTTCAGTCAAACACATCATGGGAACGACATTATTTTCTTTATTATATCCAAACATAATTTATTTGAGATTTCCAATTAGAATTCAAACTTTTAATGCCTTTTTTGATGATTTTTGGGGAAATAATTTTTGCTCCACCCGCTAGGATTTGAATAATTTGAAATTGTGAAAAGGACGCGATTAACAACTTTTTGTAGTTTTATTCGTTTTCAACCCATACTTTGATTATTTGTCATTTTGACCTAACATAACATTAAGTTATAGTATCAAAATTGTGTTCAACTGGCTAAGTCACGTAGGTTTTTTTTGTTTTGTTAGGTTAGGGCAGAGTAGGATGAGGCAGGATAGAGCATGGTATGGTGGGCAGGGTAGGGCAAAGTAAGGTACAGACATGGGGAACGGGTTGGGCCGGCCTGAATGTTAGGCCCGGCCCTATTTGAGTTTTTCGGGCCGAATTTTTTTAAGCGGGAACGGGCCGGGCTTTTTGCGGGCCGGGCCGGGCTTTTTTGGGCCGGGCCGGGCTTTTTCGGGAATTCCAGGCTTGGCCCAATCATAATATTGCTCAGGCCCGTTTTCCATGTCGTGTAAAGTAAGTTAGGGTAGGATATGGTGGGGAATGGTAGGATAGTATAGCTTACGGTAGGGTAGAGTAGGGTAGGGTAGGATAAAGTAGAATAGAGCAGGATAGGGTACCAGGACAATTCTTTTTTAAGTCAAGTTTTTAATGTAAAGTAAGTTGAAAGAATCACCCAGTTATGACTAAAACATTGTGTGAAATGACCTTGATCCAGTTCAATAAGACGATTTTGTGACTTTCGTTTTTTCTTTATCGTTAAATTAAAATTAAATTTAATGCTTATTTTAACTTTTTTTTAAATTTGTATGAATTTTTCAAGGCTTGGAAAATTTTCTTTTTTGATTTATTTAGCTGGTTACTAATTATTAAAAAATTTGTTTTGACACATTGACTTGCGGCTCATATAAAATACGGTTGTTATTATTTTGAGTATATAAAGTATAAAAAAGATTGATATTTTAAAAATAGGACATGTTGTTTTAGATATGGGTTTGAGCAACGGCCAAGAGGCCGATGAAAGGCCACTGAAGCCTCGACGGACTTATAAGGCTGATGAAACGCCATCGCCTTTCATCTGTTTGCTATTTGGATTTCAGGTAATATTTTCAATTTAAAAAAAAATTTTACGCACCACACCCCCCCCCCTCAAAAAAAATTTTTTTTGAAAAAAAATGGTTTAAAAATACTTTCCGGTTGATATAATCGTATTTTACATTCAAAAACCAAACATTTTTTCAGCAAGTGATGGTATGTGTATCAGCCCTTCTGGTAATCCCATTCTTACTGTCTAGCTACATGTGTGCTGGTAGTAACGAAAACCATCTTCGCGTTGAACTCATCTCATCAACTTTTGTAGCCTCGGGCATTTCGACTTTAATTCAAACCGGGTTTGGCATGAGATTGGCATTGTTACAGGGAACGGCGTTTGCTTACGTACCTTCAGTAGAAGCCTTCAACTTGTTGCCGGAGAATGCTTGTAACTACAATTCAAGCCAGCCTGCACCTCAAAGCGAATACTATGGGAGGTTGAGATATGTGAGTGATGTTATATAGGAGGGACAATTGTAAAATTATATTGTAGTAGGCAAGGTAAGTAGGATAAGTCATCACAGAGTATGAAAGGGTAAGGAAGGGTATACTAGAGCAGGACATGGTAGGGTAGGGTAAGATATTGTAGGGTATAGTAGGGTAGAGTAGGGTAGGGTAGGGTAGGGTAGGGTAGGGTAGGGTAGGGTAGGGTACGATACACTAGATTACGTTTTTTCTTTGTAAACAAAGTTCTTGCGACTGTCCAAATCGATTCAAAATTCAATTTTAGATCCAAGGTTCTTTACTATTATCAGCACTAGTACCAATGTTAATTGGATGTACTGGTTTAGTGGGTATGTTGACAAAGTTCATTGGGCCTATCACGGTATCTCCATTGATCTTACTTTTAATGGCATCCTCAGTAGAGATGTGTGTCAAACGAATGGAACAACATTGGGTTAGCTTGATGTAAGTTGGTACAGTTTTTATAAAAATTGGTACTATTTTTTTGATTTTTGGTACTATTTTTAAAACTTTGGTCCCGTTTCTGAAAATTTAGTACTATTTTTAAACTTTTGGTACAATTTTTAAAACATTGGTACCGTTTTTATAAAATTTGTACAATTTTTAAATTTTCGTACTTTTTTCGAAATTTTGGTACTCTTTTGAAAGTTTAGTACATTTCTTAAACTTTTGGTACTACTTGACAAATTTTGGTACTGTTTTTAAATAATTGATACTATTTTGAAATTTTGGTACATTTCTTAAACTTTTGGTACTACTTTTTAAATTTTGTTTTTACTTTTCATATTTTGGTACTATTTTTAAATTTTGGTATCGTTTTTGAAATTGTGGTACCGTTTTCGAAGTTTTTGTACTATTTCAGAAAATAGTTTAATACACATCTTAAACTTTTAGTACTATTTTTCAAATTTTGGTACATTTTTTAAACTTTTGGTACTACTTTTAAAATTTTGGTACAATTTCTAAAAATTAGCCAAATTTCTAAAATTAACCGTCATTTTTAATTTTCAGTCAAGCAGCCACCTTGTTCGTAACCGTACTGTATCTGGCCGAGCTTCGTATACCTATTCCCGGCCGAAAGAACGGTAAATTCCACTGGTACAGAGTGAATTTGTTTGGCCAATACCCATACTTGATTGCCATTTTGATTTCATGGGGCTTCTGTGCTATTCTGTCGCTGCTGGAGTTGGTTCCGGCCGAAAGCGCGGCTCGTACTGATAAGATCAGGAACTTGGAGGTAGGGATTTTAAACTTTTTTTATATGGCAGGGGTGAGTTTTGCGGGGGGTTAAAAATTTTTTTTGCAAAGCGAGATAATTTGTTTTTAAGGCAAAGCGGTCGCAAAATTTTTTTTCGTGGGCGGGGTAAAAATTTTTTGGGAGGGGGGGGGGGGGGTAAATTAAAACGAAATTTTATTTTGACTTGAACTTCAAACATAATATCATTGTTAGCTCTGTAAATTTTTAAACATCACATTTTCAGGCCATTTCCAACGCGCCCTGGTTCAGAGTACCGTATCCAGGCCAGTTTGGTCCGCCAAGGTTCAATGCCTCTTTATTCTTTGCTTTCTTAGTATCAGCTTTAACTTCTGTATTTGAATCTGTAGGAGACTACCATGCTATAGCCAGGGTATCTGAAGAGAGATCACCCCCATCTCATGCTATAAACCGTGGCATTTTGGCTGAAGGCATGGGCAGTTTTGTCAGTGGACTTATTGGACCTGGTGTTGGGTTAACTACTCATACTGAGAACATTGGTGTTATTGGCATTACTAAGGTAAGTATAGCATATGGTATAAAATATTTTTTTGTACCATCCGACCCTACCCTATCCTACCGTACCCTGCCCTATCCTACCCTATCTTACACCCTACCCTACTCTACTTTACCAAACACTAACTTACCTTACCCTACAATACCTTGCCCTACCCTAATTAAAAAAATTCTAGGTAGCCAGCCGAACCACGATGATAGTAGCCGGTTGTCTGTTGATTTTCCTAGGCCTATTCACCAAAATTGGCGCTGTTTTATCGACCATCCCAGAGCCATTGGTTGGCGGTGTGTTGGCCTCATCTATGGCCATGGTCGGCGGTGTTGCCATAGCCAATGTGCAGTCGGTGGATTTGAATAACTCCAGAAATGTCGCAATTCTCGGATTCTCATTAATGGTCGGGCTTATCGTGCCGAATTACTTCACTAAACATAGCCCTTCGTCTGGTAAGCCTAAACTTGTGTGTTAAGCCTAAAATTGCTTAGTAAGCCTAAACCTGTGTGCTAAGCCTAAAATTGCGTAACAAGCCTAAAAAATGTGTGCTAAGCCTAAAAATTTTGCTCAAGCATAAAATTGTGTGCTAAGCCTAAAATTTTCTTCTAAGCCTAAAATTTTTGTTAAGCCTAAAATTTTGTGTTAAGCCTAAAAATTTTGCTCAAGCATAAAATTGTGTGCTAAGCCTAAAATTTATGTTAAACCTAAAATTTTATGCTAATCCTAAAATTTTTTCTAAGCCTAAACTGTTAAACCTAAGCTAGCGTGATCAGTTCAAAATTGTGTACTAAGCCTAAAATTGCATAATAAGCCTAATATTCCCATACCGTACCTTTCTCTACAGTACGCTATCTCAATAACACATCTAATTTTAGGCTGGGAAGAGTTCGACAAGGTGTTCCGAGTCCTCATGAACATGCCCTTCTTCGTTGGCGCGGCTACAGCTTGCATCCTGGACAACACCGTACCCGGCGCTACTCGTACTCAACGTGGACTACGAGAACGTGGCATGGGCCATGAGTTTGGGCCTAGCAATCGTGACATTTATGCGTTCCCGGACTGGGCCATGAACTTGTTAGAGAAGTTCCCGGCTTTAAAAATACTGCCATTCATACCTAAAGAGAAGAAAATGTCGTCGAATCGAGTACAAGATAGTACGGTTTCGCCTTGATAAGGCCTTTAAGCTATCTTATTGTACATAAACGAGATTTTAACTTGGTGCTTGAGGTTTTATATGGCATTACTTGCCACTTAAAATTTATCTTTCGGTTAAAATTTTAATTTTTAAAAATTTTTTTAAATTTCAAAATTTTTCAAAAAATTTTAGGTAACAAAAATGAGACAAGTAATTTATGAGCTGTAAATACACTCAAGATAATATCAATTTAACGCAATTACAACTACAGAAATACTATTTGAATTTTGAGATTTTCTACGAGGTACTACAGTATGAGTATATAGTAAGGATATTGACCGGTATAACAATATAACAGCTGATTTTATACACAAACGTTTAGCTGCATTATCGTAAAAGGGTAAAAAACCATATCATAGTGGTATGAAGACTAGCTATATTAATATTAGATTGTATAAAAAGAAATGAGCTATTGTATAAAAAGTAATGAGCTATTGTACAAAAAGTAATGAGCTATGTCTCATAGGGAAATACGTATAAAAAGTAATGAGCTATGCCTTATAGCTAATTTTCAAAAAACTCAGTAGCTCATTACTTTTTATACAACCTGATACAAACATTTTCAAAAAGTTGGTAGCTCATTGTTTTTTATACAACCTAATATAAAATAATTTAAGTTAATTTACAACTTTTAAACTACAGTAATTATGAACATACCAAACTTATAATTAAACATAGTATAAGGAAGACCATGTATTAGGTGCCGACATAAAGAACCCGCCATATTTTGCCTCTAATTTCCTGTAAAAAATGGCGAATTCTTTATGTCGGCACCTATAATCAAAGCCGAGCAATCCATTTACAGTTCAGTATGTCGAGTTTTTGCGTCTTCTGCTTCGTATAGGTAGTCCATGTACTCTGAGTATGGATCAATGTTTTCGAATTTGTGAAAAGATATTGGTGGTATCTTGGCAATGTATCTCGGATCGTATTCTTTTCGTTGTGCTTGATGGAAGGCTTGAGAATGGAGGATTGGGATGTGGAGGCGGCGGGCACAGGCTCCTTAAGAGTGATATAACATTATTACTTCTGAAATCAAAAATTAAAAATTTTTAAAAAAAAAGCTTACCAATGATCATATCATCAGGAGAATCAAGTTGAGGGCATTCGCAAGACACGGCTAAATGTCTGGCTGCTTCTCTTGATATTACAAACCTATAACAACATAAATTAATAGCATCAGAAGCTCTATCTCAATCTGAACACGGTGCCTTGTACCTAAAAGTCATAAATAGAACCCCCCCCCCCAAAATATTTTCGAAAAAAGTTGAACGTGCTGTGGATTTTTCGACCCCCGCCCCCAGACCAAAAGCCCCCGCCCTCCCCTGCCCATACATCTACTTAATGTATTAGGCGCCGACATAAAGAACCCGCCATACTTTTCCTGTAATTTCCTGTAAAAAATGGCGGGTTCTTTATGTCGGCACCTAATACAGGGTGTCCAGAGAAAAGTGGAAGAAAGTCCAGGCTTTGTTTTCAAAAAATAGAAGTCCAAATTGGCTGATTCTTTTTTTGTTAGGCTTCTAATAGCATGCGGATTTGTTCTGTATGATTTTTTTGATTATTCGGCGGAGGCTCGGCGAAGACCGGCGGACGGTATTTACAGTGTTTTTAAAGCTATTTCAAAGCATTTTGTATTGCTACTCACGTTTTGGCTCTTTTTTAAATTTAATTTTTTAATTTTTACTAAAATTTGGTACCATCGGCGGAGAAATTCGGCGAACGCCATAACTCAGCCAAATATTGATATTTTTCTTCCAAACAAAAACCAACGTTTTTTATGTTTGTTTGCCCTCAAAATAAACTACATTTGGTAATTTTCAAACTTGTGCACAAAAATCGGCGGAGGCCATAACTTTGTTCAAAATCAATATTTTGACTTCAAACAAAAAACATTTTGCTTGTATGGAAATCTTCTTTAAAATGATAAAGTTTTACAAAATTTAGTCAAAAACAAAAAAATCGGCGGAGAGCCCGATTATCGGCGGAGACCATAACTTCGTTCAAAGTCAATATTTGAACTTGAAGCAAAAACCATTATGTTTGTATGGAATTCTTCTTTCAATTAATAAATTTTGATAAAATTTAAACAAAAATTAAAGAATCGGCGGAGAGCCCGTTTATCGGTGGAGACTATAAATTTGTTCAAAGTCAGTATTTTGAATTCAAACAAAAACCATTAGGTTTGTATTCAAATATTCTCTAAAATAATAAAATTTGATTGTCTTAAAATAAAAACTAAAGAATCGGCGGAGAGTATGTTTATCGGCGAAGGACATAAATTTGTTGAAAGTCAATATTTTACTTTTAAACAAAAAACAGTATGTTTGTATGTGGTACTTCTTTAACATAATGAAATTTCGTTACACATTTGCTTTTAACGTCAGGAGACCGAAACATTATTTTTATCGAGAAGAAATTTTTTGTAAAAGTTAAATAACTTAACTAATATGTACCAAGAGATACAAACATATCGTTTTTTGTTTGAAGCTAAAATATTGACTTTGAACAAAGTTATGGCCTCCGCTGATAATCGGGCTCTCCGCCGATTCTTTCGTTTTTGTTTAAATATTGTAAAAACTGATTAAACCAAAAAAGATCTCCATAAAAACATAATGATTTTTGTTTCAAGTCAAAATATTGACTTTGAACAGAGTTATGGCATCCGCCGATAAACGTGATCTCCGCCGATTCTTTAGTTTTAATTTAACGTTTACCGAACTTTACAAATTTGAAGAAGTATTACATAAAAACATAATTTTTTTTGTTTGAATTTAAAATATTGACTTTCAACAAATTTATGTCTTTCGCCGATAAACATACTCTCCGCCGATTCTTTAGTTTTTATTTTAAGACAATCAAATTTTATTATTTTAGAGAATATTTGAATACAAACCTAATGGTTTTTGTTTGAATTCAAAATACTGACTTTGAACAAATTTATAGTCTCCGCCGATAAACGGGCTCTCCGCCGATTCTTTAATTTTTGTTTAAATTTTATCAAAATTTATTAATTGAAAGAAGAATTCCATACAAACATAATGGTTTTTGCTTCAAGTTCAAATATTGACTTTGAACGAAGTTATGGTCTCCGCCGATAATCGGGCTCTCCGCCGATTTTTTTGTTTTTGACTAAATTTTGTAAAACTTTATCATTTTAAAGAAGATTTCCATACAAGCAAAATGTTTTTTGTTTGAAGTCAAAATATTGATTTTGAACAAAGTTATGGCCTCCGCCGATTTTTGTGCACAAGTTTGAAAATTACCAAATGTAGTTTATTTTGAGGGCAAACAAACATAAAAAACGTTGGTTTTTGTTTGGAAGAAAAATATCAATATTTGGCTGAGTTATGGCGTTCGCCGAATTTCTCCGCCGATGGTACCAAATTTTAGTAAAAATTAAAAAATTAAATTTAAAAAGAGCCAAAACGTGAGTAGCAATACAAAATGCTTTGAAATAGCTTTAAAAACACTGTAAATACCGTCCGCCGGTCTTCGCCGAGCCTCCCCCGAATAATCAAAAAAAATCATACAGAACAAATCCGCATGCTATTAGAAGCCTAACAAAAAAGAATCAGCCAATTTGGACTTCTATTTTTTGAGAACAAAGCCTGAACTTTCTTCCACTTTTCTCTGGACACCCTGTACTATAATACCCAAAAAAAACCTACGCCGACCCCCCAGTAGGGTAATCGTATCCTCCCAGGCCGTCCCAATCAAATCCGTAGCCGTATCGCTCGCCCAGTATTACTTTACTCGTCGATGGAAGACAGTTCAACATACGATGGATACGTGACACACTTAGTAAGGTATCGTCATCAGCTATTACCAGCCATGGAGCTTGTTTTACCTCTTCATGACTCAGGTAATGCTTGATTATTGCTAGGGTTTTGCCGCAGTGACCTGAAATATAAAGGTTTTAGTTCAAAAAATGGCGGTTCATCGTGATACTTTACCACAATATAGACTGGAATAGTAATACCTTAGCTAAAAATGGCTTAAAACTTCAATATTTTAGGTTAAAAAAGCCTAAAATGCCAACATTTTAAATAAAAATGATCAAAAATTCCAAAACAATGTCCTTCAATTCAAACTCGTCTTATTAAAAATGCCATTTTAAGGTATATCTATGTAAAACATCATATCATATTTAAACTATCAGTTAAAGACAAAAGTCAAAAACATTAGGTACCGACATAAAGAACCCGCCATACTTTTCCTGTAATTTCCTGTAAAAAATGGCGGGTTCTTTATGTCAGCGCCTAATAACATACCAATCTCAGTGTTGGGAACCTTCAGATCAATGGTTGGCACATAGTAATCATCAGTGTCGGAGAAAAATTCAATATACTTGGTCTCTTTGCCCCATGTTCTCTTCACGTATACCACTGAAAACATAACGTAAACGTTAAAAACAACGTATTTTACTATAGTCACCGACTTTATATTACCCTAATTTACCCTACATCACTCTATCATACCCTACCTTAGCCTAAAATATCTTCTTCTATTTAGCTCACTCTACCTGCCATAGTGTAACCTATTCTATTGTTGCATACACTATGCTATCCTACGTAACGCCACCTTACTTTATTCATCTCTATGTAACCCTACCCTACCCTACTCTACTCTACCCCATCCTACTTAATCCACCTCACTCTACCCTACCAAACAATTTCAAAAAATCGACCAAACCTCCTCACCCCTCGTCTTATGGTAGCCATTGTACGTCTTCACAGCATAAAATACATTCTCCTTTGTGATTTCATTACTACAACCATCTTCTGTAGCGTCGTATTTCGGAGCACGGTACCTTACAATACATTGTGGGCCATCAGACAGACAAAACCGGTCGCTATCTTCGAGTTCTGTGCCGATATTGTCGTAGATGAATTTGGCTAACTGAAATTTTTTTATAATTCGATGGTTAACCACCAATTGCCGTATTTTACCTTTTCAAAGATGTTTTTTCGAAAACCTACCTCAAACTTGACATCAATAGTAAAGTCGTTTTTTTCGTGTTGCCCGGCAACTTCAGCAATTCTGAAAACAATATCTTTATGATACAATACAATGCCAACCCTAAAAATATGTGCCAAGTCTAAAAATATGTGTGCTCAGCCTAAACTTGACTAATAAGCCTAAACATGTGTGATAAACCTAAACTTTCGTAATAAGCCTAAAAAATGTTTGATAAGCCTAAACTTGCGACATAAGCCTAAAATATTTGTGCTAAGCCTAAACTTGCGTAATAAGCCTAAAATATGAGGCTAAGCCTAAACTTGCGTAATAAGCCTAAAATATGTGTGCTAAGCCTAAAATTGCGTAAAAAGCCTAAAAATATATGATACGCCTAAAATTGCCTATTAAGCCTAAAATATTTCTGTTAAGCCTAAAATTGCGCAATAAGCCTAAAAATCGCCAATGTAAAACTCTAAACGCTCCCACTGCTTCAAAAAATTTAAGACTCAACCACTTACTTTTTGAAAAAGATTTTGCTAATCAACACTCCAGCACCAAAATCCGGGTATTTCAATGGCTTTTCCTGTCCTTGGAAGCCGAAAAAGTGATGGATAATCACCGGTTCCTTATCTTCTAAGCCTTTTCCTTGAAACACGTCAGTTTCTGGATCCAATCCTTCTGTGTAACTCTTCAAAGCAGCCCAGTCCACTTCTGAAAACGGCTCAGCAATCAACAGCCAGTCAGTTTCTTTGGTTTGACTGTAGAGACGACCAAGAAGCGGCCAAATCGACCATGCCCCAACGTATTTGTCGAAGTTTTCGAAGGTTTCGAGAATTGTTCCGTTCTAAATAAATTAAACTAAATCTAATATTTTAGGTAACAAAACTACATTATAGGTAACAAAAATACTGTTACGATATAAAAACCTACTAAAACCAGATAGTTATGCCAAAAACTTACCCACTCCAACTTCTCAAGCTCTCGCTTAAACGTTAATTCAAACTTTTTGGCATAGTTAAGTTCATATGGCCATGGTTGCGTTATAAGCAACACTGAGATCTGACTAGCGGTTGTCATGGCAAAAACACATGCTAATAGTAGCACTAGCATCAAATTCATCTTAAAATCAAATTAAATTTTTAAAAAATGACAAAAAGTATAATAATTCAGCTAAAAACGTCAAAAATAAGCCTAAAAATGATAATATTAGGCCTAATACAACCTTAAAACTAGCTTTTACTAACTTCATACAACACTTTATATAAGGAAAATTCTATGTCTAAACGTATTTTACAATCCCTTAACAATTTCTTCAAAAATATCCCCAAGAACTTTGAAAAAATCCACCACAATCACCTTGATACTTACTATAATATCAAAATTCAATGCTTTCGCGATAGAAATGGAAAAACCAGTCAATCAGAACTTCCCTGCGCCGATCATTACCAAAAATTTATTAATTAGTTAAATTAAAAACGATAACAACAAATTGTGAGACTCGACTAGTCTGAAAAGTGAATGGCTGAGTAGACGGTGATCCAGGCGATGAGGAATGTGGCCACGGCCGAAGCGAACCCTTCTTTGGCCAACTCCCAGAAGCCGCCAAATTCTTCTTCGTCTTGCTGAAATGATTTGAGTTAATAATGTCAACAAAGGTAAACAATACTTATGGTATAATAAGATATATATACGATATACCACATAAAGCTCAATAACGTACTCCCTGATATGAAGTAATGTAAAAGTGTCCGCCGAAAGTTGAGACGGCGGCGTAGATTAAGATAGCCAAAAGGCCTTTTAGAGGCACCAAACCCCATACAATGCCCAAAACAAGTGATACGATCTGTCGTCCCCAGTATAGAACATCAAGAAGATCGTCCTTCTCCGTCCATTCTGACCTCCTTGCCAAGGCTTTTGTGACCTGAAAAATTACAAATCGTAAAAAATTAACCGGCAATCCATAAAACATTTTTAAAATTTCAAATTATTTCTAAAAAAGCTTATCATCATCTTAGATCAAATTGCATGCCATTTTGAGCAAAATGGTGTAAAAATCCCAAAAATTATACTCTTCGCTGCCAAACCTAAATATTCCATAAAATAACAAAATTACATACCTTTTCGCTGACCGTCAAGTCATCACCATCATCCCGTTTCTTTGTTGACATCTAAAAAAGCAATATAAAGTATATAAATCATAAAGAAATCAAGAAAATCAACTATAAAAGCTAAAAACCGTACCCAAAAACCTAATATTAATACAATAAACCTTCAAAATATCAGTATAAATGGTCTTTAACCATCAGTTACAACAATATAACACAAACCAACAATAAATACATTTATTCGTTAACTTAAAACACGGTCTTGAGATCTTTGTCCGGTTTGTACTGTCCGTTTTCATACACGACCAAACTTAATCTGATCTTTCGTTGCATGAACATCATGACAGCTTCTAGAGATGGTGGAGGTTCGGGTGATACGATCATCTTGTACATAGCCACCAGTTTCGCCGGAGTTAGAGGGTCTTTCGAGCTGTGGTAGAGAAGCTATAACAATATATTTATAACATGAAAATTGTAAAATACGTTGAAATGCATCATCCTTTGTAAAACCAAGAAGACAAAGAAGTACATAACAGAAGAAAATAGCTCCTTTTAAGAAAAAAAAAGCTATGAAATACCATGTTACCTAAAACAATATTTTCTTACCAAGTTTTTAGTGTACATCCAGTACTGTTCTAATGCATCGACTTGTTCTTCTATGGGTACTTCCTCTTCTTCATCTTCATCCGATTCCATATGTTCGTCTATGGTTACCTTGGTCTTTGCTTGTTTAACAGCTCGTTCCATTTGTGATAGGTTTTCACTAATCTGCCATATCGTCGTATCTTCACGATTCGTTGTTAATACACCTTTTTCTTTCCAGAACTCTAGTCTTTTGAGAACTGAATTCTTGTCCATCTCGAATCGTTCGGCCAGCTCTTCTATATTTATCTTGTCTACAATGATATATTGTTATAGGGTGTCTGACTAAGTCGTATAACTTCATTTTGACAAAATTGTGCAAATGCATCAAAAAATACAGTATATAGAAACTTTAATATCATCCCAAAACATATAAATTAACCACAACCCCTATTTTCATTACCTCTTTCCAAGAAAGCCACCAAGACTTGTGTGAAACTCAACGGAGCTTCTACTGCCAATGTGCATTCGCCTATTTTAACATCCATTTTTACTAAACTACCGTAGTCTTTGAACCAGTTTACTGTGCGTTTATCTCTTTTCTTTTCAAAGCTTGTTTTGTAGTTATCCATTATCGTTTTAAAAGGTTCTACCACCTAAAATTAAACATTACTTTAACAAAATATTACAAAAAAACATGAAAATGAGCCAAAAACAAATAAAACTTACAGTAAATTTAGAATCTTTCTTAGTTTCTGGCCAGAATACAGACGATATTACTCTTGGGAAGAATGGTATCCTCTGAAAACGTCAGTATTAGTACAGAAATCTTATAGCAACTAAAAAAGACGTTCATAACCTCTAAAAAACTATCAAAACCCTAAAAATTTGACCAAATATTTCAAGAACAATCCAATAAAATGCCAAAAACTACCTAAAAACCAAAATATAAACGACTTACCAATCCTTCAGAGACCGCAAACTTGAATAACCTCTCTGAGTCCCCAATATCTTTTAGCATAACCTCACAATGACATAGTTCTCCATCTGTGAAGCGTTTCTTCATTGTTTCCAGGTATTTCTGCTCGGCTTCTTTATGTTCACCCCATCCTTTGGCTATCAAGCTATTGGCCAATAACTGCTGATATTCTTTGACGAACAAGTCTCTGCTTCCATAAATTGATACCAACATGTTGAAGACGTCAGCGGATTCACGAAACAAACGACTTTCAGCTGAAATTTAAAAATTATGGTAATAACAGCATGCTTAACGTTATATAGTTCATATAAGACCTATAGGAAAGTTATGCTATGAAAATCAGTCCATGTAAGCTATAGTATGTGTACCAAGACAAACAATAACCTACTAGGATTCGCATCATAAGGATCCGGTTTCCATTCGTCCCATGTTTGTTTCAACGACTCTTCCATCATGATAACGTACTCATCGTTAACGTTGGTCAGATGATCTTTGTCGACTAACTGAGCTACATTACTTGCGTTTGAACCTGGCTTTTCGGCCGTGATAAAATGAATAATCGTTCGTACTGTATCCGGCCTTGTTTTCACGTATCTCTTAATCATGTCACATACTTTGTGAACCAATACAAAGCTCTCATCAAAAGCAATCAATGACTCTACCGCACATGCGTAGGCTTTGAGAATGTCACGGGTATGAACGCCTAAAAAGATCTTGTTACAGATAAAAGATTTGAAAAATATACTGATATATATGAAGATAGAGTAAAAATCTAAAGTATTATCTATACAAAAAATTAAAACTGACCCACATGAAGCAATCTTGTACATATACTTTCACTCAAGTTCTGCAACAACAGTTCCCGGCCAAACCAATCTCTTGAGCTCATCAGTACCTTCAAATCCTTGATTAACATCGCTGTCCTGGGGTAATCGGCCACAAAGATATCAAATACCTACAAAAAATAATCGTAAAATATCAAATACTACTATTGAATACCATTTTCAAGATATACAACATCAAAAAGATCCTACTTACATCAGAACAGAGTCGATAGATCAGCACCTTATCCACATATTCGTTAAAGGTTGTATCCCATTCAATGTTATAACAAGCCCATCTTTGTAGCCATCGTTCCACGATATGTATCATCTAAACAGTAAAAAATCGTAAAGACATTCACTTACAGCTCTAAAACTTGTCATTTTTACTTGATGTTTACGTTGAGCACAAAAATCTTCTGTTAACCTGGTTACAATACTTTGAGCAGACAGCACTAAACAAGATCTACAATATTCTGTAAGCTGGCGAATAGTTGATCTAAAATTAAAATTTGTTTAGTCTCATGAAATAAGCCATTACATAAATAAAATGATCAAACACAGATGGAAAAATTATATTACCCTTGCCAAACTTACAATTCATCAAAAGAAGCTTGAATTTTCGCAGTAATATCAAGAATATCAACTGAAGGAGAATCTGGAGATTTCACACATATCTTCACCACGCTCGAACTATCGCATCGAATCTTGCTGAGCATAAAGAAGTGATATTTTAAAACCCGTACCAATAATGGCTCTAACTGCTCCAAAAACGACTTTGTAAACAAATTATTCATAAATACATTGGTCATAACATCAAATCCTTTGATTTGTACCCGTTCTAATACCTAAATTTCTCAAAGATGATAAAAATCTAACAGTTCTTACCTCTTCAATCAAATAAACTAAACCAAGTATAAGATCAGGCAAAGAATCGCCAAGTTCATGACGTCCTAGCTTGTCTATTTCGCACAAACGCTGCTTTAGAAATGGCTTTAAGTTGTTCTTCACAAAACCTCTAAAAGAATAAAGATTAGCGACGGACTGAACAGTTTGAATATTATCCATTCTTTTACATAAGGTTGTCTCACTAAAATCCAACTTTCTACCGAAAAGATAACACCATTTCTTTCAAAACAAATAACAATATGCTATATTACCTTATTCAATCTAAACAACAAAAAACAATAAGTTAATCTTACCCAAGAGCTCCTTTCACATTCGAAGAACCATTGTAATTAGCCAGATCGTCAAAGAAATCATAAATTTCGTCAGTTTGAAGGCCTTTCTGTATCAATCGTATCCTGTTTACTGACAAATCCTGCATCATAAACAACTTTCAACACTTATTCCATTCGAAACTCGCTACCGGCCACCAAATTTTGCCCATTTATTTTTGCGAGTCAAGCCTTTCTCTTCATTGTGTCAAGTTTCTCTACTGCCAAGTCTTACTTTTGTGTCAAGTTTTTCTCGGAAAATTAAAATTGTAAAATTTTGGTAAATTTATATTTTTTAATGACATTTTGGGTGAAACCGGTGGTTTCTTTGGGTTTTAAGGTTTTTCATATTCTTTAAGATTTTGTGTATGTTATCAACGTGTTTTTAGAGATTAAAGGCGTTTATTTTAATGCAACTTCAAGTTGAACCTTTTGTTGTTTTACCGAAGCAGAATCACAGCTTTTAACAGCTCAAATACAATGAATCTATACAATGCTCGTTAATTTATTCTGCATATTATAAAATTAAATTTACAGCAAAAAAGCGAGAAATAAGATAAAAATATTCTGGAGGTCGTCTAACTTGTAGTTACTTTCTATTGCCTTTTTTCCATTGAGCTTTCGGCGACGGGGATTTGTCTTTCCAAAACATGTAGCCCACCGTGTCCATAGGTCCGTCGATGGAATCTTCGTCGAACAAGAAGGTGTTGATCACTGGATCCCATCTGTAATATTGATGAATCACCTTTGGATCGTACTCATCTGGAATGGTTTTTGAGTTTCTCAGCGTCGGTTGTTGGAATTGAATCTTCTGAATCGCTTGAATGTACTTTTTATGTCGTTCTTGTGCTTCGTCATAAGTGATGTTGTGTTCGGCAGAGTGACTGAGTGGTACGATGGGGCCAAAGTTCTCATCGGTTTGAGTGCTTTTGGTGGCCATGGGGATTCTGAATCGATTGTCATCGTGCTTGTGAGACTTTTGGTAGGACGAGTTGGACTTGGTTAAAGTTGGGTAGTTGGCTCGGAATTTGCGGTCTGGTGATTTGTAACTAAAAGTAGCGATTTATTGGTTTGAATGGTTTTATAACATGTTAGTAACTTATAACACATCTTCAAGTAAATAATAGCCAAAATGATGAGGTTAAACATAAAAATTTAGAAAGACTTACTTATAGTTTGACTTGATGTGAGTAACTTTTTGGCCTTCAGGTAGATGTGGTAGGGTCATACTGTGATGACTGTGCATTTCCGTCGCTTTTTCGTCATCTTTTCGGTAATCTTTGTCAAATCTTTGTTGATACGACTTGGATTCGTTTTCATATTGTTTGTAGGATTTTTGATCTTGTTGATTCTGAAAAGGGCAATTTAAAAAAATAGTAAAGGTCATTATGCTGTAACCTAATCGTATCTATACTATAGGATTACTGTATCTATACTGTAACACCACAGTAAATAAACAAATGTTTTGCATTTAAATTCAACAAAGCTAACTCAAAATATATTCGAAATGGCTTACTTTATCTCTTCTTGCAAAATCTTTCCCATACGGCTTACTGTAGTTACCGTAGAAGCCGTTGCTGTTATTCGCCTTTGGTCGATTGTAATTCATACCGCGACCGCTGCTTTCGTACAAACAAATGATGAATGAGATTTTCATTTTGAGTTTTCAAATTGATTTCTCTATGAAAATTTTAAACTTTTTCAATTTTTTTTGAAAATTTCAAAATTTTTTATTGAAAATTTCAAATTTTTTTTGAAAGTTTCGAATTTAAAATTTGTGAAATTTTTGGGTTTTGAGGCGTTGCGAGTTCTAAATTTGCTTTTAGGAAATGAAAAGTGCATTTCAAATTAAATTTGTGTTATTTTAGGTATGAGTTTGCCAGAATTGAAGAATCAAGGTTGGAACATTGATGAATCTGCCTTGACTAAAGTGGCAGCGGATTCAGAAGCCGAAGATGTTATAGTAAAGGGAGGAAATGCGTTGTACACGTTTTTACTTGACGTGAGTTGTTTTAAGTAGCTTTTGTATTAGATCTGCACTTTATATTATTGTAGATTTAGTTATAAAATTAAAAATTTAGATGATTTTTTCACTTAAAAATGATCATTTTAGACTGACCTCCGTCAAATCTCCTCCCCAGGAATAGCCAATGCTTCCACTGCCAAAAAAGAGCTTCAAGGGCCAATAGTACTACAATTAGTATCATGGAGGAATGTTTCATACCCAGAAGCCTCGAAACACGACGGAAATAATGGACTTTGTGTAATTCGCCTTACAGATGGACATCAAGCTGTCAAAGCTCTATTATTTGAACCTATATCAAAGCTGGATGGTAGCACACCTAGAGGTACTAAGGTTATGATAGACGGAAAGGTTAAAATGGAAGCTGGATTTCTGATGCTGAACAAGAAGAATATTACAGTACTTGGTGGTACTGTTGAAGAATTGGTTGAGAAGTGGAAGGTTGAAAAGGTAATTTTGGTTATTTATAATTATTTTTGACTTTTAGGTATTTTATCTACGTTATGGTAGCATTTTTGGGCAAAAATATTGTAAAGGCAGTATAATATAATTAAAAGTGGTTTTAGTTTGGAGGCAGGACAGGAAAAGGAGCCACAAATGCCCCAAAATGGGTACCATTCGGCAAGAACAAGGTAACGAACTTGCTTTAATATATTGTTCTACATTTTATTTGTATATGTTATGGTCTTAATGTGATTATTCCTTCCTATAAACCAAAAATTACAGAAGGTTGACCTGAAGATAGATCGCAACTTCAGAGCGATGAAAGTCGTTGGCAAAACGGGCGAGAATGAAGCAGAAGATGATGAGAAAACGGCCCAATTCAAGGCTCAAAGAATGGCACAAATTGAAGCATTAGGCGTGGCGGCGAAAGATGATGTTGTAGAAGAAGTGGAGAAGAAGGTGGATGATCTGAGGATAAGTGATATTCTTAATGAACAAAACAAGATCAAGAAGAGCTATGGTAATGATAGGAACGAGAGAAGTCAAGGCAGAGGTCGAGGAGGAAAGGAACAAAGAGATCATGGAGAGAAGAGAGAGTATGGAGAAAGAAGAGAGCATGGAGAAGGTAGAGAGAGGGATAGGAAGAGAAATGATAGAAAAGACAACAAAAAATCAGCTCCATTGGTGTATGAATCGTCTCGTAATACCTATGATAATGCTCACAGCTCGTCACATTTTGTACCAAGAGATGGGCAAGGTAGTGGGTCATCAAGGGGTCGAGGAAGAGGTCGTGGTAGATCGGATAACCAGAAATCTTATCAACCACGGGAAGAAGGATATAGTGGTGGTTTTGGGCCAAACAGCTTCAGAGCAAATGAGGATTCCGGATATCAGGGAAGTAGACAAGCTTCTGGATATCAAGGGCAAACTCAAGCTTCAGGGTATCAAGGACAACATCAAGGTGCTGGATATCAAGGGCAAAGTCAAGGCTCGAGATATCGAAGTGATAGACAAGATTCACGGAACCAAGGGCGACAACAAAACTCAGGTTATCAAGGAGGTACACAAGAGTTCAGTGGTAGGCCAAGTGGCCAATCAAGTTCAAGAGGTTCAAGGCCGCAAGCTAGTCGGGGAGGGTCTTCAAGAGGTACCAGAGGACAACGTGGAAGTCGAGGAGGAAGAAGTGACAACAATTCTGGACCACCTTCTAGTCAACCAGTTTTTAATTTGGCTGATTTTCCTGCCTTATAAACGTAATATTAACGTTGTTTTTTGTTTTAAAACGGGATTAAAATGCTTTTTTTAAATAAAGTTAGCTAAATATATTGTGAATTGAAACCATATTTTGTTATTTTATTGTTAAGAGGATATTTGTTGGAAAATTTTAACAAAGATGAATTTTTTTGCAACACTTTTTAGGATCAATCCTTTTGTATTGGTTTTTAATGAGGTCGTATAACATGTCCACGGCTTTATCACTGATTTTTTTGCAAACCTTATTCAATAGGGAGGGGGACCAGGTTGCAAATGCTCTGAATAGGTCTCTTGCGGGAATAGGTCACCCTCAAAAATGGGTCACCTTACTGAATAGGTCACCTCGGTGTAATTTAAAAAAAATTGTTAAACTTGTACTGTAAAAACCAAAGTTGCCTAAAATAACCAATGTTTATGTCGATTTTGATTAATTTAACCATGATATTTCAATATATGAGAATGTTTTATAAATTTTTTTACCTTGCGAACTGTTACTGTAATAAAGTTACAGTAAGCTACAGTAAATGTTAAAGTTGGCTAAAATAGCCAATATGTATGTCGAGTTTGACTAAAAATGTATATTTTTTTTACAAAATTTATTAAGACATTTAAGGCTATAAATCCGGCTTACTATATTAGAAAACGAACTTCCAACACCACTTTGATGGCCAATGTTTTGAACTAGTGATTGTTTTGGTCGTTGATCTTCTTGATTTCCATCAGTCCGATCTGAAAGTTTTTGTTTGAGTTAAGGAGCCTAATAAGAATAAATAAGCTTACCAAGATCATGTCTACAATTCCTAATAAGCCTAAATTTACTAAACTTTAGCTTTTTGAGCTTAAAATTTCTAAGCAAGCTTAAATAACCCCGACTACTAGTCTTTTTAATCTTAGCTTACTAAACCTAAACTTATTTAGAACCTGTCGTTATACTTACTGGTAGGCATGAATCTAACCCTAACTTCCAATGATCCTTCAGTATTTCTGATTCCGGACGTTTTGCTTCTTGAGTAATAGTCAACAATGACAAAAGCGTCCAGGGCTTGAAGTAGATTTGATGATCCTTCTCCAAAGTTTTGTAGTGTCACGGTGAAATGGATCAACCTCTGTGGCCACATTTCCATTGGCGAAGCTGGTACTACGTGGAATACATTGGGTTGTGACGACGTTGCGCGCAATGTTATTGTTTCAGAATGGTTGTTCAGAAGCGAGAATTTGACAGTCTTTTTCGTACTGTACGGACCGTAAAATTTCAGAGTTCTCGGATTTGCAATGACGTCCTATAATACGCTCAATTAATTCTTTTACTATATTCCGAAAAAAATACTGGGGTACTAAAAATAAGCCCAAAAAGCCCTTATCCTGCTTTCCCTGAGCTTTCTAAGCATAAGTTAACTTAATTCTGAAATGTAAAAGTGATAAAAACTTACCGGCATGAATGCAGGGAGACAACAATGAAAAAAAGCCAAAATCGACCGCCGTAAATTCTTTACCCTCCGCGAAATGAGGATCCCCGTTTCTAAATGCAGAACCCGAATGAATGAGCTTTTTATTTCGAATTTTCAAATTCGTTTTTCTATAAAAATTCGAACTTTGAATTTTTATTTTGAAAATTTCAAATTTAAAATTTTTGGAATTTTTGAATTTTGAGGCGTTGCGAGTTCAAAATTCGCTTTAGAAAATGAAAGTGGATTTCAAATTAAATTTTTGTCATTTTAGGTATGAGTTTGCCAGAATTGAAGAATCAAGGTTGGAACATTGATGAATCTGCCTTGACTAAAGTGGCAGCGGATTCAGAAGCAGAAGATGTTATAGCAAAGGGTGGGAATGCGTTGTACACGTTTTTACTTGACGTGAGTTGTGTTACAGAGCTTTTTATTAGCTCTAAACTTCATATTATTTTATATTTAATCAAAAAACTTGGAAATTTAAATATTTTATACTGGTTTTTTATTTTTGGTTTTTAGGTATATTATCTGTGTTATGGTTGCATTTTTGGACAAAATGTTGTAAAAGAATGTTATGTAATGTCAAGTTATTTTAGTTTGGAGGCAGGACAGGAAAAGGAGCTACAAATGCGCCAAAATGGGTACCATTTGGCAAGAACAAGGTAACGAACTTAGTTTAATATATTGTTCTACGCTTTTTCTTGCCTATGGTATTTGCTTAATGAGATTTTTTCTTCATTAAAACCAGCTATTTCAGAAGGTTGACCTGAAGAAAGATCGCAACTTCAGAGCGATGAAAGTTGTTGGCAAAACGGGCGAGAATGAAGCCGAAGACGATGAGAAAACTGCTCAATTCAAGGCTCAAAGAATGGCACAAATTGAAGCATTAGGCGTGGCGGCGAAAGATGATGTTGTAGAAGAAGTGGAGAAGAAGGTGGATGATCTGAGGATAAGTGATATTCTTAATGAACAAAACAAGATCAAGAAGAGCTATGGTAATGATAGGAACGAGAGAAGTCAAGGTAGAGGTCGAGGAGGAAAGGAACAAAGAGATTATGGAGAAAGAAGAGAGCATGGAGAAGGTAGAGGGAGGGATGGGAAGAGAAATGATAGAAAAGATAACAAATCAGCTCAATTGGTTTTTGAGTCGTCACGTAATACCTATGAATGCTCACAGCTCGTCACAGTTTGTACCGAGAGATGGACAAGGTAGAGGAGCATCAAGAGGCCGAGGAAGAGGTCGTGGAAGATCTGACAATCAGCAATCTTATCAACCACGGGAAGGAGGATATAGTGGCGGTTTTGGGCCAAATAGCTTCAGATCAAATGAGAATTCCGGATATCAGGGAAGTAGACAAGCTTCTGGATATCAAGGGCAAACTCAAGCTTCAGGGTATCAAGGACAACGTCAAGATTCTGGATATCAAAGACAACATCAAGGTGCTGGATATCAAGGGCAAAGTCAAGGCTCGAGATATCAAAGTGATAGACAAGATTCACGGAACCAAGGGCGACAACAAAACTCAGGTTATCAAGGAGGTACACAAGAGTTCAGTGGTAGGCCAAGTGGCCAATCAAGTTCAAGAGGTTCAAGGCCGCAAGCTAGTCGAGGAGGGTCTTCAAGAGGTACCAGAGGCTCCAGAGGACAACGTGGGAGTCGAGGAGGAAGAAGTGACAACAATTCTGGACCACCTTCTAGTCAACCAGTTTTTAATTTGGCTGATTTTCCTGCCTTATAAACGTAATATTAACGTTGTTTTTTGTTTTAAAACGGGATTGAAATGCTTTTTTAAATAAAGTTAGCTAAATATATTTTGAATTGAAATCATATTTTGTCATTTTATTGACCAGTGGTTGCAAATGCTCTAAAAATTAATTTTTTTTGGGAATTTAGTCAAAATTAAGTATATTAGCATTTAAAAGTATATGATAATTCCAAAAATATTGAAATTGAAGAAATTTTTAAGACCCGAGGGCTCTTTTTTAAATTTAAACTTTTTTAAAAGGGAGGACTTTTTTACAAAAAAATTCTTTTGGGTATTGGCTAGCCTTAGCCACTACAACAATACAATATAAAGTACAATTAGGCACTATCTTACCTTAATTTGGATTTCAATTGCTGCTTCGTCATGTTGATGACATCAGTCAGTTCATGTTTTAACTTATTGAACAAGCTCTTACATGGGCTACATAAAAGATGTAAGCTAATAGTATCATTCTTCTCAATGTGGTCTTTCTCAATAACATGTTTAGTGTCTAGAATGTCTTCAACTTTATCATTCTTTGTCATTTTACCATATTTTGTCACAAAATGCTTGTCATTAGCAGCAGCATCATTAGTTTTAAAAATATTAGCGTGGTTTACTGCAGATTTCTCAACCTTAGTCTTGATTTGATCATTGACAATACTATTTTTAATAATAGTATTAACATGTTGATCAACCTTATTTAAAATTTTGCCAGAGTCAATACTAAAATGGCTTTTATCAATAGATTCACCAATTCTAGTTTTAGGTACGATAGATTGAGTTAATAGGCAAAACGATACCAATAAAGTAAAAAATAAGGAAAAACGAGCCATTTCTAGAGTTATCAGTGTAAAAACGAGCTTTAAATAACAAAATTTTTATCAATATTGTACAAGACTACACAATATGTCAAATGTCACATTTTGTGGAGATAAGCCTAATCGGTTTATTTAAATTTGAATTTTATATAATTTCTTTAGCAAACCTATTCTGCTTGAAAAATCACTACATATTGTAGTGCAGTTTGATAAGAATTTGAGTAAGGAGCCTTTAACAGATATATTTTTTTTATTTTAAATTAATTTTAAAATTTTGAAACTTTAGGCTTTTAAAATTAAAATTTAACAAAAATGAATGGTTTCGCAACAATCTTGAGGGTCGATCTTCTTGTCCACGTCTTTAATAAGATCGTATAGCATGTCCACGGCTTTTTTACTGATTTCTTTGCACACTTTGTCCATTAAGGTCCCGGATAAGCTTTTGCAGATGCTCTGAAAATAATTATAAATTTTAGTTAGGAAAGAAGAGAGTAGAATATATGCCACGTGCGTTACAAAAAAAAGAGACGTTCAGTCAAAAACCGCGAATTCTTGTCTAAAAGGCATTTAGACAAGAATTCCAAATTTCTTGTCTGAAAAGATAGAAGAGACCATGCTCTCTCGTCGCGAAGAGAACAACGTCTTTTTTTCTCTGCGCGCTTTCAGACAAGAATTCGCTGTTTTTGACTGAACGACCAATTTTTTTTGTAACGCACCTGGCATATATGGTAGTAAATCTTAGGCTTAGAACGCAAACTTAGGCATATGCATTTCACTGTAAGTTTATTGCGCAAGGCTTAGTCACCTAATTTCAGGCTTATTACGCAAGTTTAGACTTAAGCACAGAAGTTTAGGCTTATTACGCAAGTTTAGGCTTAGCACACATATTTTAGGCTTATTACTTAAGTTTAGGCTTAGCACACATTTTTTAGGCTTATTACGTAAGTTTAGGCTTAACTACACAATTTATAGGCTTAATACGCGAGTTTAGGCTTTTTTTAAAACTATTTATTCCATTTTTCAACGAAAGATATATAAGACGTGAGGGGGATGATAAGGGTGTGGTGAAGACCGTCAGAGCAATCCGTTGTAGCTGTTCCCAATTGGGCCTCATCCAGGTGATCCTGTTTCTCGAGCTACCGAGTCGTGATGAGGTGCTCCTCAAGACTTCAGGCCGTAGTCGGAAGCCTGTGTAGGCCAAACAACCGATTTGCCATAGTCCCCGTGCACTTAGAAAGTTAATGTAGGGAATGGTAGCAAAAATGTTATTCAAACTTGACTTACTCTAATTTTTGCAGCCAACTTTTCTTTGGTCAAGCCGATAACATCAGTGAGTTCCTTCCTCAAGCTTTCGAACAAGTTCTTACAAGTGCTACATAGAGGATGCCAACTCAATGTGTCATTATGATTTTTGTAAAGCTTTTGAACATTGTCATCGTGAGCTTGTTTTACCATTTGATTTAGGAAAAGCGACTGTTTCTCTTCTATTACAACTTGATTTTTGGCTTTTTCTTCTACATTTTTGGGTAGCACTTGAGCTTTCTGAACGTTATGGCCAGTTTTTGAGAGATTAATATGCTCAATGACATCTTTGTTATTAATATTAGAATCATCATTCTTAACATCAGTTAAATCAATTTTTTTAATAAGGTTTTTAGGATGAGTTAGCAAACAAAATGATACAAATAAGGTGAAAAATAAGGAGAAACGAGCCATTATTAGAGTTATCAGTTGAAGAAATGAACGGTAAACAACCATAAATAGTTATCAAAGCCTAAAATTATTAAATTCCAAGGCGTGTCAGTTGTTAAATTTCAATATAATTAGTAAAAGAGTGAGTCATTGACCTATGGGATGGTTATTGATTGACATTTTTAGATAAAACATAAAAACAATACTTAATTTCTTTGATACTATCAAGTAATAAGATATCCAAGGCAATTTGGTTTGGCAGTCGTTTTTATCTTGACCATAAGATCTTCTATCAAAATTGAAGAAAACAATTCGCAATATTTCTTATTTATTGTACAAATTAACGAATTTTCCAAAATAATTGAGGGGGATTTGATCACGACAGAATCCAAAAAATGCAAAGTGGTCCATCCGCTTACATAGGCTTACTGTTGTTGAAAAAATTAAATATAGAGATATTGTAACTGCCTGCTATTTCTGAAAAGTCGAAGTTAATTCTGTTACTAAAAATTTGAAAAGTCAATGTAAATTTACAAAAAAACGTATTTTATTATAAAAATTAAAAAACGTTTTAGAAACGTTTAATCTAATGTAAGCTATGAAATTAAGTATTTAAATAGGCACCTTTTGAATCTGGACCGTGGTGTTCATGTCACCGCGCACATGAGCGTCTTGATTTTTCTTCGACGCAATTTTGGAACTTGCTTTTGGATTATATCCTAAATTGTTACCTGTTAATTAGGTTATTGTGCAAATGTGGTTATATCAAAATGTTTGTCTTTTGACTATTTACATTGAAAAATGACAATTCCTCGTACATATATAAATTTTTGTAAAATACGTTATATTGCTTATTTACTTACCCCGCATTTTAAACTCTATGGGGATAGTGAGTGTCGATTTCTCGCTGGAATCCAACACTTCTATGTGGACTTTCAATTGGCTGAACATATTAGCCAAGACAAACGCTTGTTGATTCGTATAAGCATGTTGTAAAAATACTTTACCACGGTGTGACTTCTTGGGCTCTAGCAAGTGCTTCCGGTCTGATATATACATTAGTAACGGCTGTGTATTTGAAAAACTAATTCGTAATGTCGCACTACTAGTATTGGTAATGGTAAAGTCTTTCGACTTGGATCCGAATCCATACGGTGGGCCGAAAACGAGTACACTTTCCGAAGCTTCGATGTACTGCAATGTTAGTATGATTAAAGCCTGAATTAATTATCTTGCTAATGTTTGTGTTAAAATTTCTATGATATACTGTTATGAAAAGATGAAAATCTGATAGTATTGTCTTAAAAATATCAAAAAACTTCATAAATACAACTAAATGCAAAAAAAGATCTAAACTTACATCTGCCATTACAACCACTTTAAATTCTCTTTTTGAATCAAATGAATTTTAAACGATGGAATTTTATTTTTTAAAATGTAATTTTTTCAGTTGTTTGTTTTAATATTTTGTAGATGATTTTACTGTGCGTTGTTCACTCATTTTATGTTTTTTATAAAATGTGGCGTATTTGATACTTATTATTTCAGAGCACGCACGGTGATTTCACGGTGACAAACAAAGAATCCAGAAGCCCGAACCGAGTGATGACTCCTTCATTAAAACCCTCATAATACGGTTGGTCGAGTCGTGGCGAGGCAGAGGATTCGATGGCGTGCTTCAGGTTAATTAACAATTTGATTAGCTACACTGCCGTCATGGTGTACAAAAAAATACCTATAAGAATTACAGAAACGCTATTTTTGATGTTGGTTTTTATTAAAATATTTTTTAGAAATTTATTTATTACATAATTATGTTGCTATTCAACTGTATTGTAGTTTGTATGTGCATAATACACTGTAAATGACATGTCAAGTACCAGTATATTTCTATAAACACCTAGCTATCTGAGTTTCAATTTAGTAGTATCTCGATATTATACATGGTGTTAAGGGTTATACTTTGCCAGCCAGTCATTAACTACAACTAATATTAATATTTTAGAAAGACAATTGGACATAATTGGATGGAGACGCAAGATCCTAACACATGGCAATCCGGTATGAGAACCTACATCAGTTCTAGTGAATACAATATATTCTGATCAACTCATAAGTTGTATTTTACTTTGATAGAAAAGGTTAATAAACTGTATATGCAGTATCTCGATATTATACATGGTGTTAAGGGTTATACTTTGCCAGCCAGTCATTAACTACAACTAATATTAATATGAAAACCTTAAATTCAAATTATTATCTAAAACATCATAGTGATTAATTTTGTCATACCAATAACAATAGCCAAGATTGATTCGTGATTCTTTGATTCATTAATCTTCTACGTCATTTCGAGGATTCTGTGTACTTTTTACGTTGATCTCGTATTACTTTACGACGTAAAATTCGATTGTAATTGAGTTGGGGTGTGGGTTTCAGTTCCCGGTGAAATCGAATCGGCCATTTTGCAAAAAAACTTTACTCTGTAAAACAAAAAGATCTTGCTTACTCAAGAAGGCTTATTTTTACAGTACGATACACAGTACGTGAGTTAGTACGCTAAGAACGCAATAGTACTGAGCTATATAGCCAAGAAATGCTCTTAAAGCACAAAATATCAAAATGACCTTTGCTGTAATCATAATTTGTCGCAGTTTTTTTACCATGTAAACGATACCCGAAGGCGTTTTTTCGATCAGAGTAAACAATACGCACTGTAAGTTACACCCTTCGCCGACGTTGTAGTTATTTAAACGCTTCAATTCGACTGCGTTGAGACGTTTGTAGCCTGTGAAAATTGTAATCGGTCCATGGTGACATGTTTCGGACTGTGAGGTGAGTCCTTTTAAGTTTTGTTTGGTCATCATGACAGTATTTTTAGTCATCATGACAGTATTTTTAGTCAGCATGACAGTATTTTTAGTCATCATGACAGTATTTTTGGTCATTATGATAGTTTCTGTTAGTCATTATGGTACATTTTTTGTCATCATGACATCTTTTTTTTGTCATCATAACACATTTTGCTTGTCATCATTACAAATTTTCTTGTTATCATGACTGTTTTGTTCATGATTAGGGCATTAGATTTAACTTTTTTATATTGATAATGAAGGTCCGAGAAATTAATATTAACTATACAATCTATGTTGTTATAGCTGCGTTGTGGCCATTGTGGCGGTAGTGAATGCACAAGTAATCTATGACAGTCCACCGGTTGGTGTTTCGGTAAGCTTTTTATCAACTTTTAAAAAAAAATAGCCTTACCTCCTCCCTTCCCCCCCCCCCCCTTTCGATAATTAAAAATTGACCCTCCCCCTCCCCCCACCCCCCCCCCTCTTCTCCTAATAAAAGAATGACCCCTCCTTTCTCACCGGAGCTGTCTATATCAATGAATGTACATATTATGTGCCGACATAAAGAACCCGCCATACTTTTCCTGTAATTTCCCCGTAAAAAATGGCGGGTTCTTTATGTCGGCACCTAATACCTAATAACTTTCTGCAACTTACTAGTTTAAAAACTTTTATTTGTCTGTTCCGTATTTGCCTTTAATTCTACTCTTCACAACGTCGTCTGGTGTTGTTTATTTACATTACAGTAAGATGGAAGCCGTTTGTTGCGTCATTGCGGTCATTTTTTATTGAAATGACCACTTGAGGTTTTTCGACATGATTTTTGATATATTACCCACCTTTACTTACCCCACACTCTGGCATGGTTAAACCTGCTATTATAACACTGGCTTTGATATTACTATACCCCCTCCCCCTCCCCGTTTTTATGATCTATTATATTATAGTAGGTATTTTATTATCGTTTTAAATTTAAAAACTTAAAAAAATAAAAAATAATTTCAGCTAACCCGACCAGTCCTCCCCTGGCTAGCCCGTTACTTTGTTGGAGCAGGCAAAGAGAATGTTTTCCTAGACGAACCTCAGCCAGGTCCAAAAGAAGGTGAATCCAAAGGTGAAGGTAAAGGTGGTGGAGAAGGTCCGCCACTTCGCGATTTCCCTCCACCCCTACCTCCTCACTCAGAATCTGAAAAACCAAAGAAAGAGGAATCAGCACCACCTCCACTTCAGTTCTACCCTCCACAATATTCACCCTACCCTCAACTTGAACAACCTCAAGGTGGTCAAAAAGAAGGAGGTCAAGGCAAAAGTGAAGGTGGATCTGGGAATCAACGAGCAGCTCCACAGCAACCTCCACCTCAGTATGGAGTACCACCACCTCAGTATGGTGCACCTCCACAAGGTTCAGGTGGGGCCAATAAAGAAGAAGAGCATTCAGAATCCTCCAAAGGCGGAGAAAAACCATCAGAATCCAAACAGTTTGACACTCAGTCATACGTTCCCCCACCACCAGCCCCACCCGCCTTCAAGTTGAACAACAATGGGCCAGTAGCTGGAGTACTAGCAGCACCAGCCATCCCCAATATGCCTCCACCCATGCCCGGATACATGCCACCACCAGCTGGCCCAATGGCACCCCCTCCAATGCCAATGATGATGATGTTCTCACCACCCCCACTTCCGCCCCCAGGTCCAAACGGCTATCCACCCATGCCCGAGCCTTTGCCCGTCCACTTGGAACCTCCACCACTACCTGCCGGTTGGCCACCCATGCCCAACCCTAGTCCAGTACAACCAATGTTTGATGCACCAGCTGGTGCTGGCTTTGCTGGATGTTGCAATGGACAACCTGGATTCGGACCTGGACCAGCTGGCTTTGGCCCAGCACCACCACCAGCATTTGCACCAGGATTGGCGGCCGGCCCAGCACCATACCCAGCACCACCTCCACCTTCGCCAGTAGTACCACTGCCTGGATTTGCACCACCACCCGCCTATCCAGCAGCATCACCAGCTCCATACCCTGGAGCAGCATATGTACCACCAGCACCAGTGGCACCACCAACACCGGTCGCACCAGCAGCTCCACCAGTTCCCGCTCCAGCGCCGTCATTACCCCCAGCATATGCACCACCAGCACCTCCTGCATCAGCGCCAGTACCGCCACCGTCAGCACCAGCTTACGCACCGCCAGTATTTTCAACGGCCGCATCGCCAGGCCCAGTAGTAACCGCAGCCCCAGTTCCGCCCATGCCCGCTCACGCCGCCATTCCTGCCGGCTCGTACGTCGCAAACCTACCCCTGCCGACCGGTATCGCACCAGCCGCACCAGTCGCGTCTCCCAAGTACGACTATCGGAATCTGAAGTCGGCGTCGCCGCCCGAAGCCAGAAAACACCGCCTATACCTGCGCACACCCCCTTCACACCATGATAATCTCTCAACCGGGTCACAATAATCAATATTTGCATAGAGTTCTATTCTATATTTATGCCTCAGGGCGAATAAACTAAAAATGATTTTTCGGGTTTTTATTTTTAAATTTAAAAAAAAGTTTTCAATTAAAAAAAAAATTTTTGATTTGAAAAAAAAATTCAAAATTAAAAAAAAAAATTTTAATTTGAAAAAAAAATTCAAAATTAAAAAAAAATTTTTTTTTAAATTTAAAAAAAAATATTTTTCAAATTTTTATAGTAAAAAAATTAATTTATAATAGAAATCATATAATTATATTGCTGTAGTATCACAAAACCTGTTGTTCCCGTTGTCGATATAACTTTTCCAAATCCTCGACTGTTAAGTAGCCACGTTGTTCTTTGTCCAGCTCCTAAATTAAAAAAAAAGTCATTTTTAAAACTTTTGAAAATTTTTTACTATTTTTTTTAAATTTTTTATATTTAAAATTTTTTAAAAATTTTTTGAAAAAAACAATTAAAAAAATTTTATATAAACATGCCTGAAAAACAGTGCCCGCCCTTAATCCGACCAAATGTGCAATTTGATCCGTAAATGGAGAATGAGCCATGGGTATGATAGAGTCGACGCGTTTGGCTGGATCTCCTCCAGTCAGCATGAATACTGATAGCACGAATTCACGGAATTCCTGAAAAAACGTCATTTTAAAACATCAAAAAATAATTCTCCTTACTGTAGCATTGATAACACAAGTAAATTTACATGGTAACATATAACAATTACTATGAAGAAATTACTAAACCAAATATTACTGTATAGCAACGTAAAATCGTTTGTTTACACTTACATGTAATGATATGCGAGACGAAGAATTACCATTGATGAGTCTCATTGTCCATTCGGCTTGGAATTTGGTGTCATGTTGATGTAGGTAGGCTAGACAAACAATCAGGTCCTGAAATGCGATAGGCTCAATTTGTTTTGAAGGGAAACGTCTTAGTCAGTATTTGAAAACATATGATACTACTTGTTAAACTAAATGTATCAGTTTTTAAACCCGACAAATAAGTTAAAATTTAGATTCAAAACATTGGCTATAAACCTAAACTTCGAAAAATAGATTATTAGCTTAAACCTAAGAAGGTAAGCCAAATAAGACAAAAACAAAGCCTAATAAAGCCATAATTGAAGCCTAAGCTTCAGCCTAAAACTAAGCCAAAAATTAAGTCTAAGCCTAAGCCCAAGCCTAAGCCTAAGCCCAAGCCTAAGCCTAAGCCCAAGCCCAAGCCCAAGCCCAAGCCCAAGCCCAAGCCCAAGCCCAAGGCCAAGCCCAAGCCCAAGCCCAAGCCTAAGCCTAAGCATCCAAGCCTAAGCCTAAGCCTAAACCAACGCCTACGCTTGGGCCTAAGTTTTGGCCTAAGACTAAGATTAACCGTTAACCTAAGCCTAAGCCCAAGCCTAAACATACTGAACTCAACACAATTAAAAAAAAGCCCAAAATACTCCTCACTTTAAATGTCAGCTGATCAGGGTAAGATGAGGTATGTAAAAAGGCTTTGAACATTCGCTCCAAGTAAGCATCACTACTTCGATGTGGCATATAAGATCCGAATAGCCGTTTGAATTCGCGAAAACTCATTCGTCCTGTTGGGCATTCCTAAAAAATTTTAAAAATTGATTTTTACTTATTAAAATCATGTCAAAATAAAAATTAAGGCTGTCAATCATAAGTAATATACTTGATTGACCAATAATAAATAATAAGAAGTTGTGCAGTCAATTATTAGATGCCGACATAAAGAACCCGCCATTTTTTACAGGGAATTACAGGCAAAATATGGCGGGTTCTTTATGTCGGCACCAATAGCAAAAAAAAGTTTTATAAAATTGTCATGATGACAAACAACATGTGTCATAATGAAAAAAAATGTGTCATGATTACAAACAAAATGTGTCATAACGACAAAAAAAAGTTGTCATGATGGCTAAAAATACTGTCATGCCGAAAACCTACATTTTTAAACTTGGCATACATATATTTGACCCATTTTTTCGAAAACTGATTCCTGGTCGATTCTGACAGCTGATCCAGGCTTGGCGGTCGTTCCGTGGGTTCGAATTTGATTAGTTCGTTAATTGAGCCTTCATCGGCTTCTAAAATTTGTGGATCAGCCATCCTGCTGTGATAAGGTTTGGAAGTAGAATTTTAGTTTTTAATTTCAATTTTATACTGTAGTAGTACTGTAAGATAAAAATTTTGTAGAGTAGTACAGAATTTTAAAAAATTTGGTACCAAAAATCAAGTTGGTACCAAAATGCTATCAAAATGAAAATTTAGTACCAAAATGCCAAAAAATTAGTTTAGGCCTAAAATACGACCAAAGAAATTAGCTTAGGCCTAAAATACGACCACAAAAATTAGTTTAAGCCTAAAATACGACCAAAAATTCGAAAATGTTCCTAGAAATTGTCGTATCGCAGATCACATATGATAATAGACAGCCGGCTGCCAAGTTTCCCTTGCCGTCTAAACAGTCAGAAAAGCAAATGTGACACAAGTAATGCAATGCGTCCCCTTGGCCACGCGAACTTGGCCTTAGATTCGACTGAAACCCTAGCGCTTCCTATTAAATATTCCATTTACCTTAATCTTGTTTTATATTACAATGGGCGTTACTTTTCAACTTTTCCCGTCTCCTAATCCCAGTTTTTCAAAACAAAGTCTTAGCGACCGGCGGAGAAAGTGTAAAAGGCTTGGTTTTTATAGAATTTTTGAGTAATGAGTACCATACTAAAATAATAGAACGAAAACGTTTTTTTAGGCTAGACTGTATGAAAAGATTTATAAGCAAGATAAAAAAAATGCATGGTTTTTTAAAATTATATTAAATATAAAAGGCGTGGTGGGCTTAGACTTAATAGACTTAGACTTATTAGGCTTAGGATCAGTATCCTTAAGATTAGTAGGCTTATCGCTAAGTAGAATTAGTAACCTTAAGATTAGTAGTACTAGGCTTAGCAAACTTAGGCTTAGCAGGCTTCGGCTTAGCAGGCTTAGGCTTAGCAGGCTTCGGCTTAGTAGGCTTAGGTTCAGAAGGCTTAAGCTTAATTTCTATAAGTTAGTAGCCCGAGGTTTGGTAGGGTTTGTAGACTTTGACTTAAAAGACTTAGGCTTAGTAGGCTTAAGCTTAGTAGGCTTAGGCTTAGTAGGTTTAGTAGACTTAGGCTTAGTAGGCTTAGGCTTAGTAGGCTTAGAATTAGTAAGCTTAGGCTTATTATACTTCGGCTTAGTAAACTCAAACTTATTAGTCTTCGGCTTAGTAAGCTTAGGCTTAGTAGGCTTAGGCTTAGTAGGCTTAGGCTTAGTAGGCTTAGGCTTAGTAGGCTTATTCTTAGTATTAGAATTTGTAAGGTTAGGTTTGATAGGCATACTAAACAACAGAATGTGAGTTTACATCCAAATAATATGACCGATATAAAGCAACATTTTGCAGAAATGTTGAGTAAGATTCCAGCACTTGCAGTAATTTGTTGGGTCGTTTTACATCGAGGCAAATATTGAATAAATTGTTAACATTACATAAGAAAAAGTTGCGTAATATCATTTCTTGCAATTTCTCTAAGGCTATCTAGTTATATCAATATACTAGGTAATGCCGCAGATATTTGCGTTGATCTTTTGTAAATAAAGTTTTTGAAAACGCAATTTCTAATGCAAATTTGACTGATATGTCAATAAACGTAGGCTTCAGTCTGGTTAGGATTATTAGGTTTAGGCTTAGTAGGCTTAAGCTTAATAGAATTAGGATTTGTAGGCTTAGGCTTATTAGGCTTACGCTTAGTAGGCTTAAGCTTAGTAGACTTAAAATTATTAGGCTAGGTTTCGTATACTTAGACTTATTAGGCGTAACCTTAGTACATTTAGGCTTAAAAAACTTGAAAATACCATGATTCTGTCAAACATACCATATCTCGCGCTGAACGTCATATCAGTCACTTAACACATAAAATTTGTCGCAAAAGCCTTTGGGAAAGCCTATGAGAAATTTATAGCCTTGGGCAACAAACGCCCTTTAACTCGAATTTACCGTGTAAAAACAAGCAAATGCACTAAAACATACAACCATTGTCACGCATACCTAACGAGGTAATATGAAATCTTGTTGTATTTACAATAAAGGACGGTATTTTTGAGGGGGTGGTAAATATTTTTGAAAGAGATGGTAACATACGAAGAACTGAGAAAACGTGAAAAATATTTTTAGAGATGGGTATGGGAATAACATGAAAAAGTAAGTTTTAGAAAGTGGGGGTGGTAAAAAATTATATTTTTTCCGGGGGGAGGGGGGATAACAAAAAATTTTTTTTAAAAAATAATTTTAAAATTAAAAAAAAAATTCAAAATTAACGATACCCTCAGTTTTGTAGAACACCTTGAACTGGGCCGAGCGCAGCGCCCAGTACAGCCGATGGACGATGGAATCCATGGCCGGAACGTTGGCGAAAATGGCCGGCGGCTCCGCGAAACAGGCATGAAGCTGTCGTTCAAACTGAAATTATATTGGCCCCATAAAAGGTTGGCCATGCGGCGAAAATACGGTGAACTCAAAAATTGTTTTATAGGTAGTGTAAAGAATGGCAGAACAATTGAAAAAGGTTTTTAGTGTAGGAGAGCACGATTTATGGTGCGAAGAAAGTTATGGCCAAGAAAAGACGGTTATGGTAAAAACAGTATGTTAGGTTTAAAAACAGTATGTCAGTTTTGAAAATAGTACAAAACTAAAAAACAGTACGATATGTTAAGACTTTTATATTCAACTAGTTTTAATTGTCTTATAACCACCTTAAAAAAAGCTTTCAAAATGACGTTTTTCCGGTTCGACAGCGATGATGTTTGAGTACTAAACGAGTACGTTCGAATAAAGTACGAGAAATTAAAAAAGTATAAAGTATTATACCAAAGAGAGATAAAAGATTGAACAAAAATGCAATTTTAGGATAATCATGAGAATGAAAAGATCAAAAATAGTTTGAAGATCAGTTCATACTATGCTATGTTATGGTAAGTACCGAACTCAAACAATTAAATTCTAAAACTAAAAAGTGAGTGCTTAAGCATGTAGGCTTAAGCTGAGTAAGCTTATACTTAAAACGCCTAAGCTTAATGAGCTCAGACTTGGTAGGGTTTAAGTTAATAAGTTTAAGCTTAGTAGGCTTAGGCTTAAAAGGAAAGTAACCAACCTGCAACTCTCAGAATTAGCTCAATCTTTTTATACGGATTCTTAGTAGTACCAGTAGCACATATAAAGTCTTAGCTTGCGGTTTTAAGTTTTAAAATTAATATATTTAAATTTCCCGCCAATTTGGCAAATATGGCATTGTGTTTCAAGCATTTTTATCGACTTTCCAGATAAGCTACACTTACAAATTTAAAAATGTAGGTTCATTTAAAAGCATTCTACTATTTTATCAAAGAAAAAGGCTTAAAATTCTAAAAACGGGAAAGTTATAAGCTTGAAGCACAATGCCAATTTGGCGGGAAATTCAAAATGTAATTTTTAATCTCGGTTTTCTCGAGATTGACTAGAAAGCGTGATGTAGTACTTTGCTGAAGATCTTATATTTAAATGCTCTTTCTATATAAAAAGTTTGAAGTTAATCAGAGCGGGGCGGGTAGGGTACTTCCCTTGTAAGTTTTCCAAAAAAATTAAAAATTTTAAAAATTCGATTTTTCAAAAAAATATTTTAAAAAATGTTAAAGCCTTTAAAAATAAAAAAAAACTAAAAAAAAATACCATACCTGCGACTGTCTGCGAATATGCCGGTTGGGGTCGTGGATGAAGGGGTTCTTGCCGGAGAACATAATCGTGCCTTCGGAATGGTAAGTGCTGCGGTGACCCGTCACACGACCTTTCAAAGAGCTGGAAATTCAATTTGAACACGTTTTACGCATTTCAATTTTGTGTCCAACTTAAGGACTCTTCGTTAGGGGGTGAAAAGACAATCTCCAGTCGAGGGGGGGGAGGGGGGGGTTTCACCCGCGTTTTTACGCTTTTTTGAGTTTTATGTAATTGTCTTGGCCTTGCATGTTTTGCACATTTGCCTAAATTTTGATGGGCCGCATTGAGGAGGAAGTGATGGGTTTAATGGGGGGGAAGGGGGGGGGTGGCTTTAAAAATAAGGTTTGAAATAGAAAAAATCCATGGGGGAGGGGAGGGGGACGAAATGAAATTTTTTTTTGACATAGAGGGGAGGTGAAGCCAGGGCCGTGGCGAGGGGGGATACTCACCCAAAAAAAATTTTTTTTTAAATTTGAACGTGGTTAAAAGCCCCCCCCTGTGGGTTTTTTGGAAAAAAAATTCTTAGCAAAAAAACACCCCTGTGCCAATTTTTTTTCGGCCCCGCCCCCAGAAAAAAGCACCCGCCCTGCGCAGAATGAGGCCAAACAATTAAAAAAAAATTTTTTTGGAAAATCAACAAAGAGACCAAGTCGAGTTTTTTTTATGAAAAAAATGATATTTCGCGCTTACCTCCCCTGTCCTACATGAATTGCCCGGCATAAACTTTAAAAATACTCCCACAGCATCAAAAATAGACATGAGAAACGGGCCGGGCCGGCCAGCCTTGAGCAAAATTTCGATCGGGCCGGGCCTGAAAATGGCCCGTTTCTCATGTCTAATCAAAAAAACGCCTTAAAATACGAAAGAAATACTCAATAACACTAAAAAACTTCCTAAAATACGAAAAAACACCACCCAAACCACCGAAAAACAGTGTTAAATTTGCATGAACTATTTATAAATAATGCCAAAAGTCGTGTAGCTACTCGCAAGTCGATGTTTGTCACCGAGTTTTTTTTTCGGCTATTACGGCATTCTTGATGACAGTGGGAACCGCGAAAACAATACCACGGGAAACTCCGTATCTTCCCCGCTTATCTTGAGGAAGATACGGAGCATTGTCTTATTTTAGGGAAGACTTTTGGTTGGAAAATGAGGTTTTGAAACGTTTTTCAAAAAAAAATTTTAAAGTTTTTTTTTAAATGTTGAACTTGTCCCCCTGCTGATTTAAAAAAAATTTCAAAAATGTTGAACTTGGTCCCCCCTGTCGATTTAGAAAAAAAATTCCCCTCCCCCTTCTCGACTTCATCTTCCCGTGTAAAATCACCCGCCATATACCAAAATATACCAAACACTGTAAAAACAGTCATGTGACTCACTAATCACCAAAAACATCCCAAACTATCAGCAAATTACTAAATTAGTCCAAATTTCTTCCATTTTTGCTGAAAACATTGGGTTTTTGCGGGTCGGAGATTAAACTTTTGCTCCTCTAATCTTGACGTATTATTCATAAATGTATGAATTTATGAAAGTACGTAACACTGTCCATAAGTGCAAAGTGTTTGCCAAAAAAGAACTCGAGCTTGCACTGTTTTTGGTCAGAAAAGCTCGAGTTTTTGTCCTAATTTTTTCGAAAAAATGCCAAATTTTGAACATTTTGGCTATAATAAGGTCAAATGTGAGCCATTTTTGATCAAAAAATAAAGGAAAATTTAAGAAACTTACTGTGATACATTGTACATCTTCTACCGGATACAATCTCAAAGAGGCACAACAGAAAACTAGAAAAATAACCTAAAAACACAATATCTTATTAACAATATCACATTTTTCAACAAAAATTAGAAAAAAACGCCAAATCTCAGCTTTGAACCGCAATAACTTTCTTAAAATAACAAATTTAAAAAAAATTAAAGCCAACCCATTAAACCTTGTTCTTTACTCATTACTTTCACACCAAAACCTACATAAAACTTGAACTTAAATACCTAGTTTCTCACAATTATATGAGACCATAATCACACCTTAACATAACCGGACATAAAAGCCCTCAAAGCAACTAACAGCGCCCAACACCACATCAATACATGAACACCCAGTATCACACCCTTAAACCAGACAATGTCGTCATGTAAACTAATATTGTTTAATGGCCATTAAACTACGTTTCCGAGTTCGAAGCCTTCAAAACTTAATCAAGCCCGCAGGGACTAAACGTTTACTTCTCGACTTTAATTATGATTTAGAAGATGAGTTTGAGCATTCGATTAATATTCTCTTCGTTCACAACATCCAGGTAGTCGTTCTCCCAGTCGTATGGGTCTGACATGGCCACGTTGCCCGAGAATTCTTTCATCAGGTCCTGAAAGGTTGAAAATTGATAATATAAACTTTGAAATTTAAAAAAAAATTAACAAATAATTTTTTTTAATTTTAAAAAATTTCAAATTAAAAAATCAAAATCTACCTGCAGCAAAGAGTAATTAGGTTCATCATCAGCCTCCATGGAATAAATAGCTTTCCCAAACTCTCTCAACGCTTCACCAAAACCTTCAGAGATGTGAATGAATTCATCGTTCCGCAAATGTTCTTTGGCCGTTTTAATGTGTGATTGACGTTGCAGATCCTTCCATGGTAACTCGCCTTTGATCATTTCTAGTAATGAGTAATATAAAGCCATCAAATCGTCCGACGGACCTTGTTCCTCTCTTTTGTGTACTCGAATTGAAACGTAGCGCAAAGTACCGCGGAAGCCGGTTCGTTCTCGTGCTGGGCGAAGCTGACCATCGACCGTGCGGAAGCGGCGGACTAACCCAAAATCGACCAAAAGGAGACGTTGGCGGGCCTGAAATTTTTTTAACAAATTTTTATAGCTATAGCAACACTTTCTATACAATAAAAAAAGTTTTGGTAGCGTATTTTACAAGCCATAGTACGATATTGCAATATGTTAACTTACCTGCTCAGTAATCCCGAAGCAAACGTTAGCTGGCTTGATATCTCGGTGAATATACCCAATGTTGTGTAAGTCGCGTAGAGCTGCAAGCGCCTAAAATATTGAACTTAAACGAAGATGCAACGTATTTTACAGAACATTTCAAAAATTAAAAGCTATTGTTAAAAGCGTAAATCGATTAGGTTTACTACTTTACATTACCTTAGCCCATCAAACTTAAGCCTATAAAGGAAAAATCAACCCTAAAGCTGTCAAAGTTTCAAAAGCCTTACCTGCATCATGACCCTCCCGGCCGTAGGCTTAGAAAGCCTCTTCAACGGACATTGTTTTCTCAAATCCCCCAAATTAGTGGACAAAAGCTGCATAACAATAAAATTGACTTCATTTTCACATCCCGATCCAAAAATCACGGGTGCATGAGGCTGTCCCTGAAGCCTGACCAGCACTTTCTGCTCCAGAATCATACGACGAACCACTTTTCCACGTCGTCTCGTCGGTTCCGCTTTGATCGCTACATTCTCCTTGGAACGTTGATCATGAGCGTAGAAAATCTGACCGTAACCTCCTGATCCAATCAGTCCTTTGATTAGCCAACGATTACGAAGCGGTTCACCAACCGACAACAAGGTGTCGAACATATTTTTGGAGATTCTGGGGGCCATACGACGACGGGCTCTGGAAAAATAGTTTTAAATCCTTCTAAAACCGCTCAAATTTAAAAAAGATCAACAAATTTTATAAAAATCAATTCTTCTCCCATTAAACCAGCTACTATAACTTACTTTTCATTGACGATCAAATTTGAGGACGGTTCGGCGACTTTTTCGTAGCTAATGCACGGTAACGGCAGAACGGGCCGACTCTTACCACTGGCAACCGATGGCATAGCTGACATGTTGCTTTCGGAAGCTTCGGACAACTTTTGTTTATCATTACGACTCGCCATGTTGATAGCAACCGGCTTGCGGAGGTTGAGGTAGATGAAATGCCATTCTTTTCTAAAATTCAACATCAAATGAAAGTAAAACAATGTTTTTTTTTCAAAATTTGGTCCTTTTTAAAAGTTCTAAAAAGAATTTTATATCTAAAATAAGGTAACAAAGATTTTATACCTAAAAAACACACAAGTAAGTTAAAGAAAAAGCTAAAATAATTTATCAGTTTATAATTTAGAGCGTTATAGCCCAAACCAAAACGAGTTTAGGTGTAAAACTAGGCTAAAAATAAAGGTAAAAGACTAAACTAACATATAACAATAAATTATACTCACTTTTTGACCAAATAACCAAAAACAACACGGTTTCCTATCTAAAAACAAATTATTTCGCAGCGAAAACAGAAAAACCTTATTTATTCATCGAATCAATTGTTGCAGTCCGCTGTTCCTGACAAAAAAATCAGTTTTGACAGTAAAAATTTTAAAATCTCGCTAGCGGGCTTGTAAGGCAAAATTAGCAGTTTTTGAAAATAGATTTCTAGTCAACTTTTTACGCACTTTCACATGGTACCATTCACTTTTAAAAATCGAATGGGCAGTTTGTAACATTCCCTTGTGAGTTCTGCTCCCCTTAAATTTGACGCTTAATTTGTTAATTATTTTCAAAATTCAGTTATTTTACAAAATCCTTCGTTTGCCGTTATTTATTTTCCAAACTTTCAGAAATTTAACAAGTCATTCGAATAACCAAATAGCATACACAATATCAAACTTCACATTCATCGTCACCTGGCTGAGCAGTAGAGTTGGGATTCATAGCACACAATCCATTGTCACAAATTCTGTCATCTGGGCATTGAGAACAGGCGTCACCTTCAATGTAGATTGGCATGCCTTGATTGTTACCAACGAGTTCATAATCACAAACAATGATGAATCCATTGTCCCAACCAGAATCCAGGTTGGTGAAGGTGGCGCATTGCTTTACTCCACATCCAACACTGTAGGTAGTGGCCCAGATCATCTAAAATGGATTTAAATAGCTTAAGAACAAAGTTTTATGATTTTTGAGTTTTGGTTTGTGGTATTACCTTACAGTTAAATGTACATTTAGTTTAGTATAAGTTTACAAAAACTGTAAATAATGACTTACTTGAGTAAACGTTGAGCTTTGTCCTTGATAGTTGCCGACCGTGCTGACATTGAAGGAATCGACTTCACTGAACCAGCCATCAATCGAAAGTTGCAAAACATAAGTATTGTTAATACCGGGCTCACCGCCAAAGCCATAAACAACACTGTTTTGGCCTACAGCACCGTATCCACCGCCTCCCAAAGTGCAATTGTTAGCCCAGGCTTGGGCAAGGTTTTCAAGACTAGTATCATATGTAAACTCATACATGTTGGCTGCTTGTGGCAAGGTACCATTCTCGCCTTCTTGTTGTCCTAAAGCTACAGTACGTCGGTAGTTGTTGTGGTAATTAACAACAAAAGTACGTTCATCTTCAGATAATCCAGCACCAGATCCGGCAACTTCAGTTGTGGTAGGAACGGCAGTGGTTGTTAGCACAGTAGTGGCATCTGGGTTGATGGCACATAATGAGTCATCACAAAGTCTGTTAGCTGGACATTGGGAGCAGGTGTCACCTTGAGTGTAGATTGGTTGATCTTCCGTGTTACCGGCAGTTTGGTAGTTACAGACAACCAAGAAAGCACCGTCATAAGTAGAATCCAAGTTGGTAAAGGATGAACATTGCTTTACTCCACAGCCGACACTGTAGGTATTGCCCCAGATGATCTGGAAAGAAACTTGATAAAACTTCAAAATAAATTTATATCAAAAACAAGTTATTTTACAATTTAAAACTAAAATCTTACTTGAGTGAACATTGTGCTGGTTCCGTCATAACTGCTGACACTACTGACATTAAAAGTTTCAACTTCATCAAACCAGTTATCAATAGCACTTTGAAGGAAATAGGTATTGTTGATACCGCTAGTACTACTTATTTCTAAAAGAAGCACGCTCTGACCTCCACTGTAGCCTTGATATCCAAAAGTGCAGTTGTTAGCCCAGTCTTGAGCAGCAGCTTCAACGTCAGTATCGTACTCAAGTTGAAACATGTTGGCAGCTTCCGGTAAGTTTCCATTCTCAGCAGCTTGTTGTCCTGTAGCTACAGTACGTCTGTATTGGTTATGATAGTCGACAGCAAAGGCACGTTCATCATCAGTCAATACGGCACCAGATCCTGGAGCTTCAGTTGTTGGAGCGGCTCGGATAGTCGAAATCTTTACAGTAGCTAAGCAGAACAGGAAGAGTAAGGTTTTCATTGTACGATACTGTTGGGTATGTACAGTGTTCACAAATGAACGTGATTTGAATAATGATTACTTGATTTGAACGTTCTGCTTTTATACTGAACTCGATGTGATTAAAATGCAAATTTTTTGACGGGCAGCTCAAGTTCAAAAAGTTAAAATTTGCGATAAAACTGATCAATATCAACGTGTTACCCCAAATGAAAAAAGATTATACGCCTCTGCAGGTAGCTAAACATTATGTAAATACCCGTTTTTGGAATTGTTTGTTAAGTTTACTTCTGGAAACTGTTTCATATTCAAAATCATTCCCACGCAAAAGTTGTCAATTCGTGGTTAAGCCCTTGCAATAGGTATAAAAGCAAAAGGTTCAAATCAAATAGTCACTATTCAAACCACATTCATTTGTGAACACTGTACCCAACAGTATCGTACAATGAAGACTATACTTTTCTTGTTCTGCTTAGCTACTGTAAAGATTTCGACTATCCGAGCCGCTCCAACAACTGAAGCTCCAGGATCTGGTGCCGTATTGACTGATGATGAACGTGCCTTTGCTGTCGACTATCATAACCAATACAGACGTACTGTAGCTACAGGACAACAAGCTGCTGAGAATGGAAACTTACCGGAAGCTGCCAACATGTTTCAACTTGAGTACGATACTGACGTTGAAGCTGCTGCTCAAGACTGGGCTAACAACTGCACTTTTGGATATCAAGGCTACAGTGTAGGTCAGAGCGTGCTTCTTTTAGAAATAAGTAGTACTAGCGGTATCAACAATACCTATTTCCTTCAAAGTGCTATTGATAACTGGTTTGATGAAGTTGAAACTTTTAATGTCAGTAGTGTCAGCAGTTATGACGGAACCAGCACAATGTTCACTCAAGTAAGATTTTAGTTTTAAATTGTAAAATAACTTGTTTTTGATATAAATTTATTTTGAAGTTTTATCAAGTTTCTTTCCAGATCATCTGGGGCAATACCTACAGTGTCGGCTGTGGAGTAAAGCAATGTTCATCCTTTACCAACTTGGATTCTACTTATGACGGTGCTTTCTTGGTTGTCTGTAACTACCAAACTGCCGGTAACACGGAAGATCAACCAATCTACACTCAAGGTGACACCTGCTCCCAATGTCCAGCTAACAGACTTTGTGATGACTCATTATGTGCCATCAACCCAGATGCCACTACTGTGCTAACAACCACTGCCGTTCCTACCACAACTGAAGTTGCCGGATCTGGTGCTGGATTATCTGAAGATGAACGTACTTTTGTTGTTAATTACCACAACAACTACCGACGTACTGTAGCTTTAGGACAACAAGAAGGCGAGAATGGTACCTTGCCACAAGCAGCCAACATGTATGAGTTTACATATGATACTAGTCTTGAAAACCTTGCCCAAGCCTGGGCTAACAATTGCACTTTGGGAGGCGGTGGATACGGTGCTGTAGGCCAAAACAGTGTTGTTTATGGCTTTGGCGGTGAGCCCGGTATTAACAATACTTATGTTTTGCAACTTTCGATTGATGGCTGGTTCAGTGAAGTCGATTCCTTCAATGTCAGCACGGTCGGCAACTATCAAGGACAAAGCTCAACGTTTACTCAAGTAAGTCATTCTTCACTGTTTAAACCTATAATTAACCGTAAGTTAACGCTGCGAAGTGAAGCTTAAAAGTTATAAAACTACTTTTGTTCTTAAGTTATTTAAATTCATTTTAGATGATCTGGGCCACTACCTACAGTGTTGGATGTGGAGTAAAGCAATGCGCCACCTTCACCAACCTGGATTCTGGTTGGAACAATGGATTCATCATTGTTTGTGATTATGAACTCGTTGGTAACAATCAAGGCATGCCAATCTATATTGAAGGTGACGCATGTTCTCAATGCCCAGATGACAGAATTTGTGACAATGGATTGTGTGCTATGGATCCCAACTCCACCGCTCAGCCAGGCGACGATGAATGTGAAGTTTGATACTAATTTTTTATGCTACTTGGTTATTTGAAAGACTTGTGACATTTCCTGAAAGTTTGTAAAATAAATAATGGTAATCGAAATTAATTTGGATTGACTTTTTTAAAAATAAAAATAATTTTTTTCATTTTTCATTCACTTAAGGTATACCTGTACTCGTAGAAAGTTTATTATTTGTGAACAGAACCTTACATTGAATAGTTTCAGCTTTAGCTAAAGCAGCTGTAGTAATCGATGCAGCCAGAAAGGTTAGAAAAGCTAAATTCTTCAGGGTACGATATTTATAGATACAGTGGTTTCATTAGTGGAGTGTGACTCAGACGATGAGTATTTGACGTTATCTTTCTGGTAAAACATTGCAAACACTATTGCCGATGTTTTTTAGACGGAGTAATATAATATTTAAAAAAAACTGCGTTTTTGAGTATAAGCTTGCGATGTAAGTCTGAAGATTGCTTTTCAGATAGTTTTAAAGGCCTGAACTTTACTAAAAAAATAGTTTCATTGAGATTTCTTGACATTAAATTGAACCAAAAATAGCGGGACACTTTTCACTTTTTTGAATTAAAAAGTGTCCCGCTATTTTTGGTTTGACCTATAATAATATTTTTTTGTATTTATTGGTATTTCTATTATATATAATGTAATATATATAAAGTATAATACATAAAATCAAATTTATTGCCAGTTTAAAAATAATTTGATTGTTCATCGAAAACAATACTTTTTTAAAAACTTCTTGAAGAGTTTATAGTCAAATGAACATGACTTCAGTACTGACTGTCTGGCGTTAATATTGTATTTTTATACTACAGATACCTTAATTAAAATGCAAGTTCTTTGCCTACGGACCAAGGTGAAAACATTAGGTTTTGTGTTAAAATTTACATTATCAGCTAGTTCCAGCGATTATAAGCAGATTATACACGCCTCTGCATGTACCAAATCGTATGCAAATGGCTGTTTGTGGAACTGTTTGTTAAGTTTACATTGAAAAACTGTTTCATATTCAGTTTCCAGAAATGAATTTAACAATGCCCACGCAAAAGTTTTCGGACACGTAGCTAAGCTCTTCCTGTTAAAATAGGTATAAAAGCCGAACGTTCACATCAAACAATCACTATTCAACTCACATTCACTTGTGTAAACATTGTACTGAACTGTATCGTACAATGAAAACTCTACTCTTCTTTCTCTGTTTGGCTACGGTTACTGGTACCGCAACAGCTGACGGTTTGTCCGACGATGACCGTACTTTTGTCCTCGACTATCACAATAACTATAGACGTACGGTAGCTTTAGGACAACAAGCTGGTGCTAATGGTAACTTGCCAACGGCCGCGAACATGTTGGAGTTTGAGTACGATACTGCCATTGAAGCTGATGCTCAAGCATGGGCTAACAACTGTAGTTTTGGCTACACAACTTATTCTGGGGGCCAAAATCTGATTCTTTATGAAACCAGTAGCAGTGGCACTCAAAATTACTCTGCCCTTCTCAAAGCTGCTGTTGATGAATTTTTTGGACAGGTCACGAGCTTTAACATCAGCTACGTTGATGACTATTCTTCTAGTGCTGGGTCAATGTTTTCCCAAGTGAGGATTATTTCGAAGTTTTAAAATTATTTAAAAATTTTTTAAATTTTAAAGATATATATTTTAGGTTATTTGGGCTAATACCTCGAGCATCGGTTGTGGAGTACAATCCTGTCCTAACCTAGATTCTTCGTCTTCTTTCTACGCTTACATCGTCGTATGTTTCTACCAGAGTGCCGGTGATACTACAGGCCAACCAATCTATGCTCAAGGTGAATCTTGTTCTCAATGTCCTAGCGGAAGAGTTTGTGACAATGGATTGTGCGCATTAAGTTCTGAGACCACAATTTCAACCACTACTCCTACCACCACTATTACTACGACTGTTCCAGCCATTCCTACCACAAATTCAGCCGCCGGATCTGGAAACGGATTGTCGGACGATGACCGTACTTTTGTCCTCAACTACCACAATAACTACAGACGTACGGTAGCTTTAGGACAACAAGCTGGTGCTAATGGTAACTTGCCAACGGCCGCCAACATGTTGGAGTTTGAGTACGATACTGTCATTGAAGCTGATGCTCAAGCCTGGGCTAACAACTGTAGTTTTGGCTACACAACTTATTCTGGAGGCCAAAATATGATTCTTTATGAAACCAGTAGCAGTGGTACTCAAAATTACTCTGCCCTTCTCAAAGCTGCTGTTGATGAATTTTTTGGACAGGTCACGAGCTTTAACATCAGCTACGTTGATGACTATTCTTCCACGGCTGGGTCAATGTTTTCTCAAGTAAGAATTATTTTAAAGTTTCGAAATTGTTAAAAAATTTTTAAAACTTGTGAAAATATGTTTTTTAGGTGATTTGGGCTGAAACCTCCAGCATCGGTTGTGGAATACAATCCTGTCCCAATCTAGATTCTTCTTCTTCTTTCTACGCTTACATCGTCGTATGTTTCTACCAGACTGCCGGTGATACTACAGGCCAGCCAATCTATATTCAAGGTGATACTTGTTCCCAATGTCCTAACGGCAGAGTTTGCGACAATGGCTTGTGCGCTGCTTCCAATACAACTGCTGCTACAACAACAGGCACTACTGCCGCTTCAACTGCTCCTACTACAACTTCTGCTCCTGGATCTGGAGCTGGATTGTCTGCTGATGAACGTACTTTTGTTGTCAACTACCATAACAACTACAGACGTACTGTAGCATTAGGACAACAAGCTGGTGAGAATGGTAATTTGCCACAAGCAGCCAACATGTACGAGTTTACATATGATACTAGTCTTGAAAACCTTGCCCAAGCCTGGGCTAACAATTGCACTTTGGGAGGCGGTGGATACGGTGCTGTAGGCCAAAACAGCGTTGTTTATGGCTTTGGCGGTGAGCCCGGTATTAACAATACTTATGTTTTGCAACTTTCGATTGATGGCTGGTTCAGTGAAGTCGATTCCTTCAATGTCAGCACGGTCGGCAACTATCAAGGACAAAGCTCAACGTTTACTCAAGTAAGTCATTCTTCACTGTTTAAACCTATAATTAACCGTAAGTTAACGCTGCGAAGTGAAGCTTAAAAGTTATAAAACTACTTTTGTTCTTAAGTTATTTAAATTCATTTTAGATGATCTGGGCCACTACCTACAGTGTTGGATGTGGAGTAAAGCAATGCGCCACCTTCACCAACCTGGATTCTGGTTGGGACAATGGATTCATCATTGTTTGTGATTATGAACTCGTTGGTAACAATCAAGGCATGCCAATCTATATTGAAGGTGACGCATGTTCTCAATGCCCAGATGACAGAATTTGTGACAATGGATTGTGTGCTATGGATCCCAACTCCACCGCTCAGCCAGGCGATGATGAATGTGAAGTTTGATACTGACTGTGTATGCTATTTGGTGATTTGAATGACTTGTGACAATTTTTGAAGGTTTGCAAATAAATAATGGCAATCGAAGGTCCTTGGCTCTCAATTTTGAGCTTTTTTAAAATTTAATTTTTAATTTCAATTTTTTAAAAAAATTCATAAAACTAAGATACATCCTTGTTTACGTACATACCATCCATTTTAACAACTATTGAATTTTCTAGAATTGTAGTATTCATTATAGTAATTAATTGTCAGACGATGAAAATCCGATTTTTTGGTCGAAAAAACGCTTTACCACGACTTATCGCCGTTAAATACGACGAAATGGTTTTTACATAACAAAAGATTGTCCATATGGCCATACTTTTACGTTTATTCTACGTACTGTTTTACGATTGTTTGACTGCTTTACCATAACTTTTTAAAATTTTTTAGATTTTTTGCGTTTTCAATACTATATTGTACTAAAGAACTAACTAGTAGAACTCGAAAATTGCCTAAGGCCCCCTCATTACCGTTTTTAGTTCCAACAGTCTCAGTATAAGACTTTTGATTTTTAAGCAAATATAAAAGGTACCACTGTGGTACCACCAAGAAAAGCCTAGAAACTAGTACCAAACTACCGCTACTATAATATAAATATCATAATCTACCTTCACATACGCAACCCTACAACAAACTTATCCCTAAAGTACCATTATGCTACTAAACACCTCATTTGGTATCTACTGTACAGTAGTATCCTTGGTTAGCATTCTCCTCAACTTATTATTCTTGCTAGTAACAAAATTGAAGCGAGTAGAAGGCTTCCAAGAAGTACTAGTATTCATTAGGAACATTGCTGTAGGCTATATTCTAATGTCAATCTGTCTACTTTGTATCTCTCCACAACAAGTTATAACTGGCAGTAGTGTGGTACTCATACCACATGGGCTGTTGGCTACTATGGATTCACCAATGATGGTATGTTGGGATTAGGGTTAGTGGGCTTAGCAACGAGAGTAGGGGACCTTTTAAGCCTAGCCAAAAGGATGAGATGTTTAGCCTGTAAACCAGCCTACTTAAGTGATGCTCTAAAGCTCATATACATGATTATAACCGAACATTTTTCCAAATTTCAGCACGCCCTAGCCTCCCTAGGGATCGGAATCTACTTGTACACCGTATTCAGCTTCATGATTATGTTCCTCTACCGTTACAATGTAACCTGTACCACATCAAGAATGTCATCCGTATTCTCTCGTCGTAATATCACAACATTCCTGATAACAGCCGCTATATTTTGTCTAATCCAAGCCGTCCTAGTCTACTATTCAGCAGTTGACGCGACCTTTTTGAGTGATAAAACCAATCGTACAGCTGATATCGATCAGATATTGAGTAGTAAAATCGTGAAGGAAGTTAAGGTTAACCAACCAGATATTCAAGTACAACCACCTCAGAATGAAGAAGGACATCAGCCACCGGTCGATAATAATGCTGCTCAAAGAATGGTAAGTTAAGGTCTGGCTGGGTTTAGTCGGCTTTCTTTCAGGCCTGGTAATTTAAGGTTACGGCGGGCCTAGTAGGTCTTTTACAGGACTAATACATTAATTTTTAATAAATTTTTAAAAGTGTTTATCAAAATGTAAAATACGGTTACACACTTTGGTTGGAATATATTAGATTCCGACATAAAGAACCCGCCATACTTTTCCTGTAATTTCTTGTAAAAAATGGCGGGTTCTTTATGTCGGCCCCTAATAGTATGGAAAAACTAAATGTTTGCTAGGGTTCGGACTAAGACATACTGCAAACAACCATTTTCAGATTGGAATCTTCGGTATTGACTACACCAGAAACCCTATGATCTTCTTATCAGCCGGTATATTCACCTTTACTAATGTAATCAGCTCCCTCATCATCCTAATCGCTTCTCTTGTCGTAGCGTGCAAGCTGAGGGGTCGGCAGGTAAAAATTTTTCATTTTGAGTATGACTTCGATACTATTAAGTGCCGACATAAAGAACCCGCCATTTTTTACAGGAAACCACAGGAAAAGTATGGCGGGTTCTTTATGTCGGCACCTAAGAGGACTAAGACAGTGTACTTCATGTCGTATTTTACAATTTCAATACGTTGTGGTGGTATATTATAAGGTGCCGACATAAAAAACCCGCCATTTTTACAAGAAATTACAGGAAAAGTATGGCGGGTTCTTTATGTCGGCATCTAATATATTCCAACCAAAGTGTGTAACCGTATTTTACATTTTGATAAACACTTTTAAAAATTTAGGAGTCCATGTCTGAGCAATCACATTCCGAACACCAAAAGCTGACAAACGTTTTGATATTGGACGCTTACATCCCAGTACTAATGGCTCTAGTACCAGCCGTTAACTTTGTTTACTGTTTGTTCGTACCTGATTATGTGTAAGTTTCTATACCATTATATCATGTTATAAAGCCAAGAAAAGCTAAACCACACAAAATTTTAAAAAATATTAGGTGCCGACACAAAGAACCCGCCATACTTTGCCTGTAATTTCATGTAAAAAATGGCGGGTTCTTTATGTCGATACCTAATATATACCAAACTTCCAACCCCTATCTATATACACCAACCCCTATATATATAGACCAACTCTTATCTATATATACCAACCCCTATCTTATACATACCAAACCCTACCTTTTCAGTCGATTCCAAGAGTTCCTCGGAATCCTCGTCCTAGCCCCAATCCCAGCCCTATTCCCAATAATGAATGTGTTTCTGGTCCCCGACCTTCGCACCACCGCCTTCCAAGTTGTCATGTTGACTTACTGGAAGAAGAAAGAAGCTGCTGCCGCGAAAGAACGAAAAGATAATGCTAACGGTCAGGAACAACTTAACGATGCTCAACTTGGAGTGTTAAAGACCATGACCGACAAGGCGGGACAGAGAAAAGAGTAAATTTTGAAGTTTCAAAACATAAATTTAAAATTTTATTTTTAACTTTGAACTTTTTTAGCAACATTTTTAATCATAATGACTATTTTTTTATCATTCATAGGCTTGTAAATATAGGTTTTTATTTTCAATTTTTGATAACTTTTCCTTTCAATTTTTATAACTTTTGTTACCTAAAAAGTAAATATCCATTATTTCTCTGTCATAATAAACTTCTGTGAACTTGAAAACTCCCCCTTTTTAAAAAAATATATTTTTTTCTTTTTTGTATGTTTTCTAACTATTTTGTCATTTTATGTTTCAGCAATACATACGATAAACCAAAGTTTTCAACTTTAAAAATTTATTATTTTAACTTATAGACCATAAAGAATCTTGCTACAGTTCTATACCTAAACCTGCTTCAAATAGTTTCAATATTAAAACAAAAAGTTTAAAAAATACTAGAATAACCAATATCATTGCCAATAACAACATAAATCCTACTGTGTCCTATAAACAGTTTTGGCCAAATCACACAACACTCGATAAGCCGGCTTCTGAGCCTTCATTTTGCATGCCATATCCACCATAGCGGCCGCGTCACCAAGGTTGACTTGATCTTTCAATGAAAAGGATCCAGTTTGCTTCGTATCAATATGAACACCTTTGGCTATAGGTAAAGCTGAAGTAGTTGGAGGTGTTGGAATAGTCAACAAATTAACCAACACATCATCATCCGTTGATTTTGTTTGGTTTACTGTATTATAACCATATGATGTTGTTGTCCTACCATTTTGGATCGTAGTACCACTAGGACGTAACGTCGCATCGACCGGTTGATTGGTAGTCTTCAAAGTAACAGCTTCTGTCTCCTTTAACGGTGGAATAACGTGCTCCAATTCTGTAGCATTTAGCGCGTTCACTTGATGATCTGGTTCCAGATACGCAGTAGTGGTTAGGCTGGTACAGTCTAATGTAACATGAGGTGTTTGCACCGGTTCTTGAGTAGTTGTTGTAAGAACCTGAAGTGTAGGCAGTGGTGTAACATTGTGTATCAGATTTGGAGACAAGTCCGGCTTCATTGGCAGTGTAGATTGGGCATAGGTTTCAGTGGTAAACATTGTTGTAGTAGATGATACTGTAGTTGTGACAACACTTTGTGTTGTATCTGAAGTAGAAGTAGTAGTAGTAGCACCAAAATTTGTGAAATAAGAGCTGGTAGTTGTAGTATCGTCAGTACCAAGTAAAACAGCTCTATCGGTTGTAGAACTTGCTGTACTGACTCTAGTAACTGATATTGTACTAGATATTGTAGTAGATTTTGTTGTTGTCACTATAGGTTTTCTTGTCTGAAGCTGTTCATCAGCACTACTTAAACCAACAGTAGTACTAATAGGGCGCCTTGTACTGTATATTCTGCCAGGAATAGCCGGCAATACCACTTCTTCTTCTGTACTGACTGTAGTGTACGGTATTATTGTAGCCTCCAGCTCTTCATCCTCTGGTAGCTCATACACAACTTCATTCTCGTCAACTTCAACATTAATCCCGTCTTCTCGAACTTGTAGCTCAGGTACTTGAACAATACTCTTGTGAAGAAACTCGGCTCTAGCACGATCATAATCAAATGGTATGTTATGAACACCACCTAATGTATGGTCCTGTAGTGTATCAGTGTTGTTAAAGTCGCATCTTTCAATTCTCCGACCACCCAGCTGTACTGTACTATTAACTGTAGCTCCATCGGGATTCTTGGCCTCAACTACCGCACAGTAACTTCGGTTTCGTATGTTGTTGTCCATGTTGATGATACTACCAGAGTCCGCCAGTATCACATACGGAAAGTTTTCTTCATCGCTTTTCAATGAGTATGTAAAGGCTTTTGAATTAGAATCCTCCCCCAGGGCTTGAATTTGAGCCAATATACTGTATTTATTGTGAAGACCCGGTGGTATTGGGATACGGTAGGTTTCTTGGCTGAAAAATTGTCGAGGCATACAGTCTGGAGCACTGAATATAAACTCGTAGTAAATTTTACTGTCCACAGTAAACGGTAGTTCATCCAAGAACGTTATCGTACTATGTTCATCCACCCAAAACATGTCGCTACGAATCGTCCGGTAAAGAACATCAAAATTTGGGAAAATTTGAAAAACGGCCTTAAGGGAATACGATTTGTTAATGTTATCTGGCCAGTTTGTAGTACCAATAACCGGACTTTCAAATCGTTTTGACTCGTCAGCTAGCCGGAACGCTATCAACACCTTGGACAGACATTCACGGTCAGACGCTACTGGAGTTTCTTGATCAACGAACAAGCCATCTAATGATGTTAACTTGGCTGTGTCTGTATGGTAGATGTATAATGGGTAGACTTCTGCTACGTCAGCAATCAGCAGGGTTGTTGGGTTGATTGTGTGCTTAATGTAGAACTTACGAAGGTTTACTGTATCCACAAAGTTGTTGTGTGAGAAGCAGGAGAGTTTGATGTTTTTTAGGTACCCAAGCTATAATTATATCAGTATTATGATAGCAAATCGACATAATAAAGAATAAAGACCTCATTACTTCATAGCAACGAGACTTTTTACTATAGTAACTTCCCTGCCCTCATAAAATCAAAAAATATTAACCCACCCCTCCCTTGACCAAGCTAATGTTCATAACAACATTATTTTGTTCTCCTGACTCCAAATCGCTCAGATCTACATCTAATGTTGGCGTTACTGACATTCCATCAACCTCCATAGAATCCACAGTATACGGTAAAGCTCCAGCAAAGTATTCGTCCATTATCTGTGGTCTTATGTTCTTCAACCATACATTTTCAAGCTTTAGGTATCTTAAATTTAAATTTTTTAATTTTACAGTATTTACTATTAAAGAGTAGGGTTTGGTATAAAGGTATATAAAATAAACTATAGAATTTTTGTGGACAAAGAAGAGAAAAATTCAGCGAAAAACCACCAACACCTACTACAATATAAATAAAAATCAGCCTAGTAAAAGAAAACACATCTCTTACTTACCCAACGTTCATAACACTTAATTTGACACTAAATGGCATCTTAACACCAGCTTTTCCATGTATCATCGGATACATTAAGGCTATAATTCGAACTGATCCAGCTGGGTCTACCTTGAACATTGGAGAATAAATCTCCCTTGAATGAAACTGTCGATTTGCTTCGAAATTCAGGTTTACTACCGCCTGAAAATGTCAATGGGATTAGCAACAGTAAAGTTAAAGTATGTATGATATGGTGGAAAAGAGGAGGGAGGGGGGTTAAAGAAATGCCAAAAAAATTCAGCTTGGTCCCCCCTGTTGATCAAAAAAATCCAAAATTTAACACGCCCCACTACAAAACTAGCTATAACTCTTCAAAAATCAAACCTACAGTAGGATAAACAGTTTTCAGTAGTTTGGTATCAGATCTTGAGTTGACATTCCATTGAACTGTCATGTTTTTCCCTGGTTTCAAGACTTTGAAGTCGTCTAACGTCTCTTTTCCATCAAATAACTGCTCTTTCACTGGGAATTCGTATAACGTTCCATTAAAATCAGTGAACTTAACACTTGTCCGTACTTTTCTTAGTGTTATCTTAGCCTGAAATTATTGTATTACTGTAGAAAATTGAAGTAAAACTCCCTTACAGTATCCCTGAACTACCCCAAAAAGAAGAAAAAAAGTTATACTCATCAAGCCTCGTTTACAGTACTGTAAAAGCCAGTTACAGCACGATAACCCAAACAAAAGCCAACATATTCCCCTACAATACAAACCACAACATGCCCCAAAACTCACAGTAGGATTGTTCAAGTACAAATTGACCAAAAAGTCCCCAGACTCCTTTGAATACAACGGTTCTACGCTCAAATAAGCCTTGATGACAACTTCAGATGTGGTGTTATCCAACCGTAACATCAAACTGATAACATCGTTCAGTAAACTTGACGGATCTCTTCTTGATATTCCATTTGACAACTCTTTTAATGTCCTCGAAAGCTTCACAAATTCTTTTAGGTATGTGTAAGGATTCGTGTTATCAACATCGTATCTTGATTGGATATGATCAGTTTGTTGAGATTCTTCGTAGATCTTGTTCCATTTTGATATGAACAGTAAATCATTTGTGGATTCTAAAAAAAAATTAAAAATTTTAAAAATATTAGGTGCCGACATAAAGAACCCGCCATACTTTGCCTGTAATTTCATGTAAAAAACCCCCCCCCCAGAAAAAAATTTTCAAAAAAATTTGAACGTGGTCCCCCCCCCCTGTAGATTTTTTGGAAAAAAAATTTTCGCAAGAAATCGGCACAGGTAGCACCTGTGCCGATTTTTTGGACCCCTGCCCCCAGACCAAAAGTCCCCGCCCGGCCCTGTCGGCACCTAATAGTACTACGCTTGATGCTCTATCTAACGTAGTCGACTTATCCTACTCTACTTTCTAAAGCATAGTCTATTATAAAAAATACAATCTCACCTTGTAATGATAATCCCTCCTGCAGTGTAATATAATCTTGATAGTCCGATTGATTGGTAACCGTTTGAACAAACTTTTCAAATCTTTCTTCATCCAACAAGTTTGTCGCATTTAGCAGTAAATTCTAAAAAGTGTCCTTTATTACTTTTTTTTAGTTTTTTTTGAAAAAAAAAATTTTTTTCTTCACCTGCCACACATAATATTAAAATTTGAACCAAAAGTAACGAGTCATTTTGCATTTATTTTTCAACTAAAAATTGACCCGCTACTTTTGGTTCAACCTAACAGATCCTTAGGACTTGGTAGTTCGTTTATATTAAGTGACGACATAAAGAACCCGCCATTTTTTCAGGAAATTACAGGAAATGTATGGCGGGTTCTTTATTTCGGCATCTAATAAATATCTTTTTTCAATAAAAAAGATTAAAAAACTCACTGTAAGATAATGTAAATGCTTGTAGAAGCCATTAACAAAGTTGCACAGGTCAAACCGAGGAAGATTTAGCTGGACTGCTGCCATGTTATACAGGTTTTTGGTGTTTGCCAAGGATAAACTCTGAAGTAACGTATTCTTCTTTAATTTAAAAAAGAAAAAATAAAAATTTTTCTAAAATACAAATTAAAACAAAAATTTAATTCCTCACATTCTGAGTGCACATCAAATGCTCCTTTGAAATATACGGTTGAATTTCGCAGAATCCACTATTAGCTGATATTACACATCTCATTAGTTGCTTCAAATCCTCAAAATTCAGTCCTGATTGAGTGCAATTGCGTTGAAACATGACTAATTCCATAAAACTAATAGTGGAAGGTATATTAGTTTGTAGTAATGCCCAACTATTACTACAGACGTCGGAACGTACGAAGAATTGACGACATTTGGATGCCAGATCAGTATGACAAGACTGTGAAACTTGGTAGTAGCGTTGGAGGTTTGTGTTTGATGGGTATAGTCCTAAAATTTAACAACACAATTTTGACAACCGTATTTTACAATTCTTTCATTTAAAACCAAAAATTAAAAAAAATTTTTTTAATATTGTCATGGTGAACATACTAGGTGGCTGGTTTCTTTTCGTCCTCAAGTCCACTAAAACCAAAGCGTTGTCCTGAAAATCGCCCATAACGCCAGGAACAGTATAAATGTACGAAATTTGTAGTAGATGTACAATATCAGATTGATTTAGTCGTTTATCCGTGGATACTACCTTGATCTTGTGCTTGTATCCACAGCCGACACAGATTGCCATGTGGTAGGGTAGCTAAAGGTTTTTGAGTTACAGTACTTTATATCAACAAAAAATAGCTTATCATACCATACCATATCTTACGTTAGCCTACCATACCATACCCAACATTAGCCTACCATACAATACCCTTCGTTAGCCTACCATACCACAAACTACTTTAGCCTACCATACTATGCTCTAAGTTAGCCTAAGACACCATACTACGTTAGCCTACCGCACCACATCCTCCATTAACCTACCACACCATACCCTAAGTTAGCCTACCACACCATAACCTATGTTATCATACCCTTTCTTATCAATAAAAAACTTACGTTTTCGATAGTATAGTACTCTCCATTACTCTCTCGATTTGTAATCATAGCCATAGAGTTCTGTGGACCATTAGAATAGATAAAAGATACCCAAATGTCCTTATCCAACTCTGTTATCGTACTTGGCTGTACCATGAGTTCTGGCCTGGTGCTTTGCTAAAGTTTAGGTATTACTTTATACGCAAAGTATGGCGGGTTCTTTATGTCGGCACCTAATACTGCAAAACGCCTCAAATAGTACGATACACAACCTACCTGATCCATCTGAACAAACTTGATGTCCTCATCAAAGATAGTCAAACTTTTCGACAGTTTTTGAGTCAAAACTGCAGTAAAAGTAGAATTACTTGTAGTAACTTTGACTAATTGATTGAATGTCAAAAACTCGTCAGCTCGTATCATCAATTCGTATATGTCAATATCCAAAGGCTCAAATTCGACTGCTGAATTGATCTTTACAAACTTGTTGAACAATATTTCACGTTGTGATGACATCAGAATTACCTAGAATTTAAAGATTTTAAATTTTTAAAAAATTTTTTAAATTTCAAAAATTTTTTTAATTTAAAATTTCGAAAATTTGTTTAAAATGACATATGAATAACAAAAACCCACCTCAGCAAAGTTATTCTCACTGTAAGTCATGCACTTCACCTTGATTCTCAACCGACATTTCGTATCTTGACTTTTACTTATCCTATACGGTATCTGAAAAAGCGGTGAACTCTTGTCCGGATACCGTAATACTCCTTCCAGAGTCTGCTCTTTTAACGGACTTCGCACTCCAAACACATAGTCCAGCTGAACTGTCCTATTATTCAGTCTACGTGTGGTTGGTGAAGATACCAAGAAGAATGGAGAGAGATCATTTGATAATGATGCTGGTGATGGAGTTGACTGGGTTTCTACTGTAACTTCGACCAGGGTTTGATCGTCGTTTAAAGAGACGTCTAGACGTTTTGGACTGATTTTTATTAGGTTTCCGTAGCGGCGGATGAGATGATGACTAAAATAATATAATTTTTGTTTGTAAAGAAAGTTTTTTCATAAAATTTTTCAAAAATTTATAACATTAAAGAAACTGAAGTTTAGTAAGCTTAGGCTTAGTAAGCTTAAGTTTAGTAGGCTTAAACTTAGAAAGCTTAAGTTTGGTAGGCTTAGAGCTAGGAAGCTTAAATTTAGTAGGCTTAGTAAGCTTATAGTAAGCTAAGGCTTAGTAGGCTTAGGCTTAGTAGGCTTAGGCTTAGTAGGCTTAGGTTTAGTAGGCTTAGGCTTAGTAGGCTTAGGTTTAGTAGGGCTAGGCTTAGTAGGCTTAAACTTAGTAGGCTTAGGCTTAGTAGGCTTAGACTTAGTAAGATTAGGCTTAGCAAGCTCATTTTTAATAAGAATAGGTTTAGTAGACCTCGCAGTAACACAAATTCGGACTGCCGTACTCGCAGTAATTTGTTGGGTCGTTTTACATCGAGGCATATATTGTATAAGACCATTAATATTACATAAGAAAAAGTTGCGTAATATCATTTCTTGCAATTTCTCTAAGGCTATATTATTGTAGCATTAAATTAGGTAACACCGCAAAAAAATATTATAGTAATATTACGCTAATCAAGTGTTTCTGAACAGCTGCGTACCGTTAAACTTTTTGTGACCCTACCAAGTCACCTTTACGTGTGTACACTAAACATATGAGTACTTAGCCTAAAGCTAAGCCTAAACACACAAGGCTTAATCTTAATCTTGTTAAGTCTAATTCTAATAAGCCCAAGCCTACTAAGCCTTAACCACAAAATAAATTATCTACCTTTAAAATAATTTAAAAATTTACCGTGCAGTATAAGTCACCAAGTAATCACAGCTGATAGCCACATATAAAAATTCGAACGTATCTTTCGCTCTTTGATCTGCTGTCAGCACCAGTTCTATTGTAGGGTTGGTGGCATCTTTCTAAAAAATCTTTTAAAAATGTTTTAATTCTAAATATACACACATATATTTCAGTATGTGTATGTAAAAACAAATATATATTATATAAACATATCAGGGACGTCGCTACGGTTTTTCTCTGGGGGGGAGGTCATAAAAATTTTTTTTGGTCCACAGGTGCTACCTGTGGACCGATTTTTCAAAATTTTTTTTTTCGTTTTTCCGCGTACAGGTACCCCTGCCGCCCCCCCCCCAAACGACGTCCCTGAAACATATATATATACATGTATATATTTACATATATATATAAATATATATATATGTACACAAAAAAGTAAATTACCGATATTTTCTGACTCTTCATCATGACCAATTGCCGTGGCCATAACACTTCGGCCATCCATTCTCCACACGCGCACGACTGGCTTTTCAATTCGTATTTTACGTTGAAATCAGCTTCCCCAGCTACTACATTATTATCGTACAACGCATCTACTGTACAGTGAGAAAATGGTAAACCAGGAGTGGAATTGGTTATTGGGTTTGGGTGATCTGCTGTCTAAAACAAGGTTTTTTAGATCGTCATAACATAAGTTGTTGTAATGATATCGTAGTTTTTATATTGTTTGAAACTACATTGTATTGACATTATTTACTGTATGTTTCAAAAATTTATCTGTAGGTATAGCAACAGATATTATACTACCCCTCAAAAGTCCCCTATGTTTATATATCATATGCCAAAACTCCCCCAAACCCTCAAAAAACCTACAATATGATACTCAGTAGTCTTCCCAGTAAACGGATACACATCATAAGAAAAAAACCTTCTAGTAGACCATGTCTTCACCTCCTCAATCAACGCGTCTTTCTCATAGATCTTAATGACAACCGGTAAGTCAACACTCTGTAGCCTTGTAGTATTCAAATACTTGATGAATCCAGCAATCCGATGCATATTACTACTTTTATGTCGAGTTACTGACGTTAGTTGGGGTGTGTAGCTGTGATTCACCATCAATGATACTTTGATGTAGTCGGAACAGTAAGCACGTTGAAGTTGAATATCCATTATGTATGGATTGACATGGCCTAGTGGCTTTTCCCATTTGATACGGCGACTGAGTTCATCGACAATCAGCTCTTCTGTTGATGAAGATAAGAGGAAGGGTTTTTCGGTTGTCTGGAAAAGGTCGTGTTATATTTGCAATGGCCACAACAAAAAATGTAAAAAGCAATATAAAAATTGTAACTAATATAAAAAACTTAATCAATATGCCACTTACATTACTAGTTATCATATAACTAAGTTCCTGCATCTCCTCCGTCTCCAATTCCAACGTTTTATTAGTACCACATTGTTGTTTAACCGTAACCTTCGTATCTTCACAGTTTACTCCAGTATTCGCATCTTTACATATACATTTACTCTTAAAGCACGTTCCTTTACAATCATCGCTATTACAGTTACTGTAATAATCCAAAAACATATTATGTTGTGATGATATGACACTATGCAGACCACTTGGAAGTAAAACTACAGAATATTCGTTATCATTATCTACAGCAGGCCTGGTGCATTCTACTATAGTTGAATTGATCCATTTACCGGTCGTTTTGGTTTTGTTGAATATACATTCGTAAGCTTTGTCGTGGTTTCTGAAGAGATAAGATGATGATGATATACTGCTGGCAATAAGTTTTGGGACACCCTATATCTCAGTTTGTACATGGCAGATCTTCATAAATTTTTACATAGAGGTTGTAACAGAGATTTACAATTGATATTAGTAAGAAAATTGTCAAAATCAAAATTGACATTTTGTTACACTTGTAAAAAAATATTTTTGCTATGAAAATCTGGCAAAAAGTTTTGAGACACAGTAATTTATGTTGCGATAAGGTCGATATATTAGTTTAAACTACTTTAAATATCTATTACGTTTTGTCAAGGATACAATTTAATGGTCACTTTGATTTTGTTTTGCTCCGTTATAGGATTCTGGGGCTTAACGTCAAGTTGGTCAGGTACATCAACATCGATATTATAAACTTGGTATTTATTTCTAATTATGAATTAAATTTAATATTTAGCTCATAGTAAGTGCTGTAGAAACTTTTTTAACTTTGTGACATTTTACAGTGACTTCAGAAGTAAGCACGTATATTGTCTTAGGTACCCCCACTGACTTTTAGGTATCAGTAGCTTCTTAGTTTAGAAAAAGTAACATAAAAAGCAATGTTTAATACAACTACTACACTATTAGCAACATATTAAACCACAATAAGTATTTGTATTATCCTTTTCTAGATGGTTTGTTGACGGTTTTATATAAAAATTAGGGGAAACGATAAAGTGATTTTTTCAAATAATTTTTTATGACTTATGTACGGCTTATATTAGTTAATTCAGACCTCTAAAAACATTTTATACTTGGATTTGCATTATTAAGACAAAAAAAACAATTACCATACCATGGTCGTGCTGTAGTACTTGGAGCTATGTACGATGCAGTGCATTTTGATATAAAATCGTCAAAATACCATCTAGAAAAGGATAATACAAATACTTATTGTGGTTTAATATGTTGCTAATAGTGTAGTAGTTGTATTAAACATTGCTTTTTATTTTACTTTTTCTAAACTAAGAAGCTACTGATACCTAAAAGTCAGTGGGGGTACCTAAGACAATATACGTGCTTACTTCTGAAGTCACTGTAAAATGTCACAAAGTTAAAAAAGTTTCTACAGCACTTACTATGAGCTAAATATTAAATTTAATTCATAATTAGAAATAAATACCAAGTTTATAATATCGATGTTGATGTACCTGACCAACTTGACGTTAAGCCCCAGAATCCTATAACGGAGCAAAACAAAATCAAAGTGACCATTAAATTGTATCCTTGACAAAACGTAATAGATATTTAAAGTAGTTTAAACTAATATATCGACCTTATCGCAACATAAATTACTGTGTCCCAAAACTTTTTGCCAGATTTTCATAGCAAAAATATCTTTTTACAAGTGTAACAAAATGTCAATTTTGATTTTGACAATTTTCTTACTAATATCAATTGTAAATCTCTGTTACAACCTCTATGTAAAAATTTATGAAGATCTGCCATGTACAAACTGAGATATAGGGTGTCCCAAAACTTATTGCCAGCAGTATAATTTTTAGATTGAACATTAAACAACTTTAAAAATAACAACTAAGAAATGCGTATTTTACAATAAAAATGTACAAAAACTACCAAAAAAAACGAAAAAATTTACCGTGGAAATCCAACACCAACAACATGAACGACAGTAGTTTCGTTTACAGCCCCATACTGTGGTACTACCGATGATATACGAGCTTTTGGTACACATGGCCTTCTGGTACAGATTTCACAACGGTTACCTCCCCAACCTTCATCACAGTCACATTTACTGAAGCATATAATCGTTATACATAGATATAGTAAGTAGACCGCTCCCCCTTCAAGAATTTTGTTATAAATCCACCCCACCCCCTTAAAATCCAATACTTTTTTTTACCCCTGCCTTAAAATGCAATAAATTTTACCCCCCCCCCCTTAAAATCCAATAATTTTTTATCCCCCCCCCCTTAAAATCCAATAATTTTCTCCCCCCCCCCTTCAAACTTTTGCAGCACTTCCTTTCAAAAAATCTTCCAAACCTACTTATTAAAGTCGTTGTAAGTTCCCTGAGCACAATTTACCCGCACTTCTGGCACAATATTGTCGTTTCGTATGGCGTTTTCAAGATATTCATCGTATTCAGCCTAAACTTTGCAATGCGTTTCATAAAAACAACAATTTACTGCTCTTTTATAGAAAAAATAATAAGAATATTCAATTATAATTGACGTATTTTACAATAAAAAACTTACTGCCGCTTTAGGTATGGCATACCGTAATATCAACACTACGGTTATACCGACAAGCCTTTGAACTGAAAATGTATTATGATTAGCATTGTTGTGTAACGTTTTTATTTTTCCATACCCTACCGTACCATACCGTGCCGTACCCTACATTACCCTTCAAAACCGCACCCTAATGTACTCTACCCGACTTTACCTTACCTTACCCTACCCTACCCTACCCGTCCCTGCCCTACTCTACCCTACCTTACCCTACACTACACTGCCCTACCCTATCTTCCTATTTATACGTCACCTTACACTAGACAGCATCATAACCTACTCTACCCTGACCTACCCTTACCCTAATTCTAAAAAAAACCTACGTTTATCAGCCTTTCGACCCCGCAGCCTGGCAAGCTTCATGTTGACGGCATTAACAAGCGTAATAAAGTTGTAAGTGTTTGGAAGCAATTAAAGACATTTGTCGCCTGGACGACGTTTCCGGAGAAGATATCAATCGGCTATGTCACGCAAACGGATTAACTCATAACGACAGTAAATAATTCAAAAATGTTATGTACGAAATGGAGAGTCGCAGAATCTCGATTTTGGACAATTTTTTGTTCTGCGGCAAGGTTGGGATGAGGCTACGGAGCTCGTTGAACGCACTGTTGAAGGCTTCTACTCGGATTCTGAAATAATATGCATAACTAACAAATAGTAAATAAAAAGTTTGTATACTGTAAAAAACTTAAATAATTTTACAACTTGAATTACAGTAAAACCTCCCTCACCCTTAAAAATTTCAATACAGTATGCTACCAATATCAAACACAAAAAAAATTACTGTACCTAACCAACACATATAAGCCCAGCTCTACGTTTAAAACCCAAGCTAAACCAATAATGCCTTTGCAATAACATATGTGTTAATACCTATATTAACAAGAAGATTATCTTCTACTGCTCACATTATGAAAGACAATAATTGAAACGTTCCCTTATGACCAACAATGTTCATTAAGGATTAGAAAACCACTACGCTTTATTGCGTAACAAAGTGGTTATCTTTATGGATTTATAAGTTACAGTAATATAATAGTTTGGCTGTAATACCTTATGAAATTTTTTTAAATCCACTTCAAATACTACACGGGATGATAATTTATGAGGCCGCGGGTAAAAAATTTGACTTTTTGTTCTGGAACGAAAGGAGGGGTAAAACGAAAAAAAATTGAACCCCCCCCCCTGCCAGAAAAAAAAACTCATTCCTGCCCCACAAATACCTAAAATCCTTTACGAATTCCTTATTCCAAAACTAATACCTACATAAAAACAAATCCTATTCATAAAAATATCCTCCATACACCCATATATACAAATTTATCCTATATGACCACAAATACACATACATCTTCATAAAAACCTCTCCAGAACCCCGCCATTTTTAGTAATACTTGTTTTTACACCTTTCCAACCACAATTTCAGCTTATTAAGGCCAAGAAAAAAGTGTGAAAACAGGCTGGCCTCCGACTTTTGACACATTACTTTTTATCGAGCCCATAATTAACAATATCAAATGGTTTGCAAAGTAAGTGTAACATAAGGCCAGCCGGTCACTTTGCGGGAAGAGAAAGAAGTCATTACACATGCTTATAAGCACGGATTAACTAAACCGGTCACTCAAATTGCTTTCATTATGTTGCAATTGAGTGTTGTAAAGAGTATATGGTTAGTTGATTAAACTGGACATTCTTTAAGTTAAAAAGGGATTTTTGGAATTTTGAAAGTAGTTTTACATAAAAGCTCAAAGCTTGAGTAACATCAGTTTTGAGCTTTAAAACTTAAGAAAACATGTTTCAAATACCTAAACCTAACCAAAATCAAATCCAAATCCACGAAAACACTCCTACCGTTCCCGTGTAGCATGTAGACATCGATACTTTGGCGTAGCCCTCCGTCGTTTTCTCTTTTCAGCCTTGGTCAACTGAACATCTTGTTTTACATTACAACTCGCCGTTTCTTGATGTGATACCATGATAACTATTAAACAATAAACAGTTTTATAGAATTCCTGATCCACAGAAATCGAAAATTCTAAAGCCACATTGCTTTACTTTCAGATTCATTTAACTCTGTTTCAACGATTTCAATGCTTCATACCCATTTGAACCTTTATATCCTCGAAATAAAATCTAATTAGCGTTTTGAAGATTTTATACGTCCCGTATGGCCTTTTTAAGGCAGGGTTAATTTGATTTTACGTTGTATTGTCAAGGTTATAAAAGATTTTATTACATTACGTTGAATTTCCTTTCAATTTCTTATCGTAATCAGGCGTGAAGCCAAAATTCACAGGTTCTACTTCAACATTGTTTCCCGTAACTTTTTTACGTTTCAAATGTTAGCCGACTCATAACGTTATCAAAAACAGTTTGAAATTCCTGATAACACCTCCAAAAAATTCAAATTACCTGTTATCCATAGCTTTCGTGCCAAATCGAAAGAAACCTCGTTCAAAGATCACTTCAACCGAGGCCATCTTCAGCTATTTGATGCGCAATCGTTTCATGGATGTCCTCGTCCTCATGTCGTGTCCGAATCGTCACGTATTCGACAGCTGATGATCCACATTTTCCCCCAAATTCGAAAGCGTTTCCCGCCATTTTCGTAACCTCACTTGGAAGTGGCGCGCTATAAAAGCACAGGAAGACACTGGAATCGCCTTTAGTTTGCCGAACCATCGACTGCTTTTAACATGGACAACAAGGAAAACGTTGTAAGTATTTGAATAATAGGCTTCTGTAACTAATTTTCGTAAAAAGACGGCTTTTTGAACGTTACATTGAATATCAGACACCTAAAGCCGTTTTTCTTGATAAACAAGCAAGTTATAATGTTCAGTTCGACGAAAAATTATAAAAAAGATGTTAATTATTGTAACAAATACTATTTTTTGATGTAATAACTTCAATAAACACCATTTTTTGCAAGATAACAATGTTTTTCTTCCCGACAAGATCTTGTCTTCCAGAAAAGACGTCAGTATGATGTATTTTTTGAAATGATAGCAAAAATAAATTTTCGAAATAAAAAAATTGTTTTGAGTAACAGAAATGTCGAATAAGTGTAATGGCATTCAGGTACTTTACATAAATTTTTATTTATTTTGATTTTTATATTCACTTAGGTATACCTGCAAAAAATTAGTGTTTTTTGAGGAAGCCTTCTGTGTTTCATGACCAATTTATGTTTAGCTTGTTTCTAAAATCTTTCTTTTCAGAACGTCGAGATCGACGAGCCGATTCTTCGCGATGAGCCGTCTAGATTCACCTTGTTCCCTTTGAAATACCATGATATCTTTGCCTACTACAAGAAGGCCGTGAACTGCTTCTGGGTGCCTGAAGAAGTCAAACTGGACGATGATCTGGATGACTGGGCAAAAATGAGCGACGACGAGAGGTTCTTCATTTCTCGTGTGTTGGCCTTTTTCGCTGCTTCAGATGGAATTGTCAACGAGAATTTGATTGAAAGGTTCAACGCTGAAGTTAAGCTTCCTGAAGCTAGATGCTTTTACGGATTTCAAATCATGATGGAGAATATTCACTCTGAGATGTATTCGTTATTGATTGACACATACATTAGCGACGTTGTTGAAAAGTGGGTCTTGGTTTTATATTATTTTTGATGTTTTAGGTTGAAAAAAGGAATTATCTTAGATATTTTCTTGTCCTGTTACATACCTAAAACTTTAATTTCAGGAGCAAGATGTTCAACGCAATTCAGGAGTTCGAGTTCATCAAGAAGAAGGCTGACTGGGCTTTGAGATGGATTGCCGATGAGAAATCTTCATTTGGCACGAGGTTGGTGGCTTTCGCTGCAGTTGAAGGTATTTTCTTCTCTGGCAGTTTTGCATCGATCTTCTGGCTGAAATCTCGTGGACTTATGCCTGGATTAGCGCAGAGTAACGAACTAATTTCAAGAGATGAAGTATGTGGTCTTATTTTTGATTTCCTTTAATTTTAGGTATAAAAAGCGATTTTTGCCATTTTTTATGCAAGAGGTCGGCTTTACCTCATATTTTATGGTTTTTCTTTTAGGGTCTTCACCGTGACTTTGCTTGTGTTCTATTCAAGCACTTGAACAACAAGCCAAACAAGGAACAAGTCTACGATATTATCAAAGAAGCTGTAGTGATCGAAAAGGAGTTCCTGGTAGACGCTTTGCCATGCAAAATGATTGGAATGAATGCTGATAGAATGTGTGAGTACATTGAGTATGTAGCCGATCATCTGCTGGAAGAACTCGACTTGGCTCCAATCTACAAGTCCAAGAATCCGTTCCCCTTCATGTCTAACATCTCACTGGAAGGAAAGACCAACTTTTTCGAACGCAGAGTTACCGAGTACAAGAAGGTCGACAACTCAGCCAAGGATGAAGCTATGCACGACTTTACCATGGATGCTGACATCTAATTTGTTACCTAATTTTGCCTAATTCCATGTAATTTTTGGCCACTTTATTTTAATGTCGATCTAATATATGGTCTGTATGTCAATGTAACAACTCTCTTCAGTTTTCTTCCTTTAACACCAAAGTATTCCTCCCATGACTACAAACAACATCATCAAACTCTGATCTGTTCTAACTTATTTCCACCATTCTACCTTGTAATTTATGTTTGTTTATTCTCACAATAACGTTCTCTTATCAGCGGGTACACTTAATAAAGCGTTTCACGGAGATTTTGACCCTTATAACATTTTACTAGGAACTTTCAAAAGTTCTCGGACTTTTCGTATTTTATCAGAAAAAGTTTCAAAATTTTTGAAATAATAAAAATTTTCCGAGAACTTTGAAAGCCCATAGCTAATAATAGGAAACAATCAAAATGTAACGAGGCAAGAAATTAGCCATATAACAATAAGGAGTCTACAAAATATATCTCAAGATAATAAATATAGCGTCATCAATCTCAAGACATTTCAACAATACTATAACATTATAAAATTTTAGGTAAATCTAAAAATAAAAAAACCATTCTACATTATATTCTATACAATTATACCATGTTGTAAATCAGTTTACTGTAAACCTTCCACTGCACTACCCGTTTGAGTTGTAAAAGTCTAACCCTTTAAATAAAGACGTAATAATCTACACAATGACATTTAAAGTCAGTAGTAAGACTACAGACACTGAATATCGTCAATAGATTTATATGACAGTCTTTAGTGAATCCTTTTTGGTTCTTCAGCGTTTGGCAGGGATGACAATTCCATGGGAATCGTCAAAGTATTTGATGTTCAAGTAGAAGGCGTAACCTCTGAATAAAATGTGGAATGAGTTGAAAGTGCCTCGGGTTGGGTCGGTTTCGAAGATCACATTCAAGTCGTCTTTCAACATACGATAAAAGTCTTGTGATGAACAGGAAACGCGGTAAAACTCCAAGTACATGTTTGTTTTTAGGCCAACATTCTAAAAAAACGATTATTGTTAGGTCAAAAAGATCAGATTGTTTTTCCAAATATTACCTAAACTATGAGAAAACTAAAGGAAGCATAAAACGTACACTTAAGAACCGCTGTACCGCATCTTTGGAGAAAACTGATCCAACAGTTGACAAAATGATCGTTTCCAGTGCTGGTAAAGTTGATACATGATCAAGGGCATCATCTCCTAGCTTCAGACCTCCCACTTTAACCGAAGACCTTACTCTGAAAGAGCATTTTATTAGAAACGGCTCAATAATATCTATAGATGCAGCTCAAGATCAACAAGAAAAGACAACATACTCTAAAAATTCTGAAACGTGAAGAGCTTTAACCAACTCCATCCCATTTTCAGTCCACGTACTAGATAAGTCTTCAATTGACACGGCTGACAAGTCTAGTCTAGAATACAAATCGGCCAGATACTTGACACTGATCGGAGCTCCAATACCTTCATGGTCTTGGATTCGAATACTGACCTTAAAAGTGATCAATTAAATTCATTTTTCAATACATTTTAGCTTAAACAGTATATGATTTACGACTGCCACATTCTAAAACAAATAAAAAAGATAAAAAACCTTTAAAAGGTAATGTTTACCTACCTCGTTAGCAGTTCTGCAGACCCGTTCAAAGTTACCTTGCAAACCAACACAAGATTTGATTGATAAGATAAGGCTTTGTGCAAGTTCAACCATCCTCAGGAATAAACCAAGGTCTTCTGGAGTGCGGAAACAGAATCTCTGAAAGGTTTCTCATTTTATAACAGGTCAACATAATTTTAACTCATAGTCATTCGAATCGCTACGATCAGCTGATATAAAAATTCCTAAAATTCACAAAATATTAACAATCTTACCTTAAGACTTGTTTGTTCATCGTTCCTGAGCCCAACCGTAGTAACTTTGAATCGAAATCGAATAAAAGAGTATTCTTCTATCCTCAAGCTGTAACATTTGAATGTAGACAACCTCTCCGCATTCCTCGTGATGAACTTCTTCCATGTTGTGCAGGTTCTAAGCAAGGAAAAGTAGTCCATCACGTCCAGATTCTCACAGATCTTCATCTTCAGCTCTGGTGGCAGATATTGCAATTCCGGCTTCATCTTTAAAGCCAGTAAAGTAATTTCAAACAAGTATATTATCCACGAAAGAGCTGTGAAGTGCTTCAACCCGCCAAAGAAAGAACGTTAAAATTGTGGCGTATCAAAATATGTGATGAAAATGTGAAGGAACCAACTGAAATTCAAAAGTAAAGGTAATTATAGTGTTTACAGAGAGGTAACTCGGCGAAATCACGTGATTATCAGTTAACTAGTCAATTCTCTCCTCATTTTCATGATAGACGTTCCGAAGGAAAACATTGATCTTATCAATACGACGACAAACGAAATTTCTCGACAAAAAAAATAAAAACTTTAAAAAAGTGAGAGTTGACGCGAGAAATGAAATAGTGTAAGAGATGACACAATTATAAAAAATAAATAATTTTTCTAAAAAATGTGTCGTTTTAAAATAAATTTTGTGGTAAAATAAGATCTTTATACGGCAATACTTAATTTTTAAGTCAATATACTTATTTTAAATTTAGTTGCTTTGAATTTGTGTTAAGTTATTTAATATTTAGTTTTTATATTGTTTTAGGTAAAGCACAATGTCAGAACCGATGGAAGTGGACGAAGATGAAGTACAGAGACAAAGGAGAAAGTATGAAGTATGTATAATGTGTTATATTTGTAATTTTTAGAAAAATAGATGACAACAATACATTTTATAGGAAAGACGTAGACAATTAGAGGAAGAGGAACGTAGAGCAAAATATGAAGGGTTATTATCAGATGAAGATGTTGACGACGATACCTTTATTACAGCCAGACAAAAGAAGAAAGAATTGGTGGGTTAGAGTATTTATTGTGATTTTTTTATTGTTTTAGGCAACAAGCATTATTAAATATTATGTTTTATACGAAATAATTTGATATGTATTTTAAACGTTGATAAAAAAGTACTGTATATGTTATTTTAGGCAAAACGAAGGTTACTACTTAATAATGTATTGAGAAATAAACAAGATGTAGTTGAAGAAGTTGATGATCTAGTCGAAGAGAAGAAACGTCGGATAGAGAGGGAGAAGGAGGAGGAAGAAAAGAGGAAAACATTGTTGGAAAAGCATAATGAACGACTTCAGAAGGAGCAAGGCAAGTAACAACCCTTTCTTTGTCCTTTTGAAATTTAAATATGAAAATTAAAAATAATAAACTTTGATTACAGACGAAGAAATAGATGAAGTAGAGAAGAAGAAACGTGAAGAATCTCAGTTACTGGAAAATGTTTCAAAATCAGGAGCGTTAGTGACAGTCGGCGAAATGGCCAGAGGCGTCAAGTACGAAGAACAAATAAAAACTGCCTGGAAACCGCCCTTACACATACGAAGACAGTCAGAAGAAGATACAGAAGCTTTTCGTAAACAAAAAGGCATAAAAGTGGAAGGAGAACAAGTACCAGCGGCGATCGGTACTTTTGCTGAGATGAAGATACCACCATGTATTCTAAATGCTATGAGGCAAAAAGGAATTATTCAACCGACGGTGATTCAGATGCAAGGAATTCCTGTAGCTTTAACTGGACGTGACATGATTGGCATTGCATCAACGGGTTCAGGAAAGACGTTGACATTTGTTCTGCCATTAGTAATGTTTTGTGCTGAGCAAGAGTTGAGGATGAGGTTTGAAAAAGGAGAAGGACCTTATGGATTGATCATAGTACCATCGAGGGAGTTAGCTAAACAGATTTTTGATGTTGTAAAGTGGCTGTTTGAAGCGTTGGAAAACGATGACGATCGGATTAGTTGTCGTGCTGGATTGGCTATTGGTGGAGAGACTTTTAAGGATCAGGCGAGGAATTTTAGATAGTAAGTGATTTTATATTAAATTTTTGAAGTTTAGGGTAAAAAGCAAGACATTGAAATACGTTTTACATTCATATTTAAAAAGACAGTTATATCACGTATTTTCAGTGGAGTTCATATATGTGTAGCTACGCCAGGGCGATTAAGTGACCTATTGAATCATAAAGTATTCAATCTTCAAGTATGTCGATACTTATGTTTGGACGAAGCTGATCGTATGTTAGACATGGGATTTGAAGAGGAATTGAAGGGTATTTTCTCTTACTTTAAAGTAAGCTTAACTTGTTTTTAATTTTTTTTGAGGCTATATAGTTAATATATGTCTCTACTATAACATTATTTTGTCTATAACAAGTGTTTTAGACGTCCTATAACATGACTATTTTAGGGCCAACGTCAAACCCTCCTATTCTCAGCCACAATGCCGAAAAAGATTCAGAATTTTGCCAAATCAGCTTTAGTAAAGTCTGTTGTTGTAAACGTTGGCCGAGCAGGTGCAGCATCATTAAATGTGACACAAGAAATTGAATATTGTCGTACTGAGGACAAACTAACAAAGATATTGAGTTGTCTTCAGAAGACACCGCCGAAAGTGTTGATCTTTGCTGAAAAGAAGGTGGACGTGGATAATATTTATGAGTATTTGTTGTTGAAAGGAGTCGCTGCTGCTTCTTTACATGGTGGAAAAGGTAAGGAGTTGATCTTTTAATGGAGAATGTTATTTTTGAATGCATAACAGTATTAATCGTATTTTACCACATTTTTTATAAAGTATGATATTGTTTTAGATCAAAAAGACCGTCATTTGGGAGTGGAGAAATTCAGAGAAGGCAGAAAAGATGTTCTCGTAGCTACTGATGTTGCTTCAAAAGGGTTGGACTTTGAAAACATTCAACATGTTATCAATTATGACATGCCAGAGGATATTGAAAATTATGGTATGTTTTTAAATTTTAAGTATTTTGTGTTTTGTCACCTAAAATAATAAAATCCTTTTCAGTACATAGAATTGGAAGAACAGGAAGATCAGGCAAGCGCGGCCTAGCAACAACTTTCATCAACAGAAAAGCCGACTTGTCTATCTTGGCCGATCTAAAACATTTGTTACTGGAAGCCGGTCAGAAATTGCCAGTCTTCCTCAAAGAAATCGCCGTAGACCAAGAAGAACACGATGATAACTACGATGATGAAGGAGAAGATAAGGGATGTTCTTATTGTTCAGGTCTTGGCCATCGTATTACGAATTGTCCAAAGCTGGAGTCGGTACGAACAAAAGCGGCCAATACGTTATTACGACCGGATATGTCTGCTCAAGAAGGATTGTAAATGTTGGTCCATTTATGTTGGTAAATTGATGGTAGACTTAAGTTGGTATGCAGATGTGTTAATGGTTGGAATCTCATCATTATGTACATTAATATTTATTTTTATTAAAATGAATTTGAAAAAAAATATTTTTGGAATCTTTTTGAAAATTAAAAATGAGTGCTGGTACTCTCCAGGTCACGGTAACTTCTAAGAAGCCTTCAAAAACTCTGGTCTTTTGGACAACTTCATCATCGAGGGAAAGAAATACGTTTTTTTATCCAACAGTGACCATTTGGGAGTGAATTTGATCTGAACATCTTGAACTTTATGCACCCCAACCCGCCCGAGTTTTTGATGGAAGTCGCTGGCAAGACCTGGGCTGAAGTTACGGGATCCATCGAGTACGAAGGAAATCAAAGGTTGTTGGAAACTGTTTTGATCCCGAAGGAATACGACAACGAGTTCAAAAGTGTTTCCAACTTCAGGTATGTGTAATATGGACAAAATTCCGGAAAGTGATATAGAAAAAGGTTCTATAATTTAAATATCTGCAGCAAGAGTCTAATTGCGGACAAAACAGAGGAGTATTGGTATAGAAAAGTGTGTCTTGATGAAAACGGCAATTTAAATTATGAAAAGATAGATTAAAATGTAAAAGTCATCGCTTTTGAAGCTGATTTTATGTAAATACCCGTGAATTTAATCAAAAAGATATCTACCCCCGCTTTCAGACGTGCCCTGGATCGCCCAATTCCTCGCCCTCAAATCGTAGTATAAAATGTCTCCGGTGGGCGACATTTCATACGAAAAGTTGCAGCGAAAAAACAAATCGGATTTTTCGCCTTGTCATGCGCAATTTTCATGTTGATCTTCCAACGTTTTTGAATTTGTTCTGTTAGTGTCGCGTCTTTATCTTTGAATTTATATGATTTAAAACTTATTGTCAATTTTAGTTTTCTAGGAAACTCCAAACAAATTTATTGTTATGAATGTTAAAGAGGAAGAACTGTTGAAGCGCGTTCGTCTGGCACTTCAACTGAACAGGCATGAACTGGTAATTGTCTTCATCACAGAATTGGTTAATTCTGACATAAAACTGTCGAAGAATGTTTGTAGATCGTTCTTGAAGTCTTTGAAAACGTCGGTTGAAAGGAGGGAACTGGAGTTGATGTAGCATGCACCACATTGACTAAAATAGTTTTCTGTGACGTTTTCTTGTTTTAGTTATTATTGAAACGACGAGGAACTTGTACCGGATGGCTCTCGACATTGCCAGGGACAAGATGCAACCAACACACCCGCTCCGACTGGGTTTAGATATATCTTTTGCCGAATTTTTATACTCGTACAGCGGCCTGGAAGAAGCTGTAAATTTTGTGCCGGAGGTAAATTTAAATGCATTTTTTTAAACTTTCTCTTTTTAGGCTTCAGATGCAATAAATGACGTCTCTGATGAAGAAAGTGTGTTTCTATCCCATCAACTCAGATTGCGATGGAATTTGTGGGATCGTAAGAATATAGGCCATTCAGTTGATCTCACGGCCATCAGAACCCACGACTCGTTCTGGGAGATGTTGGTGGAATGTTTGATGGCGAGCGAAGTAAGTATTTAAGTTATTGGAATGGCTTTTACATTATTTTACTTCGATTTTTTTAATTGTTTTAGGTATATCTCTAAAAATAACAAGTGTTTTTTGAGGAAGCCTTCTGTGTTTCATTGGCCAATTTAACTTTATTTCAAAAACTTTTTTTTTCAGGGTTTTAACACCGACGAGCCAATTCTTCGCGACGAACCGTCTAGATTCACATTGTTCCCCTTGAAGTACCATGACATCTTTGCCTACTACAAGAAGGCCGTGAACTGCTTCTGGGTGCCTGAAAAAGTCAAATTGGACGACGATCTGGATGACTGGGCAAAAATGAGCGACGACGAGAGGTTCTTCATTTCTCGTGTGTTGGCTTTTTTCGCTGCTTCAGATGGAATTGTCAACGAGAATTTGATTGAAAGGTTCAACGCTGAAGTAAAGCTTCCTGAAGCCAGATGCTTTTATGGATTTCAAATCATGATGGAGAATATTCACTCTGAGATGTATTCGTTACTGATTGATACATACATTAGCGACGTTGTTGAAAAGTGGGTCTTGGTTTTATATTATTTTTGATGGTTTAGGTTAACAAAATGGACGGTTTTGGCTGTTTTCTTGACCGAGTACATACCTTAAACGTTAATTTCAGGAACAAGATGTTTAACGCAATCCAGGAGTTTGAGTTCATCAAGAAGAAGGCTGACTGGGCTTTGAGATGGATTGCCGATGAGAAATCTTCATTTGGCACGAGATTGGTGGCTTTCGCTGCAGTTGAAGGTATTTTCTTCTCTGGCAGTTTTGCAGCGATCTTCTGGCTGAAATCTCGTGGACTTATGCCTGGATTAGCGCAGAGTAACGAGCTGATTTCAAGAGATGAGGTACGTTGTCTTATTTTTGTTTTATTTTAGGCATGAAACGCGATTTTTTTTTCATTTTTATGCAAAAATCAGTTTTGTTTAATAGTTTATGATTTTTTCCTTCAGGGTCTTCACCGTGACTTTGCTTGTGTTCTATTCAAACACTTGAACAATCCGCCAAACAAGAAACAAGTCTACGATATTATCAAAGAAGCCGTAGTGATCGAAAAGGAGTTCCTGGTAGACGCTTTGCCATGCAAAATGATCGGAATGAATGCTGATAGAATGTGTGAGTACATTGAGTATGTAGCCGATCATCTGCTGGAAGAACTGGACTTGGCCCCAATCTACAAGTCCCAGAATCCGTTCTCCTTCATGTCTAACATCTCACTGGAAGGAAAGATCAACTTTTTCGAACGCAGAGTTACCGAGTACAAGAAGGTCGACAACTCAGCCAAGGATGAAGCTATGCACGACTTTACCATTGATGCTGACGTCTAATTTGTTACATAATATTGTCTAATTCCATGTAATTTTTGACCAATGTCTTTTAATTTCGATCTAATACATGGTCTGTATGTTAGTATAACTCTCTTCAGTTCTCTTCTTTTAAAATTAAAGTATTCCTCCCATGACTACAACCTCATCAAACCCTGATCTGTTCTAACTTATTTCCACCACCCTACCTTGTAAAAGTTCTCGGATTTTTTGTATTTTATCGGTAAAAAGTTACTGAACTTTTTAAATAATAAAAATTTTCCGAGAACTTTTGAAATCCCTTTGCTAACAATAGGAAACATTCAGTGTAACGAGACAAGAAATTAGCCATATAACAATAAGGATTCTACAAAATATATCTCAAGATAATAAATATAGTGATATCAGTCTCAACACATTTCAACAATACTATAACATTATAAAATTTTATGTAAATCTAAAAATATCAACCTTATCTAAATTGTGAGAAAAGTAAAGAAAGCATAAAACGTACACTTAAAAACCGCGGCACCGCACCTTAAAAGTGGAAGGGGAACAAGTACCAGCGGTGATGGATAACTTTACTGAGATGAAGATACCAACATGTAATCTAAATGCCATGAGGCAAAGAATTATTTAGAAGGAAGCATTCCACCGACAGCGATTCAGATGCGAGGGATTAGTAGCTTTAACTGAAAGTGGAATGACATTGCATCAACAGGTGCAGGAAAAATTAACAATACGAATGGGGGAAGCTAGGGGGATCTTACGACCTAGTAAAGTCGCTGGGTTAGGGCAAATTGATTTTTTCTAGACTATTAACAATAAAACTGAATATAAAGTTATCACGTTTATACACGAGCGAGCAAATACAAGGCTTATACAGGACTGTACTAGAATAATTTCGGCTACTGATCGGATTCTGCAATCAATGGCATGTTAACAAAAACATTGACGTTCCTTCTGAAATAAGTTACGTTATGTGCTGAGCAAGAGTTGGGGATGTGCCTTGAAAAAAACGAAGGCTTTATAGGTTGATCATAATACCATCGAGGGAGCTAGCTAAACAGATTTTTGATGTTGTAAAGTAACTGTTTATTTTTCAAACTTTCTGACATTTTTTTTCAAGAATAACGACTTTTTTATTGAAAACTATGAAACAAGCCACTTTTCAGGATTATCTCTACAAAAAGCAATATTTTAGTTATTTATAAATGATGTTACACGTTTTTAAACGTTAATTATGTCTATGTATATTAACTTTGATTAAGAACCATATTGTTAAAAGATACTGCCAAACAGGTAGAATGACTCTTTTCTTAATGTTTGTATCAGTTTTAAATTAACCAGAAGTTTTGATAATTTAATTTATTATTGTTCATTGGGATTTAATAAATAAAAATCAAAATGTTGTGTAGCACCAGTTTTGGCGTCGATTACAGGGACGTTGTCATTGGCAATGTGTAGTTGAGCAAACCAATTGTAAAAGGCAACCGAAGATCCTTTTGGCACAGGAAACTTCATATTCGTTAACATCTCAATTTGATGATCACTATTTGTTTTTTTCGGCGGAAAAGTACGGTTATGTGTGGCCTTAAAATGTTTCACACGAACACCACCTAAAATGTAAATGTGCTATCAATGAACTTATCATTATGCATATTTTTCGATGATAAACTTTCTATTTTTTACTACGACTTCTCCTGTTGTGACTCGGTCATTCATTGAATATCCCCCGCCTTGCTTTGGTTATGCCCCATCCTGTATTGGCTTTGATCCGCCCTGTTTGGGCTGTGATCTTATTCAGTTAGTGTTACAGCTGAGTTTGCGCTCTGCGGAGATGAGCATCTATCAGACTCCGTGACAGTATAAGAGGGTAAGAGCGCAGCTTAATATCAATTCAACTCGTTGTCTATAGAAAGAGGGTCAGTCGCTGTCCCCACAATCTTTTTAAAGACCCGAATAAACATTAGAATGGAAATATGTTGGTTGTTATAATAACTAAATGAGCTCTCCTGTAAAAGGACTCTAGTCGCTAAGAATTGCCATACCGAACTAGTGGGATTTAATGTACAAAGCCTTTTTTAACACTAGGATTTGTCCCTACTTTTGGTTATAACCAGGACCGGGCGGGGACTTTTGGTCTGGGGGCAGGGGTCCAATACCTGTGCCGATTTTTTGCAAAATTTTTTTTCCGAAAATCCACAGGGGGGACCACGTTCAACTTTTTTCAAAATTTTTTTTTCTGGGGGAGGGGGGGGTACCCCCCCCCTCGCGCCCGGCCCTGGTTATAACCAGCTTTACAAAACTAATGTACAATTTGCAAAACTTACCTTTTTTAAATTGAATGAAAACATGTCTGACCAAACTCTTAGCATAGCTAGAATTACGACAAAATTCCATAATTTCAAAGCGTGGCAATGGGTATATGGAAGCGAATAGTTCGAAATTACATGCATATCGAAATTTAGCATCTACTTGTACTTCCATCCATTCATAGTTATGTTTGTCATAGACCAAAAACTAAAAACAATTAAATTATTGTAAAATTCAAACTTTTATATGCTAATTTATCGGAGGGGAAGCAGGGGAAGGGGTCTTCTCTACATGAAACATAGGGTGTTTTTAACTAACAGTTTGGGAGATTTGTTTACTGCAGCACTCATATCTATATTTTAACAAAGAAGTTTAAAAACGTGTTTGCAGTTATTTGTTTTCAAATCTTACCCTACTTGTCATTGTGTTGAAAGGTGTCTTATAATTAAAGGTTTTCCAATAGTCCATTTCGTCTGGGGCAACAAAAAAAATTTTTTGTTTTTTCATACTGTATATTTCACATTTTGATCCTTCTATCTTTAGATGTCGGTCTAAAACGTGAATTTATACTATAGTAATATTTAAAACTACTTAATTATATACCTTAAGAACTGCTACTTTAAAAAACATATTTTGAAAAAGTTGAATGTTGTTTAAATTCGGATAAAATTGAAATAAAAATCGGCACAGAATTGTTTATTCCCACAGCTCCGGCTCAAAAATCCACGTCTTGCCTTGGTTGACCGTACCGTATGCCTTCCTTACTGGCTATGACATAAATAGTATAAAATTGTGTATCTTACTGTCATAACATTGTTCCTGAATAAAACAAGAATCGTTTTCGTTAATAACATGAACTCTCATTCCACAATTACAACAAGTTTGTTGTCTGTTGTATGTACTACAACATACTTTGACTTGTCGAACATGTTGCTGTACATAATAATTCCTTTTGGAGGCTGGGCATTAATCTTATACTCTTTTTTAGAGTATAAATCAAAAACCGAGCCACTTTTTATTATTTGGAACTTAAGTGTGCTGCCGTATGTCTCATATTTGGATGTTGATATCATAGCATGCTTTTGGGTTACCTTCATACTATGTAGATCATATACTAACACGAAAGTGAGCGTACGTACCAAAAGCTCTCTACCTCGATTTATCATGTTGACATGAGTAATTTGGTTTGTATATGAAGTAAAGTCGAGAACAGTAAACTCTTTCAGTCCAAAGTCAATGTTAGTCAGTATGACATAGCCGTTGTCTAACTTTATAGCCATTTTTCCTGTGAATGGGCAACAAACAGCATGTTCTTGATAAAAACTGGACTTGACAAACGTAGTCTTATTCAACTCAGTACCAGCACTAAAGCTATAGTATTAAAAAACGTTCAATACTTATTGTAAGCGGAGACCCAAGTTTCGCCTTTCTGCCGACATATCACATTCTCGTAACATAACTTTTTAAAATCTATGTGCACAAGCTTGTAGAAGTACTTGTTAACCACGGCCATAGAAATGGTATCGTCCATGATTTCTAGATATTTTATTATGTTACGCAATACCTAGAATTCAAAAAATATGTTTCAAAAACTTATAAAACAAATTTTAAAATATGTTTATATTAAACATAAAATTATAGAATTTTTATGTTTAATATCTAACCATTTTTTAAGTTTAAAAACATTAAAAAATCCGATTTATCACCAGTTTTTTATAAGATACCTCAAACTTACCCATGCCAGCAACTGTTTAGTAGACACTCTCATCGTAAATGTCAAAAAATTCAAATGGCTTTAACACAAGGTCAACAAAAAGGCTAACAAGACAACCACAACAGTTGCGCGGAATAAGAAAGCTAAGCGGAAACCCCACGCACGTAAAGATCAATAAAGTATAATATAAAAAGTTCGGTTCTTTATTATTTGGGTTTGCTCTAGCTAGGTCATCTTCTAGAAAAGAAGAGGGTTGCATGAAAGGCTAAACTGCCCGCTGCATTATGTACATTAATATTTTTTTTGAAAATAAACTTAAAAAAATATTTTTGAAATGTATTTGAAAATTTACAAGGAAAATACCCTACATGCCCCGCTCAGAATCAGCTCAAAATTTTTATATCAATTCTTTGTACTACTAATAGTACCCAAAAAAAATTTTAGCTCGCGCTTTTGAGTTTTAAATTTTAAATTTTTGAGTTACCCGCCAATTTGGCAAATTTGGCATTCTGTTTCAAGTACTTCTTTTAACTTTCCAGACAAGTTACGGTTGCAATTTTAAAAATGTAGGTTCATTTAAAGGTTTTCTACTAGTATATCAAAGAAAAATTCATAAAAGTCAAAAAAATAATGACTGTTGTAAGCTTGAAACACAATGCCAACTTGGCGGAAATTTCAAAACGCAATTTTTTGATCTCGATTTTCCCGTGATTTCCTGGAAAACGCGATTTAGTACTTTAGTGAAGGTCTTATGTTTACATGATCTTCCTAGATAAAAAGTTTGAAGTCAATTAGAGCGGAGCAGGTCGGGCACTTTCTTTGTTAAATATTTGACAGGTCCGGCAAAGTAAAAGCGCCTAAACTTAAATTTTTTATAAAAATTCTAGTATAAACCTGGAAATTTTATTGAAAAAGTCTAAAAGTACCATTCGAAAGAAAATTCTATTAGAAATAATGTTTCATCTTATAAAACAATAAAAATTAAATGATATGCGAAACGATAAAAACAATATTCTCAATAATAATAATGTATGGTTTTACATTAGTATAATAGTAAGATTGTCACGTAACAGAGACTATAACAATGATTATTATATTTTTTAAACCAGACTAATTTGAACCGAAAAATGTAAAACCGTATGACAATTTTTACCGTACTGTTAGTAAACATACAAAAGTTTTACTGTTTAGTTTCAAAAAATACTATGACAGAAATTGTGAAGGAATTTTAATATTTTTACCTATAAACCTAATTTTTAAATCGCTGGAATGTTGTGGAACTTGATATTTGATATGATGTGTTATGATGTTGTTATGGATTTGATAACCACGTTTTTAGTGTAAAATACGAAGAGTTTCTCTCATTGTCCACGACTTTAACTGTACATGACTTAGATTACTAATAGTTGTCCTCATAATAAAAGGTACTTTTTCCTGAGTTATTGTGTACAGTAACAATAGTTTTTGAGTTGTTTATCACCCACACATTTGGCTTGTTCTTCGTAACGGTCTTTGCGAGGGAATTCGTCGTTTATCATCAATACTTTGTAGCTTTTATCTGGCATTGTTTTTACCTGAAACGCAGTCATAGGCTTTTCATATTACTATAATATTTTGAGTATTAAGCATAGGAAAAGAGAGTTCAAAAAAGATTTGTACTGAACGTGGTCCCCCGCATTGCTAATATCAGAAAAGTTTCTTCTAAAACTCACCTCCGCCTTCCCATAATACATGCCTCCACTAGGTTTCACGCTAAAATGAACCTCAAAAACTGCTTTTCCAAACACATCCTCCTCAGATATCCTCATGTCAGTTTCATTAACCTGCAACTGAGCACATAGCTTGGCCGCTTCTTCATTTGCATTAATTCGCTGATTCATCGTATCTACGGCATTAGAAGCGATTGCCAAAGCAATATCAGGCTTGTCAACTTGGTGTTTTCCAAAATCACAAATACAATACTCGAATGGTATCATCAAAGTGGCACAATTTCTAGGTTCTTTCATTGGATGAAAGAAGGAAGAGCCGAATAGTCGCTTATTCCAATGAGTTTTGCCAACTGGGCCGAACGTTGTGTTCTCATTCCATTCTGCACCGTACTGAAATTGAAAACGGAATATAGTATGGTACAGCACTACACATCATATTATACTAACTTATATTATAGTATAGTACAATATAGCTGTTTGAAACATACCTGATGAATTTCCGTTAGTGTAGCATGCATGTCGTAGTGTGTCGTCAACTTTTTCGAATTTGTCCTCAAATTTTTCATAAAACTTTGGTTTTTTCGTAGTTTTTTAGGTACAATTAGTTTCATTCCGGGATTATAGTCTTCCAGTTCACCGTACACTGTGTCTTTTACCGGTCCGTAACGTCTACCATGGTCTCCCATGAAGAAGACAAAGGAGTTGTCGAACTGAAATTACATCAATATAAGGAGTTTGCTTATATAATATCGAAGCTTGCAACGATGCTCTTAGTTATTGCCATAGCCGGAGGGGTGCTTATTACGTTACAAAAATTGTCTTTAAGTATTAACTTACATATGTTTCGTATCGTTTGAAAAAGTCCAAAAAGAAGTCGTCGGTGCGGTAAAGACCATTAGAATCATCGTGTGCAATTTCACTCATCCAGGTCATGCTAAATTTGGAATCATGAGGATACATTTGCATAAACTTTTCCGTATAATTCATTAATACATGATGATATTCTACACACTTTGGCGTGAAGACGTACTTCACCATGTCTGTGTAGGTCTCTTGTTCCATACGGAGTTGGAAGGGCCTGAAATTTTAGGATTTAGTAGGGTGGAGAAGGTAGGGTAGGGTGAGTTAAGATAGGGCAGGGTAGGACAGGGGGGTAGACAAGGCCTTTTAGTAAGCAAAGACCCTTACCTCATGTAATGTTCAGCAGGAGGAGCATCATAGAACCCGACACATTGATAGTAGTTGAATACGCCCATAGCCCAGTCTTCGGCCATCAACCTTTTGTAACCAGCGTTCTTAAAATTGAAACCAATGTAGTTCTCACGGTTTATTGACTTGTTACACAACTCTCGTTCATACTGTACTATCGGTCCAAATGGGCTTTTGTGAAGGTCGTAGGATCTTTCTCCTGAAATTGTTTTTGTACTACTCAGCTTTTATGCATATTACTATAGGTTTTCTTTTTGATACTAAAACGGTGAGTATGGGGTGATGTTTTAGGAAGCATTGAAGAAGTAATAAATTTCAATGTTATCAATGAGTTACCTAATAACATAGCATTAGCGTTCGGACGACTGTTAAGCCCAACCTTGTTAACGTATTCAAATGACACGGCTTCTAATGAATCGTTCAAAAATTTTAATGTTTTGGGTAGAGAACGATACATTTGAGAATTGGAAACAGAGTCCAGTAGAAAGATGAAGACATCTGGTGCTCTGTCCGGTATTTCTTCAGATCGGGGGTTTTCTCTAAAATTTTTGGTAAATTTTTGTTTTTAAAAAAATCAATAATAGTCAGAATGTTAAAAAAACCAATAATAGTCGGTATGTTAAAAAAGCTCTAAAACAAGATAAATTACTTTGGAATGATAGTCCAATGGAGATCAATAGTAATGCGTTCGACCTTTGAGTCATAGCAACTGGTTTCAATTATCTCACTCCACACTTTACTACCATTTACTGGGTCTATCAGTACCCATTCACCCATCGCTAGGTACTGATCGCTGTACTGATACAGGGCTCTGAAAGAAATTGGTTTGGAAGTTTTAAATTTAAAAATTTTTTTTTATTATTTAAAAAAAAATAATTAAAAAATGATGATCTTGTTCCCTTAGGCTAAAATGATCTACCAGACACTAAAAGTGAAAAACAAACTAAAATGTAAAGATCCATACCTAAAATAACATTTGACCTCTTGGTCAGTGGGCATTTCCAGTACTCTGACAATGTCATCACTGCCCAATTCAGTACGAAGACCCTTCTCAACAGTGCAGTTTTGAAGTGGATTTGAACTAGGATCAAGTTTTTCGAGAATAGCCTCGTCAAATGGGTTGATTTTAGGCAATTTACATTCACCTTTAAAAGACATGTATATACTCATAGGGTCTACTGTAGTTGTTGTGCCATTTTGAGGTGTAGTCAGTGGTGGTGACTTTTTGGCTTTTGGAGATTCTGGTGATTGCACGGTTGTGAGATTGCGCTGAAATTGAGAAGATTGTAGGGTAAGGTTGATATATAACAGTTTAGCAGAGTATCATACGGTAAATCAGGGCAAGATAATAAAAAACGATAAGATTTAAAATTGTCTATCTTTAGCTTAAATTTAAGCAAAGTTCCATACCTTTAGCTTAACTTTAAGCCGTGCCTCAGCGGCCGTCGCCGCATCATGTTCTAGTGGATTCGAGACTCCACTGAATGGAGACGATGAAGCAATTTTTGTGGCAAAACCAGTGTGAAATCGACCAAAATGTAGTGATATTATGAGATAACCGGCTGAGATCAATAGTAAAACAACGAAAAAGAACTGTGATAGTCGTATCATGATGGCTAACTTATGTGGTTTTGTACGGCGACTGAAAATAGATGGCTTTATTAGATGCCGACATAAAGAACCCGCCATACTTTGCTTGTAATTTCCTGTAAAAAATGGCGGGTTCTTTATGTCGGCACCTAATAATAAAATAGTTATAATAGCCAATACCAGACCTGTTTTTATAATGATAACCTAATTCGAACTCTCGTAAATTTATGCAAAAATGTGGTTGTTTTGGTAAACTAGTCTAATCTCTTGTGTGTACTTGTTTAGATCGTTACGTAATGTTTTCGGCGTGTTATAGATCATTCAATGTTCTCAGAGTGAAAATACGTTTTACCGTTTTTTTTCAGAGTTTATGTGGATTAGCAGCTGCAAATAAGGCAAACAAATCCCCGGTTATCTAAACGTCACGTTTTCTTTGGGCAATGTTAATGATTTTGAAAAATGTAGGAAAAACAGCCGGCTTAGGCTTAGTAGGCTTAGGCTTATTAGGATTAGGCTTATTAGGATTAGGCTTAGTAGGCTTAGGCTTATTAGGATTAGGCTTATTAGGATTAGGCTTAGTAGGCTTAGGCTTAGTAGGCTTAAGCTTAGTAGGCTTGGGCTTGGTAGGCTTAGGCTTAGTAGACTTAGGCTTAGTAGGCTTAGGCTTAGTAGGCTTGGGATTAGTAGGCTTAGGCTTAGTAGGCTTAGACTTAGTAGGCTTAGGCTTAGTAGGCTTAGACTTAGTAGGCGTAGGCTGAGGCTGAGGCTGAGGCTGAGGCTTAGGCTTAAGCGTAGGCTTAGTAGGCTTGGTAGGCTTAGGTAAGACATTTCTAAGTCAGAATAAAACTGTAGTTTTTGGTCAAAGGTCAAATGATTAAAATTTATTATTGTTCTCAAATTTGTATACTACTGATTGACTAAGTGTACTAATGGATAGCAGGTTAAATTAGGGTAAACTTGTCTATTGATCTTTGAAAGAACGCAATACCTTTCATCAAAAAAATTTAACAAAGTTTTATGGACAAACACGATTTTTACCCTTCTTTACCTTTTTCTCTCTCATTCCTTTAAAAAATTTTAACATGATTGGACGCGGTCTTTTTGGTGCTATAAAATTTTAAATATATTCAAAGAAAATATTTTATCTTCCCTCCCCCCTGGTTTTCCCTTTTTTTTCAAGCCCAATCTAAAAATCATCTGAATCGAAAGTCACAATTCTTTCAAACAAAATTCAAATGATTTTGCTTCCGTCTCCACGAACACAAAATTAACATTGCATAGGTGATGTAACAATAAACGTCAAACATACCGTTGGGATTTCGTGGCGACCAACAATCCGGACGCATCCGAATCCCGCACGTGCATGTGGATTCTTGTAAAACACTGCAATTAGTAAACTTTGTGTCCATATCCAACATATTAATAGGGTTTGCACAGCTGAGGCGAATGGTGACTGTTAAACAAATCATTAAAAATTCAAAACGATTTCCTTAATCGTCCTCCACATAAAATGACTTTTGAATTTGAATTGTTAAATTACACATAATTATAGACAATACAAAGTTTTTAAAGTGTGGAATGTAGTGTGGGCGGTGAAGTATGGCAGGCTTTAGCTTAGACTTTGTAGGTTAGGCTTAAGCTTAGTAGGGTTGTTTGGATGAGAGGCTTCAAGCTTGGCAGACTTTATAACAATTTAATTCGGGGGTCATTCTTACTTATATTATAGTAGATAAAAATGCGTTGTCACGCAGTAAAATTGAGATAAATCCCAGCACTCGCAGTCATTTGTTGGGTCGTTTTACATCGAGGCAAATATTAGATAAAACTACAATATTACATAAGAAAACGTTGCGTAATATCATTTCTTGCAATTTCTCTAAGGGTATCTTACATGTCATTGCATTAATATTAGGTAACACCACACAATTCCTGACGAAACAATTTTTTGATAAAATAATGTTATATAGGTGTAGGTTACTCAGCAGGTTAAGGGAAGGATGATTTAGGTTTGATACTTTTAGATATAGTATTGGGAGGCTTAGGTTTAGTAATATTAGGCTTAGTAGGCTTAGGCTTAGTGGGCTTAGGCTTGATAGGCTTAGGCTTAGTAGGCTTACGCCTAGTAGGTTTAAGCTTAGTAAGCATAGGCTTAGTAGGCTTAGGCTTAGTAGGCTTAGGCTTAGTAAGCTTAGGCTTAGTAGGCTTAGGCTTAGTAGGCTTAGGCTTAGGCTTAGGCTTAGGCTTAGTAGGCTTAGGCTTAGTAGGCTTAGGCTTAGTTATTCTTGTAACTTGAATAATTTTTATTTCAAATACATAAATTAAAAACCTAAAAAATGTATGAAAATACAGTATATAAAGCACAAATAATCTAATAAAAATTGACTCATATATGCTAATCATTTTGAAAAGGTCATCTAAGAATGCTATAACAGAAGAACTTCCTCTTCAATCATAGCGAAATGACTCAAACAGCAAAATTTACTTCCGTAAAATTAGAAATTAAACTCGTTAAAATAAAAAATATTACCTAAAAATAAAAAAAAACAACTCAGGAAGTGATAGACCCGCAAATCCGTTCAAATCCAATCGAGCCCATCGTTACAATACGTAGAAATCTAAATTATCCGTTGATTTTGTTCCGGCTCAATACTGGCTGTTGTCTGTTGAAAAAACATGGGAAAACAAGAGTAATGACGTGCTTTTACAGGGGTTAATAATATTATTGTAAATTGTTTGTTGACGTCCTTTTTGTTAAGTTTTTTTTGATAAGTTCAATTTAAAATTTTTTAAAATTTCAATATTGGGGGCCGACATAAAGAACCCACCATTTTTTAAAGAATACAGGCAAAGTATGGCGGATTCTTTATGTCGGCACCTAATATTAGGTCGAACCAAAATTTTGATTCAACCTAATATAATATATTTTTTTATAAAGCTATGTTGTATGTTATGGCAGCCTAGGCTTTTACCTTTAATTTACAATATAACACGACCAATTTGAAAATAAATTTTAAGCTAAACTACTTAACCTTCTTAACATTGTCATATTTATTCAATTTGAGACTAAAATTTTGAACATAAATTTTTATGACAGTCTGAATCTTTCGGACATTGTGAACAAGGCTTCCCTTGTTTGTAAAGTGCTTTTCGTTTGTAGTTGCCGGGCGGATGGTATTTACAAACAACAACATAGCCATGGTTAAAATGTGTGTCCATATTCAAAATCTCGTCGCAATGTGCTACTCCGCAGCCCAGACGAGCTGTTTTGGCCCAGACTAACTGAAATTTGGGTTTGGGAAGGTGTGACTCGTTATGACATTTTAAAAATATTTTTTTTTAATTTGAAAATGCTTAAATTAAGGGAAATGCTTATTAACTTGAGTATTCTCACCTGCGTAAAATGCCCGACCATAGCCTCAGGCTGTTTTTGGTAGCGTTTAACATTGGTGACGTTGAAATAGGTACTTTCACTAAACCACATCTCTACTGCCATATCCAATAGATCGCTCTTTGCATGTTCTCCCGAGAATGAAGCCAAGTTTTCTCCGCCAGATCCAGAATGTTCCCAATCACATTGTTCCGCGTACTTTTGAGCTACCGTCTCCAATCCCCGATCGTACACCAACTCTATCATATCGGCCGCTGAAGGAAGCTTCTCATCGTTCAAACCCTCATATTCTCCTGACGCTACTTGACTTCTGATTTCATTGTGCTTCGTTGTCACTACATCTTGTTCGGCAGAGTTCAGAAATCGTCGGCCGTTAGCCAAATTTGCGAGGAAAATAATTAAAAGGACAAAAAGTAGATTCCGCATCAGGAACAATGTGATTATTCAATAATGACACTTACTGTCTTTATATCATTAAAATATTAATATAGGCTCATATTTATTGGGCTTGATTTATTTTTGTTTAATGTTTGTTTCAAAACAATCAAAGCATCGTTTTATATTATGCAGAAATAGAAGGTTGATGCACGTTAATGCAAACTGTTTAAAATTTTAAATTGAGATTTGTTGAGCTTGTACTTCATTGAGTGTTAGTAAACATAGGCTTAGACTTAGGCTTAAAATTAGGCTTACACTTACTTAGACTTAGGCTTAAGTGTTTAAGCTTTGGTTTAGGCTTAGGCTTAAGCTGAGGCTTAGAATTAGAATTAAGCTTAGACTTGATAAGCCTATTAGAGTTATTACACTTAACCTTGTTGTTTATATTTTGATCAATATTTTCAATAATTTTTTTTATTAGTTTGATAAGCCTACTAATCAATCTGAATAAATGACCTCTCTAAAAACAAATTTTCGTTTGCTATAAGTTGAAAAATTTAAATTTCTCTATTTTAAAATGTACTTGTTCTTTTCCAAGTACCCATAAAGCACTATAAATATAAAACCCAGGTCATAACTATGGCAATTCAAAGTAATGTCATCGTTAATGTGTTTCATTAAACTCTCCGATCTAAGGACATAATTTTTCTCCCAAACATTGATCCATCACCCTTTGCCAGGGCTGTTTTCAATGGAGAACAAGAGGGAAAGCATGAAAAAAATTAACGCTTTTCATATGTCTTGTACTAACATCTCCACAAACAGGTGCCAAACTTGTGTTTTTTCACGGCTTAGCTGATTTTTTTTTGTTTTTTAGGGTTGGGGCTGATATTTGGTTGATTTTGAATTGAATTTTGATTGAAATAGGTTGGGTATTAAAGTTTTTAAAACTTTTTTCAATTTGTTAGTTCTAGTTTTAACGTTAGCAAAAGCTTTACTCTTTGCCAAACTCTTGTTATAGCAAAGCTAAAATAAATTTTGCTTACTTTAGCCCTAGGACTATCACTAGCTATAGCCAGGGCCGGAAGAGCAACTTGTGATGATCTATTGCAATTTTTTTTCAATTTAGGCTTAGAGGCTTAGGCTTAGGCTTAGGCTTAAGCTTAGGCTTAGGCAGTGTTTTGCCCGGACCGGTCCGGACGTTTTTTTTTCGGTCCGGTCCGCAGATTTTTGGGTCCGGTCCGGTCCGGTCCAACCTTCAAAAGGAGCGCTAAAACTGCTTTCTTTTTGCTTAAGAACTCTTAAAAATACATTCTATTTGCAATTTTTAAATCAGTTCTATTAAAATAAAAAAAAATTTTTTTCCGGACCGGTCCGGAGCTTTTTCTTCGGTCCGAGTCCGCAGGTTTTTGGGTCCGGTCCGCAAAAATTTTCGTTTCGGTCCGTCCGGTCCGGTCCGGCAAAACACTGGGCTTAGGTTTAGGCTTAGGCTTAGGATTAGGATTAGGCTTAGGCTTAGGCTTAGGCTTAGACTTAGGCTTAGGTTTAGGCTTAGGCTTAGGCTTAGGCTTAGGCTTAGGCTTAGGCTTAGGCTTAAGCTTAGGCTTAAGCTTAGGCTTAGGCTTAGGCTTAGGCTTAGGCTTAGGTTTTGGCTTTGACTTAGGCTTGGGTTGAGGATTAGGCTTAGGCTAATGGCAACACGTTCAACTTTTTTTTTAATTTTTATTTGGCGGGGGTGGGGGTGTACCTTTTGTCCCCCCTCCCCTATCGCGTCCGGCCCTGGCTATAGCCTTACTACCGCTTTGCTTTACTCTTATTACTCTTGATTACCTTTGTTCTGGTTTTATCTTAACAAATGTAAGATTTTTCATTACATTACTATACCTACTAGTTAAAACAATAATGTTACACTAAATCCCCTTCCTTATTTGTACTTTTTTGTTTTTATTTACTTTCTCCCCGCTTAACGACATTGTTGGACTAATTCCGTTTTTGTTGGGACGTCCAGACAATTTGAAACTCCTGTGACTAAACGGCTCTTTCATTCTTTATTGTTGTCTATAAATTTTTTTTGTTGTGTTATGACATTTGTGGCATCATTACATTCTTTTCGTGGGGAAGAAAGAGTTTTTTGAAATTTTAAGGGGATTGATATATACATATTATATTTATTAGGTGTCGACATAAAAAACTCGCCATTTTTTACAGGAAATTACAGGCAAAGTATGGCGGGTTCTTTATGTCGGCATTTAATAGTTTGATTTTACATAGTTGGTCTCAAATTTTATTAGCAGTTCAAATTTTTGTTAGTATTTATATTGAAATGTCATTTCTTAATTCAAAAACGTTGCCATTGGCAATGTATTCTTTAATTTGTAGCCAAACCCTGTGTGTGCCAAGCTTTTTCCAAGTTTTTTATTTTTCGAAATTGAAAATTTTTGTTTTTAAAAAACCCATGATAATAAGCAACTGCAAATTCCCTAGTGGAACAATAAAGCAAAACCCCGCGGAACATGTTCAATATGTTCTCACAACGACAAGATATGACAAATCTTTGGTATGTTGATTGATGGATGCGTTCGTGGCAAATGTTTCTGGCCAAAAAGTAAATTATGAAACAAAAAGATTTTAGTCTTGCTTAGATTTTAATTTTGGGTTTTGTAAAATACGCCGTTTGAGTAGTTTTAAGGTTTGCACATTAGGCTTATACATAGGCTGAGCAGGCTTTACCTTAATAGTGTTAGGCTTAGGCTTAAATTGAATAAGATTAGGAATAGTTGGCTTATGTTTATTAGGCTTAGGCTTAGGCTTAGACTTAGCCTTAGGCTTAGGCTTAGGCTTTTGATGAGGCTTAGGCTTAGGATTAGGCTTAGGCTTAGGCTTAGGCTTAGGCTTTTGCTTAGGCTTAGGCCTAGGCTTAAGCTAAGTAGGCCCAGGCTCAGGTTCAGTAATCTTAGGTTTAATGGCATCAGTGTTAATAAACTTAAGGACGTTTATAGCAGATAAATAATGATACCTCGCAGAAACAATGAATTATATTGCAGTACTCGCAGTAATTTGTTGGGTCGTTTTACACCGAGGCAAGTATGACGTAAAACCATAAATATTATTATATAACAAACGTTGCGCAACACTATTTCTGACAATTTCTCTAAGGCTATGTTATTATGTCATTAATATTAGGTAATATAGCACAAATTTTTCTAAATCTTGAGTTGTTCAAACGTTTTGGAATATAGTTATGGTAAATTTTGTGCCGACATAAAGAATCTGCCATACTTTGCCTGTAATTTCCTCTAAAAAATGGCGGGTTCTTTATGTCGGCACATATTAGTTCATTTAGTTTGGGTTTTAAAGCGTAAATGGGAGATAGACGAAACAGTTATGACAGGACATCTTTGTCGTAGTAATTTTAAAAATTTTTATTTCGAAGGGCATTTTAAACTCTACATAAAACCGCTTTAAAATTAAACCTCAATTTAAACATTGCCTAACAAAACTAAAGATTAAAGAGCTTTTGTTTTGCCGTCCGTTTAATGGATGACACTTTTTAATGATATTTTTCGAAGCCCATGAACATTGATAGATCGCTTTTTAGTATGATGAAGTACTGCGGCGGGCATGTGATATTATAAAGAATGTACTGGCGTCTACGTACATGGTATTTACTAGAGTATAACTTACTTTATGTGGTACTTGGAGGATTTTTTACTTATTTTTTAAGTGTATTTCATGGAATTTTTGTACTTTTTTAAAGATTTTTTTGCTTTTTTAGGTTTAGTATGGTTAGGCTTAAGCTATTAGAGCTGCCAACCCGTTTAGGTATGAAAACATCTTGGAGAGGGGGGGGGGAAGTTTTAAAACTGCTATAAAGATGGCTAAACAAATTTTTTACTTGTTAGTTTGTTGTCAGTCTACGTAAACACCTTTTATTTTTACAGAGTAAATTTTGTTTACCACTGTATACATTACTATAACATAATGAGTTTAGGGCCTTCTTTGCATTAACTTAAATTGTTTACACGTTTATCCTCACGTAAGACTTTAGCTTTGGCTAAAATTGCACTTTTAAAATTTTAAAATTAGTTTTTTAATGGGTGGATAAGGTTGTGATAAGGGGAAGGAGATGCAATCTTGGCCGAGGAGGATGAGTTTAGTCTAAGACCAGGGGCTGGGCAAAAAATGGAATTTTTAAAATTTTTTTTGTGAAAATTCAACAGGGGGGACCAAGTAAAAAATTTTTAAAAAAAATTTTTTGGCGGGTTGATTTTTTTATATATTTTTTTTTGGAGAGGGTGTTTTTTATTCTAATTTTACTAACAAGGAAAGTACCCAACCTGCCCCGCTCAGAATCAGCTCAAAATTTTTATATAAATTCTTCCTACCACCTATAGTACCCATATAAAGTTTTAGCTCGCGCTTTTGAGTTTTAAATTTGAATTATTGTGGTTTTCCGCCGATTTGGCAAATTTGGCATTGTGTTTCAACCACTTTTTGCGACTTTCCAGCCCAGCTACACTTGCAAATTAAAAATGTAGGTTTATTTAAAGGTATTCTACTAGTATATGAAAGAAAAATGTTTAAAAGTCAAAAAATGGCAAATTTATAAGCTTGAAACACAATGCCAATTTGGCGGGAAATTCAAAACGTAATTGTTTAGTTAATAATAGTTGGCTAACAATAAAATTTGCAACTTTTTTTTTGAATATCAACAATGGGGGGGGAATGTTAAATAAAAAAATTTTTTTGGGCGGGGTGTTTTTTTAATATTTTTTTTAATCAGGGAATTTTTCATCCTAATTTTACTTAAAAATGTTATATTTTCAAAACCGTTTCAAGAAGATTTGCCACTTTTTTTTGTCCAAAAACCCTTCCGGCCCATATATTTTATGCGTGAAGATGTTCAACAAGTTTCTCCTCCTTCTCGCCTCTTACGGACTTGATAGACGTGGAAAAAGTTTTGGTTCCCAAATGAAATAAAAGACTTTACTTAAGATGCAGCCTTCTTTAGGTTTATTTTGGTTTATTTGGCCACAAACGTTGGCAGG